GTTATATTTATAGCTATATTTTAACTAGATTTCTAGATAGTATTATATAAATTATATTATCTATTTCTTACTAATACTAGCCTATAGCTGTTATAATAGCTTTAATTTTATAAGGTAAAAAAGAATTACTAAATACTATATATAGGTAATCTAGAGTAGTAGACTATATTAGTCTATATCTAGAATCTATTACTTTAATATCCCTTCTTTAAGATCTGATAGTTTTTAAGAATTTATAGTTATTCTAGTATAGGGAGTGACTCTATTAAGCTATATTATAAAGGTTCTTAGAGGTATATTATATATAGTTATATAGGTAGTTTTTAAGTTAAATTAGCCTTAATAAAAAGCTTTAACTACTACTTTTATTTACTCCTCCTAAGATAGAGCCTCCATACTAAATATATACTGAAAAAAAGGCTTTAAATACAGCTATAATAACTTAGGGGCAGCAGCGGCAGTGACTGTACAGCTCAGTATCCTGCACAGCTCAGTGTCTGATTACGTTAGTTTATTTAGTTTATAAGGCTTATTTTATACTATTATATTCTAGACCTTTACTATAATCTTATAATTAATATTTAATTTAATATATAGTACTTCTAAGATAGAGGTATCTATAATCTTCTAAGACAGTAGAGTAGATATACTTTATAACCTCTTTTATTAGTCTTAGGCCTAGAAAGCTTCTTACTAGGACATTAAATTAGCAGTTTTAATTAAAATTAATAATTTAGAGCTTATTTCTTTAAGATATATAGTATTATTCTAGATTTTCTTTAGCACCTTATAGATATCTATTAAAGAATTAGAATTTTTATATCTACTTTAGGCACCTATTATAAAGTTCTTAACCCCCTAGTTAAAGCTTAATAGCTCTATATTTTAGAGGGGGTTTTTTTTATAGCTTTCTATATACTAGTATATATATTATATATTATTTTATATATCCTTTATACTAATGAAATAGTACTATAGTTCTTTTAAAGCTACTATAATAGTAGTCTGTATTATTACTAGAGAAGTTATCTCCTTATTTTCCACTAGCAGTAGCTAGAGTTAAATAAAGTTAAATAAATTCTGAGCTAGAACTAGCTTATGGTTATTATGAAACTTTAAATTTTTGATTTATATAGAAAAGTTATTTTCTAGCTATATGGGATTACTACCTATATAGAACCTGTGTAGCAGAGTATTAATACTAATAATACAGTATTGCCACCACCAGGCCTGATATACATATATTACTTTATCATGAATATCATATTATCTACATATCCTAACGCTATTTTACACAACACTATTTATTTAATCAAGTCATTGACTATTTCACTGAGTATTTCAATGAATTTTCACATAATTTCTTCCCCTCTCATTAATAGAGCTTCCTGCTAGCCCTATCATGTTGTAGTTTAATTCCAGTCCTTCCTTAAATCGCGTAGGTGGAAGGCAGCCCCCCAGCTCAGAGAAATTTGCCCCCTGCAAAACGGGAGCTAAAGTCAGCCGCCTTATCAAGAATTTGTCGTCTTTGGTGATTGTTTATCCTTGAAGAGGTACTCATATCCTTCTCCCGATCGAAAGGACGTGTGCTTGGGTCATCATTTTCACACTCTTTTGAAAGACATGGAGCGCCAGGTAGTGCATCTTTTCTTGTGGCTTCCTATCGGTCTATTAAATTTTAATTCTCATGGAGAAGGGGTAGGGAATCCAAGCTGGCTTCGCTCATAACTCACATTATATTTATGTATTCTGGCTTTTGCTAGCTCAGTCACCCTAGATACCTGGGCAGCATGGTCCTGACTGTCTGTCACCGTTGAGCCACTGATACCCAAAACCTTATCCTCTAAGCGTTTTATTTTTTGCTCTGGACTCTCAGTCCATGATGAATCTATCTGGCCTCCGGGCGCGGCCCTCCCTGGTTTCCCTGTCTGAAATCCCCGGCTTCGCAGTTTGGTTGAATCGATTCGCGAGGACCAATCCGTAGCACCTGGAGGTTGTAACATCCACTTATCCCGTTGGAATCCACTACCCTGCATAGGAACCTCATGAGTAGATGGATCGGGCTTTCTATCCGCGTCATCTATTTCGGATAACACAGGACCTGCAGGAGGCAAAACTGGCCCAATATCATCATCACTATCACTCTCGCTTTCAGACGCAGTGTTTCCATATGACCCATGTAAGGAAGCTGCGGACGATGGAAGAACTGGCCCTGCTATCCTGCGTCGCTTGCTGGTTGTCTCAGGGCCGGGCGAAGTATCATTATCATCATTGGAAGCCTGACGAGTCTTGCGCTTTTCAATTTCCTCCATGTTTTGGGGGAGGGGGGACATGAAGTATAGTGAACTAGTGTCAGACCTCTTTCAAAGTTAATCATCAATAGTTTTTGGAGTAGTAAAACTGAGAGAAATGATGTAGTTACTTGGTAGGTATTATTAATGATAATAACAAGCCACTCGGGTATTACAATTTTTAGGGGGGCTCAGATTGACATCGCCCCCATTAAATCCTTCCAGGCATTATGGAGTAATTGAATTACTAGCTGCACTTACTAATTGGATTATCTTATCTATATAGCCAATGATATTCACCTATTTTTAATCAATGGATAATGGGGATGAAGTATTTCATTAGTAATTTATATAGGAAAACAATGTATTTAGTACTAAGCCTAAATAACTCTATGGATTACCTATCTGGTGTATTATATGTAGAATTATTTTTATAAAGTAGATAATTATATATATAGATATAAGTAAATAGGTTATATATCTTTAATACTATAGTAGATAAGTATTTAAAGGTTTATAACTCTAAAGTTCCTTCCTGATTAGTAATCTTATATATAAGATATAGTAATATAATAATATACCCTTAAATCTATTACCTCTATTTCCTTATTCTATATAGCTCTTAACCTCTATAGTTCTTTAAAATCTATAAAATTTAATTAGATTAATAACCTTAATAAAAGTATCTACTACTATATTATTAAATAAGATATATTTAGTAATTATATTTTAAATCTAATAGTAGGTAATATTAATATACTTTATTCTAATATAAAACTAAGTATTATAAGCTAGTTAGATAGTACTATTACTATCTAAATTGATACATATAGGTCCAATACCTTTAAAATTAAGATTCTTAAAGATATATATAAGCTAGAAAGCTTTCTTATTAGTAATAGCAATAATATAATACTCTGTCTCTCTATTATTATGATGAAAATAAGGGTGGGTCCTGGCTATGATTAATCAGATAAATTTAGCTATTAATTATTAATTATTATATAAGATAAAATATATTATAATTTATTACCTAGTTTTTACTCCTTTTATAGCTATAAAAGAAAATCCTATATAATATTTATAATAAAAATCCTTATTATATTTTTATATATATCTTTAATTACTTTTTTATATAGATCCTTTCCCTTTCTCTCCCCCCTATTATTAAATTTATAAGTATTAATAACTATTATAGGTATTTTTAGTCTATAATTAAATATATAATACCTATTAAGTAAGTTCTTTTAATTATTCTATCTATATAATTACTTACTTATAGCCTCTTTTTTAGAAAGTCTAAGCCTTTATAATAATTTTACTTCTTATAACTAACTTAATTATATACTTATAGCTACTTATAAGTAGCTATTCTACCCTCTTCTTTATATTATTATTTAGGTTATCTATAGGGAACTAAATTTATAAATTAATTACTTTATAATTCTACTTCTCCTTCTTAAAGATATTACTATTATTTATAAGTTTTTTAAAGCTATCTTATAGATATTACTTCTTTATAAAGATAAGATTATCCCTTTACTCCTCCTTCTTAATCTATCTCTATTCCTCTTTTAATATATTATATACCTAATCTTATAATAACTCTAGCCCTAGCTATAGCTTCTCCTATCTATTCATTAATTAGTTTCTAATTTAGATTCTATTATTAATAGCTATACTATCTTAGCCTAATAAATATACTTTATAAGTACTATTATATAAAATATTAGATTAAGAAGTATATTTCAAACTCTTTAAAGGTATAACTATATTTTAATAAGTATTATACAAGTAAGAAGATATAATGTAATCAGACAATGAACCGCCAGGATAACAAGCCACTGGCAGTTAACTGCCGCTACCACTGAAATACATAAGATTTAACAATCCTATTAAAATTGAAGCTTTTTAAAGCGTTATTTTTAGTATAGAAGCTCTATCTAGAGATAAGAGGTTAAGGCTTACTATCAAGGCTTTTAATAAGGGCTAATTCTCTTTAAAATAGGGGTGTGCTAATACTTTTAATATTAAGATAAGTACCTTTAAAGGCTACTTAAAAGGGGCTAAATCCTATAGTATCTTAGAGGCTAATTTAAGAAAGCTTTCTAATATAGATAAATTAGTTTTAAAGTAAAAGATTCTAGATATAGACTTTTAAGGCTGTCCCCTTAGTATTACTAAAGTATACTACCTTATTAAGCTTTTTCTTACTATAATATTAAAGCTATCTAAAGCTAAAAATATATTTATTAATAAGAAATAGGTTAATCAATTTATCCACTACTATAAAGCTAGATTAAAGTTAAAATATATAAGAAGATATAACTATTAATATATAAAATATAAAGATCTAAAGGTTATAAAGCTATAGTTTAAATTAGTTTAAAATACTATATAAAATATAGTATTCTTAAATAGGATATATATAATATAGATAAAACTAGCTTTTAAATAGGAATAGCTTTAACTATAAAGGTTATCTATAGTTTAGAGTCTAGAGAAAAATATAATAAGAGAAGTAGTTTAAAGCTATTCCTAGTAATTATTAGATTAGTATAAGTAAAGATAACTAGATAATAGATAAATTTAGCTTTAAATAGCTTTAAGCATTTAATAAAAATATAGCTTTAAAAACTATAGGCTAATATTACCTTCTTATTCTTAATAGCTATAGAAGTTATTTAATACTTAAATTTAACTAATTTTTTAAAGAGAGGAATATTATTCTATTTTATATATCTCCCTATTTATCTTATGAGCTTTAACTATTAGATATAGACTATTTTATACTATTAAAATAGCTATATAGCCAGTAGATCTATAATATTATTTAGAATAGTATTAAATTTATTAATAAAGTTAATTTTTTATATTATTATTAGTATATATACTATAGAGCTTTCTCTATAATAAATATTCTTAGTGGCTTTAGGGTAGTTAGTCTAATTCTATATAATCTAGAAAGAGTACTTTTAAAGCCTTAACTTAAGATAAAAATATTAATATCACTATCTATTTTTTATTCTTTATTATAAACTAAACTCTTAAAAAGGTTATAAAAGGTATAGAAATAGTAATCAAAAATACTATTATACTTTAAAAGGAGATATATTAGCTTTATATAATTAATAAGTAGAGGTAGAATAAGAAAAAAGCCTTATAATAATATCTTTAAGAAGGAGACACCTTAATAGGCTAAGAAGGTTAAGATAAAGCTTAAAAATTAACTTAAAAAAGAGAAGAGGAGTTAAATTAGGTATCTTAATAAGTATATTTAGTATACTAGCTACTATACTATAGTTACTATAGTAAAGAAGGTTATAATTATTTAAAATATCTAGCTAGATTAAACACCTAGTAAAACTATATATATTTTATTTATATAGTGTTAGAAAGCTTTGACTTTAATGAATTCATTATCTATATATGCCTTTTAGTGGTGGCGGTGGTCAACCGCTGGCGGCTCATTGTCCCAGCGGTTCATTGTCTAATTATGTTAGTTTAAACAGTTAAAATTTAAAAATCTAAACCTTAGCTAATAAAATGAAGGTTATTTATATAACTAAATATAGAGATTAGTTATAGGAAAGATAGTAAGAAGAATAATTATATAAAGATTAGTATAGTACCTAAATCCTAAAGATTCCTAACCTAATATATTTTTACTCTTTTTATTCCCCTATAATACCTCTTAACCTTAATAGTAGATAAAGAGAAATAGATAATTAAGAATAAAGATATAAATTAGCTATAAGATTATATTTATAATAACTCTACCTCTTCCTTTTTCCTAAAGAAATACTATATTAGGAGATCTTATAAGGCCTATAATTAAATCTAGTATAAGGAAGTTAATATAGTATACTAGTAATATAGGTAATCTATAGCCTAAGAGAATAGAATTAATAGCTATAACTAAACCTAGTATTATTTCTATAACTAGAGATTTAAGTACCTTATATATAAGAGGTACTATAAGAATAGGGGATATAAATAAGACTAGCATATCACATGAGTTGAGTTTGAGTAGAGATTTAGGACTTGATGTTATGGCACCTTTATCAGTGACTGTATCAGGCAGAACTAGGTAGTCAAATGAAATGGATATTCTTATTATAGAGAACTATGATTTACTTATAGGATACTCTTAGCCACTATCTAATAACTAACTATATTATATACTAAAATACTATTTAATATACTATAGATAGTATATAAGATAGTATACTTAATAAAGGATATATAAGGATACTTAGTTTATATACTTAGATAGTTCTTTATAATTAATAAAGTTATTAATCTTATAGTTACCTTTACTAACTATACTAATTATTCTATATATACTTATATATCTCTTACTTAATTAAAGAAGTATATATACTTCTTTGGCCTTAGTTCTCTCTTTACCTACCCTACTATATTCTTAAGTATCCCTAGCTTAAAGGAGTACCCTAATTACTATTAATATCTTTAGATTAGGGTTATAGGTTAGTATTCTCCTAGCTTAACTCATGGGTTTACAGGTTTTAGTGCCATTGTGAGATCCTAGGGTGTGACACTTGACTCATGAGTAAAGGTTTAGGACTTAAACTCATGCTAAGAAGAGTAAGAGTCAGTATTTTTGCTGTATTTTACTATATTTTTAAGCCTCCCCCATATAAAATAGGTGTATTTTTGGTATTATGAGTAGAGTTTTAAAATATTTAGAGCTTGAACTTATAGTATAAGTCCTAAATATTAACTCAAACTTGCCTTATTACTAAAACTCTACTCATTACTTACAAGTAGACTTAACTCATGTGACATGCTAAATAAGACTAACTATAAATATTAAAGCTAGTAAGATAATAGAAAAATAGATAGATAATAAAAAAGAAAAGTAAAGAGTTAAAAAGATATAAGAAAAAAACCTAAGAGAAGAGCTAAGAGAATAACTAAAAGAAGATAATAGATATATATATAAGAAAAAAAAGAATTAGGATAAAAAGTATAGAGGGTAGTTAAAGGTTATTATACTAAGAGTAATTATTATCTAGTTAATTAATCTCCTAGTTCTAGAGCTAAGTAATTAAGCTAAAAAAAGGCCTATATTTATAAATAATACCTTATTTATTAAAAGAAAGCTATTAAGTAAGGTAGCCCTATCCTAGATTATAAATAGAAAGGAAGAAAGAAATAGATAAAATATAAAAGATATCTAAAAGAGTAGGTATATTATAAGATAGTAAGTAAGTTAATAAAGGAGATTAAATAGAACTAATATAAATATAGATATCTATAAAATAGTGGGAAAGACCCTATAAATAAAGTACTATATAGAGATAATAAAGTATAAAGAATAATTTAAAGCCTTAAATACTTAAAAGGCCTTTAAATAATAGTTTTAGGATATCTACTTATAACTAAAGAAGTATCCTAATACTAGAACTATAAAAGAGTAAAAGAAATAGTAGGACTAGGTAATAGAGATTAAAGTAAGAATAGTAGTAAAGAAGAGGGGCATACTAAAAAGAAAGTAATAGATAAAATAGAAATAAATATATTAAATAGTATAGGGTAGTAGAAGTAAGGAAAGGTAGTAAAGATAGTAAAAAGGTTTTATTAGAGTAAAATAGTAGAACTACCTATAGGTAATAAGAAAAAATAATAAATAAGAGAGAAGTGTACAGGAAAGACATGTTAACAGATATATATATATATTTGATATATAGCTAGATATAGCTAGAAATCTCTCTCTTGTTATAATAAAAATAAGGGTAGGTCCTGGCCATGATTAGTCAGATAAATTCAGCTGTTAATGTAATCAACCACCAAACCGCGAAAACCACCAAACCATGAATTTTTTACTTGGCATCCTACAATTTGAAGCTTTTTAACTACTAACACTATTAAATTAAACTAGATACTATATAAATATAAAGCTATTTACTAGGGTAATTTTATATTATATATCTAACAGTCCAGCAGCCACTATAGTATAGTAGAGTATATTAATAAGGTATAAAAGTAGGCTTATTAACCTCCTTATTAAGCTATATATTAAGTTACTAAATATAATAATAACCTTCCTATATAGAGATAAAGAGATTATCCCCTAGAGAAGTATATTTCCTTACCTTCTTCTTTATTTTATACTTATTTTTAGCCTATAGAACCTTAATTTCCTATTAAGGTAGATAAGATTTATATTTATTACTATCTATATAGCCTTTTTAAGATATTAGATATAAGAGACTAGACTACTAGAAAGCTTTCTTTTTTATATACTTTTCTATAAGCTATAAACCTTATAATTAAGCTAGTAAGTATTCTAAGGTATTTAAAAAGTAGATAAGATTAAACCTTTAGTAAGAAGTAGTAGTATTAGTATATAAAGTTAAAAGGTGATTTTTTTAAGAACCTAGTCTTAATTAAGTAGTTTAAGTCTAGTTTCTATAAAGCTATTAGATATATTCCTTAAGAGAAATACTACTTTATATATAGGAGGATATGGGTATAGAAAATCCTCCTTATTAATATAGTTATTTCTAGCTACTATTATCCCCTTAACTAGTTTTCTATATATATATTTAAGTAGCCTAAAAATACTAATATTAAGTAGCTAAAGAAGATAAGATATATATAGAGGTATATAAAGATAGATAATTATATTCTCTTTATAAAAATTATTAAACTCTATAGTTTAATAGCTTAAATAGCTATTAAGAATAAGTAACTATTTTATACTAGTTAAGTATAGTCTTAAAAAAGGTTTATATACCTATTTTAACTATATAAGGCCTATCTTATCTATTATCTAGCTATTCTTACTATTAGTAAGTCTAATCTTAAGGTAAATTAGGCTCTTAATACTATAGAGCCTAGTATTCTTTACCCTTTAAGATAACTACTAGTAGTATAAGAATTCCTTTTAAACCTATATACTTAATAATACTAATCTATTTATAATTTCCCTAGATAATTATATAAGGCCTCTTACTATACTCTATTATAGTAATAACCTTAGAACTAGTATAGAGTCCCATTATAAAGCTAGTTTTATTAAAATTCTAGATATTATCTTTATATATATTATACTCTTAAATAACTATCTATATAGTCTTAAATCACTACTTTAAGACCTTTAGATCTTCCTACTTTATACACTGATAGGTAATTCTTTAATTATATTATATATATAGTTCTATATAATATTTAATAAATTTAGATACCTAGTTAATACTAATAATTTTAGCTGGATCCTATACCTACTTAGAAAGTAAAGTATATACTATTCTATACAAGAACTATAGTTAAATTATAAAGCTATACTAATCTATATTTAATAAGTACTTAATAAGAACTTCTTCTTTAGTATTTATTAATTTATAGCTATTAGTATATATTTTAGAATATAATTAAATACTAGTAAGCTATTTATATAGGGTGCTTTTAGGGATACTAAATATATCCATATATAAGCAGCTTTTAATTTTAATATGACTTTTTTATTCTTATATATAGTAACAGCCATCTGTATATAAGCTTCTTTAGATAAAGGCATTTTATATAGAAATAATAAAGAAAAGATATGTTAATGGGTGTTAAATTAAAAGTTATAGAATGCTAAGCAAAAAATTCACAGTTTAGTGGTTAATTACATTAATTATTAATTATTATATAAGATAAAATATATTATAGTCTGCTACCCAGTTTTTACCCCTTTTATAGCTGTAAAAGAAAACCCTATATAGTATTTATAGCTATAGAAATCCCTACTATATTTCTATGTAAACCTCTAATTACTTTTTTATATAGATCCTTTCCCTTTCTCTCCCCCCTATTATTAGATTTATAAGTATTAATAACTACTATAGGCATTTTCTATCTATAGTTAAATATATAATACCTATTAAGTAAGTTCTTTTAGTTATTCTACCTATATAATTACTTATAATAATTAGTTAGATAAATTTAGTATTTAGTTAATTCTTAATTATTATATAAGATAAAATATATTACTACCTACTCCCCTACCAGCTCCCCTACTATATTAAAAAAAGTAATTAATCTTAACTAGATATTAAACTATAAAGCTTTTATAAAATATTTATTTAAGGTTATTAATATTAAGTATTTATTTTCTTTTCTTTTATAGGGTAGCTTAGTCTATTAGCTCTCTTCTATAGTACTAGTGCTATATTTTACCTACTTTAAAGCAGTGCTCTAAGTAACCCTATATATATATAAAGTTAGCTACAACAGGAATAACAGGTCTACTACTACTACTACTACTACTACTACTACTAGGAGGAGGGGTGTCGCACAGCAATTGTGTGGGCGGGTGGCCGCCAAGCAATTACACGGCTACCCAACTGAGTCCTGCCTAATACTGCTAGGTCCACCTGATACGTCACCTAAGATGGGGAGTGTTCACCTAGAGGTGTAGGATGTTTAAGGACTGCCCAAAACACCTTAAGCTCAAGTATCTACCTATATTATCTTCATCTGTTCATGGTAATTATCCTACTTAGACTTGGGCATACCAGGATTCTCCCCCACCCAGCCACGTCTTCCTATCACACTCGGCTCGATTTCATTGCATTGATCACGAATATTACAGACTAAAAAGTTACAGGAACGAGAAGACTCAACAAGTAAGAAATTATGCTATATCAATCAGGGGTTTACCGAATGTCGAATTATTTGAAACTGACTGCACTGAAGCGCCGGCATACATCTAGACCTGTGTCCAACGTGCCCTCTCATGATTTATAGATACATGGTATCTACCCACCCCCTACGAGAAAGCTTATCTATATTTGTTGGGAAATGAAACGGGAGCTTTGGAAGATGGGCCACTGATGATTCATTGGTGGTTTGCAGTCTTATTTCAATGCCCCAGTTAAATAACAATAAACTTGCAATACCTTTCACCTGCCTGTCATTCCGAGGAAAATGTCACGCAGTGCGGATATCCCATCCCAGTCTGAAACCCCGAGAAGATTCTTAGCTCAGCCCTTCGAAACTTCCTCATGGAACTCCAACAAAGGATACCAACGAATGCCAAATTCAACGGACACTGAGTTATTAAACGAGGCGGCCGAACCAGAAAGCAATTCACCATCGGGCCTACATGCAAGAGCAGGGACTGTGTCGCATCGTCTCTCCCATGACTCAAGCCTATCTAAACCTTGTGAGGGCAATGTGAGCTGCAGTTACTCTAAGTCTCTCGGTGACCATCAGCCGCACCCTATTTCTAAATGGCGAGTTAGGAGGCCTCTCCCGGAGCCAATAGAGACCACGAAAACGAACAAACGACGAGTTGAATTAGAGCCAAGGCTATCCTTAGGCGACAATGACAGGCTGCAGATTGGCCCAAGGAAATTTGAGCCCCAGCTCATAGAAACAAACACGCGCTCGTTTCGCAAAGGAGAACCCTCACGCAACCTTGACCACGATAGCATATCAAATATTCTCTCAGAGCACTCAAACCAAGTAAATACCCATCAATGTGCAGGCCAGCCAACACGCGCTGCTGTCCATGCGGTCCCTGAATCCAAGTTTTCATACACAAATCTTTTACGACGCCAGGAGACAAGGAGGCATTCATATCGGGTTCCAGATCTTCCCGCAATTCCTTCGAACAGTAGCGAAGTTTCCGATGGCTCTGGGCCACCGTCTCTGTCCACCTCCCCGTCTGCTTCATCTGGTGCATCCCCGAAACCTTCAAAAGTAACGGACCGGCGTCGAGAGAGTTGTGATGAAAAGGTATCAGGCTATCTACTTTCACTTGCTGCACGTTCTGCAGAAAAGCAGTTGAAAGAACAGGCACTGGCTGCTTTCCCTAACGAACAAGTTTACCAACCCGTTGACCACTTCGCTATTGATAGAGAAGATGAGTCCTCAAATGAAGGAGAATCGCCAGGTTGTACAGCTAACCAAACCTCTCACCGACGGGCATCTTCTGTGGATCTCTCTTGGGAACTCGAATACATGCGCCAGCATAAAGAGGAAGCGGTGATGAGGAATCGAGCCGTGGTCGAATCTCAGGAATCACAATTCTCTTGCACTGCCATGAGAGCTCACCCCGATTTTCACTGTGCCGAATACCCCGAAGGTTTCCACAAAGAGTCAGCAAGGACTAGGCACGGTGCAAGTCCACCGATGCTGGGTAATGACCTTATTTTCCCACAAAGTCTGTCTCCAGAAACAACTTTATGTGAAAGTGCCACTGGAATTTCCCGTCTCCAAGATAAATACCAGAAATATTGCGGCGGTCTCTGGTCTGCGGATCTTCGCCAAGATTCTAAACGTGGGGGGGGTGGCCTTTGGATGGGAACATGCGGCAAAGTCGAGCTCAATCATAAATCGCAAGACAAATTGCTTCCTGGAGTTGTGACCCCAATCCACTATTTCAATGAAGAATCTCGCATGTGCTTGGATGGCATTAACACAACAGCAAAGCATCTGGACCAACAAACTTCTACCCCTTTAAACCAAGACGCTGGCTTTGATTATAGCATCCCACATGATTCCGGTAAAGAGTTCCATGATGGGGTTGTGACCCAGATCTACAACTACCTTTCATTAGGATACCCGTGCGTCGCTCGTTATTATGACTCTGAACTCAGCAAGATTTCGGGTATCTCAGTAGAAGAACTCAGGCGTGATGATTTAAACACAGATGCTAGGGGTTATTTTGGAGTTACCGAAAACACTAAAGCTAATGGACGTACATGCATGCGTTGGGCGGCTTTGCGTTTATATATACACGAGTGGATCAAGCAACAACCAAGAATGATGGAGAACGACAGCAACTGTGAAGCCTGGGGTGTTCGTGAGCGAAGGGGAAGCTGGGCAGTGTGAAGTAATCCTTTCCTTCTACAATGTCTTCTATGCTGCGGAGTCTCTGAAGAGCCACATTGTCTCCATCACTCACCTATCTGTATCGCCCTTGCCACACCAAGCGATAGTTAGAGAAACTGTTCAACAACACGAAGGGTACCTGGTATCTTGAGGAATTTAGACTGTGCCTGCCCAGCCCATTTTACATCTGTTGCATGCCTACTGGATTCTGCCTTGCTATTGGAAGACTAGGAAGGCACTAAGGATCGCCCATTAGGACAAAATGGGAAATTGAATAATAATGATTTAAATGCACATCGATCAATAGCCAGCTATAATGAATGGGTAAATTCCTAATAGACCTAACGTAACCCCAACCCTCTCCCCGAACTGCCGCTGCTACCACAAATTTAATTAAACAAATCCTTAGGAGAGGCTAGAAGGCTCATTTCCTTGGGTGTTCTTTTGCTCCTTGGCATCTTCAGCAGCAGCAGACCTGCTTAACAGACTTTCCCGGTGGGCTCTTTCATGCACCACTCCAGGGAAAATCTTTTGCTCCGGTAAATCGTCTGGCGTCCCAGTTGTTGGCACAGACCCAGCCCTGGACTCATTAGTTATAGAGGTTAAAAGGCGGGAATCCTGAATTGCGGGTTCATCAACGCAAGTTTTAAAGGCCGGGTTTTGAGCTTCACGTTGAAATTGTGAAGAGCTGTTAGTGGGACTTTGCTGGGGAAGAGATAGTTCCGTAGTTCCATTAGTGAAGGCTAAAACAGACACCCAAGAGATCAGCTCATAATAACAATTGCAGAAAACTAGAAAACGTACAATGGCTTGCTTGATTCGAAGTCGGTTTAGTTGGCGGTATATTGGAGCTGGTTCTATCTGCACGCATAGAGTATCGTTCGATCCTTGACGCGGACGAACAAAATCAGTTATCAGCTAGCACAGCTCATGTGCAATTGGTCTTTCCGGAGTAGAGGAACATGGCCCATAGACCAACATACAAAAAGAAGAAAAAGTAAAGACGGAGCACTTACAGAGATAGTTCTCCAAGCAGAGTTTCATGTCTGAATGCCTTTCGAATATCCGGGACATTGCTCTTGGCCACATTATTTCCAGTAACTCCTGGCCAGCAGCAGTCTGTTCCCAGCCATCTCTCCTTAAGTGAGAGTTCAAAACCACTTTGCATAACAGAATGCTTAGCAAGCTCACACATATCCACTGCGCTAAACTTGTAGATTTGCGCCGCGACTGAATATTCTTCAATTAATGGCTCTTTGGTGAAAGCGAATTGTAGAGGATCATCAGTTGACAAAGATACATTCAAGCCTCGTTTGAAGAAGCTTGCGCATGGATTTTTGTCGTATGTAAGGAAGAGCGCGTTGTTGCTGAGTGGCGACATCGCAATGCCGATTTGGTCGAGATAATATAGATACTGCAGCAACGGAACTTTCCGCAACAATATCCCATGACTGATACTATGACAGCAAAGGAAGCCCACTGCGAGATGATCTGGGTCTCCTGCTTCGCCGCAATGCGGTCTTAGAACGAATGTATTGAAACCTCGTTGCTTTCGCCAATTGTTGAGAGACGCGATGTTGGCAAACATGAAATAGATCCAGTGGCTATAAGGGGGGTTTTGTTTCGTGTCCCATTCTCTTGGGATTGGGTACTTTCTATAGAGTCGGCGCTCTGCTTTGCTTTCATCATCGACACTATCAAATCCAACCACACGCTCCAGGAAGATATGAAGTTTCGGATGACTGCGAGGATCTTTCGTCACTTCGAACAGCGGTTGGAAGACGTTCGTTATCACCTGCTCGAAATTCTCCATCATGCCGCTTGATTTGTATACATCATAGAGACGAGGTACCTGGATGAGCCAACGGACGTTAGGGGAAAACAGTTTATTATCTACCACCCAAGCTGCAAGCTTGTCCCACTCCTGAATTGATCTTCCGTAGATCGAGATACGCCACTCTACCATTTGGTATTTGCTGGATTCCAAATCAGAGATAACCTCTTTGGTTATCTCCGCCAGGTAGCGCCCTTTGATATAATTGTCTGTTTTCAGAAAAATCTCGCGTAGCCGAGACTCCCCGACCGGATTATATTTTAGGTTGAATTTGTCAAAACGGTGGAAGGAATCGGTGTGTGCCTGCGATGTGGTCAGTATTCAAACTTTGATAAGATGCTGTAATGTTCATACATGCATATCAAGGGTATCGATACTTAGGTCATAAGCAGTCAGATTGATGCTTTCAAAGACCTCCTTCAATGTCAAATGCTTCCCATCTCTGAACAGAACAACTTCATCAGGGGACTTTTTCATCTTGCTCTTGATAAATCGAAGAAGATGTTTTTGATTCATGCATGCTGAATGATGAACATGCGTGTCCACTTTCCGAACATTATAAAAATCCCTATGAGGTACTTTCTTGCTATCGGCTACCTCCTGGTATTCATTTAGTAAAGAGTAAAGCTGAAACTTGCCCTCTAGATAAGAAAGACGCTTGAAAGCAAAGCTTTTCGCGGGCCCATCAATCGAAACATCTATAACCGCATCGAGATCCATATAAAAGTCTCGTAAAGAGGGTATTTGGACGATTGGTTCATGTGACTCCGCGCAATTTCCTGGTTTGTAGACCTGGTAAACACTATTGTGATCCAGTTTAAAAACTAGATCTGACTCTCCGGGGAGAGGCATGAATTCGGCCATGTCGAAATCTTCGCCAATGTCCTGGCCCATTTTCCTTCTTTTCTGCCCGCGACTGGAAGAATCACTGGATTTCCCGACGTCCTTGTCATCATCCCAGGCTGGCTCTGGCGGAGGGGGGTAAACCTTCCACCCACGATCGTCCTTGGGGTTATCTCCAGGGCCCTGTAACGATAGACGTATGTATTTTGATCGCCGTTCAAGTAGCCCCTGTATTTTGCGGTAAATCACGTTCAACTCTGAAGTGACTGTATCACTGTCTGCTGTGAAATTCATCCCGCTCTGGGATGTCCCTAACCCGGTAAATGTTGTTTTCGTGCCTTCTTCAGTTGACAGTTGTGGAGCTTGGTCATGAAGAACTCTAGTCTGCATTGAATCATTTCTAGCAGACCGATTAGAGGTAGCGAAACGTCCTTCATCTCTGTGATTGGGGGGAGTGCTATCTTCATTTATGGCTGAATACTGTTCCAAAGAAAGCGGCGAGGTGGATAATGGGGTGTCATCATTACCAGCTAGGGAAGTCTGGTTCCCATAAATTTTTTTGTTGATAGTGTACGTATTGTCCGGCGCATCTTGCGCTGGAGAATTTGCAGTAAAGCGATGCGAAACCATGGGGCTTTGGGAAGCTTCAGTATCGGTATCTCGTGCCACCAGTTGCCGGTGCTGATAGAATAGCTTCGCTTCCGCTTGACTCATGGACTTTTCGTATGCATAATCGTAGGTCGGAGTTTTATGCTGTCTATCTCTGGGCAGGATTTCTCCTGACGGATTTGTGGTTGAGACCGTTTCGGTAATTCCAGAGTCAATACGATCCACTTCATCATCGGTGGGAGTCATGGTCTCAGTGGAACTTGTCTGGTGGTGAGTTTGCAGGAAAGGATCATTTCCAAAAGAGTCGTGAGCTGTCTTGGTATTGGAATTTTGACTGGGGAGGCAGCTGGTATGATGAGACTCCATGTCGCAGTCAAAGCAAGATGCTACTGCGCAGCTGCAGAATAATAGTCATCTGAAAATGATATTCCAAAAATATCTTACTGTGTTGGGTGGGGGTCTTGTGATTCTTGTTGGGCATACTATTTGGATATTATTTAGTGAAATATAGTGGATGAAATATTAAATTAAGCAGTTATTTGATTTTACATAACATCCCTAGGTACCTCCCCTTTAGGTTAGAGTACTTTTCAACAATGCATGGCTGAGCTGACTAAGTAAACAGTGCTGACTAATACCAACGCGGCCCAAGTGACGTACTAGTACTCTACAAACAAAGCCACATTTCTATATCTACTGGCAGGCAGAAAGACCAACCCCCTCTTCCTGTCACCACCATACATTTCTTTAGACTTCTATATCATCTTACTCTCCTATGCAACACTTCTTAATTACTTTTTACCTCTGCTTTTTCTACCACCCCAAGTGATTTTTTATTAAAGCTATTCAAGGTAAGCTAGTATTGGCCCTTTCTATAGGTATAACCCCTATATACTGCTGGGGCATATTTCTTATTTATATTAAGACATGTCCCTAACCACTGATGCTAGTGTGTTAGTGCTTTGTGCATTGGAAGTACTTCTCTAAAATTGGAGGTACTTTTCTAAAAATCCTTAAATCGAGATTACTCGTTGGCAATATATTTGCTCTTCAAGACCAGCTTCTAGTCATGGCGTCCCTCAATCTCTCGTCCAATGGCCCCTCTATAACGAAGAGCTACCAAACTGTGGTAAATGCTTCCATTCCAGCTAGCTCGCCAACTTTCGGCCAATGGGCTGTTTTCTCTGTTTCCACGCCCCTCGTGAATGTGTTCCAGCAAGATACTGGCAACAAAGAAAGTGTCCTCAAGGTTCAAAGTACTGGAGGTTAGCTTCTCCCCCCCCTCGCAACCCCGCCTCTTCCTTCCTGGCCTTTTTTACGTTTCTTCAAACACAATTAGTAAAATCACAAACTGATTGACAGCATCAAGAGGGCGAATTAACGGACTTGATTGAGGAATTCTCTGAGGGCAAAGTGCAATTTGCTTATGTCAAGGTTACCGATCCAAATACGCAATTACCCAAGAACGTCCTCATTGCATGGTGCGGGGATGGTGTACCCGAAAGAACCAAAGGGTATTTTACCAGTCACTTGTCTGCCGTGTCAAAACTTTTACATGTTAGGTGCCCCTTTTAATGTCCATACGAGAGACAACAAACCCATGCTAACTACTTCAGGGTTATCATGTGCAAGTTACCGCTCGCTCAGATGGGGATTTGACTTCCGAAGGTATCATACAGAAAGTTGCCGATTCATCCGGTGCAAAATATTCATCAGGAATCGAAGCTCCTCCAATTTCTACTACATCTAAGCCTTCGATTGCCAGCAAGCCCGTCTTTACACCGACCCGAAATGGCGGTGTTGGCATTAATCCCGTGGCAGCCATATCGAGGTCGGGGCCCTCCCATCAGAATAGCATGGTTGATGATGATGGTTGGGGTCCTGATGCACCGCCAGTCACTAGGACGCAGCTTGAAAAAGTCCAGCCAGCCTATAAGCCTACCAGAGTGAACATACATGACTTGAAGTCTCAACACAATCCCACGTCAACGGAGAAACATGGCGATGCTACTGAAACCCATGAAGGCATTGTCAAGGGTGGCTACCAACCCGTAGGGAAGGTGGATATTGCTGCTATAAGGAGACAAGCACGTGAGGCGGGTGATCTCAAGGATGACCGCCCGGGGCCTGTAAAAGGCGCTTATGAGCCAGTTGGTAAAGTTGATATTGCTGCGATTCGCTCCAAAGCCCAGAGGTCAAGTGATAGTCCAGGACCTGCCCATGTCAATTCTGGAGCAGTGGCTAAACCCCAGGCGATTGATGACTTCACAACGTTGCCTGACCAAGCTACGATTTCCAGTCCAACAGGGCGCTTATCAAGCTTGCCAAAACCAAAAGTCTCTAACAAATTTGGCACTGCGCCGTCATTCACGGGGACCAAGCCCCCTCTTCCAAGTGACTTTGCTGCTTCAAAACCGACGCCTGCTGGCTCTCAGATTGGGAGTGCAAGCAGGAATTTTGCTGTCCAAGGAGGCAAGACTCCCGCGCAGCTATGGGGGGAAAAGAAAGCCAAAGAACGTGAACTGGGTGGTGGTCAAATCCCATCAACACCCGCAGGAACGGAGATACCCATTCGGGGCCAACATAGCGGCAAGGGTGACTGGAAGAGCTCGTACACAGGTAAAACCTGGGCTCCTGTCCAAACCACGCACACTGGCAAGTCTACTGGAAGCAATTTCTCACAGCAAGCTGCAGACATTTCAGCAGACGAGGAAAATGCAGAGTCTCGAATCCCCAAGAAGAGTATCAATGCCGTGCGGGACCAGTTTGCGCATGATTCTCCCAAGGAAACATCCAGCCCAGAAAAGAACCCCGAGACGTCCAGTGGTGACACTGGGCGTAGCGTTCCTCTGCCCGGCCTACCAAACGCATCTATGGGCCCAGAAATCGAGCAGGATTCTGAACCTCAGCGAGCTATTCCTAGCCCACCTAATGATCCTCGCTCACCTACTCCCCCAATCCCATCCCCTGTTCGCGAATCTTCTCCCATACGTGTTGCTATCCCAGTCGGCCGGGGAGTCGCGGATTCTTATGATGAACAATCGTCACCTGCCACGTTGCCCATTGAAAATGCCCAACAACTAGCCCCGAGCGATACGGGCTTCGAGGACATCTCTCATGATAACCTGGGCCGCGCAACAGCTGAATCTACCGCTACTGGTAACCAGCTGAGTGGCGGTATTCGTGCCATTGTGCAGTATGATTATGAGAAAGCGGAAGACAATGAAATTGAACTAAGTGAAGGAGAATATGTAACCGACATTGAAATGGTGGATAAGGATTGGTGGCTGGGCGTCAACTTTAAGGGCGAGCGGGGTCTCTTCCCCAGTAATTATGTTGAACTTGTGGGAAGTGATGAACAAATCCAGCTGCCATCGGACCCCCATGCACATGAAGAAGCAGATGCCCGGGTGCCTCCGAATGATTCCCCTGTGCCTCTCGTCTCCAAGCCGGATAATGGGTCTGTTGCAATGGCCCTTTACGACTATGAAGCTGCTGAGGACAATGAACTCAGCTTCCCCGAAGGTGCCGAAATTCTTAACATTGTAAGTTGATGCTTTCTATATAAAATGAAAGCCAGACTAACAGCATGCCCTAGGAATTCCCTGATGACGATTGGTGGTTTGGTGAATACAGTGGCAAAAAAGGTCTTTTCCCTGCGAATTACGTACAACTTAGCAGGTAAAAGTTTTTACCTGCCTTCTCTTGGTGGCTTTTCGTCATTCAAACATTCAGCTGGATGAAGGATAATAGGTCTTTGGGCATGTCTTGTAGGCCTCTTTCTACGCTCCTTTCTCTTGCACAATCCCTCCCACTTCAAACATCTGTTTTCTTTTGATTATACAGATATTACATCTCACAAGTGCCTCTGTATATACCTCATTTGGGTTCTTTGAAATGTGCTTGATGTAATGCTTGCGTTCAAGGTGAATTTAAATGCTATGGTCCCATTCCTGAAATTTCTAGCAAGGTTACTTTTCTTCGCCTGATTACAGGCTTGAGTCTTCTATTGTGTTCTTGATCTTGTCTCTGGTGTCAATAAACATACTACTTTTTACGGCCCTATCATCAAGTACGGGCAAGTATGATGCTTCATTGATAAACTTGAATTAAATTGAGCTATGATGTAATAAACATTTTCACATTTTCATATATATCCTCTCAGATATGCTTCACACAACCTTTCAACCCTTCCAATACCCGAGCTGCTTAATGTATCAGTGATCAACCTATTCTGTATACTTGAATGAGGCCCTTATAGTCTATTTACAAGGGTGTGTGAGGGCCACTTCAGTGGCCTGCGCAGACTGGTGGCAGAAAGGGGCGGTGAAGATATCAGGCCAATCAGGGCGAGTCTCAATGTAAAATTCAGACGGATGGGAGCTGGTAACGTAATCGAACAACGAACTGCTGGTGGTTGACCGCCGCCACCACTGAAAGGCGTGTATTAATAATGAATTCATTAAAATTAAAGCTTTTTAATACTATATAAATAAAATATATATAGTTCTACTAGGTATTTAATCTAGCTAGATATTTTAAATAATTATAGCCTTCTTTACTGTAGTAACTATAGTATAGTAGCTAGTATATTAAATATACTTATTAAGATAATTTAACTCTTCTCTTTCTTAAGCTAAATTACTCTAGTATATATTTTTCTAAACTTCAAACTATAGATAACCTTTATAGTTAAAGCTATCCCTATTTAAAAGCTAGTTTTATCTATATTATATATATCTTATTTAAGAATACTATATAAAAATATAGTATTTTAAACTAATTTAAAGTCTTTAGATCTTTATATTTTATATATTAATAGTTATATCTTCTTATATATTTTAACTTTAATCTAGCTTTATAGGAGTAGATAAATTAGTTACCCTATTTCTTATTAATAAATATATTTTTAGCTTAGATAGCTTTAATTTTATAGTAAGAGGAAGCTTAATAAGGTAGTACACTTTAATAATAGTAAGGGGATAGTGTCACACCCTGGGATCTCACAATGGTACCGAACCTATAAACTGGTGAGTCAAGTCAGGGAAATACTAACCTATGACCCTAATCTAAGGATATTAACAGTAGTGTGTCACACGAGTCAAGTCTACTCATAAGTAATGAGTAGATTTCGAGTAATGAGGCAAGTTCAAGTTGAGATTTAGGACTTATACTATGAGTTCAAGCTCTAAATATTTTAAAACTCTACTCATAATACTAAAAATACACCTATTTTATATAGAGGAGGCTTAAAAATATAGTAAAATACAGTAAAAATACTGACTCTTACTCTACTCTTACTCTTCTTAGTATGAGTTTAAGTCCTAAATCAATACTTAACTCGCGAGTCGAGTCCTAAATCCCTACTCAAACTCAACTCGTGTGACACACTGATTAACAGTAACTAGAGTGTTCCTATAAACTAAGGTGCTTAAGAACATAGTAAGGTAGTTAAAGGGAGAAGTAAGGCTAAGAAGTATATATACTCCTTAATTAAGTAATAGATATATAAATAAGTAGGTAGAATAGTTAGGGTTAGTAATTAAAAGGTAACTATAGAATAATAACTTATATTAATTATAAAGAACTATTTAAGTATATAAAATAAGTGTCCTTATATATCCTTTATTATTTATAGTATATGAGATAGTATACTAAATAGTATACTTACTAAGATATAGTACTATATACTATGTTATATAAGTATATGCGTAATAGTAGCTATAAAGAGCATTATTATAGTAAATTATAATTCTTTATAATAAGAATATCCATTTCCTTTTGACCACCTAATTCTGCCTGGTATGGTCACTGATAAGGGTGCCGTAACAGATAGCTTTAAAAGTCTATATTAAGAATCCTTTACTTTAAAACTAATTTATCTATATTAGAAAGCTTCCTTAGATTAGCCTCTAAAATATTACAGGATTTAGCCCCTCTTAAGTAGCCTTTAAAAGGTACTTATCTTAATATTAAGAGTATTAGTATATACCTATTTTAAAGAGAATTAGCCCTTATTAAAAGCCTTAATAGCAAGCCTTAATCTCTTATATCTAGATAGAGCTTCTATACTGAAAATAGTGCTTTAAAAGCTTTGATTTTAATGGGATTATTGAATCTCATGTATTTTAGAGGTGGCGGTGGTCAACCGCTGGCGGCTTGTTATCCTGCCAGTTCATTATCTAATTACACTAATGTAAACGGACAGCGAGCTGCACATGATAGTGAGCTGCGCGGCACTGTATTTTACATTCAAGTACTTTTTTTAAGGTTGAATATCCTGATAACAAATAGCTATAGGACCTATATTTTTAATAATAGAACTTATATAATAGTATATATCTATATTTATTAAGGAAGAAGACTTCTAGATAGTTTAATACACAAATTTCAGGAACTAGGTTACTTATAGGTATATAATATCATATTTTCTATATTTTAAGCTAGATAAATGATAAAAAATAGTATAAAAGTGTTAAAAAGCCTTATAATATAGTATTAGATATAATATAACAGGTTTTACTCTATTATAATTAATAGTTGTTGAGATCTAAAGGACTTGAAACTAAGGATTTTCTATGGGAAGCTGAGCTGTACAGCTCAGTGTCTGATTATGTGAACTAGTACCTAGTTAATGTAATCAGACACCAAGCTATGCATGACACTAAGCTGTGTAGTCACCACCGCTGCTGCCCCTAAGTTATTATAGCTATATTTTAAAGCCTTTTTTCAGTATATATTTAATATAGAGCCTCTATCTTAGGAGGAGTAAATAAAATTAGTAGTTAAAGCTAGTGTGTCACACGAGTTGAGTTTACTCATGAGTAATGAGTAGAGTTCGAGTAATGAGGCGAGTTTGAGTTGAGATTCAGGACTTGTAATATGAGTTAAGTTAAGATTTAGGACTCATTCTATAAGTTTAAGCTCTAAATATTTTAAAACTCTACTTATAATACCAAAAATACACCTATTTTATATGGGGGAGGCTTGAAAATATAGTAAAATACAGTAAAAATACTAACTCTTACTCTACTCTTACTCTTCTTAGCATGAGTTCAAGTCCTAAACCCTAACTCTACTCATGAGTTTAAGTCCTACCTTCTAACTTGACTCACGAGTTGAGTCCTAAATCTCTACTCAAACTCGACTTGTGTGACACGCTAGTTAAAGCTTTTTATTAAGGCTAATTTAACTTAAAAACTATCTATATAACTATATATAATATACCTTTAAAAACCTTTATAATATAGCTTAATAGAGTTATTCCTTATACTAGAATAACTATAAATTCTTAAAAACTATTAAATCTTAAAGAAGGGATATTAAAGTAATAGATTCTAGATATAGACTAGTATAGTCTATTACTCTAGATTATTTATATATAGTATTTAGTAATTCTTTTTTACCTTATAAAATTAAAGCTATTATAATAGCTATAGGCTAGTATTAATAAGAAATAAGTAATATAATTTATATAATACTATCTAGAAATCTAGTTAAAATATAGCTCTAAATATAACTACTAATATATAAAATATTAGGATCCTAAGTTAATCTAAAGATAGTTTAAGCTAGTTTAAAATATTATATAGAAATATAGTATTCTTAAATAAGATATTTATAATATAGATAAGAAAAGGTTCTTGATAGATATTACCTTTATAGCTAAGATTATCTATAGATTAAAGATATAAAGATCTTAAGTAAAGCTTTTGTAATCTAGTAATTAAGAGTAGGTAATAGTAATTATTATAATAAATACTATAAATACTATTCTACTACTATATTTTATTATAGTAAAGGTTAAATACTAATCTTATTAGTATAGAGAGATCCTAGGGAATTAAACTATTAATACTAGTAATAATAGGTAGATAAATAATAATATAAGTCTTAAATAGCTTTAAAAACTATAGGCTAGTATCACCTTTTAATCCTTAATAACTATAGTAGTCATATTACTACTAAATTTAACTAATTTTATATAGGAAGGAAGATTATTCCTCTATATATACCCTCTTATTTATCTTATTTTCTCTAACTACTAGATATAGCCTATTTTAGGCTATTAAAGAAGCTATATAGCTAATAAATTTAGGAAGCTATTTAGTATAGTATAGACTATAATAAAAGTAATTTTCTAATAATATATAGGAAAGTATATTACTAGGCCTTCTTAATATTAAATATAGCTTTAGGATTTATAGTAATCAGTCTTATTCCTTTAAAAATAGAGAGAGTACTATTAAAGCTTTATATTAAGCTAAAAATACCTACCTTACCCTTAATATTAAATAGTAACTAATCCTTTTACCTTAGCTATACTAATCTATACTAACTAAATTAATAGAAAAAGTAGCTTAAAGAGCTATAAACCTAGTTACTATCCTCTATTATAGTAGAAGCAGTACTTAAAAAGGTAATAAAGGGGGTAAAGGTTATTATATATAATATAATCCTACTTTAATAAGAAATTTATTAGCTATAGGCTTTAAAAATATATTAAAAGAAGAGAAAAGAGACCTTATAATACTATACTTAGAATAGAGGAAGTTTAATAGGCCTTTAAGCTACTTAAAAAATAGTAAAGAGAGAGAGAGAAGTAGAACTAGGTCTATTATTAGGACTAAAGCTATAGCATGCTACATACTATAGTAATTATAACTAAGAAGGTTATAACTAGCTAAAATACCCTATTAAATAGTTATTCTTTTATTTCTTAATATATTACATTTATATAGGTGTAAAAAGCTTTAAAAATAAGACTGCATTTTATTAGAATCATGGGTGTGGAGTTAGCTGCAGCCCACCACGCAGCTCAGTGTCCTGCGCAGCTTGGTGTCCGGTTACATTACATAATCTAGATTATGTGAGCTCCTCAGATATCACGTGAAAATGCTTTCATCGTGGGACAGTGGAAAAGTGCCCGGATAAATAAGGTACAAGAAAAGCCTATGTACTCCGTATGCTCCGCTCTGCGGTGTATCCCATCTGCAATTCCTCTTTACACACGCCGATGACAAGAAGAATTTAGTTCCTATCATTCTTTCTTCAAATTCTATTTGCCTCCATCTACTCCCAAAGCACCACCAACAGCCAGTGCATTCTCTTCTTTAATTCTTCTGATAACTATTCCTTTTTCATGGCCTAACAGAACCTTGAGCTTCTACCCATAAGCAAAAGAGAAAATTCATTATACACAACATGGCATCTCTTGGTGAAGATCTGCTTGTTACTGTTAACAAGCTACAGGATCTGGTCTTCAATACAATTGGAAATGACTCTCTGGATTTGCCGCAGATTGTGAGTTCTGCCCTTCAAAATACATTTCCTCTTGCTGTTTGGAGCAAAGTTCAATTCTAATTTATTTGCCAGGTTGTGGTAGGATCTCAGTCATCTGGGAAGTCATCTGTGTTGGAAAACATTGTTGGTAGAGATTTTCTACCAAGAGGAAGTGGCATAGTCACCAGGCGCCCATTGATCTTGCAGCTTATAAACATTCCTAGCGAACGCCACGACAGGCCTGAAAGTGATGAGATCCATGTACCTCACACGGCTGCCAGTGTAGCCGGTCAACACGAATGGGCCGAATTTCATCATCTGCCTGGTCGGAAGTTTGACGATTTTGCTTTGGTCAAACAAGAAATTGAAGCAGAGACCGCGCGAATAGCTGGGAGCAACAAGGGAATTAACAGACAGCCCATTAATTTGAAGATCTTTTCCCCTCATGTGCTTAACCTCACCATGGTTGACCTACCAGGTCTAACCAAGGTGCCTATTGGAGACCAACCCTCTGATATCGAGAAGCAGACCCGGATGTTGATTCTGGAGTATATTGCAAAGCCAAACAGCATCATCCTTGCCGTATCCCCGGCCAACGTTGATCTTGTCAACTCGGAGGCGCTAAAGCTCGCCCGTCAAGTGGACCCTATGGGTAGACGAACAATTGGTGTTTTAACAAAATTGGATCTTATGGATCATGGCACCAATGCTATGGATATTCTATCTGGTCGTGTCTATCCTTTGAAGCTTGGGTTTATCGGTGTTGTCAACAGATCTCAACAAGATATCCAGTCTGGCAAGTCATTATCTACTGCGCTACAAGGGGAAGCTGAATTCTTTCGACACCACCCTGCTTATCGAAATATGGCAAACCGATGTGGAACTCATTTTCTTGCGAAAACTCTGAATACTACTCTAATGGCACATATTAGAGACCGGTTGCCGGACATTAAAGCCCGCTTGAACACCCTGATGGGCCAGACGCAACAAGAGCTCGCCAGCTATGGAAACAAGCAGTTCAGCGGGAAGGAACACCGGGGGTCACTGATACTGCAATTGATGACTCGTTTTGCGTCGTCTTTCATTTCTTCGATAGATGGAACGTCGTCTGAAATATCGACCAAGGAGCTCTGTGGTGGTGCTCGGATATATTATATTTTCAACTCCGTGTTCGGAAACTCTCTTGAAACAATCGATCCTACGCATAATCTGTCAGTGTCTGACATTAGGACCGCAATCCGAAACTCCACAGGGCCGCGTCCCAGCCTCTTTGTTCCTGAGCTTGCTTTTGACTTGCTTGTCAAGCCTCAAATCAAAATGCTAGAATCTCCCAGTCAGAGATGCGTTGAACTAGTTTATGAGGAACTCATTAAGATATGTCATACGTGTGGCTCACAGGAACTCCTAAGGTTTCCCCGGCTTCAGGCGAAACTGATTGAGGTGGTTTCTGACCTCCTCCGCGAACGTCTAGGGCCTTGCTCAGGATATGTGGAATCACTAATTTCTATCCAAAGAGCCTATATTAACACAAACCACCCAAACTTTCTGGGTGCTGCAGCTGCAATGTCTTCGATCATCCAAAACAAGCAAGAACAGGACAGAAAGGCGGCATTGGCCGACGATAGGAAAAAGCGAGAGAAACGCCGACTCAAGGAGCTCAATGGTGCCAATGGAACTGCTTCTGGTACACCGGATGATGAAGAGGAGCAGTACCCTGAGGCAAAGACACAAAATATCCATATCAGGGGTCAATCAGCAAAAGGCTCCCGGAGCATGTCTCCCCATATAGGCAAGGTTGCAGAGAACGGTATCACAGCCACGCTTAATGGTGCAAATCCGAACTCCCATGCTGTTTTTGGGGCTTCTAATACCGCCCGTGATTCTTTTCTCAACTATTTTTTTGGGAAGGACGGTGTACAAAATTCTGCTTCGCTTTCCCAGCCACCAAACCAGACCAAACAAGTCAACTACCCTGGCGAATCTGGCATTAGCCAAGGTATCCGTCGAACAGAGGTTCGCTCCCCTACCATGCCATCTGAGGATTATACAGTCTCATCGGAATATGGTAGCGAGCTGCATCAATTTGTAGGTTTCATATTTTCTTTATTCCATATGTAAGGTTAACCAAAGCTGACTTGTTTTCAGTCGATTGATAATCCGGAGCCCGCACTCAGCGACCGGGAAATGTTAGAGACAGAGTTGATTCGCCGGCTAATTTCCTCTTATTTTAATATCGTCAGGGAAACAATTGCTGACCAAGTACCTAAAGCCATCATGCATCTTCTTGTCAACCACAGTAAAGATGTTGTGCAGAATAGGCTTGTCAGTGAACTCTATAAGGAGGATCTTTTTGCCGAGCTCCTCTATGAAGATGACGGCATCAAGGCAGAAAGAGAAAAGTGCGAAAGACTTCTAGAGACTTACAAAGAAGCAGCGAAGATTGTTGGTGAAGTCTTGTAGTGGGGCACTTGGTGGGTTCGAGAAATCCTGATGGCGAAATATGGTGTTATTTATATGGCACAGGACATGCGGACTGAGACTTAGCTCTTTCTGCACCTATACACATTGACGGTACTGATGGTTAGGGTAACATGGTAATTGATTAATGCAGCTGTTGTGGTTTAGTCCCTGTATGCTAGGATCTACGTTCTTATTCAGTCAATGTTTCAATAAGACTTCTATATACTGCGTAACTGACATCGTCGATATTAATTTACAGTGAAATATGTAGTTCACATTCAGTGACATGTTAACAAGGCATTTTTTTTTTTTCTCCAGCTTAGTTTTACCCCCCCAAAAAAGGTATATTATAAAAGTCTCTAATAGATAGAAAGCGCACAGCTTTAGTTATTTTCACCAGCTATGGATATAGTTTTATCTAGAGGGGAAAACAAGAATAAAAACACACGAGATAACAACAGTATCATCAATGAAGATATATCCTTACCATTAATCTCTTTTCTTGATATTTTTCTTCAGTCTCGCACCTTCGAAGCCGTACAAACCACCTCCCACGAATACCAGTGTAGCACCAAAAAAGATACCTGGTGCTATGTCATTCCCAAAAAGATAAATGGAGATTAAAAGAGAGACAAGTTTGCGGATATTTAGGACTATCGTCACAGTCAGGGAAGATGATTTGGCCGAGAGTAGATGAACCCCACGAATGCACAAATACTGTGTAAAAGCATTCATCAGAAGATAAGCTACCCGTGTTGGAATCTGCAAAAGGGTAGACTGGACCAAGCCATGCTGCTGGATGGTAACTAGCAGCGACGATACAATGCCAAAATTGGATGTGGCTCTTGATCCCCTGGTGCTGGTAGACATAGATGTAATGCCTACGATGGCATTCGATGGAGGCGTTGAAAAGAACCGGCTTCTAGGGTGAGATAATTCAGAAAGCAATGGAGGCGACGTGAGTAAAGCTCGCCACTGAGAGATGAGTTGCGGCATCGTTGGTAGGAATAGTGGTAACGAGAGCATGTGCGAATAGAAAAGGGCTTCTTTCCAGTGATTCCTGCCATGATTTTCGTAAAGTCGATCTGCATAGATTCCCTGGAATGCGGAAAGAAGCATGGCCAGGACAAGTATAGTGAACCCAGTAATAGTATCAGTGACAGCAGGATTACCCTTGCTTGAACCAATCCCAATTGATTGCCCTTTGGCATGAGCGTCAGCCAAAGCTGCGCCGACAACACCTAGGGTAAGCATTGCCACCGCCATTATCTGGCCTTGGGAATATGTTTTGCCATTAAACAAGTATCCAATTATCATTGAAGCGACGGGGCCTGCGGAACGTAAAATGATATGTAATGGCACAGATATCTTATAGGCAAACGCCCAGTTATTGAGGAGATTGACTGTCACAAAAAAAGCCGTGTATAACACCCATGATTTTAAGGGTATGGCACGAGGTTTCAAAGGGAATCGAGATCCCGCGGAAAATGACAGAAAGCTTGGAAATGTAAAAAGCGCCGTTAAGAGGAATTGGGCGAACGTTATCAGCGGACCTTTTGTACGGCGAAATTAGGACATATGGCATCTAGCGACAGGGGGAAAAAAGTCTCACCGGAGCTGGGCTGTTCTCTTCATCTCAAATCAGCATTTTGTCTTCCATATTCTTTCCAGATAATAACTTACTTGATAATAGCTTCGAGAGCAAACACCTTTATATTCGAAGTCAGTAGCATGTACATTCATGATTCAGAATCCACCTACATTAGCACAACAGCCACCGAATATCAGTGAGATCATCAAAGCAATATTTGTCCAGCTGGGAAAGGTTGCATGGACCACCGCAGTGCATATGCCTGCTACACTGCTGTTATCGATTTCTCCAATTTCATTTTTAAAACCGTTTTCAGTTGTGTTGTCCTGGGATTTCTGTGGGAGGATGCATGGACTGGCTATTGTAGTGTTGGGTGGCAAGCTGTCATAATCCGTGAAGCTTTTGTTGTTACCTTTTCTATTTGAAAGGCTGCCATAACCATTAAACATCTTTTACCAAGTTCAACCAAGCTGCTAATTAATTTCAGAAGTAATGTTGTTGGTAATTAGGAAGTAGAATGGAGATGGTAAGTTTAGTGCATGTGCAATGTGGCTTATCAAATCCAGTATCTTTTAGTTAACCAACTAGAACTAATAATTAACTGTCCCCTTGCTCCTTTTCCCTCTTATTCCACGGTGAAGATAAGAAGGGCAACACCCCCACCTCGCCTCCCTTTTTTTCATAGAACTAAAGCTTGCTCCTCCATAGTTATAAGTTTAAAAAACTAATGTTAGGTAAGGTAATGGTTAGCAAAATACAAAGCAAGGTAGTAGTTAGGTAGGTAGAATGTATGATTTTTAAACTCTGTTATTAGGTTATCCTCTATAGTGAGATTGAATGAATAAATATACTACCAAATTTTATCAAATTAAATCACCACTAGATTATGGATGGCAGTTAACTGTGTTTTCCCACACATAGACAATGACTTGACCCCAACCCCAGATCATCTCAATCAAAAGTACCTATCCCAATGGTATCGAACCGCCATTTCAGGTACATGCATCAGAAGCCAAAAGCCATAAATACAGACATATTTGATACGGCAGGAGAGGAGAAATATCATTCATCCTCAATATCATCGTCACTCAATATTAGCTTATCCTCCTGGCTCCCGGTGGAGGGAGGGAGACGTGGGCCAAACGCGTTGCAGACTCCTCGAGACTTGGCTACACGCCGTAACTTTCGCGACTGAGAAGTTTCCTGGGAGGTTGTCAATGATTCCAACGGTGAAACACCACAGTAATCAAAAATATCGTCGCTCATGGCGTTACTTAGCCTTTCAGTCTCACCAAACCCAGTTATTGCCCCAAGCTCTGTGATGTCAGATTCATTTTTCGAGATTCTAGCCATGTATGGGAGTTGGTAGAGTAACATATCATTGCGTGAGAGCATTGTCACCACTACTGTTCTCACATCACAATCGTCACCTTGTTGCGTTATATCCTGACTGAACTGGGTGTTCCTCCAAGATCCTATACTGTCGCCATTGAAATTGGAACCAATGTTCGATCCATTAAATGGATCTAATAATCGGTTTGCCCATAAATCAACCAGCCCTTGGGTTTTCTCAGACTGGCTCCCTAACCGTAAGGATGCGGGGAAAAACATCTTGTGCACGTCGCCTTCACGGCTTGAGCCACTTATTGACGTAGACCGTCTTTTCACAGGATAAGGGAGAGCAAAAAGTAGACCTCGTGCAGCAACTTGATAACTGATATCATCCTGCCTCAGCTTTTCCACTCTCGTGAAGCTATTTGCAGCAACCCCGAGCCATGCCCGAGATCCATGGAGACCTTTACGGTCGACAGACAATATGTCGCTATCTGATAATGCCTCGATACAGCCGTTAAGGGAACCTGTAAATGACAAGCCATCACATGACGGCACGTAATTTTCATGTAGGGCGCTAATGAATGTCTGGATATCAGTTCCTGTCTCATCCACAAGTTCATCAACAGAAACCCGAGAAATCTTTGGGCGGTGATGTTGGCGTAAATAGTCTGGAGGAGAAGGGAGCGCGAGCCCCCCCATTGCGAGACTTCTATCCTCACGCTTGTTGTACACAATTTTTCCAATGGCATGAAATATGCCTAGGCTGGTCTCTCGCTGTGTGATCATCTTCAATGATTCCCTTTCCATCGATGTGAGGGCTACGTTATTCCGAGAGGGCTTCTTGGCCTTGCTTATAAAGCCCCCTCCCCACGACCCAGTTTTGTCGCCTTTTAGACAAAGAAACTCTAATGAAGAGATTGCGCTTCGAATGTCGCCTATTTCAGAGATATTTTCGATCATAGATGGCCCTGGGATCCTCGTGCGTTTGGAATGACTCGCGTCCTTTTCGAGAACCAATCTCAAGGCTTTGTTCATAAATGTAGGAGCGATGATGTTGAAATCAATGATAGTGGTGCCTGGATGGTTGTAAATACCCGGCCCAAGTAACCGGTGAGCCGTAAAATTGTCCAGCGCAGAAGATGCGGAACCCAAGAGGGTCTCCGAAATAATAATGATGATGGGAGGACTTGCTTGTCCTCCGGGATCGCCAATCTTCGATACAGTGTCAATTGTTGCAGCAAGATACCGCTGGAGCGACAGCCTGAAAGCAGAGAGACTAGAAGACATTCTGCTCGACATTGCTGGAAATTCTTCAACAAGAAGAACACGTCGTTGCGAAAAAGAATTATTGCGACCCCTTTCAAACCCAGCAATATCGGCCATCTCATCTAGATCAAGTCCCCCAAACTTATCACCCCGACCAAGAAATTCATCGAATTGCACACCAACCGATGAGTATCCGCTCACGCCGAACTCGGGAGTCGAGGGGTTTTTCCATTCGACAATATCAAAGCCTAGTGATTTCGACAATAGTGCTAAGGTGGTTGTCTTTCCGCTCCCCGCGGGACCGCGCAGGACAAGTAGTCTCTGATTTCATTAGCAACATGATCTTAAGAGCATGAGCAAGGGGGAACGCGGGGAAAGCAAAAATAAAGGATACATACACGCCAGTCCCTCCCTGTGAAAACATTACTCAGCCAAGTAGACACATCACCAACTTTTTTCTTATGGACTGCTAGCTCCTCTAGATCCAATGGCGCATACCGCTGTGCCCAGGGCCGCTTGTCATTCTCGGGTGCAGAAAGGGGCGAAAGTTGATTTAAAGTCTTAACCCCCAAGTTCGAAGGTAAAAGAAAGCGTTTAGTAGAGTTAGTGGGTTTTCGTATAGGATTCGTGGGATTTGAAAGGGGTTTGCTAGGCCGAGTCTGGCAATCTGATTGAAACTTCACATCCTCTTGTGCGATGCTGTCCTCTTCTGTAAAGTGCTGAGTGAACAGCTCATCATATGAATCATAGTCATCCTCAATTGAATCATCATCATCCAATATTTCAGCAATAGGTTCCGCTGTACGCGTTACTTCGAACCTCTGTGAAGACCACCGCTGCTGCTCATTTGCAGGTGTATTATCTTGCCCCTTTTTATCAGAGAAGTGCGAGGGAAAGTGAGCTTGGCCACTGGCGTGACCTTGACTAGGGATCGTTTTAGGCCGCGGAGACAAGAAGGGAAGGGCTTTCACGTTCGACGAAGAATGTCTATTTGACAATCCTATGGTAGCGTATTTGGCATTTTTAGTGGGGGAAGCATGTTCGGATAAACTTTTAGAATCTGTCGTGTTGTCTATTTGTGCTTCAATCTCTCCTTCAGAGGTTAATCTCCGCTGCCTCTTTGCGGCTCGGGTGTCCATATTGTCAAGTATGTATCAAGATAAAAGGGATTCATGATAGAGAACAAGACAAGAACCCATTACCTGTGAGCGTATGTAAGTATCAAGTATGTGCATGCGCGGAATATGGGGGGGATTCAAAAGATAGTAGCTCAACAAGATTAATTAGATAAGAACTTAGCTCGGAAATGCCGAGCATACGCACGGACATTTTTATTGTTATGTATGTACACCATGAATGGCTAATAGTAGCACGTTTTGAATTGTAAAGTAGATTCTAGCCAGGCTGGTTTCCTTCTCTTTACTTCTTCTGCTTTTTCTTTTTAAGAAGGGAAGAAAGAATTGAAATTAAACCATATAAGATGTAATAAAATAAACAAACAAACAAATAAATAAATAATAAAACAAATAAATAATAAAACATAGATTCATTAACCATGGGTATACTTGGAAATCTCAAAATAACAAATAATATATAGGGTTAATTGAATGTTGTGATAGGCATTTGGCTCTATGAAAATATAAAAAGCACAAGAAATAGAAGCGGTTTTCTGGGGGCCTTGGGTGCAAGCCCAATCACAAAGCAAAGAAGCGAAGGGCAAATGGGGAAATGCTGATAATGATGAAATGGTATAACGTTTTTCTTATCAAGGGCCCCCAAAAACATCATAATAATAGTCGTCATCGAGACCTTCGCGGGGAGGCACCTTCGGGGTCTCGCCTGCGAATGCCGCATCGTCAAAGCGAACATTTAGCAAACGGATCTTGAGTCCATAATTGCTGATTAGGCTGATCAGCCTGTTAGTCTCCGCTGTGATAGGCTGTTGGTTCAAAAGCATAAGTAAACCATCAAGCCACTCCGATGCAATGCTGTGAGATCGTGGTCGGAGAGTCAATAGAACGATTTCTTTCTGAGTTGTCTTGCTGGCCGAGCGAGCATGGTCATGACCTTTCTGTGTGGCTGCTGTGACGGGAGCTGAGTGGGCAAAGCCATGTATGGTGATTTTGGTAGACGAAACTTGATGAGATGTAGTCTTTACAGTGGAAGAAGACGAATTATCTGGGGATGCCGAAATATTAGAAACTACAGATGACACGATTGATAAATCAACTAATAAAACAGGCGAAAAAGAAAGTAGAGAATATAATTAGCCTAGGGACGAAGCGAGGGCGAAAAGGGGGGAGGATCTCACTTTTATCTGGTAGAGCATCTAGCTCTGGACTTCTGTTATCTATATTAAAATCGCCGAAATGCAGATATCTCCGATTATGGGAGAGTTGAGCGTATCTATATGTGCATTTTGCCGTTGGTCCCACGTCCGATTTTGAAGTATTCTCATTTGGAAACCAGGATCCTTGTAGGAGGCACCGGATCCTCTGCTCCTTGACAAACTGAAGAGCTTCGTGGTGTAATTCATTACGCACTTGTCGTAGATGTTGCCCCCAAGCATCTTCATAAGTAAGCTCAAGGAGTTCCATTTGAAGTTCACGTAACCGATGGTACCCAAAGTCGGCTAGCTCCTCCTCGACATCTTGTATATCTTTCGTACGGGGCGCCCCTCCGACGACCGATTCGACCAGAATGCGAACAAGTTCGGCTATTTTTTCGAAATCTTCTGCCTCGGCACCAGTGGATTTCCATAAACGAAAAAAAGCATGCAGCCCCGCCACATGCAAGCGCGTCCAATGCAGCAGCAAAGGCTTGAACAATTTGTCCAGATTGGAGCGGGACTCAAGTATTAGGTAACTTTTGGCATCTTCCATCTCCGATTTGTCTACCTCGAAATGCTCGTAAAGCATAGAAGTCACAGACAGGGAGGCCTTGGAAATAGGGCATTTTTGACTGGCTGTTTTTGATGACTGCTCTAAAAGCATTTTTTGAAATTCGTCCTGGTGGTTTCTGACATAGTCTGCCAAATCCATCATTCCCAGAAATCCCATTTCCTGAAATTCTACCACTGGGTTTTCCGATTCAAATCCGAGTCGCCTCCATTTCTCTGGGTTGTGTCTCCTTGACCGCCGTGTGTCATCGCCATTGCCAACTGCTTTATCGTAATTCTTTTCGGGATTACTAGCCAAATGAACCCCTTTTAATGCTCTCCGGTGCTCAGGCTTTTCTAGATCCAAAGCAACTCCTCGCCATTTTCTCAGCAGAACTTTGGTGAGAGATTGAAATTCAATCAAAGGATGTGCATGGTCTTGCAATGCGGTGCCCTGCATCAAAACGTAGACTGCCCTAATTACGCCCAGATCTTGTAGTTTTTGAATAAACTTGGGCCATTCTACCTCCGAGTCATTTGTAATTGAGTCGCGCATGAGTGAATTTATTAATTGTAGCGCATTAGCGCAAAGGGCGTGGTCGGCGGAGGAAAGTCTACTGACGAGCATTTCCAGGAACTGTGGGTATATAGCGATTGCAGGTTTCAATGCACGAAAACCGAATATGCCTGCCTGCGAGAGACGGCTGCCGGTATAAGGATGCGATACGATAGAGACAAGAATGGACATCGCTCCGCGTAGGATGTTCACTAACGGATGGGTGACAATAAGCTCGACGATCTAGAGATAAACCAATCACTATTAGTATGCAAACCCATGATTGCGTTCTGGAAAAGCTGTGCCTTAGACTGGATATTTTGTCATTTCCAACACCTACCCGCTCTACAACTTCTTGATCGACAAATTCCCAGCCTTTGTCAACTTCTAGTAACCTCGCAAAGCTCGTTAAGCTGTATGCCAAGGTATTCCCGCTTGCATGGAGGGATAGATGGCGCAATTTTGTTAATCCACCTTCATAGATGAAAATGTCTGCAAACGAAGGGTCTCCGATGTTGCTCTGGAGCTTGAAAACCGCCATTTTGCGAATTGCATCTTCATCACTCCCCAATCTCTCCACTAGCTCGGAAATGTCAATGTTCTCCATCCTTTCACGGATATAGCTGTGGTATGCTTGATATTGATCCGACGGAATTAGCAGCTGTAGGCAAAGACAACTGTAAGCTCGAAGATCAAAACCAAAGTAGGTACATCGGGTAGAGAGATAAGAAGGAAATCGTTAGGGCGGAGTAGTCAGGGGTCGAGCGGAAACTGGTGGATGGGTGGGACTAGCGACGAAGTCTTGGACTCCGTAATAGTCCGTAATTAAGTATGTAGTACGTACTAATTGAATGCCTGGTGCCTGAGGTATAGGCACCTATGAATGCAAAAAAGATAGCAAAATCTAAATACTAGAATAGTTCAGGCTGATTGAAGTTTGTAAATATGCCCATAAATAGTGTATAATAATATAGAGAGAAAACATGGAACTATGGAGTTGATGTCGTCTGTCTAATCAAAATACAAGTAAAGGAGACAAGGGAGATTATCCCAGTCAATTAATTCATTTTGGCTCCGAAGAAAATAACACAATGAGATAAAACCAGACACGGTCCCTTTATTTCATATCTTTTTAAACTTATGATTCGCCATAAAATAGTTTATGATCAACGCCACCAATATGCTGCCCTGATTATATATGTGAACTAAAAAATGTCTTGAGATTTAAATTGTCCTCCAACTCCCGAGCAAGGCCATATTTGGCATCAAACTAGCGCTGGCTTAATACTAGAGCGGGAAATCATCGCCGCCAACCAACGTTCCATATCACATGGGCAATATCTCTGGCTGTATTGACTGTGTCAATCACTTTGTAGAAGAATCCAGTATGAGGCAAAACCCCTTCATTATAAGGCATAAATGTATCAGAAGAGCCCACTTGAAGACACCGGTCATTTTCTAGTTCCGCTTCATCCTCAGGATTCACGAACCAAGGATGGCTTTGATAAGAATCGTATGGAGGTAGTTTGGTTTGCCAACTGAAACGTAGGGCATCCCCATCGTCACAATCTAGAAGAAACCTTGCTGACGGCCCAGAAGGCCGAAGAGTTTCTGTAGAGTGTCTGGGGGGGGGCCTAGGCGCCCAGAAACTGCCAGACCAACAATCCATGATCGATTTTCCGGAGGATTGGGGTGTGTCCCCACGGTACTTGAGGGTGGTCGAAGGAAGAGGGGCAATGGTTTTGTTCTCGTTGCTGAGGCTTCCGCGGTGAGGACTTTGATTGCTGACTGGTGCTTTTGGGAGAATCTGTCTCATTGTTACAACATCATCATCCGAGGAAAATTTGTTCTCAAAAACGTTCGACCAGTTGTTGTCCTCGACAGCGATACATTGCACCACCTCATTGTTAAAATGAATACGGCGCCTTCCGTTGGGTGTCATAACACCAGACGATACCGCATTCGTCGGAGTATTACCAATCGAAGATGATGTAAATGTAGATATTTGATTTCGCATTTGCCCAAATTCAGATTTCGGCATTGAAAACGCAGGTCGACTCCGACTATTCTCCGCTTCTTGGGCCTTCAAAATAGCGCCAGCATGTTGTAGGAGGGTGTGCTGGGATAAAGAGCGTTGTAAAATGGCTTCAGATGTAGTTTTTTTCTTCAATATAGACTTTTTTTCTGGATTAAAATTTGGAGTTTCAAGCCGGCTGGATGGAGGTGAAGTGTTGTGTGCTATTTCGCGGTTGTTTGTTTTCAAGGGGCCATACAGCCACGTTACGTCACAGTCCTTTAGCCTACTAGCTGTTAGCTCGATGGCATGGAAATTGCAGGGGAGAATTCTCTAGAGCTTGTTCAAACTAGAGTATAAAAAACTGACCAGTTGAGGGATTCGGCAGAGATCGTGCCCAAATTGTGCTTAAGCTTTGCCCATGTTCTCCACGAAGCGTTCTCCAGCCTCGCCCCATTGCTATATATATCTCGACGAGCGGCCACATAACGCCAGGATGACCACATATCTTCTTCTTTCCATTCATGGGAGAGATAATCGACATGTCTAGATGGTTCTTCTTCAACTGAGCTATCGTCAGCCACTGGCGTCCGAAAAGTCTCACGTTGAAAGTCTGTTGAACATTCAGCAGAGGTCTCGCTGAGAGTTTCTTCCGGGTCCTTTTGCTCCTTTTTGATGACATCATTGGTATCGTAGGAAGGCAATATAATTTCCTCCCCGTGATCGTTGGCGACGTTGAGTGACAGGCTGCTAATGGTTGCGGGGGTGTAAGGTAGTGGTTCCGTAGTTGGCGAAGGCAAGGTTGATGAAGGATTCGAAGATGTGGCCTGACTCTGATAATTACTTGGAAAATAGTCACGCACAGATGGCTTGATGGAGACGCTTGGGCTTTCAATATAGTATCTCTGCGCGGTGGGGCTTCTTGAAGGATCTGGAGAAAAGCCCGAGTGCTCCTTCCTCGTGGCAGAAAATACAGCCGTCATTTTTACAATAGCTGGGGGGTCATTTAAGGCAATATCGATGAGAACTCAGCATGTATGATAGTGGACATGAAATAGAAGAACCCTCCAAAGGATAAATAGACAGTATGGTAGAAGAGGAGAATAAGAAAAGGGTATCACGGAATACAAATGGAATGGTATTTGGTATGTGATAAAGAAGGGGATGTTGGGAAAAGAGGAGGGGGAGGGGGGTAAATAAGAGAGAGGACGGTGGGGGATAAATTATGATGGTAGAGACGAAAATAAACGGATGGAAAGAGATAATGATATCAAGAATAAGATCTTCGGGAACACGACGGATATGCAAATAGTAATGGCATTTCTAGGCCTTTCGTACTTCCCTGGTACTCCGTACCTAGCTAGATAATAGTAACTTTGTGGGTGGCGAGTCGCGACCACCAAGAGCTACCTCGAATGCACTAGCTGGAAAGGTTCCTGGGGTATGCATTAGCTGCTTGTCTAACTGTCTGTCTTGTTCTAGGCAATTTCTTTCTATCTTTATCTTTTTGTTCGAAAGCCTAGTGGCGCAAAGACTGGGATGGAACTTTGGAAGGGGGAAAGGGAGAGAGGGGAAAGGCTGACCAGGATCTTAGCTTCTTTTGGGGGGTATGAATAGGCACCTCCTGGGTAGATTAACATATGACAATTTTGAAGAACTCTGTGATGAAAATGACTTTCCAGAAGTTCAAAGATATGGAAGCATGCCACAGTTGATTACTTATTGATGTAAGTATCTTAGTACTGGCATACCTAGATATTTCATTGTCATCATATCTCTGGATGATAATTGGATGCAGTGGTCGCCACGGCCATTTTCTACACTAAGGAAAGTTAAACTTAATGATGATGGGTGGGGCAACAAAGCAAACCCCCACCCTCCACCCCAAAAAAAGTACGAATTACTCATTGTATGAATAGACAACTAGTACTCTACTGTCACTTTCAAACTTAAACTATAATCCACTGGATTCAATTTTATTTTGATTATCTCTATCCCTGCTCAAAAGCTACCAGATCACTAGAACCTCAAAGGCTCAGCACGGCCTGGTAGGCTTGAACTCGAGGGAATAAAATGGGCCGTGCGAGTCGCCGTCCATCACACAGGGGAGGAAAAAGGAATCTAGGATATGAGGTGACCATGATCTGTTATCAAAAAAGTCTTCAAAATTTTCCTTGGTCTCATCCATGGTCTAGGTATCAATCTCGCCCCCCTCCCCCCCAATCGACTTCCAATCGTTGGCGGATCAACAACCCCTCAAAGCGAACCAAGATTCACCATCACATACATACTGTACCTACATACTAAGGTAGTTACTACTTACTAGGGCGTCTGAATTTAGTGGATAGGTCCGTGGACGAGCGAGAGCCCAGATCCCCCAGAGCTCGCTTACCACTGGAAGAACAATCACCGCCTCTTGTGCTTGTTCTGGGGCACCCACAAATCATCCCGAACAACCGTTGATCTGTCAGGTGGGTGGGGACCTATGTATTAATATTAATTATCCTGATTGGGGCCAAGAATATATCAGAAGATTTCACGTTAGCTCTTTGGGATACTTTTAATGACGAGTATATGCAATACTAGGTACTCCTCTTCAGTGGGTGATGATGCGCCTAATACTGCTTTATATGGCAACAAAGATATATAGGTATACCTTTGGTACATAGGTATACACCTATATATCAGCTCCTGTGGTTGATACTATTTACCGCCGCACTCGGAGCATACGGAATTACGGATCCACGTTCAACTGTCTCACTCCACAATACCTCCTGAGGATTTAAAGGCGAAACACCAAGTACATACGTACATACTACTACATATGACCGTGACCCACCAAAACCGCGATACAAGACTAGGGCCGACTAGATAGGTACCTTAGGCTTCAATTTATCCATGTGGATTCCATTAACCGGTATCTTTTTTCCATGACACGGGAAAAAACATAGCGTCTTTTTATACGAGTCTAGACACCTTTCTCAACACCTATATGTGCTGACTTGGCACTGGGTATGGAAGAGGTTCTTTGATGACTCCGTTTAGCCATCAAACAATCATCAATTGATATAACGTTCCGAGATAAGTGGCTAGTAAATGGTAATCTGGTGCCATGATTTTCTACCCTGCTTTTCAGGGTAAAAAAGATGAAGAGGCTACACGGCTATAGCCGTCAGGTACCTATATGCTTCCTATCTCACCTGCCCTCTTCTCTTTCCTGGCATGTTGTATCACTGTGCTTAGATTGTGCAACCATATCAAGGCCTAGGATTAGTTAAAATCTCTGCAGACTGCCTAATTAGAGGAGAATCATTATATAATAACTATAATCATGAATGTTTACAAGTATCAGAGTCAATTAATATATTCACACTCAGCAGGCTGTAGCAAGTTGAGATAGTGACAAGGCATAGCGATGAGAAAACAATTCATATTCATATTATTTCTTGTGTTGAATATAATTATAAGAAGGACCAACAGGGTGCGCGCGTAGCTTTTTTGATCTAATGGTATATTTAATATTTCTATATTCCACACAATGCTACAATGCAATATTCCTATCCTTCTCTCTCTCTCTCTCTCTCTCTTTCATTTTTTATCTTTTATCCTTTTTTCTTTTTTCGGCTGCCTACCTTGTCATGTTGAGCAGGGGAGGAAACCTCTGGAGTTGATGTATGCTTATTCATAGTAGCAAACCAATGGTTATCATGCAGCGACTATCATAAGAGTAGGTAATTATCTTAGTGTCTGCATGTAGACTGTGACATGGTCAATAGCCTCACATCCCGTAGCTAATTGTTAACACCTTACTATGTATTAATTTCCTGCTATTCACTCCACTATTAGTTACAGTCTACTCCACCCCTGTACTCTGTAGGAATACTAGGTAACAGCAGCATTAGCACAGACCCTTTATTATTTTACACCCTCCCTCTCCCGAGGATTTGCAACTACATAGGATTTCACTAAATCAACAATTACTACTGCAGTATAAAGTAAGAGGGGATTTTTTGTATAAAATCTATAACTGGGCAGTTCATCTGTCACTGGAGTAGGGCAGTGGATTCTGCTTATGCCTGTAATGCTATCTACAAAATTTTGATACACGCACCAGCTGGGTCATGTCAAGAAAGAACAATGACAATAGTATGTCCTTTTTAGCTGCTAGCCTAGCTGTTTGTGTTCACTCTGTTACTTTTCTTCCTTTGGCCCTATATAGAATAGTTCTTACCATTTTTTTTTTTTTACAAAACTCCAAACATAGAAAATGCCATCTGGATGCAGGACTATCAGCGGCTGTCTCTACAAGCGAAGGCAATTGGCAATGGTCCTGCGAGTGCGGAGTACGTATGCTTTTTCCGCAAAAAGAGCACTTCCACTCTCCTGTCATCTGTGCGCTTGCATCGCTAGGTAAGTAGGCTCACACTCCAACGTTCTGGGCTGGGAGGATTGAGCAAATCGCTTATTGGTCCCGAGATACTCCTGTTTGTCAGTTTCTTGATTAAGTAGGCGGGTTCTCTCGGGGCTCCGGGTTGCGATTCCATAGAGAGAGATGATGAGCCGGTCTGTCCAATTCGAGAGGGAAGCGACCGCGGGGTCCCGCAACCCCAGAGCTTAGACCACCCGGCTTTGCTGGAAATATTTAACCAGATCTAGCCTTTTCTCCTCACTTGGGATGGCTCGATCACGGATCTGTGCGCGTTCCAGGGTCCCATCATTGCTGAATTGTTGGTGGCAATGAAGATAACTATACGGCAACGGGGCCATTTCTTAACAGCGGGCCAGCGCCCAAGCTAGTCTGCGTCTACAAGGCAAGAGATAACATAGCTACGGGCCGAAATGAAAGCGACATCAACAAATTTTACTTCGCAGCTCAAATGGCGATATCTCAATAATCCCGCGATATGGTTATTATGGCGATCAGCCCTTTGTTGATGCTGTCTCCTTGGAGGAGGTAACCAGGGGTAATGAAAGCTACCGCCAATTTATAATTTAGACATTAACTATCTCCTCTTACCTCATATCCTGAACGTGATCTCACTTTCCTTCAGTGGGGGTGGGGGTTATCTTATCGCCCTATAGTAGTGGTGTACAGTGAGGTGTACAGAGTTTGCACCTACCACCCCCCCAACCCCTTTGTCTGCTCGCGGGAGCCGCCTTAGTAAACTATAGTAAATCACTGATTTGCTTATATCGGTGAGTTGCCTATATCAGTTGTATGTATTCGGGGGGCAACACAGATGGGAGTGAACCCAAAATTTACCTTGCAATTCCAGTCACATGATATATGATCCACTATTTTATGTAATTTACAGTATTTAAGCTATATTATTTGCTGGTGCAGGCCCACCTTGAATTTATATAAGCAATTTTGTATGGGAGAAAGAGAGAATTGTAGCAACTATCTAATATCGGCATTCTCAGCAACTTACTATGGGGGATCAAAAAATATGCGTTGTGTAGTTGTGTGACACGCTAGTCATCCCAATCATTAATTTGGCATTTTTTTTGACCACTGAGACAGCCTGTAAGGTGTACAGATTGATATCACCCCTTTTTCTGCCAGCCATTACCATATTTAGTCAGCCAATGATAACTCATTATTCTGCTGATCTAATTGCCCCAGCCATTCTCAATATTTACTTAGGCGGTCGGTGAAGGCGGTCTGGATGGGGGGGGGGGTTGAAAACTCATGGCATCCCTGTAGGTGCCTACCTAGGTAGGTACTGCCTAGTGATAACCAGTGAAAAGGGGAAATAAAATCACATGAGACGGAAAGCCACTTTACTACTCATGGCTAGTCATCGGCTGTCGGGATTACCACAAACCCGACCCCGCGTAGCGTATCAATATTGTGTACAGTACAAGGGTTTGCATGGGAAACTCAGGTTTTGACTAAATTATCACCCATCTGCTTAAACAAACTACTTCAAACAAAAAAGAATTGAATATGGCTGAAGTGGCAGAATCTGGCCCCATTGATTCCCAGGCGAAAAATGTGGTATATTGTGGCGGTGAGTCCCTTTTTCTTTTCTTTTCTTTTTCTTTTCCCTCATGTGACGCAATAAAAGTGCCCCTCACCATCACATTTCAGGCGTTCATATGGAGAGCAGTATAGCTGACCTTTATCCTGCCACCAGTTTGTACACTACCCCCAGAGGTATGAGAAGACCCATAATTCCCATTTAGCCCCATTTCACTCATTATACGCATTGAATGGCTGCGGGGGAGATAGCGAAAAATAAACGTGTCAATCCCGAATTTGCAGTATGGTTGCTAACAGGCTCCCTTTTTCCTTTTCATTTTTTTAGTATTGTGAATTTGGCGGGACGGCAAAGAAATGTGAAGAATGGTTGAGTGATAATCATCCAGACTTTTACAAACAACTATACTCCGAAGGTATAGATTGCATCACCATTGGGCCGAAGAGACAGCTAATGGACTATATAGAAGCACTCAGTGCCAATTTGTCAACGCTCTCAGTATCCGTCCGTGAACGTGCGGCCAAAGATGCCGCCAAAAAGGAGGCGAAAGCGGCTATGGTAGAAGCACGCGATGCCGAGCGAAAGGCGGCCTCCAAAGTCCAAATCAAGCGGGTTGAACGCAACAAGCGCAAGCACGTCACCGTTATCACAGGTCTCGAGGTGCATGGATTGGAAAACAAAAAGGTGGCCAAGGATCTCGGCAAGAAATTCGCTACCGGCTCTTCGGTGACAAAGTCCGCTGCAGGGACTGAAGAGATCACAGTGCAAGGAGACGTAAGCGACGATGTAAGAGAATGGTTGTTGGAAGTGCATGGCAAGGAAATTCCCGAGGCAAACATCGAGATGGTTGAGGATAAGAAGAAGAAGGCAAGTAGCTGATTGCAAATAACGCGAATACTTCATTGAAATGACAGCTCTGGTGGATCAATAATGGGGGTATCATGACAATATCATACTGTTGACAGAAATACTTAAACTAAAATTAAACGAAGGCTAGCCCAAAGCAAACAAGAGCAGTTGCGAATTTCTGTCGAATGGTTTGACTCAGAGCTCATCGAATAGCCATAAAGGGTCTGAATCTGTAGGCGACGCCTTCGTATTCCGTCCTTTGGAAGTGGGTGTATTTGCTGAACTGGTAAACCGACGGCTTGTATGGTGATCTGCAAGACCAGATGAATGCCGAGACCACAGATGGTTGTCCCCTTGGCCATCTAGCTCAGGAACAGGTTCTGCAAATTCTGGTTTATTTAGTATGGCATCTGAAGATTGGTTTGCTGGTGTTTTTATTTGGGATAGAACGTCATGATTTGAAACCGACCAAATAGTCGGCCAACTTTGAATTATCACGGCCAGTAAAACGACTAGCATAGCGGTTGCTAGCACACCCCAGAAAATGCGGAGCCGTCGACCTATTCGTGTTTGCCATTCTTCCTCTCTTCGCTCCCAGCGGTCAATTTCATCACGCATTGCTTCGAGCCTATTCCCAAGCCTCTCAGCCCGTTGCCTGCCTGATTTCATACGCTCCTCTAGGGATTCAATCTTCTGTATCTGAGGTTGGAATCCTTTTAGTTCTCCAATCTGCTTACGAATTTCCTGATCCAAGCCTGTGACCTCACGTTCAAAGCCATCGAATAACGCTGATGTAGAGTCCGATAGTTCTTGGAATGAAGAAATAGTAGAGTTCAAGGCGGTGATCTTCTCTAATAGATTGTAATAGGTGTAGTCAAGTCGGCGAGTTATGTCAGTTGCAAGCGTTCCAATAGATGACAGAGCGGATCGTAGATATCTATGTTGACCGTTAGACAAGCTGATTGGTAGTAATACAAAATCAAAATTAGACTCACTCTTCTCCTTGTTTCCTTCGATTTTTCACTTGCTCCAAATCCCCCATTGAGCAAATTTCCTGTTGTCTAACCGACCCGATCTGGTCGCCCTGCTCGGTAGAGTCCGAACCCCAGCGTGATCGAGTTGTTTCCTGAGTCATAGGCCTCAGCAGCCCATCGTCACCGTCGCAAGTTTTCTCTTTGCCACCAGACCAGCTCGGCAGTAAGCCCCTAGCTCCAGCCGATGAGGCAATCTGGGTCATTGTTCGCGGAAGACGGCTGTCGCGGGGTTTGCTGTGTTTGTGCTTGTGATGCGGTTTCAGTTTGCTGCTGTCTAAACTGGTGGTATCGATGACTAGATGGCGGTTCTGGCGCTTTTGTCGGTGCGTGTCGGCGACAGCGTGGGGGTTTGGGCGTGGATCATGATGTTGATGATTAACATCAATGGTATGGAACGGATTCCGATTATTATTAATAATGTTATTATTCGCAATATGATTGCTCCTGCTTCGATCACTGCTCAAGGTTGCCGCAACCGGTTCGTCGGCGGTCGGCGGGAAACTGGGGGTCCTTTGGCTCCCAGATGTGGCAGAGCCGTGGGTGAGTGGATAGGTGGGTTTAGGGGACAGCACAGCAGGAAAAGAAGTCTTCATCGGCGACTCCATTTCTTGTCTATTCAAATTAATGTTTTGTTTCAACGAAGGTAAAACTAGACCATTCTGAATCCAGTATTCGTACGGAATAGACGGTTACATGATGATGATGGGATGCCTGGGCGAAACATAACGCCAAGGCCGATCAGCATCAAGCCTGAGCCAGCGATCGGCAATTTTTAATAATAATCTGGTGACGGACAGACAGGGGTGCGTATGATAATAAGGTAATACTCCAGCGCACATGTTTCATGATTCATGAATGTAATTTGATATTTTTTGGGGCTCCTAATGTCTGGTACCTATGTGCATGCATGCATGCATGCATGTATGTATATTTTGTCATTTAATCAAAAATTCTCCCATAAACACGGTGGATCTAATTTGACCACCAAGACAATCTGGTTGTCTTTTTGCTTCGAAAAAAGCACATAACCAAGTGATCAAACACCAAATATATGCTGGTTGGGATATCAACGCAATTTTTGAGAGAAGTGAATTAGATAATGTCAATGGAGGTAGGGAAAAAAAGAACAAAATAATCGGGTATCCAGGCTTTTCTGCGATTACGAGTTGAGCAGCTTGTTGCGCTTCTCCCTCCGCTTCAAACGCTCTACTCGTTTGCGGTGCATTTTCTCTGCCATCTTCTCATAGCGTTCCTTTTCCTCCTTGGCCGCCCTGCGTTCTTTCATCTTCTGGATTTGAGCCTGATACTATGTCAGCAATGCTGAACCGCTGTTCGGCCGAGGACGAGTTTTTCTCCACCTGTTTTTCAGCCTCTTTCTCTTCCTTTAGCTCCTTCTCGTGTTCCTTGACTGCATCTTGATGTTTACGTGTTTCGAGTCTCTTCGCATACGAGGTCATGCCCGAGGTAGGACGGAACGGCTTTTTGGAATCATGCCAGTTTTTTCCTGTGGGCCCGAAACCAAGTTAGCAAGGAACGCTAAGACAAGAGGAAGAGAAGATAATAAAAATAAAAATAAAAGAGAGTGGGGTGTCAATAATACCATTTTTCCTCATGCCCTTCACGGCCGGAACAACAGGAGTTGTAGTCGACATGGTTTCAATGATACAAAATCACACCGACAGAGATATGTCCGGTGGTGTCAGTGAAAACGAACTTCCCGCAGGTTCGAGTTTCCCTTCTGCGGCGTGTTGAAGAAAAAGTTATCTTAGACCGATCAGATAACCGGATCTCGGCAGAAGTCGCAGCCCGATTTCCACTTTCTGCCGTCAGCGCAGCAGAAAAGCGAGGAACCGGAAACGACTTTTATACGAGTTTCTGTTAGTCGCCTTTTTAGAACACGCCGCCAACCATTCCCCCCCACCATTCATCAACTCTCCTTGCATGTTAGCCTCTCGGGCCCCGTCTCTTCTGCAAGTGCTGCCCACGTTTGGAGTAAACCGCGCGTGGTTCGGATATTGCACAGAAATCCCTCGTTGGTACACCGCCTCGCTGTGGTCGTTTTAAATATCCCCCTCCCCCTCAGTTCCTCCGGCACCGCACAGAATTATACGATGCTCTTCCGATAGCAAGAAACTGTATTTTTACTCCAACCCTTCCTTTTTCCTCTTTCCCTCCCTCCCTTTCTCGATCAGGCTCCCGGGGCTTAATTTCTCGTTAGCTCTATCTCAATGGCGGCTGCAGAGCATGTGATAACAATCAATGATGAAAGACCGATGGAGCTCCCAACACTCCCACCCAACCAAGGTCTGGAGGCCGTCAAGGATATGGTCTTTGGATCGGTAAGACTTCTTGGTCATGCATACTCTGTTTGAATACAATTCTAACCGAGGGCTATTGTTAGGCGGCGGGAATGGCCGGTAAAGTCATTGAGTACCCATTCGATACTGTGAAAGTTCGACTGCAGTCACAGCCAGATCATCTCCCCCTCCGTTATAACGGGCCTCTGGATTGTTTCCGCCAGTCATTCCGTGCAGATGGCTTTAGAGGGCTTTACCGAGGCATCAGTGCTCCTTTAGCAGGAGCTGCCGTCGAGAACAGCTGTTTATTTTTCAGCTATCGTATCATCCAGGACGCATTAAAGGCCACCATATACTCCTCGACTGATTCACTGCCTTTTCTCGCCTTATTGTTTAGTGGTGCCGCGTCGGGATCGATCACTTCCCTTGCATTGACACCAATTGAGCTCATTAAATGCAAGATGCAGATTCCTGTCGAAGGATCTGTCACCAGAGCACCTGGACCGATGTCACTTATTGTGTCTGTTTTCCGCCAGGATGGGCTTTTGGGATTCTGGCGGGGCCAGATGGGAACGTTCATCCGTGAAACTGGTGGAGGTGCTGCTTGGTTTGGAGGTTATGAGGGGGTTTCTGGGCTCTTTCGGGCATACTACTCCCCGTCGCCGAGTGCGAACAAATCGACCTCCGAGTCGGTGTCTCTCCCGGTATGGCAGCAAATGGTTGCGGGTGCAGCTGCCGGGATTAGCTATAATTTCTTATTTTTCCCCGCCGATACCATAAAATCGCGAATGCAAACTGAGGATATGACACAGGCAGCTGTTCGTTGTGAGCGACAAACATTCTGGGACGCAGGAAAGGCCTTATGGAGACAGCAAGGGCTGAGGGGTATGTATCGGGGTTGCGGTATTACGTGCGCACGTTCAGCACCCAGTTCAGCTTTCATTTTTTCAGTCTATGAAGGGCTACGGAACTACTTTCAGTGATGGGATGCTTTGAGAACTTGCACCTCTTTCATTTCCAATGGTTTAATTTTTCTTTTACGCTTCATATTCTACGATACCTGTGTCTGGATTGTCTAATTTCTATTGTCTTCCTCTTTTCCTTTCTTACTTTCTTATTTTTTTTTTTCCTGTTCTGTTAAATCTTCTTTTAAAGCCAATCCGGCATTGGTGCTCCTGCAGAAAAGTTTAGACTATATTCCCATTTGTTTTGGTGTTTTGTTGTCAGCTTTCATAAAGACTTGCTTTCTATCTTTCATTATGTTCAACCGGAGTTTCTTTTGCAATATATGTACAACGTTCAATGACTTTTTAAGGCATATATAATCAGTTAAAATTCAAACTCCTTTCCGATCTCGTTCCAAAGGGTCCAAAGTAATCCTCAGTCACAAAGGGTTGCAAAGGTGTAGAATAAAGAACCATAAAGGCGGCGGAGCATTTGAACCCCATCAGACCTGCCCCTCATCATCATCATCATCATCATCATCATCATCATCATCATCATCATCATCAACCACATATTTTTTGTCGCCAAACTTTGGATAGCAACAAACAAAAAAAACCAAACATTCTCGACAGCCATGGCATCTTCCGCGTTTACTCTCTCTGCCCAGGAATTAGAGCTCCTCTCCACCAAAGCCATCGCTGCTAAAGCCACCGCCTACTGTAAGTCCTGCGATTTTCGAATAGAATGCACCATGCATTATTGGATTACTCGCAGCTCTGACGAAATCCAGGCCCTTACTCTAAATTCCGCGTCGGGGCATGCATACTTACGCAGACGGGCGAGTACATCACTGGTGCCAATGTCGAAAATGTGTCATTTCCCGTCGGCACATGCGCGGAGAGAGTAGCATTTGGAACTGCTGTTGTAAGTCGGTCTGAATTTTGAGCTTTCTTGATATTGCTTGCTTGAAGCTTATAGGGTCGGGGAAATTGCTCACGCCGGATATATCTGTACATATAGGTGGCCGGACATCAAGATTTCAAGGCCATTGCCGTCACCTCGGATATCACGCCCGGAGCGTCACCGTGTGGCATGTGTAGGCAATTGTATGTCCTTTCGCCCGTTTCCAACCTTTGGGCCTTTTGACGATGTTTTGCTCTCATTTATCCACCAAATCCCTCATTCAATCGTGGCTAACCAACGAATTGACAAACAGCATGCGCGAATTTACAACCCCGTCATTCCCTGTATACATGTATGACGGAGAGGGGAACCATATCATGATGACCATGGGCGAGGTATTTCTCTCCCTTCTGTGTCTAGCTTCCTTATATCCGGATTTATTCTACAGTGCAAACGCTGATCGTCACAGCTCCTCCCGAGCTCATTCGGCCCGAATGATTTACCCAAATAAATGATCTGAGCTTGGCACTGCTCCGTCTGTTACCGGTAGTAAGTTAATTCGCATTTGGGGGCGCTGCGTTGCCAGGGGAGGAACCGCTTTTTTAATTTACAATGACTTATTGTATTTTCATCGAATCTGTTCATGGCTTTTCTACGTTCTATTATGAGTCTTGGATTATCGAAGACAGTGACCACCGTCGGTTGTATCCTGCTCCACAATGCAGATCAATCTTTGTCAAAGTAGAAGACAGTCTTCATACATTCTACCTGATTGTCTCGTAATTAAACCGAAGCCCAAAACACTATCTGTATTTCTCCTTTTGCCAACTTTCGAAAAAAATTCCTGGGGCCTAGAGGGAAGACTTTCTTTCCAGCCTCAAGCATATAAAAACATTTTCAAGCAACAACAGAAAGCCAAAAGTCCTAGGCTACGCATACACAAACTGATTATAATGGACATGAAGTGCTCATAATATAACATAAAATCATAGATCAAAACACCTTGAGATGGTCGACCAAGAAAGAAAGAAGAGTGCAAAAGGCACAAATTGTACAGACGTATCACGCATCACCCGTACTACATCTCATCATCATCTCCTTCGGCATCTATCACGCCGAGAAGTTCATCTTCATCATCGACAACGCTAGTATAGTCGCCTCGACGGGCTGCAAATGAGCCCCGAGAGGCGTACGGTCCTTGATAGTCCCTATTACGCCCAACACGCATGTATCCGCTGGCGCTGCGCCACAAACTCGTGGCCAGGAGTGGAAGTGCCTTTGCGACTGCTACAACACCTGCAATGACCGCAACTGGCACTATGATCAAAGGAGAGTCTCGTGAAAGCATCCTCTCGGAGGTGGCGTTGCCACCTTCCCCAAGGCGAATCTGACCAAACTTGCCATCCCACCTGGTGTAGGCGTAATACCCAGCAGCACCAGCCAATGCAATGGGAATCACAATTGCAAAGAAAAGACCAACCCCGCTGATACCGTGCTTTTCTTGGTACTCCTTCTCTTTGCTGGGACACGCTTTCGAAACAACATGATCCAGATTCAGTCCACCCTGACATGTCGTTAGAGGAATACGTCGGTAGCCTGTTGGTTCCCAGTATTCAATTTCATCTGGATTCGCTTTGCAAGTAGCCATCGCATCCGGCTTTGGAAGACCAGGAACAAGGGCACAACTTCCATCGCTTTGTGGCTCGTAGTTGTAATCACTGAACAAGGTCGTTAATAACATATACATATACGAGAGGACAGACTCCCCCTCCAAAAAAGGAACTTACCATTCGTAATCGTTCCTAGTACAAGTGCAGTTCTCTCCAATGCTGTGGACACGGGGCTCACGCCAATCAGTCCAGCACTCTGCCTCCGGCTTCTTACGGTGGTACTGCTCAATGTGACCGAACAGACAATTATTTTCCTGCAGTGGATGCTTGGGTTCCCATAGGTAGAAGTCCCCATCTTTGACCGTACAAGACCTCGTACGTGTTCCACTGAAGTCAACATTGACTGTAGTAAACTTGCCTTGCTCCAGATCTTTACCCCAGAGAAGGAAGTTCTTTGAAGTATCCGACGGGAGTGTTGAGATGTCATCAATCTGCATTTCCACATCCGAAAATTGGAAATCTTCCCAAGTGTCACCCTCGTTTATGCTATAATGAAGAACCTTGGTTGGTTTCGATTCGAGCACGATTACGATAATCGAGCCCGCATCACCATATTCCCAGATGTATTTTCCCTTCTTGACAGACTTCCAGGTTATTCCACCATCACGAGTAATAAACGTGTCAGCTTCCTCTTTGCTTGCCAGATACTCGCCAACGTTCCCTGTGCCCATCATAAGACCGATAGCCGAGGCGGATGAGAAGGTATCCCGAGGATCTCTGCGTTCTGTATAGCCATGAAGATGCAGCGAGCATTGATCAGTGCCCCTTCCTGTTGTCACTGAGCAGCCAAAGTTATGACCCTCGGTTGGAGGAGGAAGCAGGGCCCACTGTGCTCCATCATTGTGAGTAATCATTGTTTTGAGCTTTTTGCTAGCTCCTTTATTATTCACGGCGTCCAAATTGCCAACGACGTTAACTACCATCACACCTTCCAGGCCTTGCATTTTCTCGAAATCGGCATACCCCAAATCATTCCGGTTGACGGCATTTATACTGAGAACATATGACGTGCCGTTGCTATTACTTTTGATAAGTGAACCATAAAGAGCTCCTACCATCTTGTTCACCGTCACATGCAGGAAGATAGCATGGCTAGAGCTCTCAAGTACGGTATAAGCATTCTGAACAGGCACATCGAGGTTTACAGGGAACTTTGCATCTGCAAACGTTTTGCCATCCACGCTAGTACTGGCCTTCAGTGACTTGGGATTATTCTCGTCATGTGAAGCCACAACGATATATTCAGCCATGGTAGCAAAATCCTCGACGCCCGTGAAATTGAAATTGAATGAACTTCCGGAGAACCAATCTTTGCTAGACAGGAGCTGCAAAGGGTTGTTTTTGTTTTCGTTCTCAAATTGCTCACAGAATACCAAATTTTCGCTATCATTCCGGTCATCTCTGCCCATGAAATTGCACTTCCGAACTTCGCGAAGGAGGAGCTCCCAGTTCGCACCTCGATTCGTGCTATAGTGTGCCTCGAAGTGACAGTCTTCAGAATTACACTCAGTAGCACCAGTCCATATCAATGTGTCCTTATATTGCTGGTGAAAAGAAAGAGGTGAGAGTTGTTTTGGTCGTGGGATGTTAGGTGCTTTAAAGCTATCGACGGTATAACCACGATTCGCAGTGCAGAATCCCTCCTTACCATCGGTAAGGAAAAAGGCACCATCGCTATAATAAGGATGAGGAATAAGCTCTGAAACTTTCTTCCCTTTGAGAAGCTTTTCCCAGCTTTTGCCGTGGTCATGTGATATGTAGAGAAAACCCTCTCGAGTACGCATGACGATGGTTTCATCAGTCCCAGAGCTGCTCGACTGACGCTCCAAATAAAAGTATTCACTGAACCCTTTCTCGTCAAAAAAGTGCTTTTTAACGATGATTTTGCCATCCGTGGGGGTATGAGGTGTACTGCCCACATCACCACAGGAGCGCTCAATCTCCTTATCAAGATCCTTGCCACCGTCTCGAATGCAATTATTTCCAGGAATAAGTCTCCAGCCTGATGGTCCCATGTATTTGTCATTTGGGTCCTTGCACTGTCCTGCTTTGGGCGTTAATGGAGCAGCAGGCTCACAGCTTTTCCTGTCCTCGCTGCGTTTGAAATTGTAATCACATTCAAAATCTTCCTCGGTGCACTTGCATGGTTCAAAGATCGGTTGGGGAATCTTGAATTCCTCTTCTACAAAGCAATCTGCATCGGCCTTCCTGCGATGGAAAAATTGTTTGTGGCCCATCAAACAGTCGGGTTCACGGTTTTCATCCAAGCGAGCTGGCCATTTCTCAAAATCAGATTCCTCGCATTTTCGTTCATGCAGACCACCGAAATCGATTGAATAGATGACGTGTTCACCTTCACCATTCTTGTTGAAGTACCCAATAAGCAAAAATCTCAAACTTGTTGAGTCCGGAGTCGTTGTGAGTACAGCAGGATAGATCTCGTGCTCGAGATCCACAGACTCCCAGTCCTTGCCATGGTCAACGGAGAACTTGATCTTGTCGGTCTTCTCACTATAAGCGACCGCCATGACAACAGCACCTTGGTCACCAAACTCATACTTGTGAGGACCGTCTTGGGCATGCTTCCATGTCAAGCCCGCATCATCTGAGACATACAAGCTACCATCAGAAAGAGATTTAAGGTGGTCGCCAGTGTTGCCAATTCCCATCACAATTCCTGGCGCTGGTGTCGAAAACACACGTCCAGTGGCCCCGTTGAAAGTCGTCACTGAATGTAGATGTAATTTTTTGTCCCCTACTTTGATTGGCTGGAAAGTCCTGCCATCATCGAAGCTGATTTCGCTGATGACCTGTTTCTTCCTGTCGGGACTGTCTGATTTGATCACCTCCTCCCAATTTTTCACGGTATTGACCAACACGATACCTTGAATGTCGGCGACTTTCTCGAAATCAACGTAACCAAGCCTGTTGCGATTGGTGTGCTTGATGTTCGACGTGAAATACGTACCATTTGAATTTGAAGTGAAGAGTGCGCCCATGTGGTTATTGAGACTCTTGGAGGTCAGGACATCGACTTGAATGCTGTAGTTGGTACTTTCCAACACGGTATAAGCATTTTCCTCCAATCGATGACTTCCAAACTCAGCTCGATGCCAGGTCTTGGCATCATCGGTCACGTAAAGTGCATGCTCGTCGGTTCCCTGAGATTGAGCAGCAGCGACTAGGTATTTCTTAACTGCCGCAGTGCTAAGCACACCCGAAGCTGGTCTTCCCTGTTGCAGGTTCACTTCTGTACCTTCGGGGTTGCTACTGAAGAAGTCATCCGAGTACACCAGGCGATTGGCATGTCTGGCTTTTGATTTCAAACCCGGAACTATGCAATAAATGCGGTTTTCGATCTCACTTGACACATCTAGATCTTCGGCAAACTGGGGATGACCCACCGCCCAGGAGCATCCGTAAATACTTCTCCGCAGTAGCTTGACGGTCGAGAAATCGTCTGTTGTGTAGTATGAGCTCGCGATGCAAGAGCTCGCCACACATATCTCGCTTTGAAAAATGACCTTGTTTGAATCCCAGCCATGGAAGGAAAGAGAGGGGCTATCGAAGCCTATGAGATCATCATCAATCTCAAACGACTCCCATGTCTTTGCCTTATCCTTAGTAATCCAATGTCGTCCGAATCCCAGGGCGTAGGCCTTGTTATTGTCGAACGTGTGCGGCCAGATGGAGAAAACCTGACCCTTCATGTTGCCATTGGTACCCTGAACAACCTCCCATGTTTCACCGCCATCAAATGACCGGTGAAGGTCACCTTGGCTATTGAATATGATCGTGTCCGTACCTTCGAAATAGAACAGTCCGGAAGGTGCATGATCAAGCTTGGTTGTGGTAATTTTGGGCCCATCCGACTTCTTAGCAGCTCCAGGCTGCGATAGAAGTGCCAACAGCAGGCAACTCACGAGCGGAAGCCACCTAAAGATCATTGTAACGAGCAATAGAACATTTGAAGCGGTGGGGCGAAGAGAGCTTGCGCTGGAAACAGGTTCGGGAGCTGAGCTCGCTCAGCGGACCGATCCGAGGCGGCCGGGTGAGCAAGTGCAGGAGAAACGTGAAAGAGAGAGTTTGTTTTGAAGTTCTGAGTAGAATATAAATACCCCCCCCAGCACCAGTCGGTTAGCAAGAAACCAGTATGATGTAAAGGAAGGGGGAGAACGAATTTGAATGTGTTACGGAGCTGTCGCCTCCATCTCGACAGACAGCTGCGTGGCTTTGGGAGATGCTATGAGGTCACGTGCCAACATTGCTTATGGAAGCATAGATATTCTAGCATTGCTTTGATATTGGGCTTTCTTTTTCATTTTTTCTTTGGTCCCTTCTAGTTAATTTGGAGTCCTCTAACTTCTGTTGTATTATAGAAATGTACCTAACTGCTACACGAATTGAGTTCTGTGCTGTATTCCTGTAAGCTCTATGTGCAGTTCGAAAGCGAAAGTACAAAGATATCATCACATCTAGTGGTCTGCGTCGGTTCTAAATACTAATAACAAAGTGTATATATATTATATGAACAGTAGTTGAGGTATGAAACACCCAACCCCCGGATATCAAACATAATCTCAAGGTAGGCAAGGTAGGTATCGATAGTGCGCAAACTGTTAAAGCAATGATTCGCTGATACGCGAAAATCAAAATGGAAACATGTAGAGAGGGCATAATCAAAAGAAAATATGTACAATCATAACAGAGCCGTCTCTCTCAAAATGGAAAGGTGATGCGGGCAATGCTAGTTCAAAATGCAGTTAAAATATGTATGCGAATGAGGACATTGCAAGTAAATGAGGCGGAAATAGAGAGAAAGGCCGGATTCGTCAATCGTGGGGGAAAGAAGTAGAAGCGTGAAGAAGCAGCATCAAACTGATGAACACTTGGGCTTGACAAGGTTCAACATCGTTTCCGAAACTTGCGCCACATCTTCTTCATTATGCTCTGGTCGTCCGTGTCTAATTCCCAAGTATATGGACTGCTACTGGCTGGAGGGAGATCTGCCAATTTCAATGGGTCCTCCGCAGATGATGGGGAGACAGACGGTGATTCTGTCCGGAGATCAGGGCGAGTCAAGGTCATTTTTAGAGTCATCTCCCGGTTACCTGGAATCCGGTGAGGGCCAGGCTTGGGAGTTGGCATTGACGAATGCCGCTTGTTCCCCAAAAAGGTAGCATTGGTTGGACTTGGAAACTCTTTGGCAATAGGAGACAACCGGGATATGACTGATTGAGTCTTTCCTTCTTTATCCCCACCAACTGAAATCTCATCTTCTTCCTTGAAAAATGTGCCGGTGTATTCTTGCGGGTTTGGCGTGGATCCGGGCACAATGATCTCTGGACTTTCCAGAGGAAGATTCTCCTTGTTGTTTTCCACTGCCGGGAACCCAAATTCGATTGCCTCATCAAACTTTTGCGGTGATGCTAGGTAGACTCTGAGCTTGAGACGGGCTTCGGGGTCTTGATAGTATTGTGCAGAGGGATCGATGCTCGAAGTAGAAGAACGGGGAGCATGCTGAACCTGTCGGTGACTTGACGAGGGCCGAGATGTAGTGGAGGTGCGGCCAATAATATTGGCCAGTGAAGAAGGAACATTGGAGGACTGACTCGATGCCGGGATCCTCCTGTGCGCAATAGAGGCCATTGGTTTGCGAGCCAAATTGTTTGAGTTGAATGATAGGGTTCTCCGGAAAGAAGGCATCCTGCGAGGTGCCGGCTTTGATGTTGTATTGACGACGTGTGCATGGTATTCATCAAGGGTTAGGTCGAGATCTCCATCTTCATCCAACCACCGGAAACTGTCGTACAGCGAGTCGTCCATTTCGTCCTCTGATTCTGAGTCTGAATCAGACAGGTAAAGGGTGGACGACTGAGAGAAGGGGGTGGTAGTCTCTGACGGCAGGCTCTCTGAAGACCAGCGAGGTCGACGTTCCTTTTGCTCTAACCGGTACAGGGTCTCGTCTGCGGCGTCAAGAATCACGCTCTCGCAATAGACCTGGCGGAGACGGAGTTGCTCTTCTCTAGAGAAGTGTTTTTGCTGGACTTTAGGTGGGAGTGAATGGAAACATTGCGAGTCGGCCTGAGTCGCAAGATAAGCCACCTTAAGGGAACCGGGTTTGGACCGCTTATGAGGGACATAGGAGAAAGAGGGAGGATAGTTGAACAATGGTTTCTCCAAGCGACGACGCCTTTTGCTGCTGAAAGGCTTCGCTACCGATGAAGGCCGACTCCGGAAGGTGCGAAAGTGGAGGCAACGAGGTGCACTGGACGGGCTAGTATTGAATTGATAGTCGAGGACATGGTCAGGATCGCTGTGCGCGAGGCGCATGCGGAAGCGTTCGACATTCGAGAAGAACTGAAGGGGAGGAAAGGGACCGTGTTAGCTTTCAGCGAGTCAGAAACAAAAGAGAAGTGGCCCTCGTGGGGATTTTTTTCTCCAGAGTTTAAAGGCATGGCTCAAGTTCCCAGCCTGACCAAGTCGAACCATGGACGATAGTCTATCATAGTGTGAGTGATAGTCGCACCCACTGGCAAATCATCCGCCGACGCGATCATGGGTCAGGGGCTCATGTCACCCACTTAGTATGAAGTGACAATGTGCCTGCAGAGAACGGTCCAATGGTGCAAATGGGTGTGGATTGAATAATTCTTGAAGCAAAAGAAAGGGACAAAGGAAGGATCGGGGAAAGAATGAAGGGGGGAAAAAAAAAGAAAAAAGAAAGAAAGAAATGATGATTACCAGGATTAGAAGTCCAGTTGAGGTTATCGCGGGGGAGTTTGAAGTGTTGGGGGGGGGGAGCCATTAAGGCAAAAGCACAAAAAAAAAAGGGGGGGAGGTGTTTCGGAAAGAATAATTTGGAATAAAAGCAGCAATATGGATGATCATAACATGGTCCGAGTGGGTAAGATGATATTATCATTCAGTGGCATACCCCCCCCCCCCCCCCCCACAACACACACACACACTATGTGCTCGATAACATCTCATGAGGGGAATTTGATCAGGAAGGGAGATATTTTCTTCTCTAAAAGAAGAAGAAATTGAACAAGAGAATAGCACATACCTTCCGTCTCAAAGCAGGAGGAAATGAGTCGAATTCCTCCTCACTAGGGATAGCTAACAGCTTCATGGTCTGCGTATTTCATCAAGCCCGACTCCAGTAGTGTGTCAATAGTTGATTGGCAAAAACAATCACTTCGGAACCACAATGGTAACGCTCGAGGGATCGTGAATCGGGAGTAACAAAACAAGAAGCAATCCAATAGTCTCGATGACTATGAAAAGAGATTGAGACCGGCAGAAGAAATGACGAGGAAGAAGAATCAGTCATCAGACATCTCGGTGATAACTAGGTAGCGATCGATTAGAATTAATATATCAAGAAAATAGACAGTATCCAGTCCTAAAGCTGGAGAGCCGAAGAGTTGGCACCTATATCTATCATTCCAGAGAGCTAGCCCCGTGGGCACGATAAGAAAAAGCAAAGAGAGAAGAAAATGGAGAGGGGAAAACGAGATGATTGATGAACATGTAGATAGATATGGACAAACTCACCGACTAAGCTCGGGATTATCGCTAGTCAGGGCGCTTCCATCTTCCATCTTCCTCTTCATCGTGTGCATTTCATCTTCATTACTCGCCCCCCCCCACTTCTTTCCCCCTCATGGAACAGGAACCAGCCTGTCTCCATTATCATCTGCCAAATCACACACAACAATGGCATCGCAAAGCTCCTCTGTTAGGCGTACTAGGGTCATCCGGGATGGCTTGGAAGTGGGAATCCTGTCAGTCTGACAGCTCATCGCCCCAATCCCAGCCAACAACGAAATACATAATAATTATGATAATGAAAAGACGTCAGTCAGCCTTGGATCAACACAGCCGCGAAATCTCATTCGTAAAAACAGATTGTATTGAAAGCCAAACTAAGGCACGATGGAGGAGAAGAGACGGGAAGAGAAGCGAAAAAGCGACGGACGACTGAAAAGATGCGATAACGGAGACGCTATTTTTGGGGCCTGTCACACTTTTTGGCCCGTCGGAGCTTTGGTCACCTCGAATGGTGAATCGCCAAGTTTCATCAAGAGGGGCTGTTTTTTTTCTTTTTTTTCTCGCTGCCAAAGTCATCCAAATTCATCCCACATGGTATTAATTTCCGTCTGTCATGGTTATTGTGCAAGCGCCCAGATCGACTGTTAGCCGCGTGGGCTGCTGGTGTATGTATGAAACATGTCTCATGTAAATATGTACATATACGTGTATATGAAGAGACAGATTAAGTACCATGGATGTCAGAAATTACAACAGGGTAAACACCGTGGTCCATGATGCCATATCCTTCCATTCTCTCCCCCTGCTTGGAGATAGAGAACCTTGGATAGATCATCTGTAGGGACGGGCAGGGAGTGGACCCCCACCGATCGACCACGGTAGTAGTAGATCGAAGGTGTTCTCGTCTCTGCGGGGATGGTTCCCTCCATCTCATGGTTTTGAACAGATCACAAGAAATCCCGAACACGTTCGTCTGAACTCTGACTTTGATGGCGATTCCCTCGAAAAGCAGGCGATAACTACCAGCTCCACTCCATCGCCTGTTGGGCATGCAGCATCGATACGCATGATCTGAGCTATCACAAATGAAATTTTACCCCGCTTCGTAAAGCCACGGAAATATTTCCAGAAACATTTGAAAATGCTTCATGCGATATCACCGAAGAACGTAGTTCATCTTGAACTTGAACAGCTTAATTTCAAAGAACAAAGAAGAGCTAGTCGGAGTAAACCTGCCCGATTGAATGTACCAACCAAGGATGCGATCCTATTACACTCGGGCTAGCTGGATGGGAACCAGGGTTGTCGTTTGGAGCTAGATCGGAGCCGAAACAGCTCCATCCATACCACTGTACAGTGTAGATACAGCGGGAAAAAGAAAAGAAGAAGGAAAAGCCTCGGGTATGAACACCAGCAGTTCGCAGCTTCTTACTCGAATCCACCAAGTGGTTCATGAACGAAGAAAGTAGTGCCATGACAGATCACATTTGTTGGTAACGTAGCCCACCTTTGCAAGACCCATGAACAGAATACAGCATGATGGAATCTTGGATGGAGTCAAACGCCAATACTGGAAACCGCCAATACCGGAAACCCCTCCCTCCCGGCAATGAAGCCGGTCGTATTATCCATATCTATTCTTCTTGTCGAGCTTCTTGTCGAGCTCGAGTGATAGCCATATTTAATGAAGGTTCCTGCTGAATGAGTCGTACCACCATGGGATATTGTGTAAGCTTATGGTAGACAGGGATCATGCTGGCAGTCACATTGACATGATAATATTCAAATCAAACATACAAATTAACCCTGCTGTATCGGTTGTATGCAAATGCTTTATGACTACTCCAATTCGACTATCGATCTTAAACAATAGCAAGTGTCTGGACGCTGGTTATTGTATAATTACCTGATAGAACAGTGAAAACCAACAGAGGGTATATATCTCTAACGCTGAAAAAATCCTCGCCCCTAGCCAAATGTGATAAGACAATGGCAGAGCAGCCAATGTATAGAAGTCCTGTAAGCATGAGACCGCCCTCAAATCTCGCGCAAATCAAATCACGTTGAGCACGCCCTGCATGGCAGCCGTATTTGAATCCTCTCGCCGGGAAACATATGCCCGGACCTCTTGCACGCTGAGACCAGCCTCAGCTTGACCGGCTCCTCCAGCACCGCGCCCAGAGCTGGCACCAGCGTTATTGCCGGGTCCTCCGGTGGCACCACTGGTCGCTCCTCCTCGGATTCGTTCTCTCAAGGCCTCCGAGCCAATAACGAAGAGACTGCCAACTTCCAGCAAGACATCTATCGCACAGCCAGGGCCCTTGATCTGTTCGTCAATGTCCCACGACTTGAGGAGATCTGCATACTGTGTCATGTCCTTTGTCACCATAAGACCTCCGGCTCCATTGACAGCGAACCGCTTGAAATGCTCTAACAGGAGACTGCGAGCCCCAAGGGCAATCTCCGTTAGCAACTCGCGGATGTTGGAGCCGGTAGATGGCAAGGAAGCCAAAGCAATGTTGTGTAAGCGTGTCAAAAAGGTGCAAATTGAAGCGCATGTCTGGGTCACATTGGTTAGTTGCACCGAAAAAAATAGCAGGGAAACATATCACTGACCGGTGTCTGCAATTTCTCCAACCAAGCTGCATTGTCTCCTTCTTTGGGGCGGAAATCATTTTTCTTTTGGCCAGACAAAAGTTTGCTCACCCATGTAAAAGTTGCAGCAATTGCCTTTTGCTCAATGGTGTTTATCTTTTCTTCAATGCGCATTGTCGTCAGGTTGACCTTCTTCTCCATATCCCGGCGAATTGTGATACTGCTAGTGGCAAGTGGAATGAGAACTGTATTTATACAGGTTACCATCAGATTGGTGATGCTAATGGCACTCCGGACAGCGGGTAGGTAGGCAAAATCAGGCTCGGCCTTGCCCGACTCTTGTGATGCCGCTGCTTCCAAAGCGGCGTCAAGACATACTTCGATATAACCTTCGCCCATCATAGATAGAAGAAGGTTCAATAGTGCAGAAACATCCTTGGGTGTGTCACTGTTGACACTAAGTTCCAACCCACGACCAACTCCTTCAGCAAGCCACTTGAGCATACGCTTCGCATAGGCCAAACTAAGGAGGCCATCCTCCTCTGTGAGCTTGATTTCTGTCGGCCGAAGCGAGTCCGTTGACTCCCTTAACCCGGCAACCTGCAGCAGCATTCGTCTCTGGGTTGGGGAAAACTCCGAGGATTCTAGGCGGTTGATATAAGCATCTCTGGCAGAGGAGAGGAATTCACTCCCGGACTTGGCCAGGGATGCCATGAAAGTCGTCGCAGCCTTTTTCCGACGAGCATGAAACGTAGTAAACTTGAACAAGAGTGATGTATACAGCTCCTCCAGGTTCTTCTTTTCCCGCTCAATGTAGGAGGACCCCACAAAGTAGGGCACAAAAAGGTCCTCGAGTTGTTGATCCAGGATCAATGCTGTCTGGGAAGAAATAGGGTCTGGGTGCTCAGTCAGGCCGTGAGATTTCAGATCATCAACCAGTGCACTGATATAACCACGGGAGCTTTGCAAAGATCGCAGAAAGGCCAGAGATGAGACCCCGTTGGCCTTTTCCAAGACCATCTCCAGCCTCTGCTGGATAGACTGTTGGAACACACGTTGTAGGAACTTCCCGAGCACCTGATCATAGTATGGAAACGCTCGCCGGATGATAGCTGATTCCTCTTGAACTACAACCTTGACCTCATCAATCAATGACTGAAGGCTGGGTTCCACTTTCAGAAGTTCAGCATCAGGGTCTGCCAGTTTGTCCCAGGATTCTGGATCCCCCCCCACCTCTTCTGTCACCAATTGACTCCGGTCGATGAAGAACTGGTGTTGATTGACGAATAAAGCAATAACACTTGCGCCACAGTTGAAATCCTGGAGCACAGTCGCACAATCTTTCATGCCCTCGAAATTCGCTTTTCGGTAGAAGTCGTCAAATTGTTTTAGGAGATCTTTCTCTAGTGTCTCCGAAAACTTTTCGATAATTTCGCGTGTGTTCCGGCGGTCAACATTGTCTTCTCCAACATCCGTATGCTCGTCCGTAGATGTGGTATTGGTCCCATATGCCCCGTTACTCTTCGCACTCGATTCATTCCAGCTCTTGGGGTCAAGTCTTTGGCTTATTCTCAACAATTGTCGCGCAATCTGGGCTGAGCGCACCTTTGCCTCACCAGTTCCAGACCTCCTCAGATTTTCTAGCAGTGTGATCTCTCCTCTATTGCTCACACTATCCCAGCACTGAAGTAAGAAATGAGCATCAAGGGCTCGGCGTCTTTGCCGGTCAAGCTCTTCCAGCCTCCGCCCGGTTTCAACAGCCATATTGCCAGTCCCCCCAGTCATTTCGCCGCCACTGGAGATGCCGGCTCCATTGAGTGACGTATCCAGTTGCTGGAATGACTCGATAGTCTGCTTCAGCTTTCTGCCTAGGATATTGACATTTTGTGAGTGTTGAGCTTCCGCCCTTCGTACTGCCGCGGACAGCTCATTTTCTCGAATCTCTAGATCACCGGACAATTCTCCTAGCTGTTGTTGCGCGTGCTCAAAGGTTCGGATTAGCGGTTTGGGATCAAACGGCTGGTTCCCACCGGTGGACCCAGCCGCAGAGCGACGATGCAGGATGGCAGTATCGGAGAGCTCCTCGATAAACTCCTTGACAATGAAATCCCGACTAGAAAAATCCTCGAGTGTGAAACTGGGCCCTCTGGGGAAGACGGAGCGGGAGGCGGGATTCGGTTGTGAATTTATGGACGCATTGTCCGGCATTTTGGTGGCTGGAAGGGATATCCTGCCAGCATGGAGAAAGAAAAGAGATGGCGATGGACAATGCACTCAAAAACAATCGATTCCACCGGACTGTAGCGTTTGCTGCATCTTCTGAGCGAGCGGATCGAGGGAAGCTCGAATTCCATGTTTGAGATGCGCGGAGTCGCCGGTCCTATTTCCACCGCCAATACTCCTTGGTTCCACGACAAAGGCTCCACGTTGCCTGTTGCTGGGTTTGGATACACAGATAAGAATGCAGCATTTACCATGAATAAAGTCATACATAATTATCTTTCTGGATCTAGCGGAGCAGTTAGCTCTAAGCTGCACTTACTCTGTTCTCATACTGATACTCATATTATCATTTAACAAAGCAATTGACTCAAATATCGTTCTTTTTCTAAATATACTCAAGCAAAGGCTAGGAAATGACATCATGTCATAAACTGATGCCTACATTAGTACTCCGTATTTGTCTTCTATTTCATTTCGAAGATACAGGGGATAAGCCATAGTTCAGCTGTTATGGAAGGGAAGCCACAATTGACGTAGTACTGCCAAGTGGCGAAGCCAAATACCACAATGCTGATAGGACAACGTCATAATATATCAGTTTAATTATTTATTCAAGGATATTAAAATAATTGCTAGGCTACCTAGTAAGAGCAAACCAAGAGGTTTTAGAAAATGAAGTGGGAAGAAATAACATAAGTATCATATTGTTGGGATTGTCAATTAGTTACAAGAAAAAAGTAAAGACCGCTTCGCCTTGTACGGAGTAACCAAGCCAACTTCAACCCCGTGCCGGATAACATTGCTCAGTCCAGCACCTAATCGAAGAACCTGAAAATACCTTACCTATTTCTAGCTGCTATACAAGATCGCCATGGTCTCCCAAAGAGACAGAGAGCTGCTGAGGAGCGATGTTCGTGCCCGAGGCGTGAAGCTCAGCGCCGCCGATCGCGAAAGCCTTCTGAAGCCGTATTTGCCAGATCCATCCGACCTCCCACGACGACAGAACCAGCAACGCAAGAATGCTCCTCGCAAGACTCCCATCCGGTCCTTTCTCAAATCACAACTATATCAACTCACTTACACGCTCATTCACATTTTCTTCGGAATCACGGTGCGCCTCATTCAGACCTACCATGCTGTCGTGGACCGCATTTTTGCCATCGTTTATTACCATCACCGTACTCCGGAGTTGATCCAAAAAGATGTGAAGGGATTGAAGCGCATACCAGAACATTTGAGTGTCATTCTGACATTGCGAAAGGAAGACGATGCTTTGGTTGTGTTGATGGACGAGGTGGCAGAGCTCGCTGCCTGGAGCGCATGCTCTGGGATCCCCGTATTGAGCATCTACGAGAAAAGTGGTATGTCAAGATGTCCAGTGGCCCTTTCATTAAACAGAGTCGGAATAAAAGCTGAGAAGTTATTTGCTTAGGGGTCCTGAAATCATGCATTCCTACCCTACACCAGGTCATCACGAGCAAACTTTCTTCTTACTATGGCTCACCCTCACAGCAGCCAACATTGCAACTCTTTGCTCCCCATCACCCAGTATATAATGTCTCCGAAAATGGAACTTCAACCAATAAACCTAACTCCAGACCCCTTACTATACTCCTTCTGTCCTCTACTGATGGTCGAGAGACGTTCGTGGACCTCACAAAGACGCTGGCGGAGATGTCACAGAACGGTAAATTATCACCTGAAGACATCACCATGGAACTGGTTGATGCGGAGATCAGTGAGATCACGACACATCCCCTCCAGTCAGCTGCTTCTACCACTGCCGACAGCCAGGCGCATGCTAGTGTCATTTCTCTCAAGCCTGAACCTGACCTTCTCTTGGTATTTGGGCCTTTCCTTAAACTGGACGGATATCCACCTTGGCATATTCGACTCACGGAGATGTTCTGCACGGGTGACAAGAATCATGGAGCTACTGGCTATGGTGAGGTAGTTGAATACCAAGGGTTTATCAGGGGCTTGTGGCATTATGCTGGAGCTCAGATGAGATTCGGACGGTAAAAAGTTGGTGTTTAAAAGCATACCCTGGTCGACCTTATCATCACCAGCCCCCGATCATCGAACGAGAGGAGGAGGGGGGGCGAAAGGCTCATTGCTAAGTGTGTATACCTAATCAGAATATTATTACTTGCATAATTCATCTCTGTATTTTGGTTTCAGGCATTAAAATACATGCACAACTTTACTGATATCTAAAGCAGGGTTCAAACTCCCGTGCCAGCTGAGCAGGAGTATACCGGGAGATTATTGATTGTATGATGCACTGTAGATTTAATGTCTCCGACTGGGGAGGCTACCAGCAACTACTTGATGTTAAATATATAAATAAATATTGATACTAGATAGAATTCGTGAAATTTTCGTCGTCGGTATATATTTCAAATTATAGCGAAGATGCAGATGAGATACAGGCATCCTAGATCGTTTCATCAGCTTCATACGTACATAGTACAGTAATTCTCGATTTATTGCTGGTACATTATCATGCAAATAATCTACAGTCGTTACCTGGTTTCTTTCTGGCCTTCTGGACTGTTCAGTGCCCCATAGCGACACGTTATCCCGGCGGTCTGAATGACGCAAGACAGAAGACAATAAAAACTCAAGGGAACAAAAAAGTGCCAAATAGGAGTCTTCTTTTTCTCTTCATTATCGTTCATGTAAACAACCAACATCAAATATCTATCAAACAAGATTTAGGAACTGATTCCCCTGACGACTCCAGTATTTATCATAATTGGCAAAGAACACTGCTCTTTGATCGGCTTGATCAACTTGCTTCATTTCAAATTCTCCACTGAGTGGCACTGACAGTCTGGCTACAGGGGTTATCCTGTTGAGAAGCAAGTAACACACGCAGACACGGCCTTGGATTGACGACTATCACTGCCCCAAACGCTCAAACTCGACGACTATTGGGACTCGTCATGGGAGTCCCAGCGTCCCGCCGGTTTTAGGGCAGTTGTCGGGACCCATCAGTGACCACTATCGCTTGCGTTTATTGCGTCGCCTCCCCAGTCCTAGACCGTGTTCGACCCTCGTGCTGTTGAGGGGACCAGCCGCCAATTTGAAGATCGAACCCTCTTTCCCTGCGACAGTGCGACTTGTTTTGCAAATGAAAAAGAAAAAACGGGGCAGTACCATGGTACCATGGGTCGTACCTGCCCGTCAGTCGTACTGGTCGGGATGATTATCTCACTTTAATCTTTTATTCTCCTCTTCTTTTGCTTCTCAATAGATTCTCATTATAATGGGCTGAAGTTTCTCTCTCTTTTGCATCACTAGTGCTTAATTGTGAGGATTTTGTTTGAATTATCGCCATGGTTTCTCTATCTGCCTGGATCAGACACCCACGACGCTGGGTTTTCGTCGTCTCCCCCATTTTGGGTCTCTTCCTGGTCTATCATCTTCTCCAGACTCGTCCAAATGCCTTTGTTGATTCTCTGCCGATTGCGGGCGAACAGGAGGAAGAGGCCGTCTCATCATTTTCGCCTGCTCCTGATAGCGATAACAGCAGCACTCCCGCCATTACCACCGAGGCTACCAGTTGTAATTACATCCATGGGATGGAGGATATCCTTGTCGTCATGAAGACTGGTGTCACAGAGGTGCGGGAAAAAGTCCCTGTGCACATCAACACAACACTTAAATGTGTCCCGCACTATGTCATATTCTCAGACTATGAGGAGGAGATCGCCGGTGTCCGTACCTATGACGTCTTGCGCAGCGTCAGTAATGAGACAAAACAAGCAAATCTGGATTTTGGTATATACAATCGATTACACGACCAAGGACGAGAAGGACTTCTGGCTGCTGACTGGCGGGATGAGGCTAATGGCCCTTTTGGAAAACCGGGCAACCCAGGGTGGAAGCTGGATAAATGGAAATTTGTGCCAATGATGGATGAAGCGCTGCAGGTGCGACCCAATGCCAAATGGTATGTGTTCATCGAGGCAGATTCCTATATGGTGTGGCCGAATTTGGTAGCTTGGTTATCCCGGCTAGACCACAAAAAACCATACTATCTCGGGGCTCCGATGCAAATCGGCAATATTCTCTTCGCCTACGGTGGATCTGGAATAATTCTTTCAAACCCTGCAATGCAAATGGTCTCGAAGCACCGAGCTGGACAGTCTACAGAATTGGAAAAGTTCACTGCCGACAACTGGGCGGGTGATTGTGTGCTGGGAAAGGTGCTACACGATGCAGGCGTACGTTTGCTTTGGTCATGGCCGATGTTGCAAACTGCTCGCGTATGGGAATTGGATCATTTCGCTGAAGGCTATGGTCGGAAGCCATGGTGCTATCCAGCAATTTCTTACCATCACATGGATACACAGGATATCGAGGTCATGTGGCATTTTGACCAGGAATGGTTTGGAGATGTAAGTGATGATTCCCTGGTCTATCTGTTTACTGGTCTAACCAATGGATACAATGTAGGGGAAAAATTCGTTATTATTGCACGGCGACGTTTTCAAAAGGCTGATCCTCAACGAAACGTCCAATGAACATGACAATTGGGATAATTTATCCTCCGAAAATGCTAATGAACAGCATAAAGATTTGGTTTTCCAATCGGCGGATGACTGCGCGAAACATTGTGTCCAAAATTCCGATTGTCTACAGTTCTCTTTCGACAGCGGCAAGTGCCTGACGTCAAAAACAGTCATTCGGGGCGTCAACCATGCTACGATGCACTCCGGCTGGATGACAAAACGAATACATATGATTTTGAAGAAAATGAATTCGTGCCCCAAAGTGGAATACATTACATGAGACACGAGAGCTATATCTGTTATAAATATCTATTTTTGAGCCGGTGATGTGTATATGATATGACCTTGCATTGGGATAGGAAATTTGCATTAGTCTGCTGTGCGGGCTCGCGGTGGTCTTTTTGGGGAGTATTGGAGTACAAGGCATACTATTAACTTGGATTACTAGATAACTGCTAAAGCTAACAAATTCATTGCGTTCTATGATGGATATCTGACAGCCTCCTATCGATATAAATCCATCACCTCATAGCCAAAGGGTAAAGAAGCCTTGAATAATAAAAGCTTATCCAAGACGTGCTATGTCCACTCCCCCCCTCTTTGGAAATTTCTATTACGCTCATAGATGAGCCAGCTATGAATAGTCTTGTTCACCAGACACGGTCCTTTTCTGGGCTGTGATACAGGGGCTTCCTCTTTTCACTATTTTATAAAAAGATATCTAGGACTGATTTAGCATATGAGTGAAATAATACTACATACAATAAAACTTCACTATCATCTGAAAGGTTCCCTGTGAACTGAACCTTTGTATGTATATACACGCATCTTCTATATATATTATGTTGAGGCGTTTAGCAACATCTGAAACGAAACCACTGCAGGTTAGTATAAGGCTAAAAGCCCTGTAATAGATATATTCGATCCAACGCTCCTCAACGCCATCCGACCGGCATCTCTGGTGGCTAGACATCTTCGCCTCTACCAGGAGGGGCTTGTGTTGAAGTAATGTATGGCCCCCAAAAAACAAATATGACCCACACAATGATGCCGTCCGATGAGATGGTCGTATAGATTCAGGTGGCCGCTAATGAGGCTGTCCTGTAGATTGAAAGTATATGAAGGTCTTAATCTGCATATAATTAGCCCCACCTCATATAGAGAGATCGACGCGACCTCACCATGGAGTACCGTGAAAAATAGAGAACAGACAATATTTATTTATTCCACCGTATCTTTGAAAAGAGGAAAATTCATAATTCTGATTTTTGATAGAACCAGTAGTGTTCCCATGCTGTAGCACACTCTTATGATGAAACAAATCGGAGAATGATATCGTTAAATGTGGATGTCCACGTTGTGCTCAACCACTCATCGTATTCTCTGTTGGCTCGCGGAATGTCTCTGGAAAAAAACCTGGTGGGGGCCAAATGTCTGCGATGGATGTTGGGTGGACCAGTGGCTGAGACCCCACTAGTCTGTCTGGATCATCACAAAACGCTTGGAATGTGTTATCATCTATGAATCCAAAATCCCTCAGGCCCGCCTCGCGGCTGTTAGCCCACTCGGTGGTATCCAGATACGCCAGGTCCTTGAAGATGGTATCGATATCACCTGTTGGTGAGTTTTCACCAGGATTACTGGTATTGAGCATCATGTTATCGGTCATGGAGCGATCATTAGGGCCTGTACCAGACATCATCGTATTTGAAACAGATGAATCAGGAGTTGGTGGCTGGGGATGTGAGGTCGGTGGGACTGCTACCTTAGGCCTATTAGTTGGCGTGGATTTGTCCATGAATGTCGGTGTTCCATCCATAGGTGGTTGAAGAGATACGTCCATCATGGACAAATCCGCATTTTCCATGGCCGTGTCCTTCGGTGTCATGTACTGTCCATCAACTGGGATACTGATACCCAGAATTGAGCTATAGTCTGGATTAGCAGGGTTTGCCAGCATATGTCTTCTTGCCTGTGGGTGCATTGGAGTTTCGCCTTGCAGCCCCTGGGGTCCTGCGGTAGACATTGCCATGGCATCACTAGGGAACCCATTACTCGACCCACGCGCAAACCCGTTCCCATCTGTCATTGGCTGCTGGAAGGAGAGATATGATGTCTCTGGCAAGTCCTTGGACTGATACCAACGCTCGATATCCGTTGTCAATGATCCATACACAGGCCACACCGGACTGAGCTCGGATGTTCGTTGTAGAAGTGCTTCCGTCCAGCGTGCAAAGGGAAAGGTGTCTGATTCAATGTTATTCCGCAGTACAAATGCCTGTTCAGCGATCGTATGTAAGGAAAGTTCAAAGATCGGAGGAAGACCACACATCTGAAAATTTTCCAGATGCTGTGTTATCACTGGGAGCGCCCGGTATAGGAGTTTCTTTGCACCTTCAATAGCGGGTCGTTGCGAATGATGCAAGCCGATTTCCTGTGGAGCAATGCGTAGGTAGAGCCAAAGTAGCGTGGCAGTATAAGTTAGGCCAAGGTAGGTTTGGTGTGGGAGTAAGGCAGAGTGTCGCTCGGGGTAAATACTTTCAGGCCCAATCAGCCGACATGCTAGCGGCAGATGGCCATCCCACTGCTTCAGCTCCAACACTAATTGCTGGGAGAACCCTTGCATTTTGGGCCCAGCCGACGCGTTTCGGGCGATCTTGTTTACCACGCTGGCCAGTTCAACAAGACGATTAAAGCAACTGAGGGCAAGCAAAGGGCCTCGCCGCGGGGGATTTTTGCCTGGTGTGGCTTCCATAGGTGGCAGGACATCCGCCCAGCAATTCCACTCCTCCAAGCCGTCCTCCTCAAGCAGAGTGACATTCGTCAGGTCCCGAGGATGCATACAAGGTCTTCGAGAAAGACGGAAAGAGAGCAGGGAATCGATCACAAAACACCCGAGAAACACAGCCTTGCCCTGTCTCAACTCCTCGGATCGTCGAGTGTCGGTAACTGTACTGAGATCCATGGCAACAGCCATATGCACGGCTTGGCTGCTCAGTAGCCAGGCAGCAGTAAAGTCTCCCAGACCAATGTTCACCAATGACAATAGCAAAAGTGACTGTAGGTGTCCTAGCTCATACCGCTCCTGCTCTGGTGGGATCAGTTTCCGCGCAATTGAATAATACTCCCTGGTCTTGGAGAGCAGGCCCGACGGCCCATCACGTGGGTAGCCCTGGGATTGGGAAATGGTGTAGCTCAGTATTGCCCATAGTGCAGCATGATCACCAGAGCCAGGAGACACGCTTGCCACGGACAGGGGGGCATTGGCGTAGAGATAAGAGGCGCGAAGAATGTTGTGTTTCGCCACAATGGGGAACCAAGAGTGGGTGATGGCGAAATAGGCATCTAGCAACTGCGATGTCTGGGGAGGAAGTCGTAGAGAATTAAGGGGATTATTGGGGTGCGACACGGCTTGACTGTCGGTCGGTAAAGCTAGCCGGGCTCTTTTGGTACGAGGAGAGACAGAAGGTTCGACTACACGTGGAGCATCAGGCCCAAGAGGAGTTGAGGTACGATCAACGCGGAATCCCCATTCTCCATCTAAAGCAGAGATGTCTTCATGTTCTTCCCGGGATCGTTTGCCCGAAGTTTGCGATGACGATGGCGGATCGGAGTTGGACAGCATTTTCTCGAGCGCGCCATAGAGGCGACTGGTTTTCCAAGACTCATGTAGGCTCTCTGAAGCGCCATCGTCTGTCCACAGCGACATCAACTTGTTCCTCCGACTAGTCGATTCAGCGGTGACGCCTAGAAGGCCCAGCATGGTATCCTCAAAACCATCGATGTTGCAGAGAGACAAAGCCCAGAGCTTCTCTAGACCGCGAACATAACCTTCGGGCAATCCGCGCTTCTTTGCATGAGGATCGTATGAACAAGTCTGGCCCGAAGCCTGGCAGGCGGAGCAAGCGGGACGAAGGCCATCGCATTTATCCTTAAGACACAGCAATTTTGGATGTCAGCATTAGACGGAGAGCTCCCGGCAGGTTGTTGAACGAGAGAACTGGCCACTCTCTCTCCATCTCTCTTCGAAAGTGTCTTAAGAGATAAACAGAATAATAATAAAAAGAAAAAGAAAAAGATAAAGAAAAAGGAATCAACTAACTTTCTTGCTTCGACACCTATCACAGGCTCTGGAAACCCTCTTGCGTCGAGGGGCTTTTGGATCGGAACCCTCGTCCATGGAGGAGGGTCAGTTAGGGCGGAGAGGGCATGTCATGTAGCAAGGAGATCGAGGGAAGACGATCAGCAGACCAGCGATATTAATCAACTTGAGAGAAGCCGACTTAAAAAGATAAAATAAAATAAAGTAAAGTAAAGTAAAGTAAAATAAAATAAAATAAAATAAAATAAAATAAAATAAAATAAAAAGAGGGGGGAAGAGAGAGAAGAAACAGTTGCAACTAGAGTGTAAAGTCAAATGATGTCGCGAAGAGTCTCAAAACCGCATGATTTCCACGGCATTAAAAAAAAAAAAAAGGCGCAACCGGAAGGTCAGAAAGGGAAGAATTGCGCAAGGTTGAGAGAGAGAGAGAGATAGGATTTCCCAAATTGGATTGACACAGCCACTACAGGGTCCTTTTTTTCTCTCTTCCTTTCTTCTTTATTATTATTACTTTCCTTCTGTAAATCGGCTTTTTCCAGATTATAATTTTTTTTTTTTTTAAGCGAGGCCAGATCGAACGGAGGACGCGGGCAGAAGCATCCCGAGGCAAAGATGCACGGCTTCAAGCCTAAAACATCGGGGCGAAAGTCGGGAAGTGGTTCGATGGAGAGAGACAGAGAGACAGTTCCGACGGATTTCCCCACATTCAGCACCCCACGACACCCCACAATGTGCTTTGCTACAGGATGCATGGATGTTTAGTATGTCTGATAAGGAGGTGTATGGGACACTGAAGACTATTCTTTAGTCATTCATTCAGACAACCTTCCATTGGTATGAACTCAGGTTGGCTTTATCCTGAGCTGGTTGGAGACGGACTTAAAGAGTCGAAAGACGGACGGTTTTTTCCGTAGCCGGTTCTTCCCTGCCATTAGCCCCGTAGATACGGAGTACTCCATATGCTAGTAGTAGTACTAGGAGTACCTGGAAGAACCCGACGTCCCGACTCCATTTGCCCAGGAAATTGCATCCATATCCCAGCTGATACTCCTTTCACAATCCAATCAGCACTTACCAATGGCAACCTGCTGGGTTACTGCTGAATTTCGGTGCTTTGTTCCAACTAAGTATTTGCCTTGATGGAAAATGTGGAGATTATCAACTGCCCCACGGGCGAAGAATCGCGACCACATTCAGTATCCATCTCCGATTGAGGATCAAATCATCAGGCAAAGATCGCAAGCAGTAGTGACTGATCTATTAATACGGTCCCATGATTTAAGCCTTTCTAGAAATAAAAAAAGAACGCTCCATCGGGGCTGAGTGCTTGTTCCAACGGCATCCCGATCAGGGTTGCATTGGCTTCTGTATTCTCCATACGAAATGCTTCAATAAACAGTACTAGCAAGGGACTCTAATCTTAACTCTCTAGCGTACATGGTTATATTCTCATCCTTTCTATTATTGCCACAGAATACTAGAATCGATGGCATGTTGTGAGCCGCGGATCTATACTTGAAGCCTGGTAGATATTCATTGTAGTCTGATATCTATGTAAACTAGCAAATCTTCCCAGAAGGTACTTTCTGTCCGTCTACCAGTTCATTTTCAATTCAACTCCCAATCATCATTCCATTAAACTTGGATATTTATTATAGATTTTTTGACGCCTTGACAGAAATGTCATTCGGTCAGAAATCACTGCGGTTAAACCCTTTACCGGCCGCTATCGGCGGCAGGCGGTGAATAGCGGCAATTTCTCCATCTGGGGAAGGGCTTTGAGCAACGGCAGTTGAGATGCCCGCAACCGAAAGGAAGAAGAATCATCACTTGGTCACACTCAGTGGTGCTTATTGCTCTTTGTGTGTCTTGGTTGCGGTCATCCCATACCAATTCCTGATTTACCTTTCTTTTGCCATTCCTGTGGCTGAATCCTCCAGAAGACCAGTCTTCGCAGCATGCAAGCTGGGAAGTGCCATCTCCGCATCTCCAAACCCCCCACGCACACTGGACGATCGATTTCTCGCCGCTACATTGGACACAAGACACTCCCTACTTTTCAATCAGCAACGGTAATATGGCGCTCTTGAATGGCTAGCTGCGGAAGAATTGAATATACCTAACTTTCTGACTTATTTGGCCCATCTATTTATCACCCATCAATCGATCGATTCAGTCCGGTCATTATGCATCATCCTCTCGGCACCTATGATCGCCGAAATATCGCCCCGGATGCCTCACTGGTGCTGGTCGGTATCCGTGGCTGTGGGAAGCGCTCCTTGGGATTTGTTGCAGCTACGGCCCTGAAACGACGTTTTATCACCGAGGACCACTATTTTAAAAAGATCACTGGACTCACCCGTCATGAGTATCTCAAGCGCTTCGGTAGCCATGAGTTCCAGCGTCGCGATATCGAGATCCTGAAGATGATGCTCGACAATAATCGCTCTAGCTGTGTCATTGAATGTGGCCTGGGTAGTCTCACCCGGCCTGTTCAGGAACACTTGCGTCTCTATTCCCAGACCAATCCTGTTGTTTACCTAATTCGCGATATAGACCGCATCCAGTCCTTACTGGGCTTGGAGGACCAGTCCGTTCGCTTGCTACGTGAAGGCGATCCCTTGCATCGAACATGCTCGAATTTTGAGTTTTACAATATTGAAGATCGCTCCAGCGTATCTGCCCAGTCAGGCGAAGAACCCCCAGACAGACGCTCTGCCGACTATTCGTTCAAATTAAAGGAGGCAAAGGAAGATTTTACCCGCTTTATCCACTTCGTGACAGGCGTTGAGGTGGATCACCCCGGTTACGATTCGCCATTTGTCCTGCTAGAAACGCCCCCGGAGCTTCGGTCCTTTACTCATGCGATATTCGTTCGTTTCTCCGACCTCATCGAGGAAGCTATAACTTTCACTGAGCTTGAATCGGGAGGAGATGCCATTGAGCTATGCATAGATCGCTGGGATTCAAACATGGCGAGCACTGTGAGCAAGCAGGTTTCTTTGCTACGGAGAAATGCTCGCGCCCCCATTATCTTTTCCGTCGACACCTCAGTTTCTGGTATCGGTGCTGGAGATTTCTCGTCTTCTCAGATGCGCCAACGATATTTTGAAATACTAGAGCACGGTCGACGGTTGGCCGTGGAATACCTATCCGTGGATCTAGGCCAGGACCAGGACATGTTAGGCCAGATCATCCGCAACAGGGGTATGACAAAGATAATCGGCCATTATGTGTTCGAGCCGCCTTCTGGAATATCATGGGATGACGAGGAATGTTTTTCACTTTATCTCGAAGCTGAAAATCTCGGTTGTCAACTGGTTCGCATCCTCCGTTTGGCAACGGAACGTGAAGATAATGCGGCCGTCGTCAAATTTACAAATAAGATCCAGTCCTTACCAGGAACACGCCCACATCTAATTGCCTACAATATCGGCCGTCTTGGGCGCACCTCTCAGGTTTTCAACTCTATACTCACGTCTGTCACACACCCGGCCATCAACCGCTCAATCGAAAATGAAAGAGATCCCCAAATAACTTCGCGAGACGCGGTGCAGGCCTTGTTTCAGAGTTACATGCTTGACCCGCTTCAATTCTATATCCTTGGGGCGGACGTATCTTATAGTCTATCACCAGTCATGCACAATGCCGCCTTCCGGCATTGCGGTATGAGCCACACTTACAGCATTCCGGAATCGCCTTCCCTGACAGTATTGGACCGGCTGGGCCGGGAGCCAAACTTTGGAGGGGCCAGTGTTATTCAACCATGGCGGGTGCAAGTTTTCCAGAAGCTAGCTGCGAAGAGCCGCCACGTCGAAGCGATTGGAGCAATAAACACAATTATGCCACTACGCTCCCAGGCTGATGGAATTATGTTTCCTCTACAAGAACAGGCCAGCCGTCGCAATCAGGCAGGGCCTGTGCTAGGCTGGTATGGGGAGAATACGGACTGGGTGGGGATCATGACCTGTATCAGTCGCAATCTCTCTCCTCGCAATGCTATCAATCCACTCAAAACGACCGGATTGGTTATTGGGGCAGGTGGCATGGCGCGGGCCGCTATTTATGCCATGCTCCGACTGGGATGCCGCAAAATCTTCATCTACAACCGGACTCTGTCGCGGGCAGAGAGTGTATCTCAACATTTCAACTCCTGGGCCTCGTCTCAGGCAGACTCGGCGGAAGTTGTGCGGGTTTTACAATCATTGGAAGATGACTGGCCATCGGATGCTTCACCTCCAACTCTAATAGCATCCTGCGTACCAGCAGATCCGGATAGGGACGAACCCCCGGCCAATTTTGAGATGCCTACGCAGTGGCTGGGCAGTTCAACTGGCGGACTGGTTCTTGAGGTAAGCTATTTGCATCCTTTGGGGGTTGATTTGTCGACTAACTGTGTTGGGATATAGTTTCCTTATAAACCTCTAGACACACCGTTGCTGCAACAGATGCGCCGCCTTCGTTCTGAGACAGAGCAGCCATGGGTTTTGGTGGACGGATTAGACAACTTCTTGGAACAGGGATTCGCACAATTTGAGCTGATGACGGGACGCAAAGCTCCTCGCCGACTAATGGCACTTGAAGTTCTCCGGAACTACGATGGTGAAAATGGGAAATTTGATGAAAAAACGATTCAGTCCCGACTTGATGGAGTTTGTTAGAGCATGTTTCTACCAGGACCAAAACATCGCTGTATATGTATATATTCAAAGACTACCTAGTACCCCTGTATGTATAATACAATCTATCTCCCTTGATAAAAATGTGTGAGAAGTGATACTATGATAGCATTTGCATGGAGACATGTGTAATATGTTGATACTTAATTAGCTGTCCAACTCAGTCCTTAACTGCTCCGGCATGGCTAGGTACCTAGCATCAAGGGATGTACGGAGTACCAGTACCTCCAATTAGCCGGCATCTTGGCCGAGGGGCAAAGTACCCGTGACAACAAGACAAACAATCGTCAGCCTGCCAAGGGGTTACTAACGCCCAAAAAAGATTAGAGGCATGGGCCCTGGTAATGTGAGTGATCTCTGATTGGCGCTCATGCTTTTTAGCTGTCAAGGCTACCTAGTACCTGGTTCTTTCTGAGTTTCAGGTCCCAGCTACAACGACCTTTCTTTCTTTCTCCTACAAAGCGCTTGGGTGGTTGAAGGTGTTGTTTTTTTGAGAGAAGCGAAATCTTCTTCCTCCTATTTCCCCTTCATATTACACTGTCCATATCTTCTATCTTTTTCTCGATATCACCCAAACCCCTTTCTCCTCATCTCCGACCGTTATCCGCCCATGAATGTGTCTGACTGCTTTACAACCACCGTTCCATCCACCATGCCGGGCATCTCGTCTGAGCAAACAGACCCTTTTTCTGCTGCCAGCTTAAAGAAGCGAAAGAGGGATCCAATGCAGGATGAAGTCGTTAATTTGGGTCATCCGTAAGCCCTCAGTCTCACCTCTATCCTTTCGAAGGATGAGAAATTTCTGGAAGAACTTCGCTGATGATATCATGCAATTGATTACAGGACCATTTTTATGCCATCATCGCTCCATAGCCCGGGTCCTTCGTTTCGATTAGACTGCTCAGAGATTCCCAGTGAAAATGGAGAATTTACCTATCGCCATCGTTGCCTTCCCCGGAAACGACGCGTTCTCCAACAACCATACCTTCAGCACCAACAAACCTGGCCAGACGGTTTACGAGCTGCCCCACATATCAATACGGCACAGAAGCTTCTATCATCGAACATCTGTCTTTCCTCGGCGTCGAATACTGCCTCCCCGCCTATTTCTCCCAAGACTCTTATCCCCTCCCACCCGCATCAACAAAACCCGAACCCTTGTACATCCGCTTCGTCCCTCCGTCCATGTCACATTTGCCATCGACGACCCACAACAAGAGAATTACTCGACGCCTATGCTGACTGCGATCTGTGTGGCCAGCGAGCTTGCTACATTTGTCTCCGACAATGTGACGCGGTCGATTGCTGCGGGTCCATAGATTTGTTTGCAAACAATCTTTTTAGGGACGGATCAGACAGGCTGCAGGAAGGTATCGATGGCAATGAGACCGGACTCAGACAGCCTCGGAAAATATGCTCTTCTTGTGCGGTAGAAGGGGTAACCGATATGGGGATGGAGGTGGTACGATGTCTTGATTGTGTTAGAGGTCACCTGACTCAATGGCCTCCTGGTCAGTCCGGATGAGAATAAATCGACGCAGACAAGACATACTATATGGAACTGGTGCTCGAACCTAGTCTTTCACCCAAAACTTCTGCATCAAGCTCTCACCCATCCTAAATACCACGAAGTGGATGATCAGAGCTGCCCAACCGACCCTAAAACAAAATGAAATGAATAGAATAGTGATACCAGCACATCATTTAGTGCATATATTTACAGGACAGAGTTAAGGAGCATTTACTGGATTGATCCAGGCCGATGAGGCGGCAGGTGGAATAAACAATGCCAACCCATGAGATCAACACAATTATTATACTGATCAAATAGGATATCATTGCATGACATGACATCTTGGGAATCTTATATAGATATTAATGGGGTGGATTTAGATCATCAGTCGGCTTTCTATTTCGCATGGTTTACTAGAAATGCCCGTTAGAATACAGCATTCATATCTTTTCATATTCCATCGAGGCCATGGAGTAAGAGATCTATTGCCATTGTCCCGATCTCAAGTGTCAGATGGGAACTTAATCCAGTGTGTTATTTGACTGGATACAGAACTTACCAATGGGCTAGTTACTTGCCTCTGCGGAGACAGTTAGACCCAAGCACAGTAAGTAGGTCTGTAACATCTCAATCATTGGAGACCAGTCTAGCCAGAATATTTAGTGGAAGTTGTTGTTATAGAACTGCCCCTAATCACTATGAACTAGGTATCTTACGACCCTTTCTAGACGAGGGAAGAGATAAGCTGCTAAAAACAGCCAAGCTCGGCATGCGCGGTCTGACAATTCTATCCCAACTATAAGCCCTATCTAGAAGAGGGGGCGTCAAACATCCCACCGAATTCCTGAAGGAGTAGCTCACAGCTGCCGCTAGATGCTCATGCTGACGTTCCCCTCGAAAGCCAGTGGGACAATCAGGATGTCCTTCCCCCCAGGTCATTACACTGTGATATCTATTAGCAATTGTATTCATTTGCAAGGATGTTGTTCGACATAAGAGACAGAAATAGAAGGCTTTATCTTCGGGGACGCCCAATTTCTAGGCCCGAGCCTGTCGTACAACTTTGTTGAGTTGCAAACAGGCCTGGTTCTTCCTCTATCTCCTGGGGGCCATTGCAAGTTGTATCTTTTCATTGCGTATCCACATGAATCCGGATAAGGACTCGTGTAACAACTTGGCTCTGATAAAAGACACTAATGACCGAGGATTTCGAATAGTATCCTAAACCCTGGTGATCGACTGTAGTTGTAGTCATTGCGGTGATTGTGTTACTCTTTCCTGCATCCAATCTAGCTTCTTCTGAACTCATCACCCCTCATGACATCCACCTCTCCCTGTCCCTCAACCTCCTCTTTCCCTCAGTCTGCTTGTTTATCCTCACTTTGACTGACCCCATCACTCACTGTGATAATCTTGCAGTACCAAATCTTATCATATGAAACCAGACAACATGCTGCATTGGCGCTTGCTATTGAACTCAGATCAAGTGGCTGATGATCAAATGCACCCAACTCAGTCCAGACCAGCAAGCTACCCAGTCTTTGTCTATGATTCTACGCATGCAAACTTGAATTACGTGGCAGAATATGTATCCCGAGGCGTCATGGAAACTGCTGTCCTACTCTGCCCAAAGCAGCCTGCATCAAACTGGTGAGATGAACTGGCTGGATCACATTTCCATCACCTCCAGTGTAGAAAGGGGTCACACCCAACCAAAAAGGAAGCTGCCATGATATCAGGCTTATTCTGAGCTGAGCATCGAGATAAATAGCCAAGTATTGCCTCTAGGCTGCATGCTTTTGGAACAAGAAGTCTCGTCTACAGAATACTCGTTCAAAATCGCTCAGCAAAATGTCTTCTCCAGTCCTACCCGGTGCTGCTGTGGCAGCTACTGTCTCTTCTGTAAGTAAATGACTATCCTGTCAGATGTTCCAGAAGTTCACCCGTCACATAATAGTCTGCATCACTGGGATTTGTTCCTGTAGCCATTCATTTTGACCTTTTTGCCATTCTGGTGCATCTTGGAAAGTCTACGGCAGTGGAAGAGGTGACAAAGGTCTGCAATGATCGGATCCATGAGAGATCGAAGGATGAGCCAGGACTTAGTATGTAAAAACTTGAAAACATATACACCGGCTACAGACTAAGCTGACTGGAAAAAGGTGAAACTTTGGCAGGTTTGTCGTTTTTGCTCTTCAAGTGCTGAGACAACATCTAATTACCTACTAGCGGATACACTTTATATCATGGCAGGCCTGGGCCTAGTCGACCAGGAAAGCGAGAATATTTTCAGCCCTAACTCTATTACCGAACATATGGTAAAATTGCCATCCTCACAGCAGGGAGCGCTTCATTTGTTAGTCAAATCTTCCTTGAAAGTTATGTGTGCTAATAAAGTCTCCAGCACGACCGAAGTATTGTTTGCTGGCGCATTCTTGATGCGAAAATTGAAGGCTACTAATTTTGAATGGCCCATGCGCGAGGCAGATGGCCCAGTGCAGTATGCCTATAAGCTAATGGGATATGAGGAACTCTCCAAGTTGCATACATACTCTATCATGGCCCACGAGGGCCGGATGGATAGTTTCAATCAGTTTATGACAGGCAAATTTTCCAAAACACAGAAAATGCCGGATCGTCTACAGGGATTTGGATACGACTTGAGTCCTGCAATTGCCGCTAATGAAGATTCGGTTGCCATGGTGGACATCGGCGGTGGCCGTGGAGAGTTACTTCTGGAAGTGAAAGAAATTTATCCAGAACTAGGCCCAGAAAACCTTGTGGTTCAGGAATTCAACCCAGATATTGGTGAAATCCCTGGAATAACCTTAATGGAGTGGAATTTCAAAGAACACAGCGAACAGCCAATCCGGGGAGCCCGGGTTTATTGGCTGCAGCGTGTCTTGCACAACCTACCGGATCTGGAGGCCATCAAACTGCTACAAAAGGTTGCAAAGGCGATGGCTGCACATTCCCGATTGATTATACTCGAAGCTGTGAAGAGTGTAAGCCACGCAGGTCCGCATGCAGCGATGATTGCCCTTTTTGCTGCTCGCGAGCGCAGCCTCTCCGAGTGGAAGAAGATGGCCGCTATATGTGGTCTCGAGGTTACCTTTGAGGCTTATCCGGCTAAAGGAGAATGTTTGATCGAAATGAGGAAGGCAGAAAGATAGATCATACAACTATAAGCGGTATCTGTTGGGTATTTGTAATCCACTATTCACTGTTATCAATATATCAGTTTACTTGCCGCTGGCCATGCAGTCAATGAGAACGAGTTTAATTATTCAAATACCTCAGAGACTATGACTTTACTCTTATGGTAAGATCATTATAATTGTGCCTATTAGGCAATGTGCCAATATTCGCAGCCAAGCTGGCGAGATGGATTTCCACAACATTGGCCTTTGCTACAAAAGACTTGAAGCACAGAAGAGACCATGCTATACAGCCATACATTTATGAAATCACAATGACTAAAATCTCTCCTGCGGATTGCAATATGGCCAAAGGCTTGAGATTTAGTCATGGGACTTTCCCACCTCCATCACACCATCATATCGTCTGTGATACGGGCCTAGAGTTCGATCGACAAGACTAGATGCTGTGTTACATGCAACCTTGGCCAAAATAGCACGTATTCAAAACACATATCAATGTTGGCTCTCTAGCTTTTGTATGGTTACAATGGTGTTTTATCAAGCTGGTCGTTTACCTGATGGCAGGGTATGATCTTCATCCACCCCACACCCATCAATCAGATTTATTCATAGATCAAAGCGACTTCTCAAGCAATAGCTCATGGTGATAGCTAAGCTGATTTACAGACCTAATCACCGTCGATTGACAGCATAAAATTCCCCAAAATACCCCATTATGCCTTTTGCGTGATTATTGAGGTTCTGATCATCCTTGAAAATGTACCACGTTGGCACCCCTTGTAGAGGGAGTTTCTGCGCCTCATGTTTCTCGGGCCGCATGCTATGATTGAAAATTGCATATAGTTTCTGAAGTATTTGAGTTGCAAACTAGGAAGGTAACTTGCTGAGTCCTACATCAAACAATGCTCTTTCACATTGATTGGCCATCTTTGTCCTGCTGCTGACTTGACCCCAAAATCCAAATCAAACAATGGACCGTATCACGTCTACGGCATTGCTTCCAGAAATACCCACAAGGCGTGATACTCTTCAAAAGTCACCTCTGGTGCTCGATGCCTCTTACAGAACCCCGGGGTTAGTTAAAACTGTCAATTTCATTCTCTGGGCAAAGTAAGCAATCATAAAAATTTTACTATATAGCCAGAAGTGCTCACCACAGCTTACCTTGTGTCCAGAATCGAGAACTGCAGTATAATTCTCGCTTCCTGCCCTGCAGCCATTGGACTCTTTTATGGACTTTTATCGACCACCATGGCCAAAGCCGAAGCTTCAGCTACTGGCCCCGATCAAATGCCAGTGAACACAGCGATACAGAGATGCAAACTCACCGTCACGGTAATCACCAGAACACAACTGACATCGCTCATAAAGGCTACCACGATAGCGGTAGCTATTGTCAATACAGACATTGTTCTCAAGGTCGACGACAGAAACTGTCCGATATCTTCATCGAATGCCTAGATTATGCCAGGACATTCAGCGAGCAGGGACAAAGAAAAAACGATAGGGACATTGAATATTGAGGTTTTTTACTTAGTAAATAGTGGAAAACTTCGACCTTATTCTTCATATAACCCAGTGGGCAAATAAAAACCGGTACCCCCTCCTCCCCCTTTTGAGACGGTAAGAATATCCAGTAGGTCTCCCATTTCTGGCCATTGATATCGTAACAGCACATGGCTGGTAATACCAGCAATACGGCCATGGAATTATAGATAGCACCGAGCCACAGTGATTCAGATAGACGTGAGGAGAGGTTATTGTTCTGTTGGTATTGCCCCCATGACGTTATGATCACGTGTATGCGTCTCGATCGAGAGTTCGAGATCCCGCAGGTCGGCGACGTCGACAACGTACACGCGGCGTCACTAATCAAATCATTTCATTTCAAAATCGAAGGAAAATTGAAGATGGAACTAACTACCGTCTGAATCTAAGAAATAATGGGAATCAAGAAGTCACCAATCCTTGGCCGCAGGGGCTCAGTTTCTTCCGAAGAGGACTTCTTCGACATCCCCGATGAACCTTGCCTGGCGATAGCCAAAAACCAACTAAGACGCATTCGAACTTGGGTAGTTTTTGCTATCCTAGTTCTTCTAATCCTTTATTCCAGACGCGAACGTCCAAAGCCACCACCATTGCCCCACATTCGGTACGACTTGGTTGATTGGTCCCGTTACGCCTATAGCCAGTATGCAACTTCGGAATCTTATCTTTGTAACGCTGTTATGGTCCTGGAAGCTTTGGATCGACTAGGTAGTCGAGCGGACCGGATCCTTTTCTACCCAGAGTCATGGGATACAGAGGTCTCGAGCGCGGGTGATAGGAGTAGCCAATTACTGGTGATGGCTAGGGAGAAATACAAGGCTCTACTTATACCCATTGATGTGCAGATGATTAAGGGGGGTTCGGGTATGTGGAAGAAATATAACATCCCAATATTGTGACGATGAGATCAGAGAACTAATTTAATTGAAATTGGTACAGGGGCTACCGAGTCATGGGATACCAGTATCTCGAAACTTCTTGCTTTTGGCGAAACGGAATATGAAAGGATCATTCATCTCGACTCCGACGTCAGCGTTCTGCAAAATATGGATGAACTGTTCTTCCTTCCTCATAACCAGGTCGCAATGCCGCGGGCATACTGGGAGCTTCCGGACACGAAACAACTTTCGTCCCTCATAATAGTGCTTGAGCCTTCGTATCATGAATATTATGCTCTCATGGAAGCTGCAAAGCCAGCCATGTTTGGCCAAGTTGATATCAACGCATCTTCCACACATAAATATGACATGGAACTTATGAATGACCGCTATGCGGATTCTGCCACGGTTATTCCCCATCGCCAATACGGATTGGTAACAGGGGAATTTCGGGCTCAGGATCACACCAAATTTTTAGGAAATGACTACGAAATCTGGGATCCTGACAAAGTCATGCGTGAGGCCAAGCTTGTGCATTTCTCTGACTGGCCACTACCGAAGCCTTGGATCATGTGGCCTCATGATTTGCTGGTTGAGATGCTGCCCAAGTGTAAACATAACCCTGGGAAACCGGGGGAAAGTGGATGCCGTGATCGGGAAGTGTGGAAGAATCTCTACGATGACTTTCGCCGAAGGAGAAAGGTTTGAACATACCACCTCTATTAGACATGAACGTGACTGACATTTAATCCTAGGACGTTTGCAAGCTTCTCAGCTTTACTGCGCCCGAGTGGCCTCCAAGAGAACCACTTGAATAGGTGCTTCATCTATTCATGAAGCTTTATGTGGAGTTTTGGGTACATAAGTGGGGTTTGAAACGGCATATAGAATGGTGTTTTCTTGAATTTTCAGATCGATTTTAGGCATATTTCTGTATAGTATAAATTTGCAATCACTGTATAGTAGGACAACAAAACGGCATTATAATACCCCAGTCAGATAGTTTCCAAGTATCTCGCGTGATTGAATGCTGATATTTATTAGTACACCCAAGAAATTGCAGGGTCATATAGGCAATCACAGTCTCACAAATAATCATTTGAACGAAAAAATACTTCCGAGGTAAATGAAACAGACGGCACAAGCCTATGTCTAGGCTGATAAGATTCAGTTTTTTTGTTATTTTGACATGCTGCTTGTACCATAGTGGGGACACAAATAGTGTATGTGTTAGTGTTTATCTTTCCTGCTCTGGTATTTCATCAACATACCGCAGGATTAATATATAATAAGGAGACCCTCTTTTTGGACTTTAACCAGCGCCTTCTTCATTAATCATTTACCAGACACTTTGGCACAAATTCACCGATACCATGTCATCTGATCGATATAGCGTTGCAGTCTTTCTGCTGGCGTCCATATCTTGGGCATCAAGCAGCAACTTCAACATCACAACTGATGAGTTCACTTTCAGTTGTGCCCCGCTGACAATACAAAGGTCTGATCCTATTATTTCTCCAGGGGTGGCCTCTTCCCATACACATGTGGTTGTTGGGGGCACAGCATTCCAAAGGACCATGTACGATGACACAGCCAAAAATGCCAGTGACACAACGTGCGGCCCTGAAATCGACAAGAGCAATTACTGGATCCCTCAGTTATATCATCAAATGAAAAATGGGTCGTTTGAGCTTGTGGAGTTCCAAAATAGTGTAAGTGACATGGTGAAATACACTGCTAGGATGCGAGGACTGATAAGTCGAGCAGGCCATTTACTACTTCAATAGAGCATGTGACTATACCGAAAATGCTACTGCCTGCGATCAGGGTCAGTTACCACTCGCTCCTCCGGCTGGGCTGCGTATGGTAGCTGGTGATCTTTTCCTTCGGTAAGAAATGGTAAATCGAGCCTTTGTCGGTAGGTACTGATCGAGGGGAATTTCCCCAGTGCTTATAATGACTCCAACTTTGCGCAACGCGCTGTGTCCCACATGTGTATTATGCCAGATGGAATTTCGCACGAAACAAAGCATCTTCCCCGGCAGCCCTGTTCTCTGCTGAGGTCCCAAGTGTTTTTTCCTTCTTGCTGGGACGGGAATAATCTTGACAGCCCTGACCATAAAAGCCACGTGAGTATTTTCGCATTGTGCCATGCAAAAGTTACGTCACGCCTGATTCTATGTGCTAATTCTTCATCAGATGGCTTATCCTGGCTTTGGGGATTATAACAAGGGTATATGTCCAGAGTCTCACCCGGTAGCAATTATCTCGATTTTCTATGAGTTCTTCTTCAACACAAAGCCTTTCCCAGATTACGAGAATTGGGTATATGCGATGGGCGACCGGACCGGGTATGGACTTCATGGGGACTTCATCAATGGGTGGACAGACCAGAGTTCCCTGCAGTATGCTTTAGAAACATGTACTGGTTCGAAGGGTCTGCATGATCCGGGGTGTTCGATTATGAAAGGCCAGCGCAGGTCTCTGACTCCTTTACACCAGCCTCTGAAAATATCTGTTCCGGAAGAGGAGTTGGGGCAGCATGGGCCTGTTCCAAAATTACCAGGCTGTAATCCTGTAACGGGTTTCTCGTGGGAATAATGATCCAGAAATGTCGAGTAAAGATCGAAGTTCAGTAGCAAAGGCTCAAAAATGTAATTCTTGTGTATAATAGAAAATTGTTTTTTGAGAGCCACCCGGAAGGGACAAGAAGCTCCCAGCTGGAAAGCCTCTTGGTTCCATTCCAGCATCGTGGGTGTTATCGTGTATTGAGTATACTGTTATCCCGATGTCCTCGGGATTAGATCCAATCGCTGACCCTCACGAAAGCGTCCTGAAAACCTTGATTTTCGACGATCATTGCAGTTTTCTCTCAGCGGTCTGGAAATTGATCCTAAGTGGTCACATTGAAACGTTGGTCGAATTTTGAGAGATAGCAATGGCTTCGTGGAGGTTGTCATCACGACCTTCACGAATGTAGTTGGCCATCAGAATCGCTAATGGGCCTGTCCAGGTGATGCGATGAAAAGCCCAATCTCAACAAAATCGCTATTTCATATAGCCCATCCCCTTTCTCCACCACTGCCAGACACCGCGTTGCTCCATTAAGTTCCCAAACTCCTTCACACTTTCCACCTCTGAAATCCCGGCCTGAGTTCCCTCTATGAAGGCCGTTGGCCGAGACCGTTCATTTGGATCAACCTTGCAGTCTTGGTTTTCATCCATCAACATACCCGGACGAGTCACGAGCTGAAAATCTTTATATCGCAGATTTCGCACCACACTCACCCAAGACTCGACAGCCTCTTTGTCCTGTCCCTCCACATACATGATACCCGGACAGCCACCGGAGCGTAGAAGCACAAAGCATTTGTGGATATCAGCTGCTCGTTTGAGGGCAGAGACCTTTTTGCGAGATGTGATGTGATGAGTACGGATGAGGGCGTTGTAGAGCATTTTTTATTTTCTTCCCTTGGACTTCTGCTCGATGAATGGCTTCAAATTGAAGAATGTTTACGGACGCAGCCATTTCTCGCCGTCTGTTTGGTCTGTTTGCATGATGATGTCACTTATGCCCTCTTTTTCAGGCACCAATGAAGTCCTCAACAAGAATACATGCAGCTTGACAGCGATATTTCGATATTGATACATAGAAGAAAAAGGGTTGGTACGTAATACTATAATGTGTATTATATTCTGGGCTTAAAAAGCAGACCCATGGGGTTTTGCTATTCTACGAGGCATTATGCATGGGTAAAAATACGTGCATTCGATATATGATGATAAAAGAGCATGTATAGTATGCAATATATTAGCTTTATAGCAAGTACTACTAGAATTAATTAAAAACCCATTGCAAGCTGCTTGATTCCATCATGATCAAATCATTAGTGAGTGTTTCAAACATGTCGTCAAATAGTGAAAATGAAGGAGAACAACCACACTATACAGAAATCTTTGTAAGTATACCACCTACTAGGCATACTTCAGAATGTAGACATCATATCGTCATTTCCCATTTTTCTGCTGCCCTCTTTCACTATCAAGCAATACGTGAGGGTAATGTCATAATGATGAACCGGAGGTAAACCACCGAGGCGACTATATATACACTAAGGTATCCTCCGAATAGATCAAGCTGCACCCCTAATTTCATTCAATCCCAGTATCAAATTCAACCGTACACAGGAAGCACCAAAATTATTTCCTCAAAATGTCTAGCTCCGAATATGCCAGAAGCGTCGTGGCTGAGATCTCCAGCCATAATCTTGATACCTGGGTGCGGCCAGGTACCTTGACTAAAGAGGCCGAAGAGGTAGGAATCATGTTTCGACTTTTGCATCTAGCGAGAGAATAATATTAAAATGAAAAATAGTCTGTGAGAGGCCACATCCACCAGGAATTGACAAGCTGGATCTTCTACCGCAAGCTCGCAGCAGACTGTTCCCGGGCCAACATTGCCCTTCATGGATTTGCAATGTATTTTGAGACCAGTATCCATTCGAAAATACTCTGCTAAATCATTCTGCAGGCTGTGGGAAAGAAGTGCCATGGAATGTATGCACGACATGCACTGGATGGAAAAGTACCTGGTTACTCGTGGCGGTCGATCGAAGCCAACGGCTATAGAAGCACCTCAGGTCGAATGGCCAGATAACCCCGTCGAGCCCTTACACCCTTGCCAGGAAGCATTCACCGTCGAGAAGAAGCTCCTGGAGGATCTGGAGCGATTGTGCTCGCTGGCACAGAAGACCGGAGAAACCGCTCTCTCGGACGCCATCCAGAGACGCTTCCTGCGCAAACACTCCAAGCACATTAAAAATTTGGCTGATCTGATCCAACAGGTAGCTAGGGTATCCAAGCAGCCTGGCCTTGGATTGTATCTTCTGGACCGTGAGTTGCGTAAACACACGGGCATGATTCCCTGGGATGCCGTTAATGACCCTGATATCCAAGACAAGGGCATTGAACTACTCAACAAGAGAATCAGCGAGGGCCTGGGTTTGGGTGGGATGGCAGACCACTGTGGACGTGTATCATCGCCTGTTGATCTCTGATGGGTGGGTGATGGTGATGCGAGTGCGTGTAATAGTTGTTGACAGTTATGTGAGACGGGTTCCAACTAATTTGGACCGATGCGTATTAATCAAATTAATAACATCAGCTATGAGATTCTACAGATGACTATATCCGGCTCAAGGCATCCAGTAATTGTACTAAGCTATTAACTGGAGCGAAGCTAGCTAGCATGGCAAGCTATAAAGCCAGACCAAGAGGAATATCGCTTCACGTCACACAGCCCTCTAGATCATGAGACAAATTATTAACGCCAGTGTCATGTAATCAGAGATGTGATAATAAGGGAAATGACTCGTATGATTGATGGCTTAATTCCTTTGCATGGGGGTAAGATGTATATCGGTCAATTCTCTCGGTTATCTCGTGCCCCAGATAACTCTGCCCCCTTCCCAGACCTCCAAGTAGTAAAAGCATGAACGGCTAGGTAAGTCAAGCCCACAACACCAGATATGACAGAATACGCAATCATGGCACTGCGAGGAGTTCCCGGACTACCAAAACCTGCTAGTCTAAACCCAAGACCACCATTGAAAACGCCAAGGATTATCATGATGCGACCAAACCACCGGTGGGAATAAGAAAAGAAGCTCTTTTCACCCGTTTGTCGAAAGTGCAAGTGTTGTAAGAATCCCATAAGTGGCTGCAAAAAGATCAGAGAACCCACGACAAGAAGACCGATAATGGGATGAGCATTGGATATCTGGCTACCGTCGACACCCAGCCAAATACCCATTCCCATGCCAGCCGTGGATAGAGTCAGTGTAAATATTTGTAGAGGTGCATGGACCTTAGAAACAGAGACTGCCCATGGAATCGGGATGAGTAAGGCAAAGGTAGGGAAAAAGATAACAAACGCAAAAGACATGACGAGACCATGGGCGATCAAAATAGCCCTGGATTTATGTGGACCATTGGAGGAACTTGGGGGTACCGCAGTAAAGTCATTGGAGGAAGGGTCTAAAGATGCACCAAGAAATGGGTTCGAAGCATTCAAATCTGTCGCTTTGGTCAGATCCACGATGACTCTCCCAAAGTGGTCATGAATCCTGATATCTTCCGTGACATTGTTTGAACTTAGCGGAATACCCTCTCTATACGACCAGATCCAATTGCTGGAAGATGTGCCCGGGTCGAGCGATCCCCCATTCCATTGTATGCAGGTATCACAGCGCACGTTTGCGGTCATCACGCCGTTTTGAATACCACTTCCTTGAAGAAGAGAAATACGAGCATCGGGGTTGTATTCTGGTTCGATGTGGCTCTTTGCCAGGCGAGGTGAGATAGTCACCTTGTCAGAAGAGGAGGATGAATAGACGACGAAGATATTGGCCCCCGCCATGTGAGCTCCTTGACCAAGAGCAAACCATTGGATAGTACTAGGTGCTTTCATCTGCAGGAAAATAGGCCCAGAGCCCGAAGATGCGGTGGTGTTGGGGACACCGATACTGTACGATATCACATTCTGGTCGCTTGCAGTAAAGATCACAACTTGGGCCACTGCCAAGGGAACTGTCTAAATTAGCAAAAATAAAAATAGAAGGGGTGAGGTCGATAGTGGCATATGATCAGATAGAACACATACAAGATCCTAGTCCAAGAGCGATTAATAAAGTCTCAAATTTCATCGTGAATATTGGCATTGGATTACCCATGCGGTGGAGGGGTTTATATCCAAGGAAAAGGATTGCATTTGATCACAATCAAAGAAACCATGTTAAATTGCAAAAGTAGCATAGCCACCACGACTCTCTATGTATTGGTTTCGGTGTCGGACAGATGTGATACAGAATAGAATGAGGTGAGCATCACCACCCGTCTGAGTGACAAAATGAATTCCGACTTGCCAGGATAGGAATATAACCTCGGTCGAGATGCAGATCATGCACCCCGAAACTATTCATCTGCGTTTTTGAATGTGGGAGCCTGCTTCTGCACACAAGCCCTTCCATGTATATTTTTAGCGTATACCTATTCCCAGCCTAGACCAACCGATGTAGGTGATCAAATATGGAATACTCTTGAAATGCGTGGCAATGTACTTGAGGTTTTGATTATAGCTGCGTATGCCAGGGTATTATTGCGTCAGCCACATGGTGTCAGAGTCAAAGAACGAAAGAAAAACGTCGTGATAAATGTACTAGAAATTGGTTTGATACAAGAGGAATTGTTCTGTTACACTAATCTTTGATGTAGTATTACATGTAACAAAGGGTGCCTTCCCGGTAATGGAGATAGGCTTAGGTTGGAATAATATATCATCATGTGCTTCTGCGGGCTATCTGATCTCTGCACCGGCATTTCTTCGCTCCCAAAGGACCTTTGCAGGAGCCATAGGCCGGGAAAAGAGTGACTGGAATATGATGTTAGCGTGTACTGTACTCAAAGAAACAAGAAAGGCTTGTTTGCTTACAGAATAGTCTGTTTCTGGCACATTCTTTGTATCTGAAACGCTTCGAAGCCGGAAATGTTGGACAAACACAGCTAGAATGACGCCTAGTTGAACATATGCAAATCGTTCGCCAATGCATCGATGCCTTCCTCCCCCAAAAGGAAGATATGCGCTATTCGAACTTTGACCTCTAGAGCTATCGCCATCATCTTCCGTGCCCTGGAGTGATGCCTTGCTTTCCCATCGATGCGGATCCCATTTCATCGGCTTTGGAAAGTGACTCGGGTCACGGGAGCTGCTTGCAGGACTAGCAAGGACCGTATGAGATGTAGGAATTATGTATGGTGTTCCTTCGACCACTAGTGGCTCTTTAACCTGCCGGAGGATGGAGTGAACTGGGTTATGGAGTCGCAGTGTTTCTTTCACGGTGAACTGGTGGAGCTTCAATTTCTGCAGCCCATCGAAAGTTATATCCATGGAGGGGCCTAGAACTCGGCGCTGCTCTTGGTGAAGGTCTTCCAGAGTATCTTCATGGGAAGCAAGCTGAAGGAGGATGTAGGATATGGTCGAGGAAGAAGAATGATGGCCGCCCATGAGGAGAGCAATCATCATATGCGCAATCTCCTTGTCCGGGAGAATGTTACCATCCTTGTACATGCACGACATCAAGTTCCAGATCATATCCTCAGAATCATTTAGCCCCTTACCATTCGCCCGTCGCTTTTGAATTATGTCCATATAGATCCGGGCCATTGTTCTCTGTGCCTGATCGCGGGCACGGTTCCGAGGCAATGGAGCCCATGGCATCATGAAATTGATCGGGGTAAACCCCATATCCAAATCATGATACAATTTTGCAAACGTAGAGCCAATGAGATGACGCACTTCCTTCCCCTGAAGTGATCCAGAGGCAGTATAGATAGTCAACTCTGCCATTGCGGGGGGAACGTCTAGGATACCGCTCGAGCCTTGTAGATCTGGATGAGAAACGATGAATTCTTGGGTTTCGTTTGCGATTAATCGAACGTAGGATCTGAGCGCATTTGCAGTGAGACCGAATTTGACGAACTGTTTTAGGAAGGTAAGTGAGAATTGATAATTATATCGAAAGAGGCCTAGCTTACCTTCTTTTGTTGGACCAGCTTTGCATTGGGACAGTCGAATACGACGTCTGTGCCGAACACGGGTGTGGTCAATGGGGAATATATTTCTTCAGCTGAGAGAGCATGGTGATTCCCATTGAGGATGAAGTTATTTCCTGCTGGACCGAGGTACACGGTTGTTGGCTTTCCCAGGAGGATGAAGGTGAAGATATCACCATACTAACTGACGCGTCAAAAATTCGAGAGAAAGAGTCGCAAAATATTAAAACAAAAACAAAACGCGTACCTTTCTCTTACAGTCTTCAAAGAACCTCAAGGGTTCCCTCCCGTATGTAATGGTGCTTCCCAGAAATGGGATCCAGTGGAAGACAACTGGGGGTTTCAGGGGGTCTTTGAAAAGGGTTTGCTTTAATAGATGCAGGGATAGAAGAAGGACGAAAGCAGCTGCACATCCCGTGAGATATATGTCAGACAAAGATAGAATCATGGGCTGTGATGGAAGTGAATTGCCCATAGTGATAGAACTCTCTTATCTACAATGCCAATTCAGTAGGACTCAACCATCGAAATAGAATCATATTTATAGATCCTTGCCCGATATTAGATGATAAAGTTACCCATTGTTGGCTTAGTTCTCCTCCAATGGGCTCTGGGTGGTTTGCATTGCCTGCTCGGGAAGCGGCCATCCGGCTCAGACGATACATGGCGAAGGATCGGCTTTGCTGCATTCGGGGAAATGCAGCACAAAACAGAATATTGTTGCCTATAAGATTACATATCAAGCTAGAAAGAGAGATTGTAATTCATCCGAGCAGTCAGGAATACCCGATGAGTGAGAATGTCCGGAGTCAGTTTGATCAATTGCCCTGTTGTCAAGTCCATGTTTGAAGGGAACAAAACCGAAAAGACCACCAAAAAATTGGACGAACCAAGAAACAAGCCCATAATAACATCTAGGGAAAAGACAGGCTGGCCAATATTCACCACCTAGATACCGTTGTTAGAGTGGCTTGTATCTTGACCTCTGATATGTATGTCTCTTTTTGCTGTATGTTAGGGCATAGGGCATGTGTTGAGGGCAAAAGACTGGGGCATGACGCAGGCAGCTCTCCTCTTTCTACCTCTTTCTCCAAAGGGTCTCAGAAAGAAACCATTCACACCTCTCATCGACTTCCATGATTTATTTTTCCTAAACTCACTGGCAAGTTGCTTAACATCATGTCGAGTCTTCTTAGGCTGCCGACAGAACTCATTCTAGACATTCTCTCTTTCTTTAACCCCGTTGAAGACACTGCAGATTTGCTGTCTCTTTGTCGAGTCTCTAGGAAGCTATACGCCTTTGCACAGCCAATCCTTTACGATCAGTTTTCCGAAGGAAGCTACTGCCCTGATTGCCATGACCCAGACTCAAGTCTTGACTCCCGAGGACCTCTGATGTACTTTACTCGGACAATCATTGATCGACCTGATTTAGGTGCACGACTTCGCCGACTTCTTGTTAGCACATGGGACTGGAACCAGGATACGTTTAAACAATGGCCAGATGCTTTGGAGCCTGATATGGTGAAGACATTGACTAAGGGTATTCAACAGCTGAACACAAAGAATAAGGCGCGATGGCTTCCGGCGGTCCTAGGCCGTGTGACTAGTCCCCTCGTGGCCCTTTTGATCTCACAGGCCCCAAATATCGAGTATCTTCATATGATTTTGGGCCAGGATTGCTTAAAGGCACTCCTACTGCTATTGGAGCGAGTTCCAGGCGACAACCCTGGCCCAACCTACCTCTCCAAGCTCAAAACATTGAGTATCAGGGACAATTCAGGGGCAGAGAATGGCCTAAGCTTGCGAAGTCTCAAGCCTATCTTGCATCTCCCTCGGCTGGAGCATTTTTCCATTACTCATTGCGTTGGGAATCATGAAGATGACATCCCCTTTGATATGGAACCGGCATCAATTAACATCTCATTCATGTCATTTTGGGACAGCTCTATCAGTGCAAAGTGCCTGGCAACACTTATGAAGGCATTCAAGTCTCTCAGAACCTTTATTTACCATGCCTCAAATCATCTACCCTACGAGCAGTTTGAAGCTTCTGAGGTTGAAGACATCTTTTCTTCTCAAAGGCTCAATATTGAGGTTATCCATCTTGAGTTGTCAGCCGATCCTGATAATATGGACTGGGATGAATATCCGAAATACGAATCATTCGCCTCTTTTGAAAACCTTACACACCTCGATGTGGAACAGGGCCCATGGTCCTCTACCGTGGAGATTCCTTCTTCGTTAGAATACCTGGCAATTCGGAACTGCGAATACCCCATCTTTGACCTTATGGCGAATATAGCGAAACAGGGTGGTATGAGTGACTCGCAGTTGGGTGATGTCTATATAAAGCCAAAGGGTGCTTTTTGCGGAGGGCTACTAGGACTTTTGCCATCGCTCAGCCTAGAGGAAGTTTCCAGTAACCCAGTACTTAAGTCAGTGTTCAAGAGAGCCTGCCGTCGATTGAGTCGCATCTTGGAGGAAAGTGGCGTGTTCGCTTTCATGATTGACTGTGAAATATGGGAATTATATGTCGAAGGGGAGCTTTGAAGCAACATGGTATCAGAGTGTAATTTGCATGGAACTCTACCTGATAGATCTCCAGGGCATTCTTTAAATGAACCTGGCATAGTCAGCTTGATTCAGAACAAACAGTTGAGGAACACTGAGCAGGGTACTCTGATTATTGTTTAGGATTTAAACCCATTCCCCCCTTTTTTATTTTTTATTTCTATCTCTTCTATCTCTTTTTCTCTATGATAGCGAGATGGCAATGGAACGCAACAAACCTTGGCTTATGAAAAGGAAGGGTCTCGAAGGGAATGTTGGCGACTGTGTGGATACCCAGTTGCCTGGGCCTGTATCCTCAACCAAACGTGATATTATTCTAACCTGTGCCTTTAATCCTAATTCCTCACTGGTACATATCGTAGTTTGTGGAAGTAGATAAGAAAAGGAGAACTTCTCAACACTGACATAAATTACCGCGAAGTTTTTCTTCCAAGTGCAAGGAATCTTGGTCAACTATAATGGAAAATAGGGTTTTATCAGGGCCAGAAAGCCGATGATATCACGTACACTCCAAAACTTTCAGTATTCTCTCTTTTTCCACCTGTCCAAGAAGCTAGACACAGAACAAAGGGCTTTGAACAGCACCTGATAATAATCTCGGGTACTACCTAATGGAACTTACCCCAAAAGAAACTGGTTGTCCGAAACGTATATGTTGATATCAATGATGATGAAATTTGGACAGGATGGTTACACAATACCTGGGAGGGACCCATCCATGCAAGGGATGTATTTGGTAGGCTGGCACAGGAAGAAATGGGTTTCAAATAAAGAACGGGTTGAACCAGTTATATGAGACAGGGCCTTGTATATAGATGGAACTGCTGCAGAGTCCCTGAATGGTATGGAATTGAGTGATCATTTGGTGATAAGTATAAGATGATACAATGCAGAATACTTGCATCTTATCTTATTGGTTGCACTGTGCCACATTGTTGATGACATGATTCAGAATATAGAATTTTTCTTTCAAATATACTGACCTGGGTGTCCTTATATTCAAGTCCTCTGTCATTGTGTAAAACCAGTCCTCTTTCTACCTTTCCAAGGAACACATCCAAAAATGGCCGAGCAACTGTCCTTCGAGCCGTATCAACTCTCGCCTCTAGACCATCTGATGCCCCTTGCATATCTGCCATTTTTGAATGTTTCCCGCACAGAAACTCCTTCCAAAGGCCTCGCACTCCTCGAGGCAGCTATCTTCCGACATGTATCAAACTTCCATTTTTGACTGGCAACGTAGTCCCATCCACACAAGCCAAAGATAAACTGAATGTATACGAAGTGCATCCGTCGGCCCCTTTGTCACTACGTGAAAATCTAATACTTCATGTCAAACAGCACACCCGCAGAATCTTCACCTCCTCGAATGCACAAGAACTTATCTCGTATGATGACCTCTGTGATGAGAAATATGTCACGGTCCCATTCAATGTTCCCTTGTCGGGTTCAAATCCGGTTACCCGGTTTCAGGTGAATATCGTGGAAGGCAGGTTGATCTTCAACATATCCTGGTCACCATCTGGTAATGGATGGGCTTGGGATGGTTGTTGTTTTAAAGGCAATATCTGTATTCCGCCGTGCTTTTGATAAAGGTGAATTCTACTCCTTTTCAACTGACATAGTTAGTCAAACACGGGTAAGGAGGCAGCTTTCAGAAGGGAAAATTGTAAGGCCGTTACACACTAGATCATCTGGCATTAACGATGGGAAAAATGACAACAAAGTGTCAGAGACTTTGATCACTCGACGTTTTACCATACCAGCTAGGAAGATCAGAAATTTGAGAGAGAAATGTACCGCTCTTGCCAGTGATGGTCTGAATCATGAACAGCACGACGATGGAAATCAAAATGCCTTTTCCAGTAATGATATTGCCACGGCACTCTTGTGCCTATGTCTGACCTGAGCCCGGCTGTCAGAAACAACATCCAGGAGATCAGCTCAGCCATCGCCAGAAACATCTTCAATTGGGATGTGTGTGGATGGCCGCTCGATTCTCCAACCTCGTCTCCCAATGACCTACATGGGTAATGCGATTCTGGGGACCAAATCGACTTATTCACCGCCAGCGGTTACTGGTCTGGCAATAGATCCGCGGGACCAGCTATGGCTTCCGACTCTTGTCGACCTTGCAAAGCATGTCAAAAAGGTAGAGAGGGCTACCGATGATACTTGCATTCGTGGCATCCTATCATACGTGAATGGTTGCAGTGACTGGGGATCTCCTTCCAATCTGTCAGTGGACTTTTTGATCAGCAACATACCCCAGTTCCCTCTGAATTCCCTATATTTCGGCTCTGCATTGGGTGAAAGTTTGGATCTAAAATTGCCAGATCCTAGGCGAGAAGGAATGTGCTGGATACTTCTGGCCGGGGATCCACCTAGTCACACTCTGGGGGATTCGGATAACTCTTGATAGGGACGAGACGGATTGCCTGCAGAACGAGAGATTGTTCAGGTGGCTGTCGGAGGACCAGGAGGCAAAGTTATAATTATTTTCTGAGCAGCATATGACAATTAGAACCCACGATTCCACGGATGATATTCCGAACTTCCGAGCAAACCGACGGGCTCCGCGGAGTCCGGTTAGTCAGCGTATATCAGGCTTTCATTGGCCAGAAAGCCCCAATGAAAACCCAGCCGGCGGCTGCTTAACTAGAAATGGAATAGTGCTGGTGGCACTAATCGTGTCGAAAAAGGAAAGTCAAGAGGGAGAGAGAGAGAGAGAGAGAGAGAGAGAACGAATATCTTAGATCATGTAAGACAAAAACAAAGACAGACTCACGCTGTAGGGATATAGCCAAGTAGAAATGGCCATATGTAATCAAATAATCTATCTCAGTCAGTGTGAATCTTCTGTCAAGTGCAAGCACCGTCAGGGTTCCATCTGCACTCCACAAAAAGCAAACAAAATCCCCGCTGACTCGTCTTGGCTTCCTTTTTCGTACACCAATCAGCGTGGATCCGTTGGATATTCCCCATACCTAATCGCCGGCCCTATTGTGATTCTTCTGGACAGCGATGATTCACCTTCTCCGTCCAGCTGCCAAAATGGGAAAAATAGCTTTCTTTTTTCCCTTGTCATAGTATGGACCTATGTACTTGATTTGCAAGATCGCCACTGATCAAGTCCAAATCCAAAGATTACTGGTCCGACGGTGCTGAAAAATGATGGATACAAAATGACAAACCAAGTCGGTGCTTCGTACATTTCGAAGCTTGGCTTCCTTTTCCATCTAGTGCAGGGTGCTCGAAACTGGGTGCTTGGTTTTGGGTAGTTATATATAAAGAGAGAGAGAATCCCGACCTTACCCGTGGCTTTTTTGTATTGATTATATGATTCTGTTGGTATAATCACCTTCATCGGCGGGGAAGAGAAGCAGAGAAAGCTGGGCTTCGCAACATGCCAGCTCATTTGAACCCTCACCTTCATGGTGCTTCATTTGCTTCTACCCAGGAAGCTGAAAGCCCAGAGGATACCATTAGCCCTCCTCGGGTGCACCTTTCAGATCAAGATGAAGACACTATCGCGAACATCCATCGAACATTGACAGAAAAAAGTGATTCGGATCACCAGCCTCAGTGTGCGGAACCCCACTCGTCATTTGACAAGTTTCTGGAGGCAGAGGTTCAGGCGGGGAAGAAGAAGTCGAACCTGGGCGTCTGTTTCCAGTCTCTCACGACGTGGGGAGCGGGGGAGGGGCATGCGGACGTCAAGACGTTGGGGACTGCATTATGGCGCACGCTGACCTTCCAGGATGTCTACGAGTGGACGATCAAGCCCTGGATTTCCGACAAGAACCTGCAAAATGGCCGTCCACTAATTCGCGACTTCTCCGGCGTTGTCAGGAGTGGGGAGATGATGCTGTAAGTGTCTTGCATGTCATTGTATCTTAAAGAGTTTCGCTGAATCATTTCTAGCGTGTTAGGACGACCGGGAGCTGGCTGCTCCACGTTTCTCCGTACAATTGCGGGCCACCATTCGTCCTTCTTGGGCGTCACTGGCTCGATGGACTACTCCGGTCTGAGTCTAGATGAAGTCAAGAAGAACTATCGAGGGCAGGTTACCTATATCCCTGAAGACGATGTCCATTTCCCTACCCTCAATGTTCGACAGACATTGGAATTTGCCCTGCAAAGCAAGACCCCGAAGCGATACCAGGAGAGAATCCCACGGTATATTGAAATCTACGGGCGGGTGTTTGGCATGGCTCACACAATGAATACACTGGTTGGAAACGAGTTCATTCGTGGAGTGTCGGGTGGTGAGCGGAAACGAATCTCCATCATTGAATCTCTCGCGACAGATTCATCCGTGATGTGCTGGGACAATTCAACCCGAGGCCTGGACGCCTCCTCCGCCGTGGACTATGCCCGCAGTCTCCGTATCATGACAGATACATGTGGCAAGGCAACGTTGCTAACACTCTACCAAGCTTCTGATGCCATCTATGAACTGGTTGATAAAGTATTGTTGATCGACGAAGGACGGATGCTTTTTCAGGGATCGGCTCGTGAGGCAAAACAATATTTTGAAGAACTGGGATACGAATGCGCAGAGATGCAAACGACATCAGACTTTCTGACTAGCATTACGGTCCCTGAAAGACGAAGATTTAGACCCGGTTGGGGGCATCGGACACCTAAGGGGCCCATAGAGCTTGAAGAGGCATTTCGGAAGAGCTCAGCCTTTCAACGACTAGAACAAGACACACGGAACTACGAGGACCAACGATTCGGTGGTAAGGGGACGGGCTCATCGCCCAGTGACTCAGACTGTGGAAGTCTCGATGAATTCAAGAAGAATATCCAGACTGACAAGTCTCGCTTTGTGTCATCCAAGTCTCCGTACACAATCTCTTTGTTCAGACAGGTATCCTTGTGCGCCAAACGTCAGATGTGGCAGTTGAAAGGTCACATGGCGCCGCTATACATCAAACTCATATCTTCAGTCATCTACGGGCTTCTCATCGGTTCCATGTTCTACGATCAGCCCCAGACGACAGATGGAATGTACTCGCGTGGCGGTGTCTTATTCTATTCATCAATTCTGCTTGCCTGGCTGCAGTTGTCCGAATTGGAAGATGCGATGCAGGGCCGCGATATTCTTACGCGACAGAAGAAATTTGCGTTTGTGCGGCCAAGTGCTGTGTGTTTGGCAAGAGTCCTCTCTGATATTGTGGTGACCCTATTAATTACATTTTTGTATGTAATTGTGGTTTATTTCCTGGCGGGCTTGAAATCGAGTGTGAGTCTTGTTGTGATATCTTCCCCGGTAATTTACTGACTTGATTGTCCAGCCTGGACCATTTTTCATCGATTGCTTGTTTATTTACATTTGTACGATTTGCTTGACAGCCCAGTTCCGGTTATTTGCCGCTGCTTCTTCCAATTTCGAAGTGGCGCTACGGTACTGTGGTGTTTCTGTGTTATTCTGCATCGTCTTTGGAGGCTATGTTCTCTCGGTGGATAAGTTAATGGAGGATGTCCCTTGGATTGGATGGTTAGCGGTGAGTATTTCAATACAGTTCCCTGATTATGTCCTGACCTTTTCTAGTATGTCACGCCGGCTCTTTATACATATGAAGCAGTCATGGCAGCAGAATTCCACAACACAAATTTCACTTGCGCATCCGGATCTGTTGTACCATCCGGGCCTGGTTATGTAGATCTCGCATACCAGACGTGCGACTACACAGGGAGCAAGATCGGTACCACCATCGTAAATGGTGACGATTACTTGGCCGTCAAGTATGGGTTTTACTACAGCAATGTCTGGCGAGACTTTGGCATCCTGTGTCTTTTCACCGTTGCATTCATCGGGATTACATGTTGGTTGAGTGAGGTGATGGAATGGGAGCCTGATAGCGCAGGGCCGATCCAATACAAACAGGGGCAGAAACACAGGCGCATCGACAGGCACAAGATTGACGAGGAAAGCAATCCTGTCGATGTTGATCCAAAGGCCTCGCAACGTAGCTCCCAGAACAACCACTCTGGACAGGTCATCAGTGGAACGAACTCGACGTTTACCTGGAGTGATCTGGAACTTAACGTACGAGTTGGGAAGGAAACTAGAAAATTGCTGGATGGGGTCTGTGGCTACTGCAAGCCAGGGACACTAACCGCTCTGGTTGGTGCTTCTGGAGCTGGAAAATCGACATGTAAGAGGCCCCTTTATCTGAGATGGTTCCTTGTGATCTAATATCCAATACAGTGTTGACTGCCTTGACCCAAAGACAAAACTCCGGACAACTCACAGGTAACATCTTTGTTGATGGAAACGCTATCGATGAGTCATTCAACCACAACATTGGTTACTGTCAGCAGATGGACATCCATGATGAGACAAGCACGGTTGGGGAAGCATTCCAGTTTTCTGCGCTCCTTCGCCAGGGCTCCGAGGTGTCTAAAGAAGAGAAACTATCCTATGTCAACACCGTTATGGAGACACTCGACCTGGTCGATCTAGAGCATGCATTGATTGGATCCCTAGATATTGAAAAGAAAAAACGGGTCACAATCGGCGTCGAATTGTGTGCAAAGCCCAAGCTGCTACTGTTCTTGGATGAACCTACGAGTGGACTAGATAGCCAAGGCGCTTCTAGTATTGTATCACTGTTACGGAGGTTAACCGACCAGGGACTGGCTGTGCTCTGCACTATTCATCAGGCAAACCAGGAACAGTTTGAAGAGGTAAGTATCCCATTTGCGAGACTCTGGTATAATGCCAGGAAAACTGATGTGGACAGTTCGATCGAGTGCTGGCTCTTAGTCCTGGTGGAAGCACTTATTACTTTGGAGAGGTTGGAGCATCCGGGCAGTCCATTTTCGAATATTTCAAAAAGAATGGCCACAATCCGGAGAGCGTCACCAATGCGGCTGACTTTTTGATCGAAGTAGTCGTCGGGAGGATGAAAGATACACAGTACAGCATCAACTGGGCTAAAATCTGGAACGAATCGACAGAGGCAGAAGATGTCAAGAGAGAAATTTCTAAAATTCGCAGTCAACACGGTGAAAAGAGGCTAGACTCAAGGATGACAAGCTCTTCTCCGCCACTCCATCAGCAGATCACTCTTCTTACTGCCCGCACCATGCGACAATTTTGGCGGAACCCGGAATACCCCTACTCACGACTCTACGCATCTTTCTTGCATGCTCTGATAAACGGTCTTACATATCTACAGATAGGGAACAGTTCTACAGACCTCCAGTCCAAGGCGTTCTCGTGTTTCCTTGTTCTCATGCTTGTTCCCGAGTTTATCAACGCCATCTCGATGCGGTTTATCATGAATCGCGATATATGGATGGCCCGTGAAGGCCCTAGTGGCCTATATGGATGGATTGCTTTCTGCACCGCGCAGATCGTGTCCGAAATTCCGTACGCCATCATTAGTGCAGTCATCTTCTTCGTCCCGTACTACTTCATCGTGGGCCTTCCCTTGGGGTTCGCAGCGGGATATAGCTTCTTGATGTTCTTCCTGTTCTTTTTGCTATCAACTTCATGGGGTCAATGGATTGCAGCCTTGAGGTAAGTGTATAAAATGCAAGCTTGGGAATAAAATGCTGACAATGGCAGTACCGACTCGATGGTGGCCGCTACACTCATGCCCTTCTTTATCATCATGTGCGAACTCTTCAACGGCATCCTCCGTCCCCATGAACAAATGCCCGCCTTTTGGAAGTACACTATGTACTATGTTACTCCATTTACCTACTGGATTGGTGGAGTTCTGACGGCGGTCCTGCGTGGGGTACCCGTCGCCTGTGACCAGAGTGAATTAGCCATTTTTCAGAGCCCGGTCAATATGACATGCGGTGAATATGCGGGATCCTGGCTGGCCGACAGAGGGGTCGGGTATCTCTCTAATCCGCAAGATTATGGATACTGTGGGTACTGTGAGTACAGCTATGGTGACGATGTAAGTCTGCATCTTTTCAACCATATCCAAGAGGGAAAGCTAACGAGATTAGTATCTGACCGGACTGGGACTTGATTCATCCAAAACATGGCCGTACCTTGGAATTTTTATAGCGTTTACTATTTCTAATTATCTCATGGTTTATTTGTTGGTCTATGTCTTGTCTGTCAAAAAGCCATTATGGAGAAAGGATTAAAAGTTGGTGAACGGCGCCGAGTGTTCCAAAATTAATATCATGACTGCACATAATGCGAATATATGCTCAATAAAAAGCCATACTTATTGACTCGCTGTCGAACATCTATCTCTACCATCAACAATAGCAAAAAAGCAATAAATGCCCTACAGCCTCAGGCCGGGAATAGTATGATCGGTGTTATTCCAAATCAGGAATCTCCGAGACAGATTCCGACAATTCCCGAAGCACTAACTCCGATACGCCCCATTCATCTCATCGACGATTGTCATCACCACAAAAAGACCAACATTGCAATAATTATCTTCTGTTCCGCAGAAGTTTCCATCTTATCAATCAGTTCTCCATCAAAGGGAAAAGCGGGGAGACTTTGGACATCTACAGCCTGATTCAGTCAATCTCCGGGTATCCCGCCATCTCTTCAAGTCTAGCATCCTGGCGCTTGGGCTGAATAATGCAATTGAGGCTGTTTAACAGCGCACAATACTCACCAAGAAGTGAAGTTACTTACTGACCGAAATCATGGATCAAATCAATGCATTTCAAATACACTCCGCAGACACAGAAACACCACCAATGTCACCGCCTCGACGACGCAGACCAGCTCTATCTTGCACTTTATGTCGTCGTCGCAAGCTCAAGTGCGACCGGGGCTTACCATGTGGCCAATGCGTCAAGTCCAAAGCCTCTGAGTCATGTGAATATGCCGGGTTTCAGAAAGGCCAAGTATCAAACACCAGGCGTCTGGGTAGCACTCCCCCACCATTTGTGCAGCCTTCCGGCAATCACCTCACTCCATCCCAAAGCGGGGTATACGTGTTTGATGCGAAGCATAAGCAAACGTCGAACCGTATTACCAAGCCGCCATCCCGAGTAGAGGAAGTGCACGAACTGCGGAGTAGAGTGCAGGCTTTGGAAAATGCTTTGTCTCGGCCAGGAGCAGCGATGCATACTCCGGAGACCTTGGGGTATGACAGCTTTTCTGAGGGCGGAAGAAGGGCTATGTTGGATTCCCAAAATCTGACCGAAGAGGTTGAGTCCTTACCAAGTGGATGCTTCCGGGGTAAGAAAAGCAAGTCCCGACACTGTGGGCGTTCTCACTGGGCAGTGTCAGTATCATTTGTGAGTTAAGCTCCCATATTTACAGTCTAAACTAATACATTATAGTTCAAAGATATTGGGATCTTTATGAGGGGGCTAGACAAAGGGAAGTCAAAACCCAAGGACTCTGATTATACATCTATGAGGAAATTCAAAAAGGAAGTATGGAATCGAGAAAGAGAGGAGCACCAACGAGCCTATCGAGATCAGGCCTTTAAGCTAGAAGAGATGATTCCATCTAAGGAAATAGCAGATGAGCTCCTCGAACTTTATCTGACAACATTTGAGACTACATATCGTATCTTGCATGTCCCGACTTTTCTTCGGCAATACGAGTTACACTGGTCAGGGTCGCAACCGACAGATATGGTATTTATCGCAAAGCTTCTGGTTTTAATGGCTGCAAGCAGTTGTTTCTATAGCCAAAATACCAGAATTAACGAGCGCAGTACTCTCCAAAGGGCGGCAGTTGGGTGGACCATGACAGTTCAATCATGGATGTCCTCCGTTTTTGTCAGCTCAAACATTAATTTGGACATGCTACAGATCCAGTGCCTTCTGCTGATTGCTCGTCAGGCCAATGCAACGGGTGGGAATTTGGTGTGGATTTCTTCTGGATCCTTGGTTCGCGCTGCCATGATCATGGGACTGCATCGGGACCCGTCCCGCTTTTCCAGGATGTCCAAGTTCTGGGCAGAGATGCGGCGCAGGCTATGGGCCACTATAATAGAGCTAGATGTGCAGTCATCTCTGGATGGAGGCATGCTGCCATCGATTGACTTGAACGAATGCGACTGCGGCCCACCATCAAACTGGGACGACGCGGATCTAACGGAAGATATGGTGGAAGATCCAGTCCCGAAAACACTGGACACATTGGCACGGAACAATGTACAGGGATTATTATCCAATTCGTTGCCAACACGAATTCGGATAGCCAAGTTGACTAACAGCCTGAAATACAACCTCCCTTATGACGAAGCTTTACGACTGAGCGAGGAGCTCATGCACTCCATGAATCAAGCATTAAACATGTTCCAAGAATGCGAGTCAAATATTTCTATCTTAAGACTTGGGAATTTGACATTCGCCAAATCATTCTACATGTTTATCATGCGAAGATATCTCCTTGTCCTTCATCGACCATTCTTCCTCAGTGTCCTACGCGCTCCGAAATTTTCTTATTCCCGCAAGGTGTGCTTGGAGTCCTCTCTGGAGATGCTTTCCCTACTAGGACCTTCGGACCATCTGGAAACAGGGCCGTCTTCATGTATAGGCCAACTGGGTGGGGGAATGTACCGGGATGAGTTCTTTCACGCAGCCATTACGATCTGTGTGGAACTCAGTATACAAGCGGATGAACAATCGCGATCAGTGACAGCATTTGAGACACCACGTACAGGCACGCTGACCGACATGGTTCAAACACAGCAAACAGTTCTGGTAACGGCTGTCGAACGTACCATGGATGCTCTTGGGAGTCGCATTTCATCAGATGGGAATGGATGTAAACCATTTTTCTTCCTCACAATGGTCTTTGCATCGGTCAAAGCCCGATTGAAAGGAGAGGATCCCCTGAAGAATGTCGAGTATCTTTCGATGAAGGCGGTGCGCGAATGCCAGGATATCATGAAAGGGGTGTCATGGAAAGAGATTCGAAAACAAGATGAAATCTCACAGGTCTGTGCCGTGTTTTGCTGCTGTCTATCCTGACTAATTTATATCAGCCTTTGCAAGCAAATTTGGAATCTGCTACGTCTGACATTGGGTTTGATCCTACTGCACCTTTGTTTCCAGCGGATCTAACAAATTTGTCGGTGAGTTTTGAGGAAGCCAATCGAGTGAACTGTGCTAACGAATACAGCCTATCGAATTTGGGAATCTGTTCGACATGGCAGATTATGGGGCCCCAGACCTTTGGAATAATGAATTCCTGACTGGGCTCTAAGTGACGAGTTAGAACTATATATATATATCGATACTCCCGTCAGATTAACGCGATATATACCAATAGACAGCAGAACCAGCGCTGTGCATTGCCAACGACCAATGAATAGCAGCCAGGCATCAGGTTACACAAAGAAACACCCTGTGGCTATCATAAACAGGATCCCAATTGCATAATTGCCATAAGCTGCACCCAAAAATCATCCCTAGATTTGGCCAACCTCGGTTGTCCACGTGCGCCGATCATCAACATTTAAGATGGACGATCCCAACAACTGGACATGACCAACTTCAACTTTCCGACAACCACCATGGCGTAAGTAGCCCTGATAGTTTTGAATCACAATCACTAATAATGCAATAGCTCTCTACTCACTACAATCGGCCTCCGTGCCGCCGACACACCAGTCCCCAACCACGCCGCCGCCTTTCTGATCGCCAACTGGTTCTTCGCATACGGCGTGCTGAGTACCCGCCCGGCCAAACGCTGGTATCGCCTCGACCACAACGTCGCTCCTCGGGAGGATCTCACCAAATATGGTGAGGCAGCCGTCCAGGCAGGAAAATTGAGCCGGAAGACGTTGAACCGACTCAAGCGACAAGAAGCGGCAAGCGCGAATGCCACCGAAGGATACACCTTGTTTGTTGCAGCGAGTATGTTTCTTGGGCTTCCCTTATTGCGAGCCATATCTATGGTTATGATACTAATGAAGACAGTCTTACTGGCTCTCCACACCAAACTCCCAAACGAAACTATTAACGGTATCGGGACATGGTATTCCCTCTCCCGACTGGTTTTTGCAGGGGTGTATCTCTGGGTCGAATCCGAGGGATTGAGCTTCATCCGATCTATTGCATGGTGGTCGGGAAATATCAGCTGTATAACGGCGATTGTGTTGGCAGGAAAGAGCCTGTAGATTTTCTTAATTTTTGGGATGATCTAATTTAGTGATGATGCAATTGATCCATGCAAGCTTTGTCGATCAGCGGGGTAACCGAGGTTGATGTTCAGGTACATCCTTGGAATACTTATCTACGAATATAAATTTGTTTTTCTTGGATTTGCTCAAGTCATATTGCCAAAGGAACTAGTATTTTACCCTTAAGCGTGCTAATGTACCAGATGTCCCAACCTCCTCGCCATCATTCGGTCGGAGACCGATCTCTTAGTCGTCGTGTTAGTCGTCGTATTAGATGACGACTGACAATCTACTCCAATGTCCCCCTTCAACCCATCACAGATAATCACTGGGGGGCTTCCAGCCGGACTGGTCAATGCAATATCTTCAAGATGAATATCTGAACAAACTGCATTGGGCGAACAGACCAAATCACCCACCACCTTGCCCTCTTTACCGGAAGAAGTGCCATAGATATTCTCAAATACGATGTTGGTGAAGTTCACCTGGGATGGGTACTTGGCGCATTCTTCTGTGTCCACATTGAAGTAGCACTGATCCAGGACGATGGGATTGTCGGTGTTCTCAATGTGGATGTTCTTATAGGTGATGTTGTTGATGCGACCATATCCGACATCCTGACCGGCCCATGCCTTGAGACGAGCGCCATTCTATATTGATCAGCTATGGGGTCTTGGAAGAATATTATGGTGGGATTACCTGTCCATTGAGCAAGGTAACATTTTCGATCCATGCATTTTCAATAATATCCATCACCCCCGAGTACTGTCCGATACTTCCCATACTGACGCCGTGGGTATTGTTGCACCACAAGTTCTGTACAAAGATATTGGTGGTATTCGGCTTTGGAGAGAAGCAGTCATCCCCAACGTCGACCCGGGTGTTGGTGACGGATAGACCGTCGACGTTAAGAGAGTCAAAGCCATCGGTGTTTTTGGGGAGGGCCTGCCACAGTTAATATTGCACAGGAAAAGGAAAAGGAAAGGCATACAGAAGCATTTGTCGAGAAGGCATTGATGAAGACATCGTCGAAAGAAACGTCCTTGGTGCGTACAAAAAAGTTGGTCCAGCAAGGCGAGTTGAGCTGGGTGATGCCCTCGACGGAGACTCTGGTTGCATTGTCTGTCATGAAGAGGATGGGTCGATAAAATGTGTTCTCGTCATCCTATTCTCAGTTTATATGGGCCATCCTAGATGACACCAGTCAAGATACGTACCAGAATCTCCTTGCCAGCAAACTCGTTATACCATCGTTGACCGTTGCCGTTCATGACGCCCGTGCCAAAGATTTTGATATCCTGTCCACCCCAGAGCCAGAACGTGATAGACTTTTGAAAGTCGAAGTAAAAGTTGTTTTCTTGCCAGTAGGAAACATCGTCAGTGAACTAAATCATCAGCCGTGCCCAGATAGAATTCACAATCAACACGGCATACCTTGAGTTCTCCATCCAACTGAACTTCAATGTCATCCAAAAAGGTCAGATCCAGCTTTGTCCCAATAACATATGTCTCTCCCTCTTTCAACATCAATCGTCCCCCGTGGTTGGCTTTCTTGATTCCCCAGAGGAAGTCCGATGAAATATCATCCGTGTCATTCTTCGAAGGGCGGATAGTGACTGTACGACGGTTTTGATGTTTACCGGAATGAGCTCCGATCTTCTTCAGACCGGCTGTATCGCTGGCTGGGATGACTCGGGCACCGGGGATGACACCATCGAAAGCGATGCTGCTGACGGTGCTTATGAATAGGGCAAGAGGGAGGAATTTCATGATGGCGGTAATGGTTGATGGACTATGGCCAGGAAAGAAGCCTTCTCCCTCTATTTATACCCATGATTCTTTCTCAGATGATTGCCATCTGGGCTTGCTGGGCAGAGGATAATTTCTCCGCCCGTAGGAATTGACAATTGGAGATGAAATAATCCGGGGTAGATAATCCCCACACGCAATCCCCAGATTATTTCATCATCTCTACATGGAACAGATATCTTCAATGCGGGGAGAGAAGATTATTCTCCAGATTCGAGGTGGTGCGATGTTTGGTCCTCTTTTGCCGGGGATAATTCCACCGTCTTGTGGTTGCGATGGAGAAGTTCCACCAATCAGTAGAGGTCCACTTGACAATGAGCTGAAAATATGAATCTCATAATATAAAATGACGAAAAAAAAAATTCGGTGAATGGGAATTTGTAGTTTCGTCTGATGGGATCATTTTTGCTGGCATTGTGTATAATAGTGGCAGGATAGTAGTCAACTATGGTATTATCCAACAAGGTGAATGGCACCAACTCCAATATACTTCGATGCTAGTCCAAACAGCGAATCAGACAGAATGCAATGATAATTTGCAGTCAGGATCAGAAACAAAATTGCTAATTCATTCCGTTGATTGACCATGATGAGGACCCTTGGCTGCTCAAAGTACCTTGAGGACATCGCGGTATAGTCCACTTCTCAGCCCACGTCCAATCACAGCAACGATTATTCCATGCATCCTGAAATAGCCCTAGGTCTTTATACATCATGAGCCTACCTTGGGGGTTGCATGGTGATGATGCCGTGAGTTGGCTGGGTTCATTAGGTTGCGTATAAATAGGTGTGTTTCTCGAGGTACTCGTCAGGGAGTAAGCACATTCTCCTGAAATCCATTTCATCAGAGCTTTGACCATGGTCATCAATTCGGGTACAGATTCAATTTCATATTCTGTCCCTGAGACACAATATGTCAAGCAACCGGAGACGAGACAGCTCCCCGTGACTCTCCTATCAGGGTTCCTGGTATGTCTCGACCCCCTTTCTCTCCAATCCCGACTAACAAGGACAGGGGAGTGGGAAAACAACTCTTCTCGAACACATTCTCAAATCTCCTGATCATGGTCTCCGAATCGCAGTCATTGTGAATGACATGAGCAAGTATGTTCTCCATCCGCCATGTCCTAGAATGAACTGACCAGTTAGGCTGAACGTTGACGCTGCCCTCATTACCCACCACAAGGTCTCCCAGACCAAAGAGAAGCTCATTCAACTTCAGAATGGTTGTATCTGTTGTACCCTGCGAGGCGATCTCCTCTCCGAGCTGGCCCACTTAACCAAACAAACCGAAGTCCAGTATGTGGTGATTGAGAGCACTGGAATAAGTGAGCCCATGCAGGTAGCCGAGACGTTCACGGCAGAGTTTAGTAAGGCCATGCTCGAGGTTGAGGGAATGGAGGAACAGGATGAGGATGATAAGAGAGTATTGGACGAGATGTATGTCCCGTTGTATTGCTTTCTTTTCCCTTCGGACAGTCATATGAGGCATGGTGCTGACTGAATAGTGTCAAAATGGGAGGATTGCATACCCTTGCCAAATTAGACACGACAGTGACGGTTATCGATGCTTTTAATCTTCTGTCCAACTTTGATACCACCGAGTTTCTTTCAGACCGATACGGGTCTAAGGAGATCATTCCCGAAGATGAGCGTACAATTTCCGACCTGATGGTCGATCAAATCGAATTTGCTGATGTCCTAATCATCAACAAGATCGAGACGGTGGATGAGACCACCCGGGGTAGGATCAAGCAGTTGCTCAACTTGCTCAACCCCGATGCCAAGGTTCTTGAGTCCAGCTACTCCAAGGTCGATGTCAAGCAGATCCTGGGAACAGGGCGGTTTGATTTCGTCAAGGCGGCTTCTGGGGCTGGGTGGTTGCGGAGCCTGCATGAGATGACCGTACAGGTGACAGGGAATGGGGAAAGAATGGCACCCAAGCCGGAGACATTGGAGTATGCTCCTCCCCGGATATTTGACTGAGGATATAGACTGACTGGCCAGATATGGAATTAACAACTTTGTCTATACGGCTCGCCGGCCATTCCAACCTCGCCGGCTGTTTGCCCTCCTACATGACAAATTTATTCTTCTTCAGAATGTAGAGGGAGCCGAAGAGGAGGAAGGTGACGAGGAGGACGAAGGTATGGAAGATGCAGAAGAAGAAGACGAGGATGAGGAGATTGAAGACTTTGACCAACCTGACCCCGCTGTCATCCTTTCCAACAAGCGATCCAGCCCCATCTTCCGTCCCATCCTCCGCTCCAAAGGCTTCTTCTGGATGGCAACCCGTCCTTATCAGTTTGGCGAATGGAGTCAAGCAGGAGGCATGCTGACTGTCGGATGTGGTGGCCCTTGGTTTACGGAGATCCCCGACGAACTATGGCCAGAGGATCCAGACGTCCGCCAGTCCATTGAGAATGATTTCCAGGAGCCCTGGGGCGATCGACGACAAGAGATTGTGTTTATCGGAGAAGGCATTGATGTTGATGGAATCACAGGGATGCTGAATGAATGCTTGTTGAACGACAAAGAGATGAAAGAGTGGGAGAAGGTGATGAAGAAGAAAAGGATGACGCGGACAGAGAAGGAGGCGAAAATGGGAGAGATTTGGGAGGATGGATGGGAGGAGTGGCCAGGTGTTGACGCGGAAGAAGAGGAAGAGGAGCAGACAGGGAAACACAAACATCGCATTAGCGAGCATCTAGGCCATCATCATCATCGGTAGTGCTCAGGGTCATTATCAAAAGTCATCAGTCATAATAATAAATACAGCAAAATGATGCCACACAATTAAATATCTACCACTCGTCCACTCTTGCCATCTTCAAATGCATTCCCTCCACGGGCTTCGTCGTGACAGCGCCACCAATATTAATCACCTGCTTGGGATCCTGCATCTCAAACTGAAACCGTCCCACAACCCCAGCCACCGCACATCGCAGCTCGGCCCTCGCAAAGTCCTTCCCAATACACGATCGCTGTCCGTGCAAAAAGGTGATCTGCGCAAAGTTGGTCGATGCGCCTCCGTTGTGATTGACAGAGGGTTGACCGGTCTTGTCGGTGTCGATCCATCGCTCGGGGATGAAATCCTCGCCCGTCTCGCCCCAGAATTCTGGGCTGCGGTTGATGGCGTATGGGCAGAGGATAATTTTAGTGCCTTTAGGGACATGTTTTCCTGCTACAGTGGTATCGCGGATGGATTCACGGATAGTTGAAGGGACAGTGGGATACAGCCGGAGGACTTCCTGACATACACCGTTGAGATAGGGCATGGATTCGAGGTCATTCCAGGTGATGGGGTGGTCTCCAGTGGGGATACGCTCGCGAATCTCAGCACGCAAATGACGTTGAGCTTCCGGGTTTTGGCAGAGGAGGTAACAGGTCCAGGTGAGGGCACTGGCAGTGGTCTCGTGCTACTTCTGTTAATATTCATTTTCAACAACAGCACAATTAACAAACTTACCCCCGCCGCCAGAAAGGTCAACATTTGGTCCACAAGTTCACTGTCGGAAAAGTCACCTCCGACCATCATCGTTCCGAGAATGTCAGCTTCAAGCTCCTTCGCAGTCGCCTTAGTAGCTGCGATAGACGCCTTTTTCTCTTGCACAATATCATTGCATAGAGCACGCAGGAACCCGGTCTCCTCAGCGACAACCTGGTTCAACCGCCAGGGAATCCTCTGTGCGATCCATTGGGGCAGAATAAAGTTGATGGCCAAAAAGACCAGCTTCTCCTTAGTGGGCTCGAGGATGGCGAGGAAACTGTCGGCGACCTTGTTGTTGAGGTTTTGCAGTGACTGAAAGTCACGGCCCATGGCAGCAGGGCCGATGATATCGAGAGTCAGGCGACTGTCTGGTCAGTATAAACGTTGGTATCGGGCGGAGGGGAGAAGAGAATACCTCGCCCACACGCTCATCTCGACCTTGCCAGCACCACTTTCTGGGCTTGTTCCTTCCATCGGATTTTGCTTCATTTCCTTCTCCAGCTCCTCCAACAGCAGGCCAGTCTTCTCCCACATGAGACAATACAAGGAACGGATATTCTTAATGTTGAACGCCGGGTTTAAAGCCTTACGCTGCTTCTTATGCATGCTACCTTCACTAAGAATCAATCCGAACCCAATAATACGGGCCAGGAAGTTGCGCACTCGTCCAGGCTTCTCAAAGTCATAGGTACGGGTGCTCATAATATCGAGGAGAGCCTGGTGGTTGGTGGCGAGGAGGTAGCTGCGGTTGATGAAATCACGGAAATGGATGAGTCCCTCATTGGGGACGGTTTTCATCCATTCCAAAGGCAGCCGACCCCGAGGATTGTCGAAGAGGGTTTTGAGATGGACGTTCAAGCCCTGCTTTGTATGAGTATGTTATGGCGATGAAGAATGATCGCAACTTACATTGACTTGAGGAAGATGACGCAAGGGGGTCACAAAGAAAGGATAGATCAAAACATCCCAGATTACTTTCAGGGCGAGATTGAAACCAAAGGCAGCGAATGCAACGGTGCGAAAGGCGTGATCGGAAAAGACCGTGTGTTGGAGAAGATAGCCCTCCACGGCAGAGAGGGCGGCGATACTCAGTAAACTGTCCATGTCGCACACAGTTTGCAGATTATCAAAGTTGTAGAAAAAGTTGCAACGTTGGACAAAGCATGTTGATATTATGATTACAGAGGGCGCACAATGACTTAATTATAAGGCTCCACCTGATCGGCAGTGGTGAACTTACGATGACGACCTCGGCAGCGTTAATTCATATGCATGGGGATTACCCCAGGGAATGAGTGCCTGATTATGGGACTAGATTTCGGATACTTGGTTTGTGATTTGCTGGTTTATCTGGTCTTCTCCAGATTTGCTCGTTGAATGCCAATATGAGGATATTTGTAGTTATTAACAACATCAGTATGTGGTATATACCTGACAAACGCAAAACAGGCACTACAGCTTAATAATAGGGTGGAAGTAAAAAAACTATAGCAACCCATCGCAATCAATCAGGATAAACTCCATTCATAAAGGCAGGCAGCAACGATACAATACATTCCATGTCGAATCTCAACAACTCAACGCACCTTTCATCTAGATCAGCATGTGAAAGGATCGACACGGCTAAATGACCCGGTCTAAATTTCCGGCATTAGCGAGACGAACCAAATCCATTTTTGGGATCGCCATGATGCTGAAGCCTTCCCCACCATGTTTTCGCAACGATTTCCTATTTGGTTTATGTATGGATCATGGAGAAGATGGAAGTTTGGATTCTCTCCATCTGTATCCACATGTTCGAACCTCGGCTGTGCGACTCCGCATCGTCGTCTTGGTCTTATTTAGTCTCACATCGTCGCAACAGTATGATCGTATTTTCAAGTGTATAATCATTTATCGTCTTAATTAACTTCATCATGTCTCTCGATAACTCTCTCCAGCTTGCCCGCCAATTCATCCAAACGGCTCTTTCGCACCTCCCCGAGCCTGCGCAACATGCTCTGCAAACTCCACTCGCACAAAAGACTATCACTGGTCTTGTCGCTCTGGGACTCTTGCGACAGATCAATAGTTCTTTGTCACACTGGTCGCTGAACAATTGGCAGCGCGCGCTTCCATGGAAGGGTGACAAAGAACTTGTCCTCATTACCGGTGGAAGCAGTGGTATTGGAAAGCAGATCGTGGAGGATCTGTCCAAGGCGGGAGTTCGCGTGGTGATTTTGGATATCCAGGATCCATCCTTCAAGCTGCGTATGTTGGTCACTCGTTAGGTGAGGAATCAAACTAACAAGCGAAAAGCCTCGAATGTCACATTCTATAAGACCGACATCACAAACTCAGCCGCCATCAAAACAGTCGCGGACCAGATCCGCGCCAACCAAGGCGAACCCACCGTCATTGTCAACAACGCTGGTGTGGGATACGATGGCACGATTCTTGATGAGCCCGAGGCTAAGATCCGCTTGACCTTCGAAGTTAACACTATGGCGCATTTCTGGACTGTCAGGGAGTTCTTGCCAAACATGATCAAAAACAACCACGGCCATATAATCACAGTGGCCAGTATGGCGAGCTTCGTGTCGCTGGGTGAGATGGCAGATTACTCGTGCTCCAAGGCGAGTGCATTGGCCTTCCACGAGGTGTTGAACCAGGAGTTGCGACACTGGTACGATGCTAGGAAGGTTCGAACCAGGTATTATTTCTGACGCTTATTCCCCATGAGCCTTTACTCATGAATTTGCAGTATCATCCACCCTCTCTGGGTCCGTACCCCTATGATCCAGCAGCTCTCCGATGCTGGAAAGGACTTCAAGCAGCCCATTATGACCCCCGAGCTGGTTTCGAACGCAGTCGTCAAGCAGATCCTTACACAGAGCAGTGGCCAGGTGATTCTTCCTGCCATGAACTCGAGTTATAGTCTGGTCAGGGCATTCCCGTCGTGGATGCAGGAAGGAGTTCGGGGGATTGGATCTGGGATTTTGAAGCACATGCGGAATGCGCAGCCAGATGCGCACTTGTAGACAAATGTTCATTGTGTGATGTATGATGTACTTTTTATATCCATGCTTGCCATTCTATTATGTGATTATTTGATTCTACTGTTCGTGTAGATAGGTTAATGAATACCCGATATACCAACTCATGTTGAATTTATACTACAAGTACATGTTTCTATGTGTCTGTTCTACAGTGTCATAATCTGTTTGTTAAATACACTCAATAAGTGATATTCAGTATTGATGTCCACATGAAATATACAACAGATCTACAATTACAACAGCTCTACCAGCCAGCTTTTGACCTTTCTCCCCTGCTCTGTCTCCGTCTTGTCACCCAAATACAAATTATAGATCGGAGCAACATGGCATTCTCGATATCCAACAAAGAACTCCAACTCCGGATATCCACCCTACAGACAGTCAGCCAGTCAAGTTCAAAGCATCGCATAACAAACATACCTTGAATTTGCCTACAAAATCCTCAATGATCGGCAACATGATCTCGTTCCCTCCAGCAGATACGAGAACCGAATCCACCGGGAAATCAGCGTACCACTCCGAGGGAGCCATCGAGAGATCAGTGTAGTTGTCTCTCTTTGTAGGACCGAGATAAGCACCTGCCCATGGCTTCGCAACACTCTCCGTAATCAAATCACCACCCGAGTAGATCACCTGGTCAGGGAACTCGGTGTCCATAGATGTCCAGGGAGAAATCAGCACTGCTCCCGCAAGATTCTCTGAGAGCACCAATGGTTCGATCTCCGGATGAGGATGAGCGAGATGGGAGAGGACTCCTCCAACCAGGTTTCCACCGGCAGAATCACCACCCAGCAGAATCTTAGATGGAGTGTGAGTGACGCTTTCGTTAATAACATAACGAAGACACTCGACTGCTTGACGGAGCTGGGTGGGATAGGTGCCGTGGGGAGCGAGGGTGTAGGTGAGGTTGAAGATAGCCAGCGATTTATTCTGAGCAGCAGCGGCGGCGATTAACTGTGCGAAAAAGCGATAGTAGCCCATGTTGGCTGGGAGGGAGAATCCTCCACCTGGTGTTGTTAGAAGACGTTTATATACATCTATCGATGAAGGGGATACACACCATGATACCAGATGAGCACATGGTCAGCCTTTCGATCACCAATCCAGTGACCGATGGCATTCTCGCCAATGTCGACAGACTGTGCCAACTGCTTCGTCTTGCTCATGTACTGCTCATACACTTTGTTTGTCGGTGGTGATACATATCTACCTGGGTCAGTCAAAAGCACATCTTCGAAGACAAGATAGACATACTGCAGCTGCTTTGGAGACAATCGCTTGGTGAGTCTTCTCATCACCGCATATCCCACATGCAGAAACAACGATTTGGCCTGCTTCTCGGATCGCCACAGCCCCGTGAGAAGCGCATAGAAGACCGTCCACCAGATGGAGGCGAGGGCGGGGAAGAGATCGAGTTTCTCCCAGGCGGAGAGCTGGACTTTCTTTGCGAGTTGCATGTTATCTTGCGTCGGTGGTTTCTGAATCTGTACGAGTTTGCGAGTTCCTCGGGAGATGATGCTATTTCAATGCTGGGTTGAGGATGTCGATCATTCGCAATGACTTCCTGTTTGGGAATTACCGAGGTCATCCAAACCCTCGGGCGAATGTGATGAAATCATCTGTTTTATTATCATTGATACTCTTTGATGCAGAGAGGATGAAGATTTTCCGATCGTGCGGTTGCTGATGTATAGGTGCATACATGCCGTTTTGGGCACACGTGTAGCGACAACGATCTGGTGCTGTAGCCTGTGCGACACGAACCACCCCGCATAGTATTGTTTTTGTTGAGATGGATTTCCAGCCATGCAAACGATCATATAATCGTCCTCAAATCCCATTCGCCCATTTTTGAAGTCCCCGTTTTTCCATTCTTGGTGGCCCATTTTTTTCTGCTGCTCCACCGCGTGCCGATCGCGCATACCGAGGACATGTGAACCGTTCAATGCAAGGATACTAAAATTCCTGGTTTATTTAACAACTGCAAGATAGCCATGTCTCATCTCCCCTTTGTCTTCTGTCTTATCCATCTTCACCATGTCTGAATTCGACGTTGTTATTGTTGGTGCTGGTATTTCCGGCATCAACGCCGCCTATCGCATCCAGAGCCAACTACCTCATCTTTCCTACGCCATCCTCGAGGCTCGCGATGCCATCGGTGGCACGTGGGATCTCTTCCGCTATCCTGGCATCCGCTCCGATTCGGATCTCTTCACTTTTGGCTTCGCCTGGAATCCCTGGTCCAAGGACAACCCCATTGCCGACGGCGCTTCCATCGCAAAATACGTGCGCAACACCGCTGCGGAATATGGCATCGACAAGCACATTCAGTTCCAGAATCGCCTGTTGGCTGCAGACTGGTCTACTTCAGACAACTCATGGACTCTAGCGGTCGATAACGACGGCGCTACTAAATCGTACAAGGCGCGCTTCGTTATCTTCGGCACAGGCTATTATGACTACCACCAGCCTCTCAAGGCCGACATTCCTGGCCTCGACAACTTCCAGGGCAAGCTCATCCACCCCCAATTCTGGCCCGAAGATCTCGACTACGAGAAGAAAAAGGTCGTCATCATCGGCAGTGGAGCGACGGCCATCACGCTGCTCCCCAAGATGGCTGAAAAGGCCGATCGCGTCACCATGCTCCAGCGCAGTCCGACGTACATTCTGTCCATGCCCAACCGCTCACGATCTCTTATGAGCTACTTCCTACCCAGCTCGTGGAATCGCAAATTCCAGCGCCTCACCTGGATCATCACCTCGCGCATCTTCTTCTTGTTCTGCCAGAGTTTCCCTACCCTTGCTCGGTTCATTCTTCGACTTTCTGTTAAGCCCCAGCTTCCGTCTCATGTCCCTCACGACCCGCACTTCAAGCCCCGTTACAACCCCTGGGAGCAGCGTCTCTGTGTCTGTCCCGATGGCGATTTCTTCAAGAGTCTACACACCGGCCGCGCAGACGTTCGAACCGACACAATAAAGCAGGTGACACCCCGCGGTATCGACCTCAACTCCGGCGATTCCCTCGACGCAGACATCATCGTGACCGCCACCGGTTTGCGACTGCAACTAGCGGGAGGTGCCTCAATCACCATTGATGGCGAGAAATACCGTCTACCAGAGAAATATCTCTGGAACGGTGTCATGGTGCAGGATCTCCCCAACGCCTCATTCGTGATCGGATACACCAACGCTTCGTGGACACTGGGTGCAGACGCCACTGCGCAAACTCTCTGCCGTCTCCTCAAGAATATGGAGAAGAACCACCAGGTCGCAGTCGTTCCCCGGTTGCACGATGACTCGGGGCTGCAGCAGCGCAAGCTGTTGAACCTCAACTCGACCTATGTGTCAGTAGCCGAGCAACAACTTCCCAGGGCAGCGGATCGGGGGCCGTGGCAACCACGCGACAACTACTTTTCGGATTACATGTTCTCGAAATACGGCAATATGAGTGAAAATCTGGAGACGGTGCCGGGGGATTTGAAAATCAAGGCCTAGTAATTGATTAACGACCATTTCATATTTCTTTCATATTTATGTAACTAGTTAGATGAGTACGGACTATTTATACCAATTATACTTGACTCTTGCTTTCACCACCACCACCACCTTCTTCATAATGACTCTGAGGAAGGTTATTCAACCGATCCTCCTCTCTATCCAGCTTATAATTCGTCGCCCAGAATCCAAACCCACCAACAAAGGCTAGAATTGCGACAACGGCATAATTCCACTCCAGCAGCGGATCTTCAGACAGACCCACCAGCGCCTGTCCAACAGCCGCCGAGATGGCGTTCATAAACAATGCGACAGCCTGCACGAGCGAGCGCATATTTTTCGGCGCCTTGGTGAATGCATACTCTAGGGATGTGATGGACGCGAAAATTTCCGAAATCCCACCAAAGACGTAAGGGATAGTCTGCACCCAGACGGAAATGGGACTGTACGAGTCGTATTCGTTGAGACAGTAATTGGCTTCCTTGCCGCAGGCACCCTTTTTGTAGATATAGTACTGGGTGACGGTTGCTGCAATCATTGACGATCTGTCCCAAACCTGTTAATATGTATAAAGTAACTGGGGTAGGGAGGGGTGTATGTGTGTATACTCACCCAGCCATGAAAAATCCGGCGGTGATACGTTTCAACGGGGTGAATTTGATTCCCCTTCGACGGAGGAATGGGTAGAAGAGGTGGTCCACGATGGGGATAAAGATGATGAGGGAGAGTGGGTTGAGGTTGGTGATGATGTCGTTGGGGACACCACCCAGGTGCATTGTTGCTGCTTGGGAGGTAAGGTTGTTTAACATTTGATTGTAGGAAAGCCCTGACGGAGATTAGTATATAGATACGCTGGAAAGGTAGATGGAGACATACAGTAAAGAGGGTACCAGAGAAAGACTTTGCAGGCTTTCAGTCCTCGACTGACCTCGTCCACCCATTCATCATCAAAGGTCATCCATTCAGGGCGAGAAGATCCGAGAACCGATGGTTTAACTGAGCCCCAGAATTCTGTCTCTCGTTTGTGGAATCTATCCAGTTAGTATACACTGAAAAACAGAGTAGGAAGACATACAATCTCATCGGGTTAATCGACCATCTTCCCTTCATCGCCAGCTTCCACAGTCTGAATGCCTGGGAATAAACAGATCCCGTCGGCTTGACGAGTTGATACCGATTGCGACAGATGAACAGGACAGCCGGACAGAAGCAAAACATGATAGTCGGCAGGAGGAATGAAAGCCAGAAGCCGACGTATCGTTCCGCATAGACCATGCTAATCTGACCAACCAGTGAACCGACGTTGATCATCATGTAAAAGTAGAGATAGATGCGCGAGATAGTAGCTGCCGGATCGACGATGATACGTTCTCCACTAGGGAGGGTTTTGACATACGGTCGTTCTTCTGGATACTGCTCTGCAATGAGGGCAGAGATGTTGGATCTGCGTCGATTAGTACGGGTTGAAGCAGGAAAAGGGAATTCCATACTTGAATCCACCTGTTCCAACACCCATAATAACCAATCCGATGGAGAAACAAGCAATCGATCCTCCAGGATGGGCGATGACGCTGGGAATAGCAGAGACAATGAGAATGGTGTGGCCGAGAAGAGCCACTGCAATGGAAAACATGATGGTGCGGAATCGACCCCAGTATTGGTCGGCCATAAAGGCGCCCAGAAGAGGCATCAGATACGACCAGAATTGGTTGACTTGGAAGTCAGCATCAGTTATCAATTATTATGTGAGGATGGAGTCTTACACAAAGTTAGTCCAGTCGATGCACGCTGGCCCATACCCAGGGCTCCTGGAACTGCATCATCGTAGCCAGCACCAGTGGACGAGCCATCAGGCAGAGGTCGTTGGATGAAGTTGACGACTGTTGATATCAGCACCATCCATCTGCGTGTCCTTTGATAACATACAAACAGCAGTCGTTCCATAATAGGAGAATCGCTCGCACAACTCGACAAATGCAATGGTAAACGCCGGCCAGGGAACCTTTCCAGCCACTCTGCGCAGCGTCCGTAATTCGTCCTCTGTGGGAAACTGTCCATCCGAGGTTTTCATCTCCATCGCCTCCTGACTGACCGAGACGGCTTTGATTTCCGCCTCGGCAGTTCTGGATTTGGCGATTTCCACCATCTCAGCGGGATTGGAGACGTCCATGTTGGCGACGAGAGACGGAGAGACCAAGATGGCTGGCGCTCGCCATCTTATACTGGGGAATACGATAGCTGGCACCGCTGGTAGCCGGACAGGTCAGACTGTTTGATTTGATGATAAAGTGACCATCGGCATACTCCGACTCGATCACGACAAAAACGAAGCCCTGAGCGTTGGACCAGTCGATATCAACTTGGCGTGCTTGGCTGGCGACTTTCCCCGCAGGCGAATGCAACGCTGCATCTTGGCCGCAGGCAATGAACAGGAATTAGAGATAGAGATAAGGTGTATTGGAGTCAGATGGATGCAACCTGATATCTATCGATATTAATCAAATCTTCGCCTGGTTTGCCTCTCGGTTCCTCCGCGCATTTCCCTCCAGCCCATACAGCGTATTCTCAGACATGCCCGGGATTTTCATCTCGAACGTATCCTTAATCACCGCGTACTGATAATATCCACAGCGCGCAATTGGCTTCGTCTTTGTCACATCCAGTAGTCCATCCGTCAACACCTCGTCCTTGATATGCACCGCAATCACCTTCCCAATCACCACATCCACCGTTCCCATAGGGGGATTGCCGGGCAACCGCACCGTCGAGTGATATTCACATTCAAACTTGACCGGCGACTCCTTCACCATTGGCGCATTGACTAGTTTTGCACTCTCCTTGGTCACCCCCGCGCGCGCAAACTCGTCCACGCCGTACGGAACCTGTTCGGCGGAGATATTCACTGCGTCGCGCAGATCCCACGTGGCGAGGTTCCACACAAACTGCCCCGTTTGCTCGGCATTGATCACCGTGTCTTTACGCACTCCTTCTACCGTCTGGTTCGACGAGAACATCACATATGGTGGGTCAAAGGTGAGGTTGTTGAATTGGCTGTATGGGGCCAAGTTGGACTGGCCCGAGGCATTCTGAGTGGAGATCCACCCGATCGGGCGGGGGACCACACATGCCTGATTTGGTTTATCAGCAATGATCATATAGGATGAGGAAGGGTCAGACCTTGAAAGGGTCATGGGGGAGGTTATGGTCAGTGGTGCCAGGTTGGTAAAACATGTTGTATTGATTCAATGATGGATGATGATGATGCAGCGTCCTATACTGAGCTTCCCCAGTCTTATATAACCCATCTCTCCCTGCCGAGATCCGAAGCCGACGTGCCCCGAGCTGTCAATCGGCTATTGTGCCGTGGATATATATAAGATCTACAGTGGAGGATTCGAATCAGTTGCACTATCGTCGACCATTGCAACTAGGCTCTGCAGATCATCGGCAGTGTTCATAATACTTTATGCTCTGATATTTGGACACTGCATGATAGTTGATATGCAGCCGGTGGTACTGTAATGCAATCATACCAATTCACTATACGCAATTAACACATTCTTTGTAGTCTGGTGGCTGTTGGTGCCTGGATTCCTACAGAATATAGACAAACGGCCTTGAAGACAAAGTCATTCATTGTAGAAATGGAATACAAAGACATCAGTCCATGAAAAATAAAGAAAGTAAAAATCAAACATCGATGGTTATTTCACTCTGAGCAACAAATCCAAAAGCTGACAACGTCTTGAAAAGTAGGATAAAAAAGTGAAGCCTCGCTTCACCATGACAAAGCCAACTAATGTTATCTTTCGTCATCCTCTTTCCATCAAACATTTCTTTCCTTGTCTGACGAACAACGCTAACCTGAAATCCTCCGATCGCTCTTGTCTCAAACGCGGTATTGATGCCTTTTGCTGCAAATTCAAACGGCAGATGAGACTGGTATCGGTCCACCACAATCCGGAGGGTGGGAACCAAGGCTTCATCTCCACTGGTTTCTGATTTCGCGAGCTCGAAGTTGATATCTTTGAATGGTATCTTGTGGCGCTTTAGGACTGCCTTGAAATCTTGAATGAGCTCTTCGTCTCGCGCCGCGGTGCCGATGACCTCGTAAAGGTGCGCATTATCGTCTGGTGGTGTGATGACGATAGTAGGTATCGGGTAGGGATATGTGTTGAAACGTTTGATCAAAGCGTTGTATAAACTGTTTGGTTTGATCTTTTTGACTTGCGGTGTGTACCGGGATGACTTTGGGAGCTTGAAGGTATTGATAGTGTCGAAGGTTGGTTTCGGGGCTTTCAGTGTGGATGAAGATGAGATACTACCGTTTGAAGACATGCTGTTTGAAGATTCAGTGATATTAGGAGGTAGGTCTGTAGGTCTCGTGTATAGGGACGGAGGGTGTAAGAGAAGAAATGGATATGGCGAGAAGAGCTGGAGGCTGTCTTATATACTGGGCTCTAGGCATCCAAACCTCCATTTTCTGGTAGGGATAGACATTATTATCAACAGGCAGATGTAAATCAGTGTTTCCTATATCTGTAGAACCACACAAGGCCGGATTAAGCTTTGTTCTGTAGGCAACAAAATGTGATAGCAAATTGACGTAAATATGATTTAGGGTATAACCTTTTTCAATGAAGACTTCACGGATATTTGAAAACATGATGATAGCTCAGACAATGGAATCAATATCCGATAAGCCCCCGTATCACTAAGGAGCTCGATTTGCCTTGCAGAACATCTCAGGTTGATCCTATTCAAGCTGATTCGAACTCTTGTCAGGTGGAAGATCAACAGCAAAGGATATGAGGTATTATATCGTCGCTAGAGCGACGATACTAGGTGAAGGTATTTCACAATCAATTTCTGGAAAGCCTTGAGAGACTGGGCTGGCCTGGGAGGGTAGTCGCCTGCTAGGTTTATCTGCAAGATGGCTATTAGCGATGGACGATGAGAATGCCTTGATTGATCATTCTGAGCCAGAGCTGGGAGATACCAGATGATACTATCTCTCAAGACTCACAAGAGTAATTTAGAAATGAATGATCGTCCAGAGCTGCAGGGTAGATCTAGCCCTATGCCCTTGCCCCAGACCCTACCTTTCTCTTTTCGGTCGACGTGCAAAAAACCCACTAGGTACAAGTGTGTAGGTGCATATTGTTTCAGTATCTCCTATGTATCAGGCTTCTAAACTTGTGGTTCATTGCATTATTCAGGTGAGATTAATGCAAAAGGTTTGGGGCATATCGTGCTACTCGGCCCAGTCGAGGAATATTCGGCGTGAGTTTATATCAAATCAACACTATTTACAGAGCAGCATGCTCAAGATACACACCCCTGATCCGAGCTATCCGCCAACATGTGCTTGTCCATGTATTCCTTGTTTTGGCCATCCCGAAGATCAACGTCAGTGGCCCACTCTGATACAGCGCCCCGAGCTCCGAAGTGCGAGATCCGAGACCCCGAAGCAGCTTGGGTCAATTGATCGTCAAGTGTCCACTGCGAGCCTGAATCCCTGCTGCATATCAATCTTGCTGGAACAGTATCCGAATTTGTTCTAGAAGTGATTTTTCCGAGAGACCCGTGGAGGAATATAAAATTATCCCTGGATCCTTGTCATCGAGGCCAATCTAGCATCTATCAAACCGATCTACATCCTGACAATCCTATACTCAACCCCAGTTATTCCTGACATCTCTTTTAACAAAATGTCTGCTGAGCCAGCACATCTCTGCTTCCGCTCCTTCGTGGAAGCCCTTGCAACGGACAACGATTTGGTGGAAATCAACACCCCAATCGACCCCAACCTCGAAGCGGCCGCCATCACCCGACGTGTCTGTGAGACCGACGATAAGGCACCGCTCTTCAACAACCTTATTGGTATGAAGGGTGGGCTGTTCCGGATTCTTGGTGCTCCCGCATCGCTCAGAAAAGGTGCTGGAGACCGCTATGGCCGGTTGGCAAGACATCTCGCCCTTCCTCCTACGGCATCGATGCGCGAGATTCTCGACAAGATGTTGAGCGCAAGTAGCCTGCCACCCATTCCTCCAAACGTTGTTTCGACCGGTCCATGTAAGGAAAATGTTTTGGAGGAGCCAGAGATTGATTTGACCCAATTGCCTGTACCGATGATCCATAAAGACGATGGTGGAAAGTACATCCAAACCTATGGAATGCACATTGTCCAATCACCTGATGGCGAATGGACAAATTGGTCTATTGCACGGGCTATGGTTCACGATGAAAAACATCTGGCTGGATTGGTCATCCAGCCTCAGCACATTTGGCAGATCCACCAGCTGTGGAAGAAGGAGGGTCGGGATGTCCCTTGGGCATTGGCATTCGGTGTTCCCCCAGCTGCAATTATGGCATCGAGTATGCCCATCCCAGACGGGGTCACTGAGGCAGGCTATGTGGGTGCCATGACGGGATCTGCTCTCGACCTTGTCAAGTGTGACACGAACGGTCTCTATGTTCCCGCTAATTCGGAGATTGTTCTTGAGGGAACATTGTCTATCACTGAGACGGCGCCGGAGGGCCCTTTTGGTGAGATGCATGGATATGTCTTTCCTGGTGACACGCATCCCTGGCCCAAGTACAAGGTCAACCGTATTACCTACCGCAACAACCCCATTCTGCCTATGTCTGCCTGTGGACGATTGACGGATGAGACTGTAAGCAGAAGGCCTTGATTCATCTAATCCTCGTCAGCTAACAATTTTTTTTTTCAAAGCATACCATGATCGGATCCCTTGCTGCCGCGGAAATTAGGAAGATCTGCCAACAACACGACCTGCCAATCACCGACGCATTTGCCCCGTTCGAATCCCAGGTTACCTGGGTCGCCCTCCGTGTCGATACTGCCAAACTGCGCGAACTCAAGACCGACAGCCAGGACTTCCGCAAGAAGATCGGTGACCTCATCTTCAACGTCAAGGCGGGCTATACAATCCATCGTTTGGTGCTTGTTGGCGATGACATCGACGTTTATAATGGCAAGGACGTGATGTGGGCATTTTCAACTCGCTGCCGACCAGGAATGGACGAGACTCTTTTCGACGATGTGCGTGGATTCCCTCTCGTACCGTACATGTCGCATGGAAGCGGATCACCGGTTCAAGGTGGCAAGATTGTTTCGGATGCGCTGCTTCCAGTTGAGTACACGACTGGTAGAAACTGGGTGCCGGCGGACTTTGAGAATTCGTATCCAGAGGAGGTGAAGCGTAAGGTGTTGGACAAGTGGGAAGATATGGGATTCAGTGCATAAATTGGCACTCTTTAGTTTCTTTCTTTTTCATTTAAGTAGAATTCTGACTGTACTATACAATTTATAAACCAATCTTTACACTTAATGTGTTGTTCCGAACTACTTACTATATATCTGGAATAGACTTGAATTATACACTACTATTAATATTAACCTAGCAAAACCCATCATTAATAGATATCGCGCTTTTAATACTAGTAATTAATTTGATGGAACCCAAAAGACCTCCAAATATGCTAGGTACCTATGGCAATATGGTATCCAGAACTGACTCTTGTGCGTAAACACTGGTGCCCCAGGCATACATACCCGTCACATGACCATGTGGGATCCCCACATGTTGGCAAAGGAAGATCATCGACATCATGACGGGTCAATATTTAAAAATACTCGGAACTGAAAGTATTTAATATTAAAAGTGCCATTAGAATGAAAGCCATTGAATACAGACTCAGCTAGCCAACCATGGACAATCATCCAAGCCAACAGGAAATCGACCGCGTCCTCCGGCTCAAGCGGAAGCAGCGTGAAACCAAGGCCTGTTATCCTTGTCGCCAGCGAAAGGTCAAATGTGATGGTTCGCAGCCATGTCGAACTTGTCAGAAAAGAAACCATCCGCATATCTGCACCTATGATCTGCCAGCGCGTTCGGGACGTAGCAATGCTACACGTGGGACAAATCACACCGAGCCTGTGGTACACCCCGACGGGAATTGGAGGGCTGCATCTGTCCAAAGTATCTCGTCTCCTGGACCTCAGCTTCAGCCTCAGTCTCAATCTGAAAGCATTCTGAATAATCCCAGTCAGCAGCCGTCATCTGATGGCATGGATAAGGAATACATCTTTGCCGGCGATAACTCGGTTGTTTCTATTCTTCGTCTGCGCACGCAGGATGCCAACGGGTCGATGGCCCATGAACTCGGATCGGTTCTTGGTTTACAAAATACCTACAATAGTTACCCATTTATGGACTCGAGAACGCCTCAAGAACGGTGGGCGGCGCTGTTACAGATTCTACCCCAGCGAAATGAGGTGCTGAAGTGAGTTCGAAGAACATCATGTGTAGATCACTTCTAACATCTTAGATACTTTCACTTTTATCGCACATCTGCCTATCCCTTTAATCCAATCTTAGTTGATATTGATCGATTTGAATCCGATCTTTGCGGCTATCTCAATGCCCTCGCGGCCGGGGAACTGCGGGATGCGAATTGCGTATCGGATCGATGGGCAACTGACAAATCTATTGGACACATCAGCTTACTACTGGCTACCCTGGCTTCAGGGGTTCATTTTTCAGATATTGAACATCCACATCGGTCAGAGCTGGGTCAGGAATTTGGTATGTACATGGAACTTTCCAAGGGTCTTTTTAGCACATGCTTACACGAGCAGCCCGTCGATCTTTTCAAGCCCTGCGCTTGGCAAACTTTCTTTTTAGACCCTCAATGGACATAATACAGTCGCTATTGATTCTAGGGAACACCCTCCAGAATAATGGACAGTCAGATGCTGCATGGGCGTTACTGGGAACAACTGTGCGACTGGCCCAGACGCTTGGGTTGCACACGGAGAAGAGCATATCACACTGGCCAGACTGTGTCAAATCGAAGGCAAAAACTCTATGGTACCTTATTTTCCAACTTTTTCATATTGGGGGATAATAAATTAATTGACGGCCAGGTTTACGATTGTCTGGCAGGACAGTTTGCTATGCCTCTGCTACGATCGGCCTCCCGTCGTTTCAACAAAAGGCTGGAGGCCTGACGCGACGATATCTTCACGATTCGGCTTGTCATACACGGACATCATGCACTATATCTGTCGCCTCGGGATTGAAACTATTTTATCAGAAGAATTTGAATCGAATGGAATCAGTCGATCCCTCGATGCGTTGGCTACCTTGGACAGTGTTTACGGGCGAGCTCAGCCCCATCTCATTGCCCAAGAAAACTGTAGGACATTGCATCAAAACCTAGAGCACCTGGCACTCAAAATGCACCTTTCTCTCGCTGTTTCTGTACTGTGTCGCCCAGCCATCAAACAGTCTCAACTCCGTGACGCACAGTACGATGTGTTACGCACCAGAGCCAAGGGAAGTTTGATTGATGCGTCCAAGGCGTTTCTCAACTTCCAAACACTAAGTATAGTCCCATTAAGGACGTGGTCAATGGTCCATACGGTTCTCAGCTCTACATTGCTTCTTTGTCTCTGGGAGGAGACTCGAAATGATCCCGAGTGTTTTGAACTGCAGCAACGAGTGATTGAGGTGTTTTCCACGACGGAAGTCGGCGCCAGTGAATCGAATTCAACAACACCCAACGGGCAATGGTTGTCAGAAAGACACATCCGGGCGCTGGTGACTCTCCGTAATGCAGTGCGAAGTGCATTGGATCAACAAAGGGAGGACTTGACCGACACTACTCAACCCAATCTTGAACCTTACCCAATGTTTGGGTATGAGCCCCACCTGTCTCAGAGAAATGATCATACTGACTCTGATAGAATACCGAATACGCTTATGGAAGGAGATCCTTTCGGGGTGTCTCCCATCTCGTATCTTGACTCGATTATGAATATTCCAATGTTTGATCTTTCCCAGGAGACTGGATTCCCATAACTTCTATTCTTGGATTGAATATTCCGAACAATATTGAACTCTGGTCCCACCACAAAATCGGCTTCTTTGCCGACATGATCCCGGCAGTTCGGGTTCGGACCCTCGGGCCCTCGGACATCTCGGAATCGGCGATCAATGAGATATCCTTGAAAGCAATTGTTGATCCTACACAAACGATCCGAGAAAAAATGACGAGAACAAAAAAGGTCTCCGCAGGCAATTTTAAAAACCTTATTGACGCCACATAAAAGGATAAATACTCGATTGATTCGTTTTCGTTTGCTCAGAGATTATCACAACCATCTGCTCTTCACCATTCCTCAGCGATCTACATCTATCAACCACAAAACTGGTCAAATAATAACATTGAGATGTTGAACTCTTTCTTCTCCGGCACTGTTACTCCTCACTCCATCGGTCAATCACCCAGTCCGTCCGAAATGAGCGCCGACCACCATTCTGAACCCCCCGTCACTGCTAATCCCGCACCGCATCCCAACCCACAACCAAGACGCCGCCGGATCGTGGTAGCCATGACAGGGGCCACTGGCGCCATCCTAGGAATCAAATGTCTTATTGCCCTTCGCCGACTAAATGTGGAAACACACCTCGTGATGAGCAAATGGGCCGAGGCAACGATCAAATACGAGACGGACTACCATCCCTCTAATGTCAAGGCCCTCGCCGATCATGTTCACAACATCAACGATATGGCAGCACCGATTTCCAGCGGCTCTTTCCGAGCAGATGGCATGATTGTGGTACCTTGCAGCATGAAAACGCTGGCTGCCATCCATTCTGGATTCTGCGACGATCTGATCTCCCGAACAGCCGATGTGATGCTCAAAGAGCGACGACGCTTAGTGCTAGTGGCCAGAGAGACACCCTTGAGTGAAATTCATCTACGCAACATGTTGGAGATTACAAGAGCTGGTGCTATCATCTTTCCTCCTGTCCCGGCGTTCTATATCAAGGCTGCTGGGATAGAAGAGCTCGCTGATCAGAGTGTTGGAAGGATGTTGGATTTGTTTGATTTGGATACGGGGGAGTTTGAACGGTGGAATGGGTGGAATAATTAATTTCAGTGATTATTTGAGGAGTTTGGTGTTTATAAATCGCATGTGTTTGATAGACTACGAATTAATATCAATAGACATACTTATTGGATGACAAAATGTTGCAGCCTATTTCTGTTTGTCGACCGTTCGAATTTAAAACCATACTATTAAGAGCTACTTTAATTAACCCACTATATTTACGAGTTCCTGCACCTGGCAAGAAGAAGTTTGTTAGAGTGCGCTGCACTTGGGGATGCCATGTATTTCAATGTCACATGCAGTAAGCATAACCATCGTTACATTGCATGTATCAAACCACCACAACATGACAGTAACATGACTCACATAAGACAGTACTAGTGACCTGCAATGATCCAAAAGCAGCAAAATCCTCGACCACTACTCAACCGTCCTGCATTTATTCACTCCGGTTCTGCCATATTATTGGCTGTGCAATATAAACCTTCTAATTCCCCGCGCGATCGACAGGCCAGAATGCGGGGATTCTTCTATACCGCCAACTAAACCCCCGAACGACAACAAGCACCTGACCACATCATCACCTCGGCTCATGCGTTGAAAAATGCATCCTGACTGTGATTCCAAAGATCACTGTTGATTATTCGATGTCTTCCGAGACAATCCGAGTCAGGTTGAAGGAAGGACTCAGTCACAGACATTATCAACGCGGAATTCCACAAGCATACAATGACAGTCAAATTGATAATGTGTAGCTAAATGAAATAGCCGGATGAGGAGACGCCGCCTGATCCGTGATAGCCCGGTTATTCCTCCGTAGTCGAAATGTGATACTATTGCTTTTTTTTTTTTTTTTTTTTCCCCCTCCAACAGATCATGATCGGAACTAGCTAGTCACTCCTAGTCTTAGTTGATCACAGTAAACACTCTATTAAAATTTCATCCCTAAAGCCATGTCTGTCTCTGGACCGAGGAAACACATGCCTCAGTCCATGAAATGATATATATCGTGATACTTGCTGGGCGTAATGCGTCCAGGCATGAACACCGCGTCCACACACCATGAGGCCATTCACTTTTCTCCTCCTCCTCCCCCTCACTTTGGCAGCCCCCGCCAAACGTGATTCTCCCAGCGTCACCATCGCTTCTCCTGCGGCAACCATCGTTGGCTCATCGGCTTTGAATATCGACAGTTTCAATGGAATCCCGTTTGCTCAACAGCCCACCGGATCGCTCCGCCTGAAACCTCCCCAGCCCCTGCAGTCATCATTAGGGACCATCTCTGCGACAGGAATAGCCAAATCATGTCCTCAGTTCTTCTTCTCGACCAACAACAGCGAGTTCCCTGGGTCTGTTGTGGGGGAACTGGCAAATATCCCTCTCTTTCAACATGTCACCAATGCAGGCGAGGATTGCCTCACTCTCAATATCCGTCGTCCAGCGGGGACCAAACCGGATGCAAAACTGCCAGTACTAGTCTGGATATTTGGCGGCGGGTTCGAGTTGGGTTCTACGACCATGTATGACGGGGGGCCAATTGTTTCTTCTTCAGTGGATCTGGACATGCCTGTCGTGTTTGTGGCGATCAACTATCGCGTTGGAGGATTTGGATTCCTTGCTGGCTCTGAGATACTCGCTGATGGCGCTTCCAACTTGGGGCTGTTGGATCAACGTCTCGCGCTGGAATGGGTGGCGGATAATATTGAAGCGTTTGGAGGAGACCCGAACAAAACAGTCATCTGGGGCGAAAGTGCAGGTTCGATCAGTGTCTTCGACCAGATGGCGATGTATGATGGCGATATCAATTACAAGGGCTCGCCTTTATTCCGTGGAGCGATCATGGATTCCGGCAGTGTGGTTCCAGCTGAGAAGGTCGATGGGAAGAAAGGCCAGGAAGTATATGATGCGGTCGTTGCCTATGCTGGGTGTTCATCTCAAAAGGATACACTGGAATGTCTGCGAGGGCTGGAGTATACTGACTTCCTCAACGCTGTCAACTCAGTGCCTGGTATCTTGAGTTATCATTCTGTGGCTCTGTCCTATCTTCCCCGACCCGATGGAAAGGTTCTCACGCAATCTCCCGATCTACTGGCTGAAGCAGGAAAATATGCATCGGTTCCTTTTATTGTCGGGGATCAAGAGGACGAGGGAACTATATTTGCCCTCTTCCAATCCAACATCACTACGACGGATGAGATAGTGGACTATCTGTCTAGTATTTTCTTCTACGAAGCCAGCCGCTCAACACTCGAAGAATTGGTGGCAACCTACAAAGATATTTCCGAGGATGGATCTCCTTTCCGCACTAGTAACCTGAACAACTGGTACCCGCAGTATAAACGTCTTGCTGCCATCCTGGGTGACTTGACCTTCACTATCACACGGCGAATCTTCCTCTCTGTCGCCAATAAGGTCAAGCCTGATGTCCCCTCGTGGTCGTATCTCTCCTCATACGACCATGGAACCCCGATTCTGGGTACATTCCATGGAAGTGACCTTTTACAAGTTTTCTACGGAATTTTGCCTAACTACGCGTCTCGGTCCATTCATACATACTACCTCAGTTTTGTGTACGAACTCGATCCGAACGCAAAGCGCGGAGAATTTATGGAGTGGCCGCAGTGGAGTGAAGGGAGTGAGTTAATGAACTTCTTCGCGGACAAGGGGGAATTGATCAAAGATGACTTCCGCAATGATACGTATGCACTTCTGCAGAGTAATATCGAGTCGTTTTATATATAGGCTGTGGACCGCCGCCATCTTGTCACATACTACAGGATGATACCCTACATACATAAGTTCCAACCATCTTAATTAATTCTCAAAATCCACGAATAAATTCATGCCCGCCAATTCGCCGTCCCCTGTCGTCTATCCAAGCGATGCCGAATAACCAGCGGCAAACATGTGCCTGACATGGCCATCTAACAATGGATGCATCTAGATTGACTAAATCTATCGGGGGGTATAATGAGCAATTTAAATCGTGGTGCTACATGAAAAAGCAAAACCAGCTTCAATCCACCCCGCTCAAGCCCACAAAGCTGCAGCTGAAATTAAATCTTCTCCTGCACATGCAACCGTCCCTTGCAAAGAACAACAACGCCAGCATCGTCCATTCGCCAATTCCAAACATGCAGCTTCATCACAATAAACTGCACAAAATAAAAAACAAACATATGCACAGCTGAGGCAGGTATAAAAGCCTCAGCTACCTCGCGTCTTCGACTCCCAACCCGGCAGTCAGCTTCAATCTCAATCTTCGATGACCCCTCATTTTATCCTTGGCCTGTGTGCCCTTGCCCTCGGGCAGGTGGCTGGGGCAGCTCCATCCTTAACTCCACGTGCGTCAGGAGATTTGGGTACATGGTTATCCAGCGAGGCAACGACCTCATTGAGTAACATTCTCAATAACATCGGATCCGATGGCGAATGGGCGCGGGGAGCCAAAGCTGGAGTCATCGTCGCTAGTCCCAGCACTGCAGACCCTGATTGTGCGTTGTGTCCAGACTAACATGAGCAATGCTAATTGATTCATTACTTCAGACTTTTATACGTGGACTCGTGATTCCGGATTGGTGATGAAAACCGTGATCGATTTGTTTATAAACGGCGACTCGTCTGTCCTATCCACCATCGAGCAATACATCGATTCTCAAGCTGTTATTCAGGGCATCTCGAATCCATCCGGTGACCTCTCCAGTGGTGGGCTTGGTGAACCCAAATTCAACGCCGATGAGACTGCTTTCACAGGATCTTGGGGACGACCGCAGCGTGATGGTCCGGCGCTGCGGGCGACAGCGTTGATTTCTTTTGGTGAATGGCTGATTGGACGTTTCTCCCACGGAGTACCTCGTAATTTATCGGCTAATACCTCCATAGGAAAACGGATATACGGATCTTGCTTCGGGCATTGTCTGGCCGATTGTGCGAAACGATTTGTCCTATGTTGCACAGTATTGGAATCAGACAGGATTTGGCAAGTGACTCCAAATCTACTTTTAAGAATTAACTAACGTGTAAAAGACTTGTGGGAAGAAGTACAGGGTTCTTCATTCTTTACGATCGCCGTGCAACATCGCGCGCTTGTCGAAGGAAGTAGATTCGCCGCCCAAGTTGACGCCTCCTGTCCATACTGTGACTCACAGGCCCCCCAGATCCTTTGCTTCTTGCAATCATTCTGGACGGGAGAATACATCTTGGCCAACTTCGGGGGCGGTCGCACTGGAAAAGATGCCAATACTCTGCTGGGTAGCATCCACACCTTTGACCCCGAAGCCGGCTGCGACGATTCCTCATTCCAGCCATGTTCTGCCCGTGCTTTGGCTAACCACAAGGTGGTAACTGATTCCTTCCGCTCTGTCTACTCTCTTAACTCTGGCATCGCAGCCGGTAAAGCTGTGGCGGTTGGTCGTTATCCCGAGGATTCATATTATAATGGAAACCCGTGGTTCCTGTGCACTCTTGCTGCTGCTGAACAGCTGTACGATGCGATCTACCAATGGGATCAGTTGGGATCCCTGACCATCACTGATGTATCACTGGCCTTTTTCCAGGACCTGTATAGCTCTGCAAAAACGGGTACATATGAATCTGACAGTTCTGCCTACGCGGATATCGTGGATGCTGTTAAGCAGTACGCAGATGGTTTTGTGGGCATTGTTGTATGTCTAATATTCTTTCAATCTTGGATTGCTACTAATAATATCAGGAACAATACGCTTCCTCCAACGGCTCCATGTCCGAGCAATATTCCAAATCAGATGGCTCTCAGCTCTCAGCCCGTGACCTGACCTGGTCCTATGCAGCTCTACTGACAGCAAACATGCGTCGTAACTCGGTCGTTCCTGCACCATGGGGAGAAACATCCGCCACAAGCGTTCCTTCGTCATGCATTGCTACTTCAGCAACAGGCACCTACAGCAGCGTTGCCACCTCTTCCTGGCCAAGTACACTGACCAGCGGATCCGGCGCGACCACGACTAGGATAACAACTACCGAGACCCCCGCGACGGCGACAACTACAACTTCCACAACTTCCACGTCTTGCACCACACCGACATCCGTAGCCGTTACATTCGACCTCACCGCGCCAACAACCTACGGCCAAAACATCAAGCTATCCGGCTCGATTGACCAACTCGGGAGCTGGGATACGAGTGACGCCATCGCTCTGAGCGCGGATAAGTATACATCTAGCAACCCGCTTTGGTATGTGACTGTCAACTTACCTGCCGGGGCGAAGTTCGAATACAAATATGTTCGTGTCGATGGGGATAGTGTGGCGTGGGAAAGTGATCCTAACCGGTCGTACACTGTTCCTGCGGGCTGTGGGACGTCTACTGCTGTTGAAGAGGATACGTGGCAGTGATCAAGTATCTGTTTGAGATGGAGGAGAGATACTATATTCCTTGTTTGCTGCGGCATATCATTATATATGATCGCGGGTTGGGGATTCAAATTTGTTTGCTATTGCTATTGCTATTGGATTGAACAAACCAGAGACTAAAAGGAACGATCTTCACCGGCTTATTTATCTTAAACTATGATGTACTTTGAGTAAGGAAATGGCTTCTCACATGTGACATAAATAGATATACTCGGTTGCAAAAGTATAATGCTTGATGAAGGATTTCATAATTATAGGCTATCTATCCTTCGAGGTAGTCGCACTCATAACTTGACTCAACGTAATTCTATTTTTAGTAGAATGTGAACAGGGTATAACCTTAGAAGGGTATGATTCTTTATATACCTATAATTTGCATGTGCCATCGTATGTGTGGTGTAAAGGACCAGGTTACAAACTATTATGTCGCACGGTCAACCCAGTCAACGACGAAAGGAGGGAACAGACGAGTGAGATCACTATAGAGCATTAGCAGATACTCGACAATCAAATGGCACGCAACCTACGGTATGGATGCTTCAGACCAGCGACGAAGCAGTTCACGACTATCTCTCGGAGACGGCCAGTAAGCTGGGCAATGTAGCGGGTATCCGACATAGCGTGACTAATAATCTACATTCATATTGAGTTAGTTTTGCACATACTTGAGATGTCAAGTTACTTACCTTCTGAGCATCGGGCCCATGGAGATTGCGCTCAAGCTGGCGCTTGAATTCGAGTCCCAAAAAAGTGTTGGCGGTAGTGGTACCGGCGGTCATGGCGAAGCTGAAAAGCAACATATAACCCCCCGTCGCCATGGGTATTTCCTGCGGTTCCAAGAAGGCCGTCATGGTGACGAACGCAGATGCAGATGCAATGCCAGTTCCCATACCACCGGGGATGATGTAGAGCGACTCCCATATACCGGTGTGGCCGTTCCAGCGGAGGAAAAGAAGGGCGTATGTGATGGCAGCAACGAGTCCAGCCAGTACGACCAGAATATTATAGCGACCTGTTTGTCGGATGAAGCCACCTGCAAGTAACCCGCCAATTGTATTACCGACAACGGCAGGGACCAGCTGGGCGCCTGCTGCGGTTGCTGACGCCCGCTCGGTGACTTGAAAGTAAAGGGGCACGGAGAACATCATGCCAACTTGGGCCATGATCTGTAAGGAACCGATAAGGTAGCTTGCTGCCACATTGGGGCGTCGCAGAATGCGGAGTTCGAAGATGGGTTCCCGAGCGACATATATCTCTACCAGAACAAATGCAACGAGTAGGAGTACCCCGAGTCCGAATAGCAGGGATGAAATCCATGAGATCCAAGGGAATGCCTGTCCGCCTCTATCAAGAAGTACGACAATCGAAACTATGGCGGCTGCCAGCAAAAACGTGCCCAAAAAGTCGACACGACGTAGAGGCGATGTCTTACTCTCTTTGGGGGTAACGTTGGTTCCAGGGTAGGAGATGTTGAGTTTCGCGCAAACAAGGATCGCAGCAATTCCTATCAATGGAGCTTGAAGGATAAAGAGCCTAGCATCGTTAGCGAAGTTAAACCATTGTAGACGGGGAAAAAGAAAAGGAAAAGAGAGCATACCATCGCCACCCTATCGAGTCCGTTAGCCAACCACCAACGGGTCCACCAACACTACGACCCAAAGTCATGGAGATGTTTACATATGCTCTCCAGCTGGCGACTTCGCGCCTAGGAACTATGTCTGGAAGATGTTAGCATGTCGAATAACACTTTATACTACCACATACCGGTTATAATGATGGATCCCACTCCCATAATGCCGGCACCTCCAATACCACTGATAGCACGGCCTAAGATAACCATCCACATTTCGCTTCCGGTGCCACTATGCCAATCAGCGCTGGTTATATTGGGTATACTTTTGAAGACCTACCAGACCAAACATCCGAAAGCGAATAAAAAGTATGCGGCAAGCAAGAGTACCTTGCGGCCGTAGATGTCACTTAATTTTCCATACTTTGATTTCTCGTCAATTAAAATGCCAATTAGAGGACCCAGTGTAAACTGACCATAGGCTGCGCTGCACAGAGACCAAGGGTATAAGCAGTAGACAACCAACTGGCATCCTGCAACCGATTGAACTGGGAGGAGATCGGTCCAGTTGCTGCCAAAACCAGTGTGCCATCTGCATTGGAAATAAATTCTCCTACTCGCGGGTGCTATGAGTACGATGTTGAATTCCATATGAAGTGAGAACTATACCGAGCAACAACACGGCCACAATGGTGCTAACACTGGTCATGGCCTGGACGGGAGCATCACGTGAGCTGGGGCGTGATATGAGGTTGCTCTCCTCATCGCTGGTATTATCCCCCTCATTTTCTGGTGGTGAATTTCTGACAATAGCGTCGTAGGACCCTGGATCCCTTTCCCGACTGAGAGGGGTCGATTCGTCTACAGTGGCAACCATGGCTCCGTTCTGCGTTAGAAACGGTTGACAAAGTCTATACGCATGTGTTCCTGATCGACCGGAGAAAGCAAGTGGGCAAAGAAGTCAACGCCTATTGTCGATGAGCAACGAGAAAAGATGGCAGTGATTTGCTTTGGCAAGTGGTCATTGATGGGTGACACCGGCTCATTGCTTTTCCCATGCTGCATGCGATTTAGAGTGATTTGGCATCAAAACTATTGTAATTTTCGGACTCCCTTGCGTGATCAACAGCCGTTTAGAAATGGCCAATAGAACTGTCGATGGTGGTTCTGCATTCACCATTGTCTGGATGAAGCACGTCATCCCGACCAGATATTGAATGCTTCGGCTATCGGGGGGAGTCTGAGCGTAGACGAAGCGATGCTCTGTCCGCCCCCACAAGATCTGTATAATCCTAGATGAAGTTTCATTGTGGTGACAATGTATTGAAAAGAAACATGGCGAAGATTGGGCATAGCTTGTTCAGCTCAACGATGTGCGGTGTAACAGGGGCGGAGCTGATTCTTGTGAGAACAGCTGGAGATCAGCAATCATTTCCTGATCGGACAGAGAAACAGGCAATCTAACTGTACTCTGTACAAGTGACATCAATCTATTGCTTATTGAATGATAGACCCAACTGAAATGGAAGTCGAATTAATTGCGCTTGACGATCGTTCTCAGCTGGGTGTTGTATTCGTATGTGCTGGCATCCTGGATGACCAGGTTAACTTGCGACGATTTAGCCCAACAGGAAAGACATAGACAATTCGGTTCAGGATCCCTATCTGACCCTGCTGATAAGCTTGATCCCAAGATGGACAGGTCGACAGCGTGGTAGACACGAGATGGACGCGAGATGGTGGGATCAGACTGGGCGTATGGGCGATTTGCCGACCGCAGAAAGCGCCGCAGTAGCCATGGCTGCTAGTGCCAACACCATCTCTGCTTCTCTCCACTCTGCCACTCCATCGCCAGCATCCACTGCTCCGTCGCGTCAATCATTTCTGCTTCTGATTTCCCATGCACCAGTCGCGGTTGGCTTATCGTCACGATGGTTCCACCAGCTCAGCTATGGCATCATCCCGCCAACAAAGATCGCCATCCCGTCTCGAATTGTTCAGCTTGCTTCCTGTGCCTGACATTTTTATTATCGAGCTCTAAGCCTCCAAGGCGTGAGTCAAATGCAATCTGCAACAACTCTTCAGCATCATCATGAAGCTCACAATTCAGTGGCTGACCGCGGCCTTGGGCCTCATTACTGCCGCGGAGGCTGGCTTTGACTTTCCCCAAGCCGCTTTGCAAGCGGTCATGTCGGACAGTGAAACGACCGGGAAACAACAGCCAAATATTCTTTTCATCATCACAGACGACCAGGACCTGGAACTGAATTCTACTTCATACACGCCATTGACTCTGAAACACCTGAGGGACAAGGGAACCACGTTCCAGAATCACTTTGTGACCACTGCGCTCTGCTGCCCATCGCGAGTCAGCCTGTGGACAGGACGCCAGGCTCATAACACCAATGTGACGGACGTTAAACCACCATATGGTAAGTGCCAATCGCGCCATCATGCTAGTGTTGATTGCTGACCGGAGTCAACTTGACAGGCGGGTATCCTAAATTCGTCGAGCGTGGATTCAATGACAATTACTTGCCAATTTGGTTGCAACAAGCCGGATACGACACCTACTACACTGGAAAGCTATTCAATTCACACACTGTCAACAACTACGACAGCCCCCATGTCGCTGGCTTCAATGGATCGGATTTCTTGCTCGATCCTTTTACCTACTCCTACCTGAATTCAACCTACCAGCGAAATCGGGACCCCCCTGTGAGCTATGAGGGAAGACATACAACCGAAGTCATCACAGAAAAAGCTCTCGGATTCTTGGAGGATGGCCTGGCAGGGAAACGGCCGTTCTTCTTGGCCGTGGCACCGATCGCACCGCATTCAGATATTGATGGAGTTTCAGGAAGAAAGGGCGGAAAAGTGATGATGACCGAGCCTATTCCCGAAGAGCGGCACAAGCATTTGTTCCCGGATGTCAAAGTTCCTCGAACACCACACTTCAACCCGAAGAATGTGAGATGATCCCTTTCGACTAAAGCAATCAGTCAACTAATTGAGATTAGCCAAGCGGAGTGAATTGGATTCGTGATCTCCCAGAGAAAGACCAGGCGACCATCGACTATGAAGATCATTACTATCGTCAACGCTTACGCTCTCTTCAGGGGGTTGACGAATTGGTCAATTCTCTGATTAATCGCTTGGAAGACAGTCAAAAAATCGACAATACCTACATTATTTATACCTCGGACAATGGGTTCCATATTGGACAGCATCGCTTGCCTCCTGGTAAGACATGTGGCTTTGAAGAGGATATCCGTGTCCCATTTTTCATTCGGGGCCCTGGAATTCCGGAAGGAGAGGTTCAGGATTCAGTTACGACGCACATCGATTTAGCTCCCACACTCTTTGAACTGGCTGGTATTCCATTGAGATCTGATTTCGATGGTACCCCAATTCCCATTACATCTGAGTCTGTGGGAACACTGCACGAACATGTCACGGTAGAGTACTGGGGATCTGCAGTCCTCGAGGGAGAAACTGGCTTTTTGGGTGGGTTTTATGTGCTGTGTGAATGTTTGTTCCCAGACTAACTGAGAGTTTATTTTTCAGGTCCTGAAAAGTCAGCATCCGTTCCCAACCAAACCTACAAATCGATTCGCATTATCGGAGAAGGTTATAATCTGTATTATTCTGTGTGGTGTAATAACCAGCATGAGCTGTATGATCTAACGGTATGTTTTCTATAACCAGGATGAGAAGGCAACCATCACTGACACTATACAGACTGACCCTCACGAACTTCACAACCTCTACTCCAATTCTCACTCTGGTATAACGGATGAACCGCGTATTATGGGATATGGCCTGTCAAATGTTATTCCTCGACTCGATGCGCTTCTTTTAGTATTGAAGTCTTGCAAGGGAAACACGTGTATTAAGCCGTGGGATGTACTGCACCCTGGTGGGTCAGTGCAAAATTTGCGAGATGCCTTGGATACCTGGTATGATGCATTTTATCATACTCAACACAAGGTGTCCTTTGACCGGTGTGAGCCTGGATACATCGTCGAGGCAGAGGGGCCGCAACATGCGCGGTCTTACTGGGGTGATTTGAGCTGGGATGCGTGGGTATGATTTACGACTTGATACTGTAACGACATGAGAACCTAAAAGTAGATATATTTGAAATCTTTTGTATATAGTGATAAGCAATCTCAAAGAAATATTCACGAAAATTTCACGTAGCTAGTCAATTTTGCCTGAAAAGCAAAGGGTATCGATCGGGCAAAAGCAATAAATACCACGCAACACATTATCTCAATCCCGGATTCCACGTCCACGACGTATGTCAGTCGGAAATAAGCGAAAGCATATCGGTTTATCAAAGCTCCTAACCACGCTGACAGCCGACGGGTAAGCAAAAGTGAGGCCGTCTGTTGGCGTCAATTGCTCGATGATTGCGCCATACTTCCCCGATCTCTCGCGACAGTTGACAGTGGATTCAGGAACATCAAAGCCCCAACACGCGCACCAAATGCTGCGTAAGTGAAGCAGATTGTGGGGATCCGATAATAATTTCTTTTGATTTAAAAATAATATAAAAGTCTGGTGTATCATTAGTTTTCATGGAGCGCATACGGATTTTCAGTCGGGGAGACACCTAGTCGTTTCCTGCCAATATGTCTTCCCTTCGCAATAACGACACCATAAAAAATGAGAAAATATACGAAAAAGATGTGGCTAACGGAGTAACATATGCTCCCAGCGATGTTGATTCCTGCATCGTCAAAGATTGGGACGAAGAGGAAGGCCCGATCCGTCGAAAGTAGGTCATTCCAGGGCATCCCAAAGTTAATGCTCGAGTGATCAACAGGGCTGATATTTAGTTTTTCCAGAATTGATCTGATCCTCCTTCCAGTCCTTGGACTCGCATTTTTTTCGCTACAGATGGACCGTGGGAATATCAGCGCTGCCCTGACGTCAACCATCACCGACGACCTAGGAATCACCACCAACGACGTCAACATTGGAACACAACTGCTTTCCGCGGGCATTGTCATCACTGAGATCCCTTCAAATATTGTCCTACAGAGAATTGGACCGCAGAAGTGGCTGTCTGCGCAGCTATTTGCTTGGGGCCTGGTCGCTACTTTCCAATCTTTTGTGCAGTCCTATCCGGCCTATCTAGCGACCCGATTTCTCCTTGGGTTGCTGGAGGGAGGTTTTATCCCTGGTACGAAATTAAAACTTGAAGGCCTCAAAGCCTGACTAACAAGTCGATCGTCTTAGGCGCTCTATACTATCTCTCGACATGGTACAAAAGAGAAGAGACCAGCTTCCGAACCACATTGTTTTTCTTTGGTCAGATGTTCGCTGGGGCGACATCAAGTCTCATATCAGCTGGGCTTTTGAAACTTGAAGGAATAGGCGGGCTGGCTGGCTGGCGATGGATCTTTCTTAGTATGTGCAACACCTGCCTCAGAAGTTGGATCGACTAACGCATTTGCAATTCAGTCGAAGGACTCATCACGATCTTCGCGGCAATCCTCTTTACCCTTCTCGTACCACCCAAGGCTGGTAACGGTAGTCCTCTCATCAGCTTCGGTCGCTGGAGCTACTTCAACGAACGTGAATCACATATAATTTGTAATCGCGTCCTTCTCGACGATCCCCGTAAGGCCTTGGGACATGTTAAAATCAGCGGATCGGATATTTGGAAAACAGTCACCCAGCCTCACACTCTACAGCACTTTTTCATTACATTAGTGGCCATGTCTGGATTTCAGGGCTTGACTCAGTATACCCCGAGTATGATCAAATCGTTCGGCTTCAATGCCGTTCAGGCCAATGCTCTAGCATCCGTACCCATCTATGCCAGTATGGTATGGACTTTGGGGCTATCATATTTCGCGTACGTCCTGGTATACCAAATATCTTGTCTCGATACTGACTTGGGTTGCAGTGATAAATTGGGACACCGCGGCCCCTTTGTTCTACTCGCGATAACATGGAATGTTATTTCGTACACCTGCCTTCGAACAAGTCCATTCGACTCCTCGACCTGGCACAAATATGCTGTTATTGCAATCGCAAACGTATCCTACTGTAGCATGCAGTATGTTTCATCTTTCCCATTCAATCAAATTATACTAACGGACAGTAGCATCCTTAATGTTGGATGGCTCTCAGTATACTGCAAGTCGCCCCAGGAGCGAAGTGTATCTATGGCGTAAGTTGACCATTTTTTCATCTCACGAAGCTTCAGCTAACATACCCAGGTTGATCGTCATGGCCGCCAACTGTGCTGGTATCTCTGGCTCACAGGTCTTCCGCACGTCGGACAAACCGCGATACTTGCATGGCCTGACCGCAATCTGCGCGCTGGCTGCTGCCTCATGGGTGCTGTGTGCTATTCTGAATTCGCACTATTTCTTACTCCGAAGGAAGAATCAGAAGCAGGATGGTTCGGAAGGTACAAAGGTTTAATCTAACGTGATATATTAATAATTCGGGAATATTTTGAGAATAACGAATGATGATTTTATCTTTTCTTCAGTTTGGTAGGGGGTTGGCTGGTAGCTTTCTAAAACATTTTAGTAACCCGGAATCGTAGAATATGGACATAACAGTGTTACAAAAATGAGGTAATTGGAGAGGGACTTTTCTTCTGTGTGGTGTTTTGGCTGAGGGCCTTGTGTATTCCACTTTCCCCTTACTAGAGCAGCAGTGAATGGCCATGGCAACCCTCCTCATCAACACTGCCAGGCCAGAGGAAAGGTCTTTTCTCAGAAGAAAATTCTCGGCTGAATTTCTATCCTGCCAACACTCCACTGCTGTTTTCAATCCATCTCTCTACTCATCAACTACCAAGCCGCAATGATGGACACCAGTCTCCCAGCCATGCTGGTGGCTCTCCTCCTCTTCGGCGTAGCTATTCTTGCTGTGGAGAAAATGATGAGTCGATCCAACGCCAAAGAACCGATCATACCTGTCTCTGTCGAATTTCTCTTCGCCCGTCTTTGCACCAACGAAGGGTTCTGTTGTCGAACTGACAAATTCTCCCACGTGGAATCATTCGAAAACATCCAGCGTGGCCTTCGCATGTTGAAGAAATGCGCTATGAAAAAGATTACCTTCAGTGGAGATCCACTGGTCTATCCTAATCTCTTGTACAGGGTGATAAAATTCTGCCGGGAGGATCTAGGTCTCGATTCTATATCGCTGGTTGCTGATGCGAGCAAACTGACAGAAGGGTTCATGGAATGCGCCGCGAGATATATCGACACCATTATCGTCGCCTGCGACTCATTCAACGAGCAGTGTAAAAATGTTATCGGTCGCGGTACAGGGTCAGATTTCGCTCAAATCCAGGAGGTAGCTCGACTCTGCAAGAAATACGATGTCGGCTTTGAGATACATACTGTGGTGAACCGATACAACGTACACGAGGACATGAACAAGCAAATCCAAGCTCTTCAGCCGGTGCAGTGGAAAGTCTTCCGGGTACTGGCTATCGATAATGGTTCAGATGAAACTATCCATAATTCCCGTCGGTTCAAAGTCTCTGCAATGGAGTTTCGAATGTTCTGCAACTGGCATTTCCACCAGAACTGTTTGGTTGACCGGCCATATTACACTATGGGCGACTCGCACTTCGTCCTCGACGATCATATGAGGTTCATCAATCAAAAAACCGGGGCTCCAACGAAATCTATTCTCGATGTCGATATTGAGGAGGCTTTGAGGGATGCGTACTGGGACGAAGGCGATTCCTATGAGCGTGGTGGGATCTATGACTGGAGTGAGGAATATGTCTGCGAGAAATGCGAATGCAAGACCATGGATCTTTGATTGTCTTCTCTGTATATCCTGGTAAATGGTTGGGATCAAATAATGTCCGTATGATATTCTATTGAACAGTCATTTGTGTTTATCTGAAGATGTATTTCACAGCAGTGGCATCCGTAATATGTCGAGGACAGTGATGATGATCAATCCCAAGTTAATACAAGACACTTATTGCCTCGTTCATCCTGCATATTTCTTGCCGTAATTTTATATCCACATCTAAAAATCCCTGTAGTGCGGGGAATGAGGGGTAACCATCATCGAAAACGCCAAGCCAAGCACACAACCTCAACTCACTCTTTGCCAACTCCCAGGGCGATAATTCTCGCCCAAGATCACCATGACAGAAGCACAATCCGCGGGCAAAGAAATGGCCGATAAAATACAATCAGACGCCAGTCTCTCGACCCGAATATCCCTACGATGGCAACCGGATCCCCCCTTCGAGTACACAGACACGGTCGTCATGTCCGTACAAGGGTGGTACCTTGATCTACGCGTGGAAAAGGAAACAGGGAAGATCGACTGGGCCATTGCGGGGAAGCGGATAGTGGAAAGTGAAGAGACTCGTATGCTCACTATCAGTGAACTATTTGGTCAAGTGCGATAGCTGATGATGTCAAGGACGGGTCCGCTTCACGCACGATCTTGACTCGCATAATTGCTTCTCAACAGCCGACTGCGGCACCTTCACCACTCTCCCCAACGGCGACGACCTCGAAACCGGGTCTATGCCTCGACCCGACCTCCCAGATACGCCGATGACGGAGTACGAGGAGGTATGGCGGGAGCTGGTGTTCCGAGAGGGACCCGAGGGACCCGGGAAGGGGCTATGTTGGGTTCTCGAGTCGGAGGGGGAAAAAGAGGTATTGGGGACGAATACTGTGGGGGAGACGAAGATTTTCATGGCCAGGATATGGGGTACATTTTTGGCTTTCCGGCAGCGATTGTTCCATGCCCTTCAGGCAGAGCTTGCGGGGGAGAATGGGGTTAGGTTGAAGGAAGGGAAGGAAGTGAGTGTACGGAGGGAAGAATGGGATCCCAAGGAAGGATGGCAGGTCAAGTATGCCATTGGGGAGGAGGCAGATTCGCTACCCTCGATGGTGAAGGGACTGCAGGGCAAGTCGGAAGACACGTGGAAGGGGAGAAAGAACGTGATGGTTGATGGACAACGGTATGTGCTTCGTGCATTTGAAGAGATTGATTAGGGGCGGTTAATGCTTTGTGAGCATACGCCTTGGTATATTATTTTTGAATGTCTATATATACATGCAGATTACTGCTCGTTCACCAGGACATAACGGTATCTCGCCTTGCCGGCGTCCATGTCGAGGATGGTCTTGTTCGCATCCTTCATCGGTCTCTCTTCAACCCACGAGTGGACCTTCTTGTCGGCGGCCAGCTGCAACATCTCTCTGATCTCGTCGGGGCTTCCGATGAGAGAGCCACCGAACTTGATACGGTTCATAATCAAGATAAAGGCGGGAATGGAAAGAGCACCGTCTTCGGGGGCACCCATCTGAACAAATGTACCACCGGTACGGAGGAGGGAGACGTAACCGGCAATCGGCATCTACATTATTAGCTTGGGTATCCTCCGAGAGGTGGAATTGACATACCTTTGAAGAGGAGACGGTGGAAATGATCAGGTCCAAAGAGCGGGAGTTGTTGCTAACCCAGTCGGCATCATCGTCAGTGGCGATGTACTGGTCAGCACCCAGCTTGAGGGCGTCCTCCTTCTTGTCCGACTTGCGCGAGATGGCAACGACCTTGTCAGCACCCAATGCCTTGGCGAACATGATACCGAAGTGGCCGAGACCACCAACTCCGACGATTCCGACCTTCTTTCCAGGTCCGCAGCCATTTTGTCTGAGGGGAGAGTATGTTGTGATACCGCCGCAAAGCATGGGAGCGGCTTCAGCAGAGGGGATAGCATCGGGGATCTTGACGACAAAGTGCGAGGGCGAGCGGTTGTACAGAGCGTATCCACCGTACGACTTGCCTCCGTTCATGTAGGTGCTGTTGTATGTACCGACCATGTGAGTGGAGCAGTGCTGCTCAAGGCCGGCAGCACACTCTTCACAGTCACCCTTACGGCCCAGGCAAGAGTCACTCTGGGCACCGACACCAACGCGGTCACCGACCTTGATGCCACCTTCGGCCTTGGAACCGACACGGACGGCAATTCCGACGATTTCGTGACCCACGCAGCAGGGATATGTTGTTGGGCCCTTGGCAAGTCAGCATTGTTTAATCATTGGACTGGTTGGAACTACATACCCATCCACTTCGCAGGGTGTGCATGTCGGATCCACAGATACCGCAGTGGGTGATCTTGATATCGACATCGGTTTCCTCCCAAGGCTTGGGCTCGAATTCCTGCCAGACCATGTTGCCCTCGGCAGCGGTGTTGTCAAGGCCCATCCAGCCTTCGAACTTGTAGTCGGTAGCCATTGTGATTGAGTTTTGGATGTGAGATGTGAGAGATGTGATTGGATCTGATGTAGATGGACTAGGATTGATTCCCCAGGGGTACTCACGATCTTTATACCAGACGATCCGAGTCAATATAGGCCGATCACCGTACGATCGGAGACATAATTTGATTTTGTGCTTAGAAATCCCTGCGACTTTCTGAGAGTGATCCACTGATCCACTTGAACTAAAGATTGATTCAGTCTTAACTCCATTATGTCCGTTGATGACAGACTCCACGTGGTGAAGGTTTCTTTCCAACGGCAAATCCACCGTCCCGACTACATTATCTACAATAATCTAGAATCTAGACATAGACGATAAATACTTACGAATGCAACCAGCTTACCACTACCCATAAGTATAATCATTTCAATACCTCTCCTGCTATCCCCGAGTCAGCAGTGGATCCGATAGACTTTTAGTTCAATTTTTCTGCACGGCCGAAAGTGGAAATCGGCGCGATTTTCGGTGCAGCTTCGAAGGCCCCACTTGCCACGCTAGCTATGCAGGCTGCTTATGCCGAGGCTGCTTATTATGAACAGAAAGAGTGCACAAGTGATGTCATCCTCTCGGATCTCGGTATTAATTGGAGGCAATAGAGTGTCGGGGAAAAGCTTAAAGGCAGGTTGTCGCCGTTATGGTCATCACAGGTGGCAAAGATATGAGAATAATACGTTTTAGTCTAAAACTAGTCTAGCAAAACCATTGGGTTTATCAGGTCACAATAGACTAATGGATCCTCTTTTGTCATTAGATAGACTTGGGAAGATGTCTAGATTATACCGTGTTATTATCTGGGTAATAAAAGTATGGAAGAAAACTGGCCATAGCGTCTTAATTCTTGCAAGAAATAATGTCAGAATAGCAGCTGTCTGGCAGAGAATATATATTTGCAATTTGAGCAGTCATGACCTATCAAGATACAATGAGTATACACTGACATTAAAATGATCTTGAAAAGGAATAATCAAACTAGAAGCATTGATTCCAGAACATGCAGTATGCATATGGTCATTATACTCGGAGTGAAGACCCCCCCGGCTTTATTCTTAAGTCCGCGCGGAGATGGAAAATGTGGCTGGATTTATACAGAGTAGATAATGCGAATAGGTTTAACAAACAAGAATAAGAAATAACCCATTCCGAAACATGTTGAAAGACAGAATATATGTTATGGATTTATCCTACGCGAAGAAAATGTAGCATAGAATCAATAGATAAAGGACGGTCCCTCACATCACACTAGGGGAAGACCATTTTCCTTTCCTCAACGCTGAGGCACATATCGACCATTATCCCACAGTACCAGCTGTATCTCTCTACGAAGGGTGCAATCGAGCAGTTGGGTGACGGGGGATGGCTTCAATGAGTTATGCAGATGTATACAGATACGCAAATTAGAATACAGGCTGAGTCGCACAATGAACAACACCACCAGAAGCCGGCAACGCCTTGACCAGAACCTGTTTCACCACTCGATCAGGACACAAAGACTGTATAGTATGCAATGCCTTTTGATCCGCCTCTTCATCCCCAAACATAGGCAGGATCAATCCCCCGTTGACACAGTAGAAGTTGACATAGTTCGTAGCCTTTTCTTCCGCATCCCCCAAACAACTCGGATGCGGTTCATCAATGAGATGGATCTCAAATGGACGACCCTCACTGTCTGTCTCATTCGACAGAATCTCGTATATCTCCGCAAACACATCCTTCCACCCCTGTTCCGCCTCAAAATGAGGCCGCGAAACAACCACCACCCCAGGACTGGCAAACTGCACCTCCGCATCAACATGAACGTCCGTGACATCTAACCCCTTTCTTCCAGGAAACCAGATAATCTTCCGCACACCCAGCAGATGACGTAATTCATCTTCAATTTCACCCTTGGACAGGCCCGGGTTACGGTTCTCGTTGATGATGCTACTCTCCGTGGCCAGGAGCGTACCCTGCCCATCAACTATCAACGAACCACCCTCAAGACAGATCTTCGAGTCGATGGGCGTAACAGGCGCTGGATGGAGGTCGGATTCAATGACGTTTTTCGCGAAAAGGTGGTTCTCTTCTTTTTGAGCATCTGACCAGTTCGGAAAAGTTTCGTGTTGCGTATTTCCCCATTCGTTAAAGTGGAAGTTAATCGCGTATCGAGTGTTGGATACGCCATCGGAAACGTATACAGGACCAGTGTCTCGAATCCAGAGGTGATTTGTTAGAGATGGAATGATGGATACGCGAGTTGGGTCGGCGACTTTGGCTGCTATCATTGACGTTGCGGATGATACATCTTCAGGACGAGCGTGAAGACGAACGGGTTCAAAAGGGGATATAGCTGCTGCTAGAGAAATGATTTCCGAACAGGCAGTTTGATGATGGATTGGGGATAGGCAGGAGGGTTTGGATGGGAAGGAGAGGAGAGTGGCGAGATGAGGCGTTGTGTTTGGTTTGTAGAAGTATTGAGATGGGCTTCTGCACAGAAGGCGATTAATTTTGGAAAACATGATTATTCTGATTATTACTACGATTGCTGGTTGATGATGGAGAGAGACATTTATACTTGGAGTCGGGTTCCTCGGATGCCGAATGTAACCTTAATACGAAGTACGAAGTGGAGATTGACGACTTGATTGATTGACTGACTTCATACAGACCATGGACACATGGAGATAAAAGCAAGAGAGACAGTACAGGATGTTAATACAAACAGGACTATACAAGTATACAATAGTATACTAAAACCGCGAGATGCCTCTCATCTCCCCCCCTTCTACCCACACGTTCATCTGCTGCCCTGTACCCTCACACATGAGAGTCAGGTATTGAATCTGGTGACTCGGGTCACCGATATGATTGACTTCGACCCATACTGGCTGGTCGAAGTATTCCTCATCGTTGATGAGGCTGACAAGTCGGTCCCACGTACATGGGACGATATACTCCTCTTCCTGAGGAGTAAAAGGACGATCATCACCAGGATGGATGTCGGTGATCATGATATGGAACAGCCCATATCCCCTCTGATCGAGGGCCCAGCGGATGAGACGGCGAGCCTGTCTCGCAGACTCCTCATCGACTGGTCGCACGGTGATGATGCGAGCGGCGAGGGCCAGCTCAGTCGTTTGCTGAGACTGGCAGACTTGGAAACGGATATCACGCACGCGGATGTGGTGATATTCGAGGACGACCTGGATTTGGTCGTAGAGTTCGCTGTCGGCCTCTGCCTGACTACAGAGCGCGTGTACATCCTCGGGGATGTAGGTGTTTTCGTGGACGTCGTCGTCCAGTAGGATTTCAGTGGCGATCGATGTCGCCTCGTCTGTGTCGAGCGAGCAGTCGTCGCCGACGTCGTCGACGTCGTCGAATATGTCGACACGTTCGAGGGTGGGAGATGGGGGATAGGCGTATTCGAAGTGGGAGAAGGTTGGGCCACAGCGAGAGAAAGACATGGCGAGGATGAGAGGATGAGTAGAAGAAAAGTAAAAAGAAGGTGAAGTAGCGAGTGAAGAGTAGATAGATAGAGTAGTTGTATAGAGTAGATACAGTGTTGATAGTGCAGTGAGATGGAGGGGGGGAAAAGAAACAGAAAGCAGCTGCCAAATGGGAGGGCATTTATACCTGCCGTAAAAGCAGGCAGAGACGAGGTCATCATTGTATAAACAGAGGCACAGTTACAGTTGCCTGTAATACATCGCGCTTCCCTTTTGGGATTGGAAGGCTCCTATATACATCATCGCTGGTCATACCCCGAACGGACTGAACAAACAGAGAATGATAAAATAGGTAATTATAGCTTCGCCTGAATCGGCTTCTCCGTTGATATCCACTGGTATAGTCTGTCCTGCAGCAACTCCTTCATCGCCTCTCTCTGCAGTGTCAATCTGATCCTCCACGGCTCCTCAGTCATCGACAACCCCCTGGCATCGCATGGAGCCGGCAACACCCAGCAGATGCCATCGAACGGATTCTTGGGCATATCGTAGACCTTGGACTTACCCAGGACAGACCCAAAATCGATTCCGACAAAAGGCATGTAACGCATATTGCTCACCATCAACTCGGCATATCGAAACCGAAACGAGCCCCAGTTATCTGAGTTGAGCTGCTGGGTGATCAGACCGCGAACATAGTCAGGAGTGATTTTCCGGAGGCCCTTTTGTACTTGGAGGGCGATTTGGAAGAGATCCGAGAGGTCTTGCTGGTGGGCGTCGAGGTTTCCCTTTTGGGCAAGGTTGAGGCTGTGAGAACAGGTCGTCATGGCGATGGCGTTGGCGATGTAAGTATCCGGCAGAGGGGGACTCATCATGGACCGGACATCCGCGACAGTCATGATCACTGATCCATTGGATGCTGCTTGTTGACGCTGCTCGGCGGGAAGAGCTTGAAGACGCGCTCGACAAGCGCATAGCCAGATCAGAGCCGTGACGACGTCGTTGCTCGACAGTTTTGCCTTGGTCGGATCCCGCGAGAGCAGAGAATTGAAGCGGTTCTTGAGTTCTTTGACCTTGGACGATGAGAAATACAGCTTCTCGCTGACGGCGTTTGCTAGCAGCTCTCGTGGCAGAGGCATCATGGGTCTGGAGGCGTAAGCACCGTCGAGATCGACATTCGATGAGGTTGTATTCTGCTCAATCTGCCTTCTGGCTGCTTCTTGAATACGAACACCAGTACTGATGATTACATTCTTCTCTCCAGAAGCACGACGACAAAAAGCCCCCAATGTCTCGTGCAACTGGACGAGTGCTTTGCCATCGACAAACTGGTGATGAAAAGAACTGCCCAGGATGATTCCATCTTTCAGAACATTAATCTGCCATCGGACCATGATATTCACAGCAGGAGGGTCTACCGCACGGAAGAATGTTGTATCACCATTCATGGCTTCATAATCCACCAGGGGACAGTCCGGCGTCGCGTTGTCTGGAGTCAAGCATTGATTGTGATGCTTCACCACCACCATCGGGACGTGTTCGAGAAAAGCAGCGGTGGGAGGGGAGACGAGGGTGGCATTCTGTTTCCCGTTCGGCAGCGTTGTGCTGGACATGCATCCTGCGACGAAGGGAAGATGCGAGACGAGGTCAGCTATGCCTGCTTGGAGAACAGCAGCTGCCTGGGAGGGATCATTGCAGTGGAAGGAAAGATAGGATTTGAGGACGATTTTGGAGATGACATGGTCGAGGGGGGAGAGAATAAATGGTTCGAAAGAGGGATGCATGGTGAGTTAGTTGGTATGGTTGGAGATTACACGATGGAGTGGAAATGTTCATTATTTATTCACCCAGAATGGGGGAGACATACGAAGCAGAATTGCGGATTGATCAGCTAAACTATTGTGCTGTCTTTGGTGTTTCAATAGTGTGTGTTTGCTTTTTGTGCAGATTTCATCAAGTGACGGTGTAGCACAGAAAGTTGCAGATGATACAATTCAAGCATAGTAATTTAATCAATCAATTATTCTTCATTTAATAGCATGATATAGAGAATCAGGTAGATTATAGTATAGATAGACAATGGCAGTATGGTTGTATTCAACATGATTGTATTCAGCATCCAAAGCTTAGCACAATCCTATTTAGGACTGCAGATCAAGTTCATCACAGCTTAGCTGCATGCAGGCTCGTGCTCTTATCAAACCAGACTATTCCTTGACTAATTTATTGCTATTTCTGCAGGCAAACAAATCATTGATGATCCTGGGCGCTTTCAGCTGGGGTTGCAGTGCCTGGATATTATACAAGTTAAAAGACAGTCAATTGGGTTAATAAAGACTATGGCAAAGATTGATTGTCATTGGGCAGTGTGGAAAGTGACACATTTCCCAATCCGGAATGTGCCTGGTATTTAGACATATGCTATTTACCAGCCACAGAGTGCTTCATTGAATATTCATAGATAATCTAGATCTACTGTGGCTTATTTGCATTAATAGATAGATCTGGACCATACTGCATAATATTATGATATGTACTATGTAGGAGTTAATGCATTACTCCATACCTCATATAACTATGTACACATGTTACACTGCATATCCATATACCTTATAACTTATCATTAAATAACCATCATAAAGCATCTGCAAACAAGTGACTTCATTAAACTGACTGATCACAAGATAATTTCCTCTGCTATGTCATTCACCTAACATTCTCCACAGTTTTTTCTGCCTCTCCTACTGTTTAACGCGGATCCACCCCCTTCAGCTCTTCAGTTCTTCAACTCTCTCTATCTTCACTCTCCAACCTTAAAATGTCCGACTCTGGCAAAGGATACACCTACACTGGATTTGGCACCAATAGCCAGGTATGTCTACATCCTCTATATAGATCTCTTCTAACCGTCAGGGCAACCACTACTGCTCTCGCGACTACGGTTCCGGTGCCTCCAACTCCGACTCTTACCACTACTCCAACAGGTCTGTCCTTACTATTATACCTTCTGTACTCATACTCACAGCGTGCCTATGAACAGCAATGGCTCGTACTACTACTCCAACCCCAACGACAGCACCTACTACAACAACGGAAGCTGTGGCCCGAACTACACTCCCAGTGGAAAGAAATAAACAGACGGTGGATAATGGATGAATATCTGCTGGGGTATTTGATGGTTGATTTCCAGACCAGCTGGGCTGGTTTGAAGTACGAGAGCGAGGTGGTAATTTGTTATAGCAGTGCCATCAGTTATGATGGAGTGTATCTTATTCTACATTAATGTTATGAATGCCCATTGACCAGAAGGTGCAATGTAGACTAAACATACAAACCAGCAGCAACCAACCCGGCCAGTCCAAACACAACCGAACCTTGGACACTGAGTCCTCCCGCCTTACCCTCAGCATCATCGCTAGCCCCAGTGGCAGAAGCAGACGCAGACACAGAAGCAGACGAACTGGCAGGACCATCACAATGCCAATGATCTCCATGAGGCTCGCAGCCGACAGATTCGCTCGGAGCTGGCGTAGTAGGTGTTTCTGTTTCATCTGTATCGTCTGCTGTAGATGTCGCAGTGGCAGTTGCATCCGTCGAAGCAGGGCCATCGCAGTGCCAGTGATCGCCATGAGGTTCGCAGCCGATGGACTCTGTGGGAGCCGGTGTAGTAGGGGTTTCGGTTTCGTCTACATGTTCTGTCGTGGTAGAAGCTGCAGCTGCAGTTGTTGACGCTGGACCATCGCAGTGCCTGTTCGATAGACGTTAGAAGAGTTATATTTGGCTGTGAATAGTGCCTTACCAGTGATCACCGTGAGGTTCACATCCGGCAGAAGCAGTCGGTGATGGACCAGGGTCTGTTGTCTGAGCAAGAACAGAGGCGGACGAAGCCAAGGCGAGGAGGAAATGGAAGGATTTCATCTTGACGGATGATGAGATGAGATGAGATGGGATGCATGAATGAATGAATGGGAAGGGTTTATATAGCCGCATCCTGCAGGGACTGTTTAATTAATATGGATACAATCGTTGATATCATCCTATAGAAGCTATTCAATTCTGCTGCCAAGTAAACAAAGACAGCGGAAGAGACTTGGCACCCCCAAGGTTCCTGTCATATACTGCCAAATACAGTCTGCCAAGAATCCCGCCGAGAGCCAAGAAGGCTTGGATGAGCACCTTGGGGGTTGATATAAATGAGGGGTTGCAGTGTTTTCTGCTGTTTGGTTTGGGTCAAAATGTTGTTTCTGTTCTGTCTGCTGTGCTTGGTGGCTGCTTCGGCTGTCAATGTGCAATCTGACCCGATCAGCCATGTCTATGTCACCAATATCACGATTCTTCAAGAGTCTACAACAAATAATCGCCATGCCGAGGAAAAGTCTCAACTGGAGCAAAGACTGCAAAAGACAGGAACATGGAGTCCATCGCACTCTCGATATAGACTGCTGTCTGCATTGCATGGTTTCTACCGATACAAGCAGATAAACACGGTGGAGGTGAATAAATGGAGAGATTGGTATAAACATGTTCCGAAGAGACAGCGCAAGGTATGTTACTATATCTCATATCAATAGCTGTTATTGACTTTTTAGATGGTCGAATCCGTGGTGCAATATACACGCAAGCTAAACACCGTCGAGCATCTATTCGAGTCGAATGAAATTATTGCAAATGCCATTCTACAAGAAGGATTGCAGTTCTACGGCATTAAAATGGAAGAATTACAGCAGTTTATCACCCAAGTCGAAAAAGAAGGAAAGACAGCAGATCGGACAAGCGTGAATCAAGCCATGAAGCATTTCGTCCGAGATTGGGCAGAGGAAGGAAGAGACGAACGCATGGCTTCGTTTCCGTGTATACTGGATGCGATTTCGAGTATGAGGGAGAATGAGACGACAAAGGTTCTTCTTCCTGGAGCTGGTTTGGGAAGACTTGCGCATGAGATTGATCATCTAGGAGGTAAGGACCCATCCATAAGAAAGAATCATTCTAATTGAAAAGGCTTCGAGGTGACGATGAATGAATATTCCTCGTATATGAATCTGGCATATAGATATCTCGACACGATACAGACAAACTCAGCATCCTATCATCCCTACATCGACTGGTGGTCTCATCACGCCACAACAGCCGATCTCCAACGACCCATCACCTTTCCAGATAAATCACTCTCTCAATCTGTCCTGTTAGTCGAAGGAGACTTTACCACCGTATTCAACATCCAGAAATACGACGTGATCGTCACCCTCTTCTTCATCGACACAGCGCGCAACCTCATCGCCTACCTTGAAACCATCCATCGTCTTCTTCGACCAGGAGGGAAATGGATTAATCTAGGTCCACTGCTCTATGGAAGCGCACCATTTCTCCAACTATCTCTGGATGAGATCGTAGCAGTCAGTGAGGACATAGGCTTTAAATTCCTTAACACAGATGATAAATGCGGGAATATCACCGTGGACGGGCTGAAGGTGCGCGGATTGCAAGTGCCATACGGGACGAACGCACGGGGATTAAGCCGGAATGCATATCAGGCGCAGTTTTGGATTGCCAGCAGAATAAAATGATATAATAGTATTCAATATAGCCGAGGATTAACCCCGCATTGTTTATCTTCTGTATAGAATCGGCAGTGCAACTCCCGATAATGCGGGGAAACATCCGATCCGATGCCATCCTATCACTTATCTTTCTTCTTTCTCTATCTCTGTCTTTATATCTATTAATTCATGCCGTCGGATGATAAGAGCCCCGTCGCTTCCCCTCACTCTTTCTTCAACAATGAGTCCGGGTCAAGTGTGCGCACGCTGTGCTCGTATTGTATGTCATCTCTCAAAACCAAGATGAAGCTAATATACCCAGAAACAACGATGCGACGGAGAAAGCCCCTGTTCGCGATGTGCCCGTGCGTATCTCTTTCTGCATTTGAAACCACCAACTGACAATGCAGGATTGGGCCATATTTGTGAAGAAAGAGGGAGTAAAAGTCCGCCTCGGACGTATCGGAGGCCTCGGGCGTCGCGATCAAGGGGGGGTTGTTTTTCCTGCAAGTCGAGGTATGCTATCAAACTGATTAAGAAGAATGAAACTGACTCGGATAGGAAGAAGAAATGCGACGAGGTCAAACCCCGATGCAGCGATTGTCGACGGCTGAATCTGCCATGTCGATGGAATGAACCGACCGAAGCATCCGATATAGTTCTATCCTCACCTCTATCCGATGACACTATCGACGAACCAATTGTCGACCCGATTTTCGATGATATCTTCCCAGACACCATATCCCTCCTATCTCTGCCTGGATCGACAAATCCGCATCTCCGGACAGACGACGATCGGTCCCTGTTCAACCACTACCTCCACACCGTCGCCAGGGCTCTCTCCCGATCTGACAATCCCGACGGAAACCCATTCCTGGCGATTCTACTTCCTATCGCCGCTGCGTCGGATGCAGTGAGTAGCAGTATTCTCGCACTGAGCGGCTGTCACTGGAAGCGAGTCTATCCGAGTATCTGGAACTGTGCGCTTAGACGACAAGGACGAGGTATGCACTCTCTATCTATGCGTCTGCATTGCTAACGATTGTAGCATTGGCTCAGGTGAATACTCTGCTGACGCTATCCGATCCTCAATCGACTCTTGAAGCATGCACGGGTGTTCTGCTTCTGTGCCTGACGGAGGTGTTTGATGGCACTTCTCGTGCGTGGAAATCGCATCTCAAAGGCGCCAGTGCGATCTTGAAAGCACCAAAAATGCAGGGGATGGCGTCAACACCTGAGTGGTCATTTTGCATCACCCTCTTCCACTATCTCGACTCCATGTCGACGATATCGAGATGTAAACCTCCTCTGCTACACACCGGAGAGGGGATATTGGATCTAACCTCGCTGAATCGGAGTGCTCCATCTTTCGAAAGTGACGGATCAGTTGATGCAATATACGGCATCTCACCTGCTCTCTTCGACTTCCTCGGCATGGTGAATCTGCTCGCAAACCATCGCAGTCGACGGGTGGACGAACTGGCAAATCTTGGATTCCAAACTGCCGCAGCCCATATATCACGGCAGATACACGAATGGAGAAGCGGATATGAAGCCATCGTAGACAAAGAAACGGATTCGGCGACTACAGCCTTTGAATGGGCGATTCGCCTCCGTCTGCATCAGATCGTGAATGGATATGCTGCTCATCCAATAGTCGAAGAGAGTGTGAATATCATCCTCGATGCGGTTTTGGAAATTCCCTACGCAAGTAAAGTCGAAGGATGCCTTTTATTCCCGCTGATGATAGCCGGTGCAGCGAGTGTGAGCGTTGAACGACGGATGATGGTGAAGGAAAGGCTGATGGTGATGGAGAATACATTAGGCTTTGGACATATCCAGTCTACGAGGATGCTACTTGAACGAATCTGGGAGGGGGAGATGGAGATGAACTGGGCGAGTGTGCGATATACGCATTTCCCGGGGGTTGTCTTCGTCTGATCTGTATATAATGTAACTGAATGTTAATTACAACTTTGCCTTCAACTCCTCCAAATTCCCCATCATGTCATATCCACAGACCTCTTCGATGGTCAGTTTGCCAGGCTGGTCAGTTGATGAACTCCATCCAATGCGCTCGTTGAGATTCTCTCTGGCTTTGAAACTGGCTTCCTGGATGCGAGTGGCTCGGGGTTTGCGTAGCTTCTCATACAATGCGAGGCCATCGCCGATGCTGTATTCTTCACGAAAAGTCTTGTGGAAGATGAGGCCTAACGCACCGGCATCTTCAAAAGCCATGCAGGAGCCTTGCGATTGATCGGGCATCATGGGGTGTGCTTTCCTGTTAGATATGAAGATAGTATAAAAGAGAAACATACCAGCATCGCCCAGTAGACACACCCTCCCCTTGACCCAATACGGATACGGCTGATGCATATACACTGCTTCATCAGCACACATTACCTACAGCACAGCAAGAACATACACCTCCACATCTTAATATCCTCCGCATTCAGCATCAACAATCTCATCCTCTCATCCAACCCCGGAAACGTATCCACCAACTGCTGCGGCGTAGCAGAAATACTCCACCCATCCTCTCTCAGATCATTATACTCAGCCGGATAGAAGCAGTAACAGGACACCACCTCACCATTACTGCATGGCGACATGACGATCTTGTCGATGCCGAACCCGCCCCAGTACTCGATTGCTTCGTTGTTGATGTAATCCGAGAGCCCGAGAGAGCGCAGTTTGGGGGCGCTGATGATGCATCTGTAGCAGCACGAGGTAGAGCGTTGGACTTGGGGGGTTATGCCGATGAGTTCTCGGGATTGAGACTGTCATTGTATAAGTATAGTATCTTTTTAGAGGGGAATGAGGAGGTACTCTAATTCCATCCGCAGCGATGATCAAATCAGCCGATGCTGATGCTCCATTTTCAAACTGGATGATGCCCTTTTCTGCATCTATATCGATGGCTTTGTGGTTGACTTTAAGAGTACATGGTGGTCCATCGCCAGGAGCATCAAAGGCGGTTTTGAGCAGTTGTTGGTGAATGTCGATGCGATGGAAGTTGTTATAGTCCTAGTCATCATCGTCAGTATCATCATCAACAAGAAGGATACGAACATGCAATTCCAAACTTGGCCTTGTAATCCCCCAGGCCATATGTATTCTGCACCTGTCCAGTTTGCCAATCATGCATGATGAGCTTTTTCAAAATCACCTACTTTGTTAGTATCCCAGAGATATATAGAAGATGTAGACATACAGGCTTCGCAGCAGAAATATCAACCCCCCACTGCAGCAGAAATCTCGATCCATTCGATGCAGCACTCAGCGATGCACCAACCTCTCCAGCAAAGTCATATCGTTCATACACCGTGACGATGTGGTGTTGACGACGCAATCCCACGGCCGCAGAAAGGCCACCAAGACCAGCGCCGATGATGGCGATGTTGAGAGGGGAGTCTGTTCGAGAGGGCATCTTACCTGATATTGATATTGATGATGATGATTATGATGATACTCGGTGAATATGATGTATTTATATTGATGCCATTTATCCTGGCCGTAAAGTATCTATCCGACGGCTGCATGCATCCCTGTCTATACGAGGCTGTGGCACGACAATCAACGCCAACTGTTATCTTTGCATCCAATCAGACACAGACAGCGTATGCTGTCTCACATTATATTACAGCCTTGCGTAAATGAGCAATATTTAAAAATCAACTGTCTCTCCGCCGGAGATTAACTAACCATCAGACAAAATGGACGATGCAAGGCTGATGCGCAAGATTGACTGGCAGATTCTGCCGATTATGTTTTTGACGTATTTTCTGCAGTTTCTGGATAAAGTGTCGTTGAATGTGAGTTTCTATCTTTACTGACAATATGAATTTATATTGATGGTTTAGTATGCAAATGTGATGGGATTGCAAGATGATTTAAACATGACCGGCAATGACTTTTCCTGGCTGGCAACAGCCTTTTTCATTGCTTATGCTGTGGCGGAAATCCCCCAAGGTGAGGATATTATATCTATATCTCATCTGAATAGCTTCATCTGACGAACAGGAATCCTCCTCCAACGCCTCCCCATCACCAAAGTACTGGGCGCGAATGTCTTCTTCTGGGGCGTGATTCTGTGCTGTTCAGCTGCTGTCCACAACTTTGCCAGCATGATTGCATTGCGTGTTCTTCTTGGTTTGTTGGAAGCTGTCATCGGTATGTCTCTTCTATATTCACAGTATATACTAATGAGAACAGCCCCCAGTCTCACCATGTACACCAGCATGTGGTATACAAGAGCCGAATCCACTCCGAGATACGGCTTCTGGTACTGTGGCTTAGGCGCTGGCCAGATAGTCGGTGGACTCATCTCGTTTGGAGCTCAACATGCACCGTCTTCCATGTCATTCGGAGGCTGGCGCATCATGTTTGTCGTGATAGGAGCCGTGAATGTCCTCGTCTCGCTGTTGGTGCTGTTTATCCTGCCCGAAACACCAGAAAAGGCGAGATTCATCTCCGACGATGAGAAGAAACGTATTGCATTCCGACTATCGCAGGATCAAGCAGGAGTGGGAGAAAAGGTGTTCCAACTATCGTCCTTGATCGAGGCATTTGGAGATGTGCAGACGTGGTTGTTGGTGTTGTTGACGATTCTCATAACCATTCCCAGTGGTGTGATCACCACCTTTTCATCAATTCTGATCAAAAACTTTGGATATACGTCGAAGGAGAGTGCATTGCTGAACATGCCCTCTGGCGTGGTGAGTATCATCGCCACGATGCTGTCCACATACGCGATATCTCGAGGTTTCTCGCGATGGCTGGCGATTGCATTCCTCCTCATTCCCACTCTGATCGGAGCGTGTTTGATGTCTTTTCTCCCATCGTCAAACCAATCAAACCAAGGAGGCTGTCTAGCTGGCATCTACCTCGTCAATACCGTATGTCTTCTCTATCTCATCTTATCTCTGAATCTAACAAGACAGATTGTCGCTCCCCTCGCCCTCATCTTCGCCTGGACAGGCGCAAACTTCAAAGGCTACACGATGAAAGTCGCCGGCTGTTCTCTCGTATCTGCTGCCTTCAGTATCGCCAACATCATCGGGCCACAGACATTCCAGGCGAGAGATGCGCCTAGGTATCTGCCGGCCAAGATCACGGTGGTGGCAGTTAGTGCCGCGGCGATCGTGATTTCTGCGTGTTTGAGAGTGTTGTATGGAATGAGGAATAGTAAAGCAGATAGATTGGGAGTGGCTGCGAGGAGTTATCTGGAGAAGAAGTTGGGCAGAGATGACGATGTTGCATTCCGATATGTGTGTTGATTATCCGACGGGTGCATATTTAGTATCTTATAAGTAGCCATCATCCATCCATTCTATCAACCTGTTCCATCGATATTATCAGTTCTTCGCAAAATGACCATCCTCATCACTGGTGCCAACTCCTTCATCGCAGCCCACTGCATTTCCCTCCTCCTCTCCTCCAACATTCCCGTCCGCGCAACCGTTCGCTCTCCCTCAAAAGCATCATCCACCTACTCTGCCCTCGCAGCAGCCAAAGCCCCCAACCTCACCTCCCTCGAAGTCGTCGTCATCCCAGACATAACCGATGTCAACCAACTCTCCCCGGCTTTAGAAGGCTGCACGGCCATTCTCCACCTAGCGTCTGCATTCAACTACGATGCCAAACCGGGCGAGTTTGAGGAGAAGCTCCTCCTGCCCGCGTTGAATGGGACGCTGGCTGTCTGTCAGGCCGCGCAGAAGTATCCTGCCATCAAGCGTGTGGTGATCATGTCTAGTTTTGCGAGTGTTTACGATGCTAGTCTTGGGTTGCAGCCGGATAGTGTTTATACGGAGGAGGATTGGTGTCCGTTAAGATATGAGGATGGGAGGGATGCAGATGCTGTTGTATGTCCTTTCTATCTATCTTAAATATCTGTCTTACGAGGTGATGCTAATAAACAGCCCATCGCATATCGCGCATCCAAAGCCATTGCCGAAAAAGCCGCGTGGGAGTTTATCCAGAACAACGAAGTCACCTTCCATCTCGTCACGCTCTGTCCGGGTATGGTGTTTGGGAAGATGATCCATCCGATTTCGTCGTTGGATGAGTTGAATGCCAGTAATAGAATTGTCTGGGATGTTCTTTCTGCTGGTGAGGGTGGGTGTATTCCTCCTACCAAGGCACCTGGTATGTCACTCTCTACTATGCTGTACTACTATGCTGACAAGACAGTCTGGATTGATGTCGAGGATCTGGCAGTTGTATGCCATCGTGCTCTGACATATCCACTTTCATCGCATGAGAGATTCCTGGTTACGCAGGGTTCTTATGATACGCAGGAGATAGCAGATATCGCGCGTGAACAGCTAGTTAAAAAGCGCTCAAGAGTGCCAGTTGGAGAACCTGGAAAGAGATACCATCATACTCATTATTCATGTGATTCTGGAAAGGTGCAGAAGACATTTGGTGTTGCATTCAAGACGTTGGAAGAGAGCATCATCCCATTGGCGAGGCAGTTGTATGCGATGGAGTAGATATTGTGATATTTACAGCTTCCCCATCGGTCGTCGTGAAGTATCTCGTCCATGGATATAGCACACCCGCCGTAACTCCTCAATAGCCTCACCATACAATTCAGCTCGGAATATCGCATACATTCTATCCAGTTATACTTAGTTAGTCTTCCAACATGAAGCAAAAAATAAGTATAAGAATACTCACCCACTCTTCGCCTTCCCCGCCCACTTCCTCCCCATCCCCAACGCAGCCTCATGCATATCCCCCGGTTCAGCAACAGCATCAACAAGCCCATCCGTCAACGCCTCCCTGCCCGTCCACCGATGGGTCTCAAGCAACATCTTCCTCGCAACAGGCGGAGCCAGCTTCACCCTTTGCAGCGCTCCCATTGAATCACTATGGAAGCCTATATTGAGGGCGGGGAAGGAAACGAAGCCACGATGGGCATTCATGACGCGATAGTCATGCGCGAGAGCAAGTATATACGCCGACCCGAATGCGTGACCGGTTAAGAGGGCGATGGTGGGAAAGGGGAAGTCGAGGACTGTGCTAAGGAGCTGTCTGAGTCAATACCTATACCTTATTATATATGGAGAGACAAACCGGGTAGAAGCCATCGTTGAGTGCGAATGGACTGGTTTTTAATTCGTCCATGTCGATGCCCTGTCGTTAATCTCAGTTTCTATATTTTATACCTGTATGGTTTGTCGCATACTGTCGACCAGAACTTGGAGTCACTTTTTGTGATCACTGCCCCTTCGGCATTTGGACCGAGAATGGCTTCGACCGTTCGAAAGGCTTTGATGACTTCCTGGGAGAAGGCAAGGCTGAATTTGTTTTCTGGTGGATTCTGGAGGGTGATGATGAAGACGTTGTCAGTTCTCTCTAATGAGAGGTTGGTAAACGCTGGGATGCTCATTTTAACTGTTGATGATGGCAATATTGCAGAGATAGTACTGTTGATAGAAGAAGAAATACGTGGACAAAGGAATGTATAAGTGAACAAACAGATGTTTATGGGGATAGAAGGAATGTGATAATGTGATAAAGGATCACACCATGCAAGACAGTTCACGGCCACGTACTCTAGTGCCATGAACTAATTACTAGAAATGCTCATTTTTGAGACTCTGTCTGGTGGCATTACCAATGGCTCTATTGAGATCCATGTACGGTGTTATTCGGAGAGTCTTTATTGTATTCTGCATATTGTAGCTTCAACTCCACAGAGTATCCTTGATATGCCTCGCCACCAAATCGATAAACTCGCTCGCCTGCCAGAGATCTACAGAGTCAGCATCTCACCACCCTTCTTCTATAGGAAACTCACCCTTATCCATATGCATAAACGGATGCGGAACACCCTTGAACCTCTTCTGAATAACCTCATTCCCACCCTCCACGAGCTTCCTGGCATACGCCTCTCCCTCATCACGAAGAGGATCACAGCCAGCCGTGTAAACGACCGTTTTGGGCAGATTCGTAAAATCAGGCGCGTTGAGCGCATTCGCGAACCAAGCCACCTTCTCCAGCTGCGTCTGTTTCTCTGCCGGGTCAGTTGAAAGAGACTGCCATTTGAGATTGTCAAACCACTTCAACCGCATCCAATTCAGCGTCGGAGCATGCTGCAACTCCCGGACAGATGCATACGGTGAATCATCCGCCTTCCCATAGCGGGAGATATCATCGATAACAGGTGTTCCGGCGACGACTAGTTTGAGAGGGATGTTTTCATCACGCGCAAGATGCGCACATATCAGCGCGATATTCCCGCCCGCGGAAACGCCGCCGATGGAGAGACGCGACGTGTCGATGTTGAATCTGGCCCCGTTGGCGTGGATATGTTTCAATGCAGCGAAGGAGTCTTGGATGCCGATTGGAAAGGGGAATTCGGGGACGAGACGGTAGGCGATGTCGATTACGCAGACGTTGGCCTTGACGGTGAGATGTTTGCAGATGTGCGATTCTGTGTGGAGGTCGCCGAGGCCCCATCCTATACATTATTAGTATATATACTACATTGGATAGATGGATAGATACCTCCACCGTGAAAGTCCAGATGAACCGGCCATGGTCCGGTCGAGGCAGGTTCATACACTCTCACTGGGATTGACTCGCCCTCGTAGCCAGGGACGGTGGTGTCGTAGATTCGTCCGCAGTCTGGAGCAGGTCCAGTGCCGTAGGAGTAGAGAACAGAGTATTTCGATCTGAGGATGGACAAGTCGATGGGGGCGTTGGGTGTGTTGGCGACATTGTCGTTGTATAGCTTCACAAAGACGGGGTCAAGAAGAGGGAGGACAGAGGGGTGGATGGGGTTGAGGGCTTCGTGAGACATTCGCCTTTTTAATCTATCTTGTTCTTTCTATCTTCTTTAATTGATGAATTCAACCAATGTTAAAAGATATAAAGCTGATGATATTTATAAGATGGCCGTCGCTTCGTATCCGACGGCATAAGATGTCATGACTTCCCCGCATTTTATCGCATGCGACGGTGAATCCCCGACAGCCTCGTCTGACAGTCTCACTGCCTTCTCAGCCTCGTCTATCTTTTATTCTTATAACCTCTGTAAGTCTCTGTAACTTCATCAATCAAAAATGGACCCCATTCTCATCGTCGGCGCAGGCATCGTCGGCCTTACTCTCGGCCAGGCCTTGAAACAGGTATCATCGACTCCCATTCAATATAGTATCATCTAACAGACTAGAAAAAAATCCCCTTCCAGATCTACGAACGCGACGCGACTCCCTCCGCCCGAGGCCAAGGCTGGGCCATCACCCTGCACTGGGCCCTCCCCTATCTCCAACAACTGCTGCCTGCGGACGTCCTTTCCGCAGTCTCCGACGTACAGGTTGATCCGGAGATCGCCAAAAACGACAATGGAAACTTCCTCTTCGTCAACCTGGCGAATGGCGATCCGAAGTGGAAAATCCCGCCGAGTGTGCGGTGGCGGGTGAACCGGGAGAAGATGAGATTGGCGTTGACGAGGGGGATTGAGGGGGATATACACTGGGGGAGGAGGGCTGTCAGGATCAACCTGGATGAGGAGGACAAAGCCAAGTTGGTCTTGGAAGATGGGAGTATCGTGGCTGGCAAGATGGTGGTGGGGATAGAAGGCAGCCGGTCGATGGTGAGGCAGATGCTGTGCCCGGATACATACCACAACCAGCAGCTGCCCATCCGGTTCACGGGCGTTGCAGTTGATCTCAGCGAGGAGGAAATAAAGCCCTTGCGAGCAATGGATCCGCTGCTCTTCCAAGGCTGTCATCCAGAGACTGGGGATTATTTTTGGTTTTCCATGCTGGACACGCCAGAGGTGAATGGGAGTCGTGGAACTGCGAATGAGAGATACAGAGCGCAGATCAACATGTCCTGGCCTGTCCATGGAAGCCGGGATGAAGTTGCATCAACGGATGCAGGCAGATTGGAGAATATGAAGCGACGCGCTCAGGTGTTTGTGCCGTTTCTCAGAGACGTCATCCATGCCATACCGGATGGAACGCCGGTGATGGAGATTAAACTAGCGGATTGGGAGTGTTTGGACTGGGATAATCGTGGTGGACGAGTCAGCCTGGCTGGTGATGCAGCGCATGCCATGACCATGTGTGAGTTAATCTACGATAGATGAAGCCAAACTGACGAGTATAGATCGCGGTGAAGCAGCAAACCACGGACTGTTGGATGCATTCTGGCTAGCCAACGCCATTGAACGCATTTATTCAGAAGACACAGATCTGAACACAGCCATCGACGAATACGAAAGGGAAATGAGAGGACGAACCCGACAGGCAGTCAGGCTGAGCAGTCAAGCCTGTCGAGATGCACATGATTGGAACAGACTGAACGAGTCATCGGCGATTCTGGCTAGAAGGGCCGTTAAGCCGTAATCATACTATATAGCTATCTATCTGTTCAATGCATTGTTGATAATCCGCGCAGCCCAAAGACACTTTTCATCCTGGAATTGGCGAGCAATCACCTGTATAGACGTTGGTGCTCCATCTTGTTCATCGGGGTTATCTTTATCATTAGCACTATACATATATCTCAATAGAAGAAGAACATACAGCTCGGCTGCTGATCATCGTTGACCATCATCGGCTCTGGATCCAACTCCTTTGACGCCTTCCCATATGGAATGATGCAACACGGATACTACATCATCAGCATGCACTACCACTATAGAGAGAATACTCACATCCAACACATTCCAAATCGCCGTATACGAAGGCCATCCAAACGTGTCATGTGGAACAGCCGTACTCTGACTCCCCGGCGCAACAACAGCATCTAATCCATTCTGCATCCACGCATCTCTCCACGCCTCACAATACGCCAGTCGAGCTGTATACAACTGGCTGATCTGCGTGAATGGATCTGCATTCTCCTCAGCCACCGCTGGACCCGTGAACATGGGCGACCAGCACTTTGCAACAGATGGGATTTCCGGTTCACCGCTGGCTGTAATGGCGTTGTCTTTGGGACGGTAGAAGAAGTACTGAAAGGCGATTCTGCTGGCCAGGGAAAGACTCCGTGAGGGTATATCATCGAGATAGACGATGGTATGTCCCTGTCTCGTCAGTTCATCAACAGCCTTATTCAACGCCCGTCGCACAGGCGGATGAAGCGGATAATGCTCATCCACCGGCAACACTCCTATCCTCAACTTCCTCTCCTCCTGTATACCACTCCACCCCATCGACAACGCATTCACATCATACCGCCACGGATCAACACCAACAACACATCTCATGAACATCTCCAAGTCCTCCAAACTATGGCCCAACGGTCCCGCACAAGCCTTGATACTAGGCACACCCGCCCACATCCTCTTCGCCTGTCCTCCGTACGGAATCCGATCAACAGTCGGTCGGAAGCCATACACACCATTACACAGCGCAGGGATGCGAATCGACCCAGCTACATCTGTGCCTACACCGAGTATCGATCCCCGGAAGGCGATGAGTGCGCCTTCGCCGCCGCTCGATCCGCCGGCCCCAAGATGGGTGTTGTGTGGGTTGAGGGCGCGGTTGAAGATGTTGTTGTGGGATTCTGCTGTCTGCTTTCATCAGAATGTATCAGATAAAGATATAAAGAGAGAGGAGTACCATCATAGTCTGCGGAATATTCGTCTTGACATAAAGCACCGCACCAAGGTCAAGTAATATATCCACCAACGCAGAATTCTTCTCTGGAAGAGGATGCCCCAGATACGACACATATCCAATGGTCGTCTGGATACCTTCAAGACAAAAGCTATCTTTCAAGCTAATCGGGAGACCGTGGAGGGGTCCGATCGGTTTTCCGTGCTTTTCTAAATACTCATCCAGATATTCTGCTCGCTCCAGTGCTTTGTCGAAGAATATTTCCGTCAAACATGATGTCTATCTTGTTAGTACTCTGTCTATATAATAAGAAGGAGTAGCTCACCACCTGCTGCGCAATCGCAGCCCGTTTACTAAATGCTCTCGTCACCAGCACCGAACTTATGCTTCCATCTGCCAGTTTAGCCAGTAACTCTCTCGCCGTGTAGTTCTCCGTAATATTCAGCTCTTCATCGGATAGAATTCCACTGCGACGCGGTATATCTGCGTCGAGAAGTGTGGGAGGAAGACTAGATACAAAGTCTTCGGGAAGGCGCCATTCGAGAGGTATTTTGTCTTGACATTCTTGGTATTTTTGAGTCGCCAGATGGCGCCAGTGGGGTTGAGATGTCATTCTGATTGCTTCTTACGATAATGAAGGTGTAATGAATGGATGAATGCTGTGAGAATCGTCTTTATATGTCTCCGCATACCCCGCTTTATGGGATCGACCTTCCAATTCGGGGATCCTACTGATCCGATGCATCTCATATACTATTGGCGGTGCATGCAGCTGTCTTAATTGATAGGTCTTTTGATATTATACCTGGGTTTACATATTGTCTAAACAATGTCCGATCAGGAATAATTTAATTGATTCAATCTATACAGTAGTGTTACTACATAATTATACGAATCACATTGATAAAGTAGCAACCCGGCTGATATGCCCGATATCAACTCGATATTACAGCGCAATCATGCCAATACCGGCCAGAACGGCAGTGGCAATGTAAGCGCTCAGCTGGAACGATCCCACATGGACGGCCATGCTGCCAGTCATCGCAGCACTGCCGGACGAGGTGGAGGAAGTGCTGGAGCTCACCTCGCCCGAGTCGCCAGAGGCAGTGGGCTTGGAGGTGACGGTGCCAGTGCCGGCAGTGCCGGCCTCGCCCATCAGAGAGCTGCACGAGCCGGTGGCCTTGGTGGTGGCCGTGGTGGTGGCAGAACCGCCGAAGCTGCAGGCGCTGGCGCTCTTGTCCTGGGCCTCCCAGTACTTGTTGAGCAGGAAGTTGAGCTGCTGCTTGGACTGGCACATGCTGTAGGCCCCGTATTCACCGGTGGTGGCGTTGGCGGAGATACCGTCGCAGCTGGTGTAGCCACAGATCAGACTGAAGAGATCGCCATAGTCGGAGCTGTCAACCGAGTCGCTGACGACACAACCAGCAGCATCATTCATGCAGGTGCACAGCTCCTTGTTGGGAGTAGGAGGCAGCGGGGTGGCCTTGGCTTGCCACGAGGCGGTGTTGACCGCGGGACAGGTCTGCAGCGCAGTGTTGGTGGGAGTATACGAGGCCTTGTTGGTGCCCGAGGGAGTAGCAGTGGCGATGTGGTTGGAGTAGGAAGTGAAGTCTTCCATCTTGCTGACACTGGTGCTGTCGACGACCGAGACGAGACCTGCAGGATTAGTATGGGATGTGCACTTCAGTCAACGAGGACTCACCATAGTTGTTGGTCTCCTGGAAGTACATGTAGACGATACCACCAGACCACACCTCAGCCATGGTGTCACCATACAAGGCACTGACTTCGGTGAACTGGCGGGGGGTGACTTCATTGCATCCATACTCGGCAAAGAAGACAGGAACAGAGTAGTTGCGGAACTCCTCGGTGCGGTCCTTGTATCCCGACTCTTCGTAGGTCGAGTTGCCACACCACGAGTAGATGTTGTATCCCCAGAAGTCAATGCCGTCCTCGGTACTCTCGCAGTTGAAGTAATCCGCCATGTTGACCCGGATGCTCGAGTCGTCGGCCGTGGCGTAACCCACACCGAGCGCACGGTAGCCCTTCTGCTTGATGTAGGCCTTCATATCACGGACGGCGGCCTTGACGAACGCACTGGCATCGGTGGTGGAGACACTGTTGGACACCTCGTTGCCGGCGAAGAAACCGAGGGTGTTGTTGAACTGCTGCATCTCGTCAATGACGGCCGTGTAGCGATCATACAGGTTGGCCTCCCACGAGGGATCCGAACGGTCGATGGACAGCGAGGGATCGGACAGATCGGTGATGACATAGATGCCGGCATCGGCCAGCATCTGCATGCACTCGGTGTGGTTGGCGGTGGGGTTGATGGCATAGGTGCGGATGGTGTTGGTGCGCAGCTCCTTCATGTAGGGAATATCACGCGCGCAGGTGGTGGCATCGGCCAGGGGATCGGTATAGCTGGTGCTGGAGGAGTTGGTGCTGGTGCTGCCCGTGTAGCTCTGCTGGTAGGCCACACCGCGCATGTAGAACTGGGTGTTGTTGCCCGAGTAGAAGAACTTGGAGCCCTTGATGACGATAGGGTCGATGGCCATGGCAGACCCAGCCAGGGCGCCTGCGACGGCCAGAGAGAGCTTCATGGTGACAAATGCGGATGGAAGAATGAGAGAAGTAAACGAGGGACAAATGAAGCTATAACGAGATATAACGAGAGAACGGCAGGAACTACCAACACAGAACAAATAAAACAGATAGAAAGAAATAGAGAAAAGAGATGAACGAAAAGAACGAAATAAAAGGAATCAAGCATGATAGCGATAATAATAGCCAGTCTAATAATCAGAATCAGTTAGTCTTGCCCGCGGCCACGTACATCGGCTCCAGCGGCATCCACCGGGGGAAGAGAAAACAGCCACACCGGCTGCTTTGGCTTCATCAGACCCGCAGATGATTTATTGTTCTTATTTTATTATTCAGGTTAGTGTCGAGAGACGGAGTCAAGGTGCTTGGAGGATACGCGTCACACGCTAGTCTGGTCGGTACTGGCGGTGCCATTGGACACGAGCAATGGAGTGATTGAAGTCATATCCTGTAGTTATAGTCAGTTTAGGTAACAAGTATATAAGAAGACACATTTCCTCCTTGAATGCAGTCTCGATAATGTCGGAATGTGAAATGATATTTTATAGAGAAAATCATGTCAATCCGTGAAGAAAACAGCGGATCTCGGCAAAAGCTCACTCCTGATTGGCTCGGCGCTGTTTATCTCCGAGCAGATTTTTCGGTTTTATTCTTTTTCTGTATGACCTTTTCACCCTTGTTTGTGATTCATTCTATTTATTCTACAGTCATTATATTTGACTATTAATTCTCATTCTATTCATCCCTTTTCTGATCATCACTACAGAATTAAATGACTTGACTTGGTGAGATGGCGGTTATTCTACATACGCGTCACCTCGCCGTTAGCCCGAATCGCACCAAGACTTAACGCAGCTAATCGATCCTCCCCATCCAACAATTTTATTCGGTTTTTTAAATGCCCATAGAGTGTATTAGGTTTATGGAATTCAGGGAAATCAAACCAGCCATGAATAAATAAGCGAAATGAATCTATAAATGGCCGGCTTAATCAAGTGGCCCAAGTGAGACATACTAAAGCCAATAGTTCGCAGGATGAAGCGATGTCCACCAGACAAGCTTCTTGGTGCGAAGCCATTCCAGCGCTAATTCATGGCCTCTGCGCACCTTTTAATATGGATGCCTATTCGGTACTTTATTCATTAAACTGTTTCATCTTCTGGCGTTAAGCTGTCTAGTTTATACCTCATATTAAACAGCTCGTCGAGAACCCCTGACTGTGGTCGGTGATGTCTGCTATGACCTACGCTAGGTTAGGTGTCGTTGATGATGAGAGTGTATTTGCTGTAGGAGGGCTTACATATTTTAGTAATCGTGTATAGTAGACAATGATCATTTATCAATTGTGCCGCATCGATTTGCATTCCATGTCAGGAATATATGTAATAGATATTTTGTCAGCATCCTAAACAATGACTAGGAATGCCAATACTAGCAGATTACAGACATTGGAAGTATTCATAGCCGCTCATTAATGTATGGTAAGATTAAACATTGCTATTTATTGGGGTCCTTAGGCCTGACTCAATATATGCGGTGTTGAGACCGTTCATAAAAACCTGCCATTCTACCCCATAACCATCGATATATATCGTCATCTTAACCTTCGGCATGACAAACTCTTGATATATTTTATTTAAATGAACACCCCAGATTGTATTATTTCAGCGTGATTTAATTTGCAGTCTGCTATCTTACCCCGCTCAAACCCGATCCAAGTGGGAGAAGCCGAGAAATGCAGGGATCGGATGAGAAGCCGAGACTGAAGATAGAGTGACCCGATCCCTGCATCCGAACAGTGTGGTCGTTTTTGATGTCATCCAGGGCCTGTATACTGGTTCTGGCAAGGAGATTGAGCGATTTGGCATATGCAAGCAACTTACTTCGGGATCATGATGGGAATGTGGTGTGTGGATTGTAGTGGGACAATAGACGGGGAATAGCTATATAAGGCCTGTCTATATCGTTCGAAATTTCTCTATCAACATCAACATTCAAACATCATACAGACAGAAAGAACAATGACTTCCATGCTGCACTACTTCCGCTTCGGCAGCAGCCCCTCCAAAGCCGAAACACCCAGCAATGCGCCCGTCCGTGCTCTGCCGGCCTCCTGGTACACCTCGCAGGAGATGTACGAGCTAGAACGCCGTGCCATCTTCTCCAAGCGCTGGATCTTCCTCACCCACAACTCGCGCCTCAAGGAGACCGGTGACTGGCTGCGCTACGAAATGGCCGGGTTCGACTTCATCGTCATCCGAGACCGACAGGGCAACATCAACGCCTTCCACAATACATGTCGCCACCGCGCGTATCCCGTGATCGAGAAGCACGGTCAAGGGAATGCGAAGATCGTCGCCTGTCGGTATCACGGCTGGTCGTACGGGCTGAATGGCAAGCTCGCCAAAGCACCGGGATATCAGGAGCTGGAGGGGTTTGACAAGGAGCAGAACGGGCTGTTTGGGATCCATGTCAAGGTGGACGTGAATGGCTTCATCTGGGTGAATATGGATTCAAAGGAGACCCCAGAAGTGTCGTGGGAAGAGCACTTCAAAGACGTTGACCGGCAGGACCGGTACAAGGCGTACAACTTCAACGACTACCATCTCGACCATGCGTACGAGCTGGACGGCAGATACAACTGGAAGATCCTCGCGGATAACTTCAACGAATGCTACCACTGCCCGACCACCCACGCGGACATTCCCGAGTTTCTCAATCTCGAGTCGTTCGACAGCGACACCAAAGACGGCCATATCCAGCATCACTGCGAGTCGACTCCAGAGCAGCTGGCCAAGGGTCTTTACACGGCCAGCACCTACTACTTTCCCGTGTCTGCCATGGTGGTGTCGTAAGTCCTCATAACCCTGATCAGCAAGAATCATCTAACAGATAAAGACCACACTTCATCATGATCCAAAAGTTCCTCCCCCAAGGCCCCCGAGACTCCTCCATGGCCTACGAAATCTACCGCAACAAGAACTCCTCCGACGAAGACTTTAAACTCATCAGTGACATGTACGCGCGCGTGATGGGAGAAGACAAAGTGCTCTGCAACAACCAGCAGAAGAATCTCGACCGGGGCATCTTCATCAACGGCCAGCTGCATCCGAAGTACGAGAAAGCGCCGCTCTTCTTCCAGAATACAGTTCGTGAGGTCGTGACGGAGCATTTCAACCGGGAGAAAGAAGCGGGGGCGCAGGTGTGGCCGGCGAGACAGAAATTGCCGTGCAGTGCGCAGGTGACTGAGAAGGATGAGGAGATCTGCGCGAGTCTGGGATGTGGTGCGGAGAAGGAGGGTCTTGCTTGGTGATTGTTTGTATCTATTCGTATTGGTTATCTATAAGAGATGTTATAACCCGAGGCTATCTCGGCTTCCAAACCCGACAGTCTTTCTCTTATCCATTGAGTATCAGCAGCCAATAATGCATGATGAAAAGTGGATTATGATCTGGGACAGATAGACAGGTTAATCTATATGAGGTATTTTAATGCGAACAGTCAGTATATAAGAATGGAATCCCACTGAAGACAAGATACTATACACCTCCACCATGAACGTTTCCGAAACAACCAAGCCCCAAGACGACGTCGACAAGAAGGACACTGCCCCTTTAGACACAACCCAGGATGCAGTGTTTGGAGAGATCACGGAGGATGGACCTAACTATCGCAACGTACTCAATTCTCTTTCTATATATGTTCAAGCTAATCAAAGCAGGTGGGCTTTATAGGCACCGTCATCCTCATGATGAAGACTCAGATAGGCCTGGGTGTTCTCTCCGTCCCAGCTTCCTTTGATACCCTTGGAATCATCCCAGGAGTGATCTGTCTTTGTGCTGTCGCCTGCATCACCACCTGGTCCGGGTATATCATCGGTGTCTTTAAGCTTCACCATCGCGCCGTGTATGGCATTGACGATGCCGGGGAGTTGATATTTGGCCGACTTGGTCGTGGCCTGTTGGCCGTGGCATTCTGTTTGTGTTAGTGATCCTCGATATATATCGAAATGCCACTGACAACACAGATTGGATATTCGTCTCTGGCTCTGGGATACTGGGCATCTCCATCGGGCTGAATGCAGTGTCTACCCATGGTGCCTGTACTGCGATATATGCTGTCGTTGCGGCCATCCTTGGATTTGCCGGTAGCAGTATCCAGACTCTTGGGCGAGTGACCTGGCTGGCGTGGATTGGGCTGCCGTGTATTCTCACTGCCAGTATGCTTCTCTTGACAGACAATCTATCTCACAGACTAATCCTGCAGTTCTCATCGTCACCGTTGCTGTCGGTATTGAAGACCGTCCAGCTGCAGCACCGCAAACCACATCGCCATTTGTGTCTGACTATAAACTCGTCGGCAATCCATCCTTCACAGAAGCCATCACCGCTGTATCAGCACTCGTCTTTGCCTTTTCAGGCACCCCGGGCTTCTTCTCCATCGTCTCGGAAATGCGAGACCCGCGCCATTACGCCAAAGCCGTTCTCATCTGCCAGTCTGCCGTCACGGCCATCTACACGGTCATTGGCATTGTGGTCTACTATTACTGCGGATCTTACGTTTCCTCCCCAGCGCTTGGCTCAGCAGGCGGAACCGTCAAGATAATCTGCTACGGCTTCGCACTACCCGGATTGATCGTGACGACAGTCATCGTGACTCACATACCAGCAAAATACATCTTCATCCACCTCCTCCACGGCTCCGCCCACCTAACCAACAACACCCCGACGCACTGGATTGTCTGGCTCAGCTGTACATTCGGCATCACCGTGATCGCGTATATCATCGCCAGCGCGATTCCCGTTTTCGACGGTCTGGTTTCGCTCATCGGTGCGCTGCTCGGCACCCTCATGTGTTTCCAACCCATGGGCTGCATGTGGCTATACGATAACTGGGGCCGCAGCGACAGATCCAAACGGTGGGCGTTGATGGTCTGCTGGAGTGGGTTTGTTATCGCGTCCGGCTCGTTTCTGATGGTTGCCGGGACGTATGGGTCTGTGGTGGGTGTGATTGACAGTTACAGGGTGTCGGGGGGTTCGGCTGCGTTTTCGTGTGCTGATAATTCGAATTCTGTGTGAAGAATCTTACGATGAGGAAGGTCTGATATGTATGCACAATGTATTCTTGATATCAACAATAGTACCCATACCCATACCCATATACACAAGTCGCTACTAAAATACAAAACACCCCGCTAATAATCAAACATCATAATATCACAGTCGGCAGAAGAGCATCTATCGCATCATGTTCTCTCGACGGTGTGTCTCGATAGCTGCCTCAAAGGAACGGATGGTGTCAAGAGGGCGCTCGAATCGGTGACGGGTAGGGTTGGAGATGTCAGGTTCAGCTGCGACGGTTAGTATAAGATGTATAAAGGTATAAATGAGTGTAGAGACTAACCGATGATTCTGCCCTCGCGATCGAGATGTTGGATGGCTCGTAGGGAGAATGTGCTTCCGCCGATATTTGCCACTGTAGAGTATATGTTAGTTGAATTCGATAGAGCAAAGTGGGTGAAGCCTTACTTGGCTGCGCTTCGTTCATGGCAACGTTGGGATCAGCCTTGGTGCTGATCGAGGGCTTCTTGTAGTAGTCGTGGGATCCAACAGATCCGCTTCTGTCACTGGAGGTGCGAGAGGAAGGCATTGTGTGTTGAGTATATGGTATGAGATAGATGAGGTAGTAGTGGTATTGGTAGTAGTGTGTAGTGCAGAATGTTTGACTTTGACTTGACAGAGTGAATCTGCAGGAAATCTCCAGCCTTAAATCATGCCGAGTATGATTTTTTTAGAAACAACCTAGAACAATCACGCAAAAGCTGGCGACAACCTCACCCGCACCCTCCGATCACCCACGATAGTCTGTGACGGGCACTGCATCCTTCGCCCGCATTGCTTGTGACGATCGAATCCCATTTCTGACGCGGCCCAGCCAAGGGACCGCATGACGTAGACCCCTCCCATGATGCAAGTCACAGCCAATGATATCCCTGCACGGCACAGCCAAGCTTTGGCTAATGCACCCAAGCAAGGCTTGGTACTCTTTTCAGCCAATCAACAGCGCCACATGGGCCGTCCCAGAAAAATGGGCCACGCAAGCAGTGGGGCTGCGAGGCGGTGGCAAAAAGCCGACCGTCAGGCATCCACGATTTCCATTGGCGGCGGGATTTTTTGTTCCTGAAAAAAAGGAAAATAAATGTATCGAAAAGGAGGTTCTGGCCAGGGACTGACCAATGCCGATTCTGACTTATGCAGGGGCTGGTTTCAGGTTGTGCATTGCATCATGTGTAAATACAGTCAGAATGTGTGATGATGGCTGCATGTGCGGATGACTTCATCGGTGATGCGCGATCTTGGCGTTGGAGAGGACACGCAAGTGATAGAGGGCCTGTTAGTCACCTCTTCTCAGCATCTGAAACATGGCTGATTTGATTTCTAGTGATTTGTTGATAACCATCGAGTGTCCAGTCTACATACATAGTACATGGTACACCTCGACTGGCAAATCTATTAACCGTGTGGCCTAGCCAAGACAAGAGATTCGAAGCGAAGACAGATATTTCGAGGAGCTACAGAGCATCAAAATAGAAATAGAATCTAAAACAGAGACGCACAGGATAGCAGAGATGCATGAAAACTGAGCGATCTATCGAAAATCTAGCTGACAGGGGCCGTTGAATTACCTCAAACACCAAGGACAGGCACCCAATGATCGAACATAATATCAACCCAAAAAGGAGAAAGCAGGAAGATATTTTCTTCCACTCAAAAACCACATCCATTTCAGCCCCCACGGTGATATCTCTCCTTTTGGGCAATGTCTTTGATCGTCAGAGCCACCCGGCAAGGCACGAAGCGCAGATCACCAACGACAGCTGTCCAAGCCAAGCACGATCGACACACGATCGGAATGCTTGATGCAACCCAACAACTGGCCATTGCGACTTTCGGAGAATATGCAGGAACCGAGATAGAAGAATCAGTTTGACAGGCAGCCCCGAAGGTGGTTTTCTCCGGAGTAGAAAAATGCCGGATGTCTGAATGGGTGCGGGTGACAGATTCTGGGAACGGCAGAGATGCTGATCAGCCGAGTGAGACTTGTCTGGGATGTTGGCCAAGTCTGGATGATGCATCGCTTGCTCATCAGGGGTTCTGATTATAGAAGCTGATGTTATACAGACTCGGCTGCATGATACAAGGACCAGTGAATATCAGCTCGAGGATGTCTGTATAAAGAGGGTCAGAATTCTTGTCCGGTAGCCTTCAAACCATCAGTTGAAGCGATTGCCTTGGAATTCTTGATAGCTTCTTTGTCTTCTCTGTCTCAGAGACTAGATTGGGGTAAAAAAAGAAACACCATGGGTATGCATTATTCCCTTTTCTTGCCTTGTTGCATGTCAATTTCGAGGAAGTCCGACACTCAGCAACTTGCCAATATGAAGAGATAATTCCTATAAAATCCCCTAGACTACTTCATCCATGGCTCTTTCTTGTTCTCAGAATATCAGAAAGAATAAAGCATGGATTTCCCCTTCTGGTTAGCGTGGCCACTTTAGGCATGGTTCTCGGACTGTAATCACCTGACCAAAATACGAGCCGACTTCTCTTCCCGATACATTGTTGATGTTTTATTGAATCAAAGAGATAATTCTCTGGTATTCGAACTCACATGATGGATTGGGATAATCTCTGCTTCAACACTGCAACGTTGATTGCCGGGGTCTTTGTCCTTGACTATGGAGCAGACAAATTCCTGGACCACACTGTTATCGTCGGACGGCGATTAGGCATCTCGCCGACTCTTATTGCTCTCTTGACAGCTGGAGCTGAGTATGAAGAGGTACAGCCCTTTACCTTACGCTTTGGTATGCATACTGATACAGTGGCCAGTTAGCTGTAGTGATTGCAGCAATCCTACAGCATCGCAGCCCCCTAGCGCTGGGCAATGTTATGGGATCTGCAATTTCCAATATCCTCGGTGCCTTTTCGCTTGGTCTTCTGTGTCATCCTGGTGGAATGGAGTTTGATCGTAGCGCAAAGATCTATGCTGCGCTTCAGCTTGCCGTTACCACTCTGTTTGTAGCCTTGGCTTTTTTTCATCTGCTGAACCAAGTGACTGGTGCGGTCTTGATAGCCGTTTTTGTCTTGTATATCATCTCTATTGGCTATGCCATTTACAAGGGCGTTACCGAACCTCCTCAGATGTCTGATAGTGACAGCGACGATGAAATACCCACCACTGCTCAGACGTCAGTTTCGGAGACTTTACCTCTTTTGGAGAATGCAAGTCCACGACAGGATCCACAGCCACTTTACCAGCATATCTTCCAACTCCTCTTTGGCCTACTTGCACTCTCCCTATCCGGATATATCCTTGCCCATAGCGCAGGTGCCATCGCGGACTCCCTCCAGCTTTCAGGCACCGTGTTTGGCCTCACAGTGATTGCCTTTGCTACAACCCTACCGGAGAAGCTGATTTCCGTTCTCAGTGGCTCTCGCGGACAAGGAGGTATTGTCATTGCAACCACAGCAGGGAGTAATATATTCCTGCTGACGCTCTGCGTCGGTGTTGTGGCCATTGCAGGACTTCCTGTCAACAGGGCAGATACCTTTGATACCTTTATTCTCTTTGACCTGGTGATGGTCTGGATGTCCGCGTTAGGCTTTACAGTCGTCGCCTTTCTTGGACCAAGCCGAATTGCCGGTCTGGTGTTTCTGTTGGCGTATGTTGCTTTTGTGGTCCTTGAATTTACAGTGTATAAACGCTGAATAATTCCTTGTCCATACGGACCATACCCTATCCTTGGGTAATATAGTTAGACTGACCAACTAAATCCTTGATATATTGGCAACTGTGTATACACAGATAGAAGAAAAGCGCTCAAACACTCGTGTATTTGTATATAGTCAAGGATATATTGTCCTATTCGTTCATCAAGGATAATCCACCATATAGGCTTGTGCAGTCTGGATAATTAACTTCCCAATTCCACAAATCCCACTTCATTAAAGCATTTCTGGGAGTTACAGGTGGAAATGCAGCCGTAAACGGCCTCAATTTCACAGGTTCTCACAATCTAGTTGTACTTTGAGTAGATCTCATGTAGCCTGGCTCTAGGCGTCAAAACATCCGTTGAATTTCCTGGGGGGCTCTTTTTATCTCGACTATCATACAATATAGGCATTTGTAGAAAGTCCAACGTCTCCAACTAACTTCGGAATGAATAAAAGAATGAAGGTATGTTCTAATTGCCATAATTTATCAGGGTGTCTATCTATAATTTATTCCAGCAAATCAGAGACAAAATTTATAGCAATGATAAACGGGACTAGGTTTTGATCCATCTCCATTGCCCAACGAGGGAAACTGATGAAGCGAATGAGTATAGATTCTAGAGAACTACGATAGGACGAGCGAGACCTTCATATACGTATCCAACGAGGACAAATTCAGCCTCCGATCACCCTAAGAGATGCAGTGGTCAGTTCTTGTTTACAAAATATTTACTTAAAGATGGTTTTGAGATATCAAATTGATCTCGACAGGGATTAGTGAAACAGAATATATATATATATATATATCATTAAAAATAGTTCTCCTAAGTGTACTTTCAAAACGTTACTTTAAATTGAATGCTTGACGGTGCCTAAGTTGCACTGGCTTGAATTCATATCTGTGCTTAATTGATATCGATCATCGACATCCCCATCCCAGCCAGTGCCCAGGCAACAGACACCCACAACAAACGCAACCTCGTCAAACACACGGCCCTTCAAAGCTCCCAGGGGTTTGGAAAAGCCAACCTCCCCATCTTTCAATTTCTTTCCCTCCTAGCCCCTCACAAGAACACCCGATATCAACAATGGAGAATCCCCCGCCCCCAAGCCCCACTGTCTGCGCTCGTTGCCAGAAGCCAGCGACGACAAGATGCACTGGCTGTGTTGATGCACCGGTCTACGAGGAGATTCTTTCGAAGAATACCTTCTACTGCAGTGCAGCATGCCAGAAGGAGGATTGGGATTCGCACAAGACGACGTGTAAAGCCCTGAAAGCTCGCAAGACGCTGAAGAGAGCCGCGTCGCTGCTCCAGGAGATCTTCTACGCGATCCGTGAACAGGCCAACATGTTGAGATACTCTGTCGCCAAATGCACTGGGTCTATCGTTCATCTCAGTGGAGACCAATATGGTGGAGGTTGTCCCGAACAGCGGTTGATGCCGTTTTCTGGAATTACCATGACTGGTGATTTCGACAAGGACGTTTACAACGGGGTGTTGGCATATGCTAGCTGTGTCGAGGTCATGGTTTATCTTTGCGGGTTTGCCAAAGAGCTTCTGTTTGGTGTGTATATCTGCCCTGTCTTGACTGCTACTGCAGATACTAACCTACGACTTGACTAGGTCTTTGCTCCAAGGTCGAAGAGGTCGCCGTCAAAGTCACCAACGAGAAGCTCATCATCAACTCGGCAATCCTCCAACAGCGCACCATCGACCACAACCTCCACCGCGTGACACTCAAGAATGGAGAAGTTTGGGTGGTGGACATAACGGGGGCTCAGTATGGATATCCTGATCCTCTCTGTGTTTGGAGCGACTACGAGCATCATCGGATCACTAAAGTCACCGAGGTGCTTGAATTTGGGTCCTTTCGCTATGATCTCTATCCGGATCACAGCTCGACCTTTTTGAAAGAATGGATCTCTCAGCGGGTTCAGAGACTGGAACTCACCGAGGCGCTGGAAAAGCAGATTCCTGAATGGGGCAGGGTATATGGGGGCAGACTCGACGGGATCTTGAAGGGCTCTGATGAGGTTTTCAGCCAGGCGAAAGATGAATTCCTTGGTCTGTTGGACGTCTTTATCAAGGATACTTTGGCTGGGATGTATACTCCCGAGCGGGTTGCGAAGAGATGGTTGGAAGTTGGCCGTCTTTTTCGCCGTTGATCTGAATTATGATGAGGATTAATAATTTACTACGATGAAGTCACATTGATGTATTTCTTGTGTTGCTGCCTATCCGTGGTGCTATTCATGTTTCGATCGGGACTGGTGCCTAGCAATACCAAAGGTCTTATCCTCTCATCTTGACGCTTCGATGTTTCTCCACTCAACATCCCAGTATATCGAAACATCCTACCATAAAAGAGCAAAATGCCTAACACCAAAGAACCAGTTGGAATCGAGTCGCTTCCCATGGAAGTATATGACCTCGTGAGTCTTTCTACCACTTGAGAAACCTCAAACTAACCGACCTCTAGATAACACTCAAAGCCAACAGACGTTATGGAGACGATAGATACCACTGGCGATCTGAAAGCGCTGAAAATAGAATAAAGAGACTCAAGACCCTGCGCTTGGTAAATCGGCGCTTTTACCATAGTGCCAGTCGCTTGTTGTTTCGCCGTATCTCTACAGATCTGACCTCTCGCGGAACTGAAGAAGGCATTCCCATAAAGAGGCTCCATTCCCTCTGTCACAGCCCACATGCTGACCATGTTCAAACGCTTTTTATTGTACTACCGGGATTCTCGCGTTCAAATGACACAGTCAAGAGATACACGGAAGAGTTCAAGGAATGGTTTCCACGATGTTTGGGCAAGCTTACCCGCCTGAAAACCCTGGAGTTCGACATTGAATATGCCTACTGGAAGGAGGCCAAGGGTCATTCGGATGTTCCTACTGCGATATGGAGATCACTTGCAGATGCAATGTTCACATGCTTGCGGGATGCAAGACTAGAAAACCTGCAGAATCTTCAAATAAAGCTCCCCAATGAGTCTACCTACTGCCTTGGCTCACAGAGCCGATTACCCGCAACTCTGATGCCGTCGCAAAATTCCATGTCGAACCTGTCCTCTCTGCACATCGACCATCAGACCATGGAGCCTGGTATATATTATCAGGCCGATGTTCTTCGTCTTGTCGGCCTTGTTAAAAGTCTACATACGTTGGAGATCACCGGTTCACAGGCGCTATTTGCTGATATCGCGCCGGTCGATCTGTTGATCTCCCCAAACATGAACCTGCGTGTTTTAAAGATTATGTGTGTGACTTTTCCTTTCCGAATACTACTCTCTCTTCTCCAGAATAACAAGCAAACCCTTGAAAAAATCGTTTTGAATGGCGTTGACCTTCACGACGGCCGATGGAAAGACATTCTGAAGGAAATCTGCCAGCTTCCTTCAGTTCACCATGTCGGACTCTGTTCTTGCAACTATTCAAGAACTGGCCAGAGCTCTTTTCTCAGACGCTCCTCTCGTTTCTACGAGTGTGATGTAGTGAGGACGGGTGAGATCAGATCCTTGAGTGCCGCAGATATTCTCGCTATCCATCCGGTTCGGCATCATCTTAATCGAAACAGAGAGAAGATTGGTCTCGAGAGGATTAGACCGATAAAGACGAAATGGGTGGCTGGACAGTGCAAGTATAAGTTTCTGGGAAGGTTTGACTATGGTGCCTGAGTGGCTTGAGTATTCGGCCTGGTTTGTGGTATATATAGGTCTTGCTAGTTGTGTCTGGGATATATCATTAATTGAAGTATTATATGTTGTTCAGTATCCTGTTTAAAACGGTATAGTTACCTAAGTAGATTCTTCTAATCAATGTCAGGGTTCGCTTGTATTGCATTCCATCAATCATGCTACATGATATCATATCATCAGTAATAAACATCTTTCTGAGAAGAGGGCCTGTGCTATCAAACAGTCTCTGTATGACTAACTGTACTTCAGATGACAAACAACACAGTCTAGTCCATATTTATTAAAAATGAAGCAATCCAGACAATCCTGGCATCGATCTTGGCAGACAAAGTGGACTTCGCCAAGACCACCCACTGTATACAATAGAATCCAGCTTATGCTCATCTGACTGTCAGCAAAGATATATTTCTTTTTAGAATACTTCTGTTAGAATCTCAAGATAAGAGCTGTTTAAGCCATTGGAGATAAATAAAAAACATTGATGACAGCTGCCACAGAGATCGACACTGCAATGTTGTCCTGCATGAAGAAATTCGGACCCTCGGACATTCTCGGTTTTTGGCGGGTTTTGGATATTCAGATTCTGCAGGAAAACATAGTTAATTTAGCGTAATGCTTGCATATAAAAAGTAAAATAATATAACGGTTGTATGAAATGTATCAGATGAGTTTTGTGCCTATATCCGTACATCATGCCGACTATCAGCCTGATAGGAGCCACCGGTCGAACAGGGAGGGGAGTCCTGCAAATCCTCCTGACGGAACCATATCGCAGCTATGATATTCGCATCTACGTTCGCTCCAAGGCAAAGCTGCTCTCCATCTTCCCTGATCTTGCCTCCTACGCCCGAGTGTCCGTCTTTGAGGGCTCAATTGCCGATATAAACCTCTTCAAACAATGTCTATCCAGTGCAGACACCATCATCAGCGTTCTGGGAGAGAATGAAAACATCGCCGGTCTACACATCCTCCAAGACGCAGCGACAACTACCGTTTCCGCTCTGCAGGAGCTTTGCACCGAGAATCCGAATTACGAAATTCCTCGACTCGTTCTCCTCTCGTCGGCAACGTGGAACGCAACATTTGCTGGGGCTCGACCGCGGTTTATACACTGGTTGATCAAGACGGCGTTCTGCTATCCGTATGCCGATTTGCTCAAGGCACAGGAGATCTATGCCCAACGTCCGGATCTACTGAGACTGTGTCTGATACAGCCGCCTGCGATTGTGGAGGGTGAGTCGTCTGGTCATATACTCAGCACCGAGACGGTGACGCTGGTTGTGTCGTATGGTGATCTTGCGAGTGGCTTTGTAGAGGTTGCGACAAAAGCAGAGCATCGTGATATCGAAGCTATCGGGGTATCTAGTACATCCAAAGACCAGAAAAAGTATCTTCTTGAGCTGCAGATAAGGATTGTACGGGGATTTCTAGCGCAGTATGTTCCTGGTTATTTTAGCATCGAGAACAAGGTTTGGGGGCTGTTGGGGTATGCATGATTGCATTGTATTGTATTGTTACCGAAAGGATAGATTGTTAGAAGCATCCAAGGAAGCCCTGGATGTATTTGCTTTCTAATGCAGTCTCAGTCATCAGTGGAGTGATCATCCCCAGCCGCATGGCGTAGGGCAAGCCTCGTCGGCGTTTGGCAACCCCGAAGGGCGACGGCGAGTTATAAAAACGGAATAACAAACCAAGTACCATCTATATCAATCAGAATCATCATCAAGATGACTTCTCTCACAGTTGAATCTGTTCCTCTGGTGGAACTGGATAAACTCCAAGATGAGCGCTCGAAGACTCTGCATGCACTGTTCAGGCAGAATCATCGGGATTTGGCCTTGTTGCGCGAGCCAAGGCTGATCTTCCATTCTCATATGCCTCATGTATTTCTCTTCTAGTGAACTGCAAAACATCAGATTCTGACATTTTAGATGCTCGGATCGGCCTATTTACTTGGCTTTTCGGAGGAGAAATTGGTCGAGATGTATCAGAGTGAAGCAGCGGGGCTGAAGCCAACCAACGTTGGATTCATTCAAAATGGAATCACCAAAAACAACTGGACAGAGTTTCTCCATAAGAAAAAGTATATTGTTCGTACATTGTCTGGGTGATGCTGACATTAGAAGATATACTGTCGCCTATACCAACTTCTTCGATGAGAGATTGGCGGACTTGAACGGAGACTGGAAGGCGCTGCTTCATGAATATCTTTTCACATCTCCCGAACCATTGATAAATGGGTATACGGGCGGTCGTAAGTCTTCTGCTGATAGGATATGTTCATGACTGACGAGGCAGTCGGCCATCCATTCATCCACCTCGCATACGCATACGAGTTCAACAGTCCTGAAATCGCCACCGAAGCACTTAGCATGGGATGCACCGAGAAGGACAAAACGCACGTATTCTTGGACACCGAACAGCCAGATACCTCGACGTACAAGTCGTCTTCGATTAGCGACATCCTCGTCCGCGTACAGCAAGACGAACGATTTGCGAATCTCTCTGAGTTCCCTGGATTCGCCAACATTGCCACCATTTTTGCAAAGGCAATGCCTGCATTCCTGGAACACTGGAATGCGTGGGATATCACCGATCCAAACGTGCAGTTCGAGGAAGCGCTAGACACGGCCACGAAGCTCCTCATGGGAACCAGCAATGGGAATGGCGAGTACGATTTTTACCTCGCGCACACACTAACAGTCGGACACGCCATTCGAGTCCTTCTCCCCCATTTCCCCGTGGAGCATCACATCTCCGTCCTTCGACAGTTCTGGATCTTCGTGCTCTACTGCTTCATCGCGCAGCTTCGACCGTCATTTCAGACAGATTGGTTGCAAACTGTCGATCTCAAAGGTCGGGACTGGGCGTGGGTGAGTGCGCAAGGTGCAATTGGGCCTCTTTCCAATGACTGCCACCGCGTCAAGGTCTTGCGTGCCTTTAAGATGATGGAGGAGACTTGGGGGGCAAAGGAGGGTCGGTACTTGACTGCTGCGGTGAAGTATGTAGATGAATTTTCTGGATGGACTGGATTTGGGAGGGGGGTTGAGGGTCTTGTGGTAGAAGAGTAACACATTATTGAATGACTTGTTTATAACTTTGTAGTGAATGTGATGTGATATTGAAGTGTTGATGTCGACGAAGACGATGTTATGGAGTCATGCCCAGATATACCATTCGCGTAATTCTGAGTCTGAACCTTGATTTCAAATCAACCCAATTTGCTCCATTTTTCAACTGCAAGAATTAATTAAATCCAGCCGTTCTTCAGTTCTGCTAAAAATGCCACCATCTGCAAAGAAGAGCCGTGAGAATAAGACATCGCGGGGTAGATACACGTCCAAGGCATGCGAGGAATGTCGACGACGGCGGGCCAAGGTCAGCATTGACGATGATGATAATGAATCACTGCTAACACCCAACCAGTGCGATGGAGAAAGGCCATCCTGCTCTCGCTGTGTCGATCGAGATATCCCGTGCCAGTATTCTGGCGTTGAAGATGGCCGGAAACCAGCGCCCAAATCATACGTGCTGCTTCTCCGCGAACGCATCACCTCACTGGAGAATCTATTGAGAAAGCACGGAATCGATCCGAATTCTGCTGATCACGCTATTCCAGATGAATTGACTGAGCATATTCCTCACGATGGCCAGATCACGGATGGAAATGATTCCGCATTAGAAGACCTGTGCGGCACCTTTGAAGGGTGTCTAACACTGGACGACTCGTTGAACTTCGATCAAGACGGCGAAATGCGATACTTCGGACCAACAAGTGGTCGTCTCCAGTTTCCTCTCTCCGGGGCAGACTTGAATCTACCGGGTTTGGGCAAGTCACATATCGACGGCTACTCGGATCTTGCAGATGCGGGTATATCAACCGATCTGCAGTCGGAGTTGATCGATCTGTATTTCAAATGGGAAGGGCCGATAGCTCCCATCGTCGATGAGGGTCTATTCCGTGCCAGCTTGGTGAATAAGACACAAAGCTTCAGTCCGCTTCTGTTGAACTGCATTTTGGCCGTTGGATCTCGGTTTTCCGATGATGTCCATGTTCGATCGGATCCAAACAACCACAATACAGCCGGCAAGATGTTTCTGGAAAAGGCTAGAATATTTCTCTATTATGAGCTTGAGAAGCCTAGTTTGACTACTATCCAGTCATTACATATCATGGGAATGGTTTATTATGTGAGCTTCTCCGTCGTTGCTGGTGATGTCCACTGACGAATCAGGCAATGGGTGCAGATTCCGCTGGATGGCTCCATACGGGAATGGCAAATCGACTGGCCTTGGATATGGGGTTGAATATGGATCCGTCTGCTTTTGAAGATACAACTTCCATCTCCACGCAGGAAATTGAACAACGGAGGCGGATTTACTGGACGCTGTATTGCCATGATAAACTGTCAGCCAGCTACTTTGGACGGGTCTGTTCTTTTCTGGTATGCTATCTAGTTCCAATCACTTTCCAATGCTAACCGTATCAATCAGGACTGTCAAGGAGCAGTTAATATGCCCTCTGATCCGTTCCTCAATGCGTTGATTGGACTGTGTCAGATATTAGAAAAGATCTTGTGTTCCTTGTAAGTATACAACGGCTGATATTAAACTATACTAACAGCGCAGATGGGGACTTAAACCCTCGCTTCGCGTGTCTGAACGACCCCCCTTTCTTCGAACTTGCATGTTACGCCTCAGATCCTGGTTCTACGATCTCCCTCCGTCTCTACGAATCGACCAACCGAACGACCTCCCCCAAGCATATACCCTCCATATGATCTACTACACCACCAGAATCCTTCTCGCAAAACGCTTCCTCGCAGACCCAACCCACCGACACACTCCAAATGACGAATCAACCACCCAGGCTACGCCACTGGCACGGTCTATATGCAATGAATCCGCCAGATCGTACTGTTCAGTCGCGTACAAGTACCGCCAGCAATTCGGTGGTTTCCGTCTCAGTCCCCTGACAGCGACGTATTGCACGCTATCTGCGGCGTTGGTGTTTCTCGGGGATATTCATCGGGTTGGAGAAATGCCTAATAGCCGTGCATCGCTTGAGCTGTGCTTGAAGGTTCTGTATGAGCTTGCTCCGGCTTGGAGTCCTGCGTGCCATATTTTTAAGAATCTGCAGAGGTTGTATCAGAAATCGATTGATCCGGATCCATCCACCACTGGTATTGGAGAAGTCGAACCAGCTCTGATTGGTATCAATGACATCACAGTTGGTGATTCACTATTCACATGGCCTGGTGATATGGCATGGCTTCAAGGAACCCCGTATGAGCATGTGTCGGTATTTCCAACAGGACCGGAGTTTCAAGTGCCGAACTCATTCAACACACCTGATATAAACGGCTTTGACCCTCTTCTATATGATTGCCGAACAGCAGACTGCGATCTCTTCGAACTCCTGAGCTCCGAGTTTGAGCAAAACCAATCGACCAACATCTGGCATCAGCAAACACTTTAACAGTGACATATATCTCAAACATTAGACTACGAATCAGGAACATGAGCAACAACCTCAATCTCAACCCTCGTATCATCCTCCCCCAACCTCGTCACCCCCACGCACGTATAAAGCGGACAATGCCCGGGCATCCACTTTTCGAAATTCCGCTTCATAGCATCCAACGCCTCGTTATTCAGCGGCAGATGGTACGAGTTGACACGGTAGACCTGCTCCCACCCTTTTCCGCCGGCTGTCTTTAAGGCCAGGTCGACGTTTGCGAATGCCTGGTCGATCTGGGCGTTGATTTCGCGATGGATTACGCCGGTTTTGGGGTCCCAGCCGCCTGCGTCATGTCAGGTGGATGATGACCAAGGTGGATGAGGGGGGCTTGCCTTGGCCGGAGCATTCGATTCGATCGCCGACACGAACTGCTTGGTTGTAGCGGAAGTTGGTTTTGGCTGAGTCGCCGAAACCTGGATAGGAGTAGTATTGTAAGTGGGACATGTTGGGTATAGTCACTGGCAGTAGGAAGATATATACAACTTGTTGATGAATGAGAGGCAGTTGGCTCTTTATACTTTGAACCCCTGGTCTGCTTTGAAGTAAAGTATACACTCGAGACTTCGTCACCACACTTTTATTGGACAGAACTGTATCAAATATGCCCATCGATTCGGGGGTTGCTTGCAGCGGAAGACATATTCCGCTTTCGGGGTGGATATTCTGCACTCGACTACGTCATCCCTAAAGAGAGCCCACTGCGACCAGCAAAGATGTACACCACGGCCTAGCCTATTATTTCTCTTTGGCTGTAGACAGTAGAATATTATTGTTACAATTCAAACCGTAAGTCGTTTGTCCAATCACATCTATAAAACACGTTGCCTCTTTTATGGGCCATGACAGCGCAGAGACTGAATCATCCAACATCAGCAAATGGCATTCCATCTAAAGAGAATATACATACCGCACAGTGTTCGCGCCACTGTAGCTGACAGCAACCCGCGGAGCCGCTGGAGTACCGCCAGGATACGCGACAGATTTCACGAGGGGGAATTCTTCCAAATCAAGCCCAGCACAGTTGGCAACGAGGGGAACCTGATTATTAAAATTTCCAAAATGATGCGGATAGTTCCCATCTCCTATTGAGCTGTGGGTTAGTCCGGGAGAGACTTTTAAGAAGCCAAGCCATTCTCACCAACTGTTGTTCCTGCATTGTGGTGTCGCAGTGCAGCCTCGGCAGCTCGCTGGATATCCGCTTTCGAGTATTGCGTGGTGCCGCCTATGACGTTGTCAGTCATTATCAGGGCCGGGAAAGGACCAGATCGAACCGCAATTATGCACTGGATCGTTTGAAAGGTTGATATTTTCAACAACTGCAAGGGTTGACCCAGCAAGGAAGACGGGCAAAAGGGTAGAGAGTTTCACGATTGGTGGCTATATCTGAACAGAGAGGACTGGACTGAGCCGAGGAAAACAGAAGAGGATGATGAGCATTCTTATAGCTGGCTGCGAACAGTTGGCGATGGCAGACCCGCTCGAGCGAAATACGTAACTGTTGCCTAAAAGTGGCCGGTTTGGGGTAGTTTCTCAGTCCATTATTGTGATAATGAGTGATTGTCCTGTCACAGGGAGTATGGGCTTGTTGATCGATCAAATCAACCGGAAACCCCGCACGGATATGGGTGAGGCTGGCTGAGGAAGAGCTGACAGGAACATGTTCGGCGAGCTGGACAGTCAATTGGTTGGCTACTGTGGCGTGTCCTCTGATCATATATTCTGATTGGCCATCACCATTTGACTTGGGCAATATCTCCTCACGATCGTCAGATCGTTGTTAGATGTACCAGTTCTGGAATAGCATACCAAGGTGGCAAATGATATGGTATAACGATGGATGTGTTGTATTCTGATGGCTCTATCAAGTGTGGATAGATACGTAATCTAGTTGACAAGCGACCTGAGGTATCGCCTCGAGCCTTCCACGACTGGCTGATAAATCCTCGTCCAATCCAAACCATTAGAAGGAAACCATTGGACAAGAAACAAGGCATTACTTTGTCCAATCACATCCAGTGGGCTTGCCGTCTCTCTTACGGTGGAGCATGACAGCGCAGAGCCTGAAGTCATTCATTACCAGAGGCCTCCCAGCAGAGAGAGAAGATACATACCGTACATCGTCTGGCTTTCCATCAATGTAGTTGAAGGCCACACGATAGGTCTTAGGATCGTCCCCAGAGTATGGGACAGTGCGAGTAAGGGGAAATTCTTCCAAAGCAGCCCCGTTGCAGTTAGTAGCTCGAGCGACTCCATCCTTGTTTCCATAATAATGAGGGTACTTGTTTGCCCCTGTCTGATGGCTGGTCAGTCTGGGTTTGCCTCGAGGCTTGGGTTCCCTTACCAACTGTCTCCCCGGCATTGCGAAGCCTCAATGCTTCGTTGGCCGCTTTCTCAATGTCGGACTTGACGTACTTGGTGCCGTCTATGTTATCGTCAGCAATAGTCACACACAAGGGGTGATCATGTCGAGCCACACGTCACTTCGTCTCTTGACAGGTTGATGGTTTCAACCTTTGCAATGGCTGTTCCAGCAAATACAAAGGGTAGAAGAGTGAAGAGCTTCATGGTGAGCTGGAGTGTGGTGGAATTGGCTGAGAGGAATGGACTTGATTGATGAGAAGGCAGCGGGGCTTGGAGGCCCATCAATAGCTTTCTTTCCACTCATTATCTGTATTCAGACATTGTTGACATCCATTTGAGGGATAAATTGCTAATCTGTACGACGTGGACAAAGGTACATTCCAAGTCTCGGCTCAGTGGGCCATTGCCATTGACCAGCTGGCAACCACTCTACTGACAAATACATTTATCGTTTCTATTGAGCAAGCCAGCCACAATGCAGTGGCTTTTGATCTGACTGGAGGTATCTCTGTGAAGTAATTATGACTAGGTCTGCATGCCGATCGCCTAGGCGCCGGGACAGTCCGCATTAAGCATATTTAAGGCTAAATCGCCAGCCAGCTATGCTGTGAGTTACACAAGACATGGGGACTCCGCTGGTAGCCTTAGACAGTAGCTATTTAAAGGGATGGATGAATGTTAGTCCTAGTGATCTTTTATAACCGATAGTCTTGTGATCATCAGGCTTAGCTGAATTGCATGAACAGCAGGCTGTGGATGTAGATCCTAGTACTTTTAGCAGCATTATTCCCCATGGTTCTAGTTAATAGCCTATTTGAGCATGTTGCATGCAGTCACCGTGTATCAAACTGTTCTAATTGCAATTTGTAGCGGACTGAACTTTACGCACCCACTTGCTGACCAGAATGGAACTGCGCGAGAGGCCAGTCTACAGACGGTAGCTTTGCCTCAGAACAGCCGGGATACTTCATTTTAGATGTGGTAGAATATTAACCAGTACACCTGATACTTGATGGTGTGTGCTGAAGATCGGTCTGGGAGTTGCATACTAGTACAAGTGGAGACTGCATAGCCTAGCACCATTCTGCCAGTTTATCATATTGTCGCCCGGCATGAACAGCGTGTATAAAGTGGGCTGAAGGATTTGCAGTATCACGAACACAGTCGGTCGAAGTGGATATGGGCTGAATGAACATGGTCAACTGATTTACAACTTATACAGACACATAACCCCCCTCCTAAACCCCAAACCTATAAATAATTAACAATCACCCCCAGGAACAACATCAAAACCGTCGCGGCAAAGTGACTCCCCTCTCCCTCCCCCTTCAAATTCAAACAGAGCACCCCATCCCCCACAGAAACAACACTACTGGCAATCAAAATCCACGAAAACGTCCTTCGATTCCCGAAATACGCCGCCGCGCCGAGCGCAAGACCCATGAAGATGTCGCGCACGCCATAGACGCCCATCATTGTGGTGGCGAATTTTTCCTCCCAGGGGGTGGTGGGTTGGTCGAGGCCGAAGAGGGTGAGGGCATGGTGGGGGCGGAGGAAGGCGTTTGCGCCGAGGGCGATGGGGAGGGCTGTGAGGGCTGTTGCGAGGAGGGCGAAGGGCGTCGAGGAGGCCATTGTGGGTGGTTGGTTGGGTTGGCTGGGGTTTTTGTTAGTTTTCTGTTGGAGTTTATGGGATGGGTGGGTGTACTTTTTGGTGGTGTTTGGTTTGGGTAGATTTGATGATTATGTCGATGTTATGTTGGTGTTGGGGTGATGGCTTATTTATGTGTGATCCGATAAGCGCTAACATGTCATTCTTACAGGGTCTGCGTCAAGCGCATCTGAGTCAGACCGAGATCGTAGGTCTTCGATTGCGAAGGATCAGGTTAATTTAATATGCAGAAGTGCGTTGGTCGGGTATACTCAAGATTGAAACGATCTACAAGCTTATGGTTGATATGAACCGGAAGATTTAATTATGCTGTGATAACAGATAAGGTTGCATCGACATAGCTAAAAATATTTCTACACATCAGCAGAACAGAAAGTTATAAAATGCAGAAATTTCTCTCGTGGTCCATGTATCTCAACATGTTGTGGTTGATCTGCGTGAGGACGATCGGATGTCGGATCCTCCAATCCATTTGTGGATGCCGAGATGCCGATCCATCAGATCGACCATTGAAACGGAGATGTTTGCATCCATCCAAAGTAACCAATTCCTAGTAAACATACCCTAGATAGGTAGTTCTAGCATTTCCATGTCTCCGAAGTGAACTGTCCAACACAATGGCCGTCTCAAGAGCTAGTCTTGGTCGACATCCGCACCAGCGACAGGCCATTTTGCTAGGGATGTGTGACCGCGAAAATAACGAAATGAAGGGGTACTTTTCGTCCGTAGCTGGTCGGATCAACATCAAATTCCTTCTCAAGGAGTGACTTGGTCACTGCATTGATTCCTTTGGCAGCATAGTGTAGGGCATGGTGACCATACCTCCTGACGAAAGTAGACTGTGTGCCGCGATCCAACAATCATCTGAGAATTGATTTGTGGCCACATAGAGCAGCCTGTTCGAACGCAGTTGTCTTCACATAATCATATGATTCACACGTATCTAGGTTTCCCCTGGCACTCAATGCGATGAAATCTGCCGTCGCAGACATCGGCCCCGGCGTCGATCAAAGCTTTCACGCTCGACGCGTTGCCGGATTCAGCTGCATAACGCAGCGCCGTTAATCGGGAAATTCCCCCGTAGTTGACATATGCGCCGTTTTTAAGAAGCATCGCAATAACTGCGAGATTGCCCGTTGTTGAGCAGATTGAGGTAATATAATATCATACCCTATACAGACTATCTCACTTGGAAGGTCTTGTAAAGGACATTTGAAAAAACGCCATTTTGATCACTGTTTATGAAAATATGAGTTTGGGGATATGAAATTGTGAAGATGGCAGGACACGTCAACGAATGTCAGATTGACAGCCAGGTCCTTCGATTAAACAAGATAAAAATTGGCGCGAGAAAAAGAGAATGACTGTAAGCTGATGAGGGGGTGTTTTAGTTTTAACCCCATGGTGGCGACAAGAAGAAGATAGTCAACCGTACTGTCCCCTTGCCAATTCCGCACTAAACCCGACTTGGATAAGAATGTTCGTCATTCCTCCCGGTCTGCGGATCTGGCCGTTGTTCAATGCTTCGCTCCCCAGCGATGGACGTCTCTCGGTCCAATTATAATGGACAACTGGCCATTCGGCTGGTCTGCGGGTGCCGTAAGCAGGAACGGATCCATGGTGGTGATCCTGTGGGAACTACCCAGGGACTATCCGGGTGATGTCCGTTGTGTTGCACAGTAATATCAAGTTTTGATGGCAAGCATTCCCATGGATAAGCCAATCTGATCTAGCCATTTCAGTGATCCTTCCTGATCTGATGGGGAAGGAACAATATCCTTGGCTTGTATATCTCCCTGCAACAGCTCTGCGGCAGTGGGGACATTCATATTCCTCCAAGGATCCGTTGTTTGTGAGTCATGCAATCTCCGCACACTGTCTGCTTTAATAAGGAGCTGGAGCTGGTGGAGAAGCGAAATGGCCATCTGCATCCCTTGAAGCGAAAATTTTGCAAAGTCACCGACAACTTTGACAGGGATCGGGCCGATGATATCTGACCTTTTAGCCATGGATTTCTCCGAATTCTCCAGAAAGCGGACCGTCAGTTGCGAATGGAGGTTGGTCAGATTTTCCAAAGTGGAAGTGATCTCGTGGAGTAGAGTGGATCTTTCAGATGAGAGGACATCTTCCGCTGCAATGATCGTGTTTGTGCGAGCGAGCAGCCCCGGACAGAGTGTTATCTCATTGAAAGCATACTCAACAAGGTCACCCAGTTCGGTTCCCTTCCCTCTTTTTCTGTCTGCGGTTATCCCATCGAGAAATATCGACCTCCACTCTTCTTGGGCCAAGAAAGAAGGCTCACCCCGGGTGAAAGCATCAGCCACCAAAAACGAACGGAAGGAGACCAAGATTGTCCGCCCGAATCCTGTACGGTGTGCACTTGCTCCTCGAAGCCGAAATAGTGTTGATATACCACCAGTATGTGTAAGCCAAGAATGTTGTCCTGTTCCATCCACTATTTCATAAAGGCCAAGGAGGGTCGCCGCTGCTAATGGTCCGTCCGCTTTGTTGAACTTGGCATTTCGTAGTAAGTGGGTGAGATTTCTCAATGCAAAAGAGTACATATGGCGACTAGCGATGACTTTACCCTGGTCTTTATAGTGTTTCCCCGCGTAGAGAGTGGTGATAGAACGGACAGCCCAGACCAAGGCGTCAGGTGCGGATCGCATATGATACCGCACAAAGTCCACCCAGTTGATCTCGACGCGGGCACTATATGCCGAGAACAGACTGGGGAATGCGGCCGCGACAAAAAGACAGAAGACCTCTTTCTGCTGCATCTCAACAGCCACGCCTGCCAGGTTAGGAGCCACGACTTCGTCCATGCTGGTCCGCAATACCACCGCCTTGCGAGACGGCGGTGCTACCTGTTGTTTCACGCATTGTCGCCGATCCCGACACTTGGTAGTATTTGTTGAAGAAGAGCTGCTCTTTGTTCTCTCCGAGACAGGGGTATTATTATGAAATTTCATCGGTTTCCGGTATCCGCCACATTCAATACCCCTGGCCTGACAGCGACGGCATTCGGGCTGAGCTTCATCGCACTGCACTTGTTAGTCCTGAGCTTGGTACTGCCATGCACATAGTGGATCATCAGAAGCACACCTTGACTCGGCGCTGCAGACATGTGCGACAGCCATTGCTTCGGGGCACTCCGACCATTGTCGGCTAGAGTGGATCTGGATGGCAACGCTTCAAGATAGGAGATAGGAGGGCAGCAGAGGATACTAGACCTTGGGCCGTCATATCAATATTGCACGAATTATTTGGATCGAGCTTGGTAATCCTTGCATCTCGTAGTGCTCCACGAGACGGGATGGATGGAACTGCGATCTCAGATCAAATCAGGGATCAGGAGGTGACCTTGTCGGTGTTCATCGGCCATCCATCCAATAGTGCTTGCACTAGTCTGCCGGTTGAATCGTAGGCGGTGTGAGAAGGCGGTCTATCTCTGGCGGGAAGAAGCTACCGATAAGAATCATAGCAAATAGCGAAATAACATCTCTGTTGGTCAGCAATGTAGCCTTGAGGAATAAAAAAGACAGCTCTTCGCATTGATCTGTCGTTTTGAGGCTCAAGGGATTCAGCCCTGTCTGTCTTACCGAGGGCAAGCCCGAGGCAGACATGATTGGAATGGACTCGAGTTGGAAAACCAGTCACATATCAATATATCTTGTGATTCTTGATAGCCTCAAAGCAGACAGTGATCAAGGATTGGTGATGTAAAATGAACAATGATATGGAAAACTGCAGGCGCATTGACCGCGGTTTAGTAGGATTTTTGCTAGATGCTCTGCTCACCAAGTAAGTCCATGATGGCGATATATCCGTCTGTAACTCCGTCAAGAAAGACCGGGAATATTTTCCTGAAAAAAAGTACTGAATAATGGGATGATGCCGAGTTAATCTATTTGCAACGGGGAACGTCCAGAAGATTGGCAATAGGCCTAGACTTTGGTAGGATCCCTGTTGTATCATGACGGAATGTGATTTTGGTTGGATAGGTTTCATATTTACATATTGCATAGAGACACAGTAACTGGAGACGGACTCTATTGCGAGACCAAAAATGAAGGGCCGGTTGAAAGGAACTTAAGTCTTTCTAGTTTCTACATAGTTAGCCCACAAGCAAATCCCAAAATCAGAGAAGAATCTTCTTCTGCAGACTCGGTGACGTGTCAATCAAACGGCCTGGTGGTGGAGAAGACATGTGGCAGTGGAGTGTTTTACTGTTTAATAGAGCAGGAGGCGTTCGTCACGATGTGCCTGTTGATGCAATAACCGGTCATGATGGATATCAGATATAAACTTGACTTTCGGGACTTCCGTTCCATCCAGACAACACCACCTGACAGATAACTTGGCAGATGACAGATAGTACAACAAAGCCGTTATCCATACAATCTGCCACTGCAGGAACGGATCGCACGGTAATTTGGTCCAAGCAAATCCCATCCGGTTATGGCCCATCACACGTGCTGGAGGGCAAAGTACGGCTTTCTGCAGAATCTGGCAATTTGTTGAGTGCCACCGGGTGGAGCCGGTCGGCTGGAGCCCTCCCTCTTTGGGCCAGCGGCAGCACCAGCCGCTGTGGCAATACGAGCTGGACGGCCTCCTACTGGCTGCAGCCCTGAGGCTAATGCAGCCGCTGGTCACGCTAGCCTTGGCGCTAGACAGGGATCGTCACGCACTATTCTGGCTAGGGAGTCGTCCGTAAGGCCGGCGGTGGTTTTCACACATCCGCACTTTGCCAGCGGGTCACGGGAGGAGCAAAAGGGAGGGGGGAGAGCAGAAGATAAAGGGTCGGTGGAAAACGGTCGGGCAGGGGGGGCCAAGAAAGATGCTCTGATGAATTATTATTGATGAACAGGTTCCACGCACAGGATTTTTATTTTTATGATTTTCTTATTTAATTATTATTTTAGTTTTAATAATTGATACTTCCTATTTTTTAAACCATAATATCTTTATTCTGTATCAGCATCATTGCATCTACCACGGCACACAATGGCAGAACCGCAGCGAGTCGAACCGGAGAGAGTCGAGCGCGAAGAGGAGGAAGTCTCCCCCCAGATCGACCCGGCCCCGGAGCCTGAGGCCGTCATTGAGCCGGATGTCAGTGATCGCATCACCCCTGCTCAATCCCACACCACAACTGACAACGGCTTCAGGATGATTTCACGGATAATGACTCGACTTACGAGGGCTCGTCAGTTACTACACCATTTTCGCCCATGTTGAGGTCGACTAACAGTCCTCCAGCATTGGCGATGCCAGTTACACAACCTCCATCACCTCGAGTGCGATGAAATACTTGTGAGTCGGTCTCGAGATGGTTCCCCAGCGCTTTGGTTGCTAATTCTCTTAGATACGAGGTATGAGCGCCCTCGGATACGTCTTCCCACCTGGCTCTGTACTGAGACACAGCAGAACGGTCGCAGATATCACGCCTACCACGAGGGAGAATATGTTTTGGTAGGTGCTCCGGACCTTGCCGATCGCATCCGTACTGACACGCCCCAGCCCAACGATGAGCAGGAACAGGACCGATTGGACTTGGTAGGCACATTCGCAGACCGTGATCGATAGCGAAAACGACTAATTTCTCGAAGAGTAACCACATCTACCGCATGTTGTTCAAGGGCGAGTTGCATCGGGCACCGGTGAAGAGCCCGCGACGGGTTTTGGATATGGGAACCGGAACGGGAATTTGGGCCATTGATTTCGCCGAGTAAGATGGTTTCTCTGGTTTCGAGGACTACAAACTGATGGTATCAGCGACAACCCAGAGTCTGAAGTTATTGGTAAGGAAGGACCCCTCGTCATATCCATCGAATCTCTGCTGACCGTTCAGGAAACGATTTAAGTCCGATTCAACCGTCATGGTAATGACCTGCCATACCCTTTCTTCCCCGCTCGACGTATATTGACAAAACGAACGATAGGATTCCCCCCAACTGCCGATTCGAAGTCGACGACTATGAAGAACCCTGGTCCTACAGCCAACCGTTTGACTACATTCACGGCCGTGAACTCGAAGGTTTCATCCGCGACCACAATCGGCTCTTCCGCCAAGCGTACGAGAATCTCATCCCGGGTGGGTGGTTGGAGATGTCCTCGATGGAGGTCAACTCGTACTCAGACGACGGAACCCATCTCAAGGCCACGCACATGATGGAGGCTGTCAAGGGAATGCACGAGGCATCCAGGATCCTCGGAAAGGATATGAGCACTACACCGTCATGGAAAGACCGTATGGAAAAGGCCGGCTTCGTCAATGTTAGAGAGGACATTTACAAGGTTAGTCTACTTCTGTCAATGCCCCTAGGCCAATTTGTATTAATTGCTGGTGCAGCTCCCCCAAAGCCCCTGGGCCAAGGACCCCAAGCTCAAGGACCTGGGCCGTTACCACCAGGTCAACATGTTTGAGGCGTCAGGATCGTACACCTACGCCCTGTTCACCCGCCATCTCGGATGGTCAAGAGAGGAGTGCGAGGTGTTGGCGGCGGGTATGCGCCGCGAGCTGAAGGACCTCTCCCTCCATCTCTACACCAAGGTCCACATTGTGTATGGACAGCGACCCTAATAATCAGGGGTCTATCGCATTATTATTATTATATCTCCCTCGTTCCTAGCATGATTTGGATTTTGTTATATACGCCTGTAGGCTGTTTTATACTCATTCAGTCGTTATAATCACGCAATGTTATATACCTTTGACTACTTTGCATCACATCCAACATGGTACAATTCTGCTGTCGGAAACTCCCCGAGAGCGTATTTTCCCGATCATCGAGTCATGGAGGGGTAAGAAGCAAACCGGTGCTTTTGTCACAAAATCAACAGTCATTCGGTGTGACAAACGTCGATGGCTTTGCAGTAGAGCGCAGGTGGGGTTTCCCAAAGGGCTTTGTTACATGCAGGCCGAATTCCCGGATTGTCAATTTGAGAAAATTTACCCGATGTGGAAGGAGTGAATATAGTCGAGAATTTGGATTTAGTTTGTGAAGAGTTGGTTGCAATTGGATATCGTCAGTACCCCGCAGGAAAGGTCGTATTCATCTGGATACATCACAATCAATCAGATAATTCATCTCCACTGATGATTTGAATTGGACATACTCTGTCATGCAGAGTAGAAAATCTTACCCTGTATATGGAGTAGGCAAATAAAAAGCTGCAATGCAACGCGAACACGCGGAGCAAGTCAATCCTCGCTATGATCCCTGGAATAGGTAAAGTCGCGTATCTGAGCTCTTTGGCAGGGTTGGGAGAAGAGCTTTGACCCTTGGATCGAGGGGCCGATTTGACCGCTTCTTTCGTACTTTTGGTGGTACATCTGTCTAATTATGATACTTATATTCGATACTAGTGAGATCAAAACTGGGATATTCGCGCTTCCTAGCCGGGAAATGCAGTGAGATTCAACATGTACTAATCCGATTGGATGTTGGAAACAGGGCTGTCCATGTTGGGCTGGAATACAGGGAAACGAGTCAGATCTCGACTAGTTGCAGATGTGGAAGGAAGAGGGTGTGTAGATAACAAGATACAGAGGGAGAATGCATCGAATAAAATATAGATGATTATGAGGCTGATCCATCTGATCCATGGCAGATAGCCTGGTCTCACCTGCATTGTATAACCCCACTGCATGCAGCAAATCAGATATGCTCCGTAACTCCAAATGGTATATTTCATGCCCATCATTACTTCTAGGCTATTGTCTGACAGATTGCACCATATCGATGCATGCCTTGTATGCATGAATCCCCCATCCTGTCTTGGAAACTCCCCATGCTGCCACCAGTCCTATGGAGACTGTCGAGATGACCAGACTGCGCTGGGCTGCGACAACAGACTTGGGCATGCCGTTGTCGAATCGTCCGAGTGTTATATCGGCTGTATTTCCTCTCGGGAAGTCGTCGGATGGAATGTCTTTTTCCAGGAATCTGCACTCTTAGTATGACACTTACCTAGGTACTCCGTATAGGAGAACTCACTCGCACAACGGCTCCCATCCATCTTCAACCGTCCACTCCAACAGCCGATCAGCAGGAACAGACCCTCTGACTCGGGCACAATGCTCCTCGTACACGGATTTTCCGTGACGAATGACAGAGCCATGGTAAAAAGGCTTCACCAGATCATCCACAAACTGTCGCTCCCAGTATACATCCGCATTAAACCAAGGCAGAACATGATACAGCATCCCCCCCATCAGCGGGCTATACACATTCACCGCACTCTTATACCACGAATCCACAGCCCGATGATTCAGAATCACCTTTGCCTCGGGATACGCCTTGATAAGCTCAGACGCAAAGACCGCACACGGCATATCCGTGACAGCCTCGCAGTGACCCAGCAGCACATCAAATTCATCACGGGTGATGCCTGACCAGCCCATCTGATATGCACTGTCTGCCTTGATGCCCCATTTCCTGCGCGCAAGTCTCACCCAAGGCTCCCACGTGTTCTGCTCAACAAGTTCCAACCCGTGAAAGACGTGATCATAGCCCAGCATCCGCAGCGCCAGGGCCAGGGATTCAGTGCCAGAGCGGGAGATGCCCAGCGCCAGCACTTTCATCGTTTTTGTGCGTGTTCGCCGGGGGACCGGGGGAACGGCGTAGAGGGATTTTTCGAGAAGCTCCATGGTGTGATTGGGTGGGAGGGGGAGGGTGATATTGCGCCATAATCTGGGGAGATGGTGAATTTATAAGGCTATCTGGTGGTGAGGTGGAGATGAACAGGGGCGTATCAACTGTCGAATGATGGCGATAAAAGTCAGCGGCCAAGTCGCACGAAGCGAATCCTTCCAGCCTGTTTTAAATCCATCAACGGCGTTTCGGCTGTCATTGGCTCTTATTCCGAGCTGTCAAACACTAACAGGGCTACAGCCTCGTCGATGACTGCGATAGGAAGTCATCGGCGGAACTAGATGGAGTGGGCCTCTATCTTGAAACATTATCCCCTGCATTTATTAAGCGAGTTGAACCGGTGACTATAGCTTTTTCTTCATCGTTCTATACCTCCCCATCGCCTTTCTCAGCACCAGAAATGCAAGCTCGCCAGATCCTTCCATCTGCTCGCCTGCTCGTCGTTGAATATCCAGATATTCCTGTCGTTCTTGATCGTCTTCGCCAATACTAACCACCACACCTGCGTATTTGAGTAAAATCGCATTAAGTATAAGACGACACATACGGCCATTTCCATCGATAAATGGATGAATCATGACGAAATCGTTGCAGTATTTTGCTGCCAACGTAAATGGATCAAGAGAAATCTTTGCTTGTTCAATATCAGCGTTGAACTCTTCAATCAACTCTTTCATCTTTTGTGGAACGAATCGAGGCGCCACGAAGTTTGTTGCGCCAGCGGAAACAGGAATATGGCGATATCTACCAGAGTAGCTTTTCCAAGATGTCCCGCCTGCGTCTATCTTCTCGGTGAGTATGCGATGAGTCTCGAGAATGAGGACTTCGGATAGTGGATTTCTATTTGCTACCATCTCTGTGGTGATGTGTTGAAGAGCCAGAGCGTGTTGTATGACTTCACGGCGTTGTATTATCTGATAGGATTCTCTAGAAGATGATTAGTACTGTTATCAGGTATAAAGTGACACTATACCCGTCAGGAATATCCTCTAGATCAACCATCTCTCCGTGAAAGGCCCTGTTACAGATGCTGACGGTTTCTGATAATCCAAGGCCAACTCTCTCGATATGATTACTCCCGTAGACAGCGTGAGATAGATGATGTATAATAGCATCTCTAACGATAGTTAGACCTTGCTCTTTCTCATTGATCCTCTGCTTGACTGTATTGCATAGGAGGGCTGTCTTGTCGAAGAGAGCTTTGGGATCTTTGTCTGTGGGTGGTACGTAAGCCCCTCTTTGACAGTCCATTTCTATGGTCAATCCAGAAGGAGGCCAGCCATCGTGTTGGAGGATGTTAATGATAATATTATCCATTATATTGCTGTTAAGGTGGTTGTATCCCGAGAATAAAGAAAGTGAAGAGTTGAGAACCTCTAAGCTCTAGGCAGCCGTCGATGGGCATTGAATACATCATCGAATCCATAGGTCTGGCTAGAATATCTATATCCCGACTCTTAAATATCAGTATCTAAAATGATATAAAAAGGCTTAATGTATACTGCATAATTATACTAAATTAGGCGATACAAATAGGTACCTATTCATTGTGAGTGCTGATTAGTAGCCAGTGTGCACAACGCCCATATCTACCACCCATGATGAACATAGCAGGTCGTTAAAAATGAATAAATAGAGCGTATAATGGCAATGACAAGGTCATATGATAAAAGAAGCATATATTCCACCGAACTGCCATCTGAGATGACATGATGGCTGTACAATAGCCATTTCCATACAGAGACCAAATAACATATCTGCCTACTTCGATTATGAATGCCTGGGAATAAAGACAAGGCCTCCATAGAGGTGCAACAGTTTATATACTATCCCACATACATACCTATAGTCAGGCGACACATTCCCATGTAAGTATTTGGAATCGTTAATTGACCCGGGTGTATGTCAGAAACACCGTATTAACAATATAGCCAGATTGATGCGATTACTTGCTTAGATGATGCTTTTGTGGCAGCAGATCATTACCTCTTCACGATATGTTGGTGGCTACTAGGTAGCTGTATGCATTGTGAAGCCTGATATTAATATCTAACCATACACAGCCTTAATTCACATCCAAATGACTCTATTCAATTACGATACTCATAAAACAATAGTGGCATTACCAGCCACAGAATATCATGCTGCCTGTGGAGTGTACGTATTCCGCCACACTTGGAAGTGGCAATTGTATAGCATCAGCTTTCATCTCATCCACGTAACTATTATTTAGCTACTTCTACGACTGTTCTAGCAAAGATATTCTGTAAAAAAAGGTGATGCCTGCCTATAAATAGTAAATTGCATCCAGTAGGAAAAATACTCCGAGCAACAAACCGAGCACGTTGACGCCAGGCAGCACAGCCCCCGCGGTCTACGCCAGGTGAAAACCACCCCGCCCCCCTGCGCCAATAACAGATCTTATGCATATTGCTCATACGGAGTCTTGACGGATCGATATCTGATATTAGAGCCTCATCGGTGTGGTAAATCAGATTGCCCGTAAGGCCGATCACACTGGGGTTGCCCCAAGTACCTGCCATATGGAGTCTAGGGCCGCAGGATATATCCAATTTTAATGGTAAGGCTACCTATACGGAGTTACGAGGCTGAATTAGGGTGCTTTGGAGTTATAAAAGCAAGGGATATCCTCTGTTGGAGTAGATCAGTAACTATCTCCAGAGTATCACTCATGTTCATACTTTTATACCCGGGTTTATACTTGAAATATTTACACCACCAACCAATCCTAAAAGATGAAGAGAGAGATAAACGTTTACTGGAATATCGAGAATACTATGACCACCCAGAGTCTGGTTGATTTATATCAAGTCCCCAATGACAAGAACGACCTGAACGAAAAGCTGTCGACCCTGGAATATCAGGCCACCAACATCCTCTCCAAGGCACGCAATGCATTTAATCAGCAGCAAATCCTCGAATTAACACGGATGGAACGAGATACTCTGCGAAAGTTCCTTTTTATAAAGAAATACCGCCACTCGGAATTCCACCATCGATATAACCATAATCCCACCCAGAAATATAATATAAGTGACCACCATCGAATGACCGAATACATGAAAAGAAAACACCTCCAACACCCTGAAGATATCTGGTTCGATAACCTTCGCGGATTACTAGATCTGGATCTGGAAGATTCCGACTGGGGAAGAAAGATCATGAATAATATCTATCCTGATGATGCAGCTTTCTTCATTATTCAAGTCCAGGGGAGTTTCATGGCTTTCTGTACGCCCGAATCAGTGGATGATGAGTTTGTCATGACTCGAAATGCACATATTGCTGAGGGACAGGAATATCACAGCTTTTTCCCAATATCGCCACGGCTGATGATTATCCTGCGGAGTAATCTGCTGCGAGATGCATCTATCCAGAAGAGATCTATACTTGACGATCTCCCCATCCAGGTCAGCCGTAGTTCATACACAGCACATGTCGACTGGAAGCCTCTTTCGGAGCATCGTTTCTTCTTTTCTTGTTTCAAGCTATCGCCAACACACGTTTCTATCATAAATCAACTTTTGCGAAATGAACATACGACATCTATTATACACGATTCAACATATACGAAAGCATCTGCAACGTATTTACGAGAAGATAGAGGAAGGCGCCATTCCTCAAATAAAGGGAGACTATATGAGCAGAGGGTTAAGAAGAATACCCCCAGTCCTGGAAGAAGTAGAAGAGGGAAGAAGTCATCGAAGCTCCATATGGCACAGTATGTGGCTATCAAGGTTGGGAGTCAACTTATCCAAAAGAGGCATATGCTTCAACTATATCAACTCTTCAGACCCGGTATGTTCCCTTTCTTTCACCTACTGCCTATACTAAGACTGTATAGAAGCCGCGATAAAATCACTCTGGCACGACATCGACCAAGCCAGCAAGATGGTTCTGATGAGGATAAAAACCGACGTCGCTCTCCATAATTCTTCTCTGTCATACACTGAAAAAGAAACTGTCAAACTGAATAGACAGAAGCTATTTATGAATCTGCCTGCTGAGCGGGTTTGGCTGTATCTCAAGATCTGTCGGAATATGTCCAAGTTTGACAAGGACGATTTCAAGATGCAGATTTCTGCTTTGGAGATTGAAGGGATTGAGGATGGATATGCAAAGTGTGAGTATTATATCCTGTTTGATAGTGATGAAGCTGACGTTTGTAGTAATTGGCGATTCTCCAAAGCAGGAATTGATTCGGGACATGTATCTCCATGCTACGACTTAATCTATATAACACTATATAATCTACTCTACAAATGCACCTTTTGAATATGCTTCAATCTCCTCATCCCATACCGCGTAATCCCCAACGTCCCAACCACACAGCACAAAGTCAACACTCCAAATGCCATCTCACTCTCCTCCGAGTAATTGACGACATTCATACCGTACAGACCCGCCACGAGCGTCGCAGCTGCGAGCCCCAGCATGATAATCTCAATCTTCGCCTCGAGAACCATGATTTGATTGCGTCGGACGTCGAGGATAGACTGTGTTGTTTCTTCTGTTCGTCGGATATTCCCTAGTAGACTGCCCACAGACTGCACAACGCCATCACTAGCTTTGTAGTACGCTTCAAGCAGATACTCGACGTCCTGATGGTCCTGGATGGCGTGTCTCTTCCCAGCCCGCTTATCGCTGAGATACATCTCCGCCATGTCTTCGTCGGTGTTGAGCAGGTCCTGGAGCGTACTGCGCACTTGCGTCGCGCGCTGCTCGATATACGCCAGTGTTCGTGCAAGATCCAGCAGACTGCGCAGTTTCGAATGAACAAGACTCTCCTCCTTATCCAGCGTCTCCAGCGTATCGACCACCTCCTTCTTAGCCATGACATACTCCGCCTCCAGCGTGGAAGTAACCGACGCCAGCGCCGCCTCAAGCACACGCAGCTCATACGGCAAGTTAGCAGAAACGCCCAGCCCCGGATCCCCCCGGAGCTTGCCCTCCAGGTCGTGCGCGAAAACCCGGTGCGTGGTGATATCCTCCCGGCGGCCCGCGGTGTCATTCACGTGGAACAGCAGCACCTGATCCGCCTGCACGAGGAGCCGTAAATTAAAGAAATTAATCAACATCGTCGATTCCCGGATGAGGATTTGCGGGAGGCCCTCGGATGGGAGATCGATGGTGCGGAGATCGCGCGCGTCGAGCCCGTATTGGCGCGCGATGTCGAGTTTGGTCTTTTGCGTGCGGGCGGGGAGAGTGCTGTGCTGCGCGGAGTAGAGGGTGCAGTGCATTTCGACGTTGCCGCTCATGCGGGTGCGCGAGAAGCCCAGGGAGAGGTCGAAGAGTTCGCGGGCTTCTGCGGCATCTTTGTGGTCGGGGATGGAGGCTGTGTGGAGTTGGTGAAGTGGGCGGATGGTGAGGTTATTGCGGAGTGCGGGGAGTGGTTGAGGTGGTTGTGGTTGGAGTGGTTTGAATGAGGGTGCCATTCGACATTTCCATGGCGATGGATGAATGATACGGTCGGATATGAAGCATCTGGCGTGTCTGATGATAGAAGGGCGCATTGTCGATGTGTTGATGATGATGTTGTGGCGGTGGTGAAGTTGAGTTGTTGTTGTGTCGTCATGATCAACATCGGAGATCACATCACGACAGATAATTATAGAACAGATCTATTCCAACCAAGGCTCATCCAGAATATCCCTGGCTGATGCCCTGCTAGACGGCTCAAAATACAGCAGTCTTGCAACAATTCTTCCCAACTGGACGATATCCTCCTTTGTCAAGTCCTTATCCCTCCCATCGAAATACACCTCTTCCAGCCATTCCTGCAATCCAGTTCCTTCTGCACTTCCATCGTCCATTGCCTTCCATTTATCCTGCCATCGCTCAGGCAGAGCATCACTGGCCGTTTCTAGCATTTGTCCGACAAGTATCGGAGGCGTCACCATGAAACTGTCAAAGGGGGGTTGGCCAGTGAAGAGCTCAAAAAGCTATACAATAGATCAGCTTCTACCTAACAGCTTTCAGCTTGAGTATCCATACCAGACAGCCCATACTCCACAAGTCAACACGATGATCCAAGAGATCTTGAAAGATAATCTCTGGTGCCCGCACTGACATTGGAGTATGCAAAGTTTGAGGCGCAGTATGCAGGAATGACTCTCCAAAGTCGACAATCTTGATGGAAGACCGTGAATATGCCTCATGTTCCGCAGGCATCACGATATACTTTGGAATACCTGCATCGAACGCTTTTCCGTCATTCCTTTTGACTTCTCCGATCTCTGGTTGCCCAAGCATGTTTATGAATTCAGTCTCTGATAGATGATTCATGCACGGCATGGTAAAGGCAAGATTGCGAGTATGAAAGTCTTAAAAGTCAGATATGCCATATATTAAGAATGAGCACATACCTCCATGTCCAATCTTATGCTGATGCAGCGCATCAAGACCAACGAGAGCCTGCTTTGCAATAGTTTTGGCCATCTTCCCAGAAAGTCTTATACCAGCATCAGGAATATTAGGCCCCAGAATCTCGAAGACGAGGCATTGATGGGTTCCATTCGGGCCTTGTACAGTGAAATCATCAAGCATGTGCACGATATTTGGACTGGGATGAGTTGATGCCGATTGCTTCATGACTTGAAGTTCTCTGTCATGTTTTATTTCTGATACAGATATCTTCACAGCGACGTATGCTTCCTCTCTAAGCCCATGTTAGTTTATTCCAGAAAGGGAGTCAGTTATACAACATTCGATCTTGTGCAGCCCACACTGTCGAGTATCCTCCCCATCCCAGTTTATGCAGGATCTTATATCGGCCGTCATTCAAGACATCTCCCAAGAAGACAGGGTGATAGCCTCCTTTTCTATAGCGATGGATAGGCTCTGCGTCTATGGTAGACGTATACAGGAACTTATCCATTGTCCTCCTGGCTCTTTGAAATCTGGAATGAAGCCTCGACATGATATATCAGTCAATGTTTGTATTCTTACTGATGAGTCAAACGTGCGCGAGGCTGCACAATCACGTGTTTAGACGGGTCAAATATAAACACAGCAGAAATGCGGTTCTTTAAGGTCCAAATGATGTATCATAGATACCCAACACGACTTAAGCTGATTCATTCGAGTGCGCCGAGTCCGAAGACGAGAGAGTGCAGGTCGAGAAGAACTGGATTATTGACGACTTTGATGAAGATGATTATATGCAAATTGGTATAAGCTATGGCTGGGTGTATATGCTCAATCGTGATGTCTTCATCAATCAATAAAAAGGTACATCACAAAGATAAAGGTTTTACTAGTGATGTCGGGTCGGTCCATGAGGCGCGAGTGGTTACCGATAGTATCCAGATATCTACAATAAGCAGCAGTAAATAAGTATCAGAAGTTTATTATAATATAGCACCACTGTAAACTCCAAGTCAACTAGATTGACCCCCTAACAAGCGGAGTAACCTCATCCTCAGACCCCAACCCAGCAATCCGCATCCCAGAACTACTTCTTATCTCCCCAAACATGACTTTCAGATTCTTCAAATCCTCCGGAACATTCTCCCTTCCACCCAGACAGCCCTTGGCAGCTAGATCACTGAGCCTATCACTCCCTCTAGTCGTACACAATGTTTGCAGTAGTCCGCCGGTACTTGCTGAGATGCCGTTGCTGACTAGAGCGTGTCCGCCACCGATGGCAAAGGCGAGTGCGATGGCTAGAGCGATGAAGTAGGGCGTGATGAGTCTGGCTGGATTTGTGAAGGAGTAGATGTTGACGAGGATTGTTTCGGTGACGAGTGCCGAAGTGGTGGTTTGGTTGAGGGTTAGGGTGGATAGGGTGATGTTGTGGAGTAAGTCTTGCATGGTGGATGGTGTGATGTTGAATGTTGGCGAGCGGATTGGGCCGGAGTAGAGGTTGGACAGGTCAATGATTGTATTTGCTGATTGTTGGTTGTGCATGACTGTGTCGTTAGTATTTGCTGTATAAATAGATGGGATAGACTTACTGAATATATCGATGTATCCAGCGAGAGCCAGTGCCAGCGAGTCGTGGATTGCAGCCAGATTGCTCCTCCTGTTGATATCCATGATATTCCCCCCATTTGCTCCAACCGAAGTGTCATTGACAACCCCTTCTGACCCTCCATCCTTTGGAAGGACCGAGTTGTCAAAATACAAAGACGAGGCATTCAATTGCCCATTCTGGCGAACATGGGTTGCTGTCTCCTGCAGGCCTTTGTGATACGTCATGTTAAACGTATAGACAGAATCATACGCAACACAGGTAAGATTGTGATACTCCCCGTCCTGACTCCATTGAAGCTGAATATCAAGAGCATACTTGGAGCTATTCGTTCTCGCCGCAGAATCGGTTGACGCGATATACAGATACGGCCAGTCCTTAGTCCGTGGATAAGTGTTGTTGACCCAGGAGAGCAGATCGGGGGATGCATAGTCATGGCACTTGAAGCTGGGTCCGTTTACTTCTAGTGTGTAGGAGCAGTTCTGGCCGCATGGAGATGGTGATGTCAGATATCTTCCTGCGAGGATGGATTGTCGTGCGATCCTGCTGAGTTCGTTTGTGGGTGCACTGTCAATGTTAGTATTTATCTTTATATACAGAGGGATACAAACCTGTATGCATCAAAATCATCAGCTTGCCAGATCGCACTATCCATCATCCCATGAAACGTCCCATTCCCCGTAAAACTAGAATCAAAAGTCGGCACGCTCTGGTTATACAGGGTATGCAGCATCTTCGGCTCAACCGTCAAAGCACCCGGAGGGAAGATCATAGCGACGGGAATTAACCAACACAACAGCGCACAGAGGAAGGGAAAAGGCGCTTGCGAGATGAGACTAAACCGACCGAGATAAAACGGGTTGGCAAGGACGGAGAGGAACGAGTCAAGGTCTGAGACGCGCATTGCTCGCACGCGGAGGTCTTTCCAGAGCATCTGGATGAAGGCGATGCCCAGGGCTGCTGTGAGAAAGGTGCGGAAGCCATTTGCGAAGACGAGAGAGAGGGCCGTCACGTATGGCTGTCTGATGGTGTCGTTGACTTTTCGTTGGTCCAGCCAGTGGAAGAGGCCGAGATGGCCGGCGGCGAGGGCGACAGCTATACAGATCAGCAAGTCGATATAGAATGAGGTATAAGATGTAAACATACCTACGAGGAAGCAACTGATGATAGCACTCGGAGTCACCCATCCAATCGACCACTGTGAGTGGAAAGCCTGGCTCTCTACAGGCGAGCTCAGCTCGGATGACGATCGAGTTCGTTCATCATAAACATCTTTTTCTCTCGATGCGCGATCAGCCAGGGTATACTGGTGTTGCGACGACATTCTTGTTGGCAATCCATGGCGTCCAACCATGAAATGAACACCTCTTTATATCCATCTGGTAGGGGGTTATTCCATGCGGCGCAGCACTGTGCATTATCTCGAGCAGGGTTGATTGCAGGGAATCAAGTGGCACAGTCCACCGATGGAGCTGAGCAGTGGGCCAGTTTCATTTAACCCATGAGGCTTGATGGTCGAGCCTTGTCTATCCCGGTCGATCAGCAACGGATTCAGCCTTTCCGGGAGAGCCTCGCGTTTCAAAGCGGCTTAGAGAGAGGATCGCAGGAGCCCCCATTGTCTAGCTCTGGTTTAAAGCGCGAACTAATGCGAATTTAAAGATTGGGGGCGGTTATCTGGCAGTCGTTGGACATCAAGGCGAAAGAGCACGTCTCGCATGTGGCCACGTTGGCTACGAAAGGGATAATCAATCTGGTTTATGTTAGAAAAGAAGGATTAAATAAATATAAGGAATGGGGAGCAGTAAATGTGCGCTGTACTCTGACTTTATTCTTTGTCTTGGGCTTCCATTGTGTCGGCTTCATGCAGCTACGTTACGGTTTCAGTCCAGTTTATAAAAGTAAAACCGCACAAAGAAAAGAACGCCAAAAAGAAGACGAAAACAAAGAAAATAAAGGAGAGAGAAAAAGAAAGGTAGGGAAAAAAAAAAAGTTATCTCATGATCCCCCGAACCGGAATCGAGCCGGTGACCTGTCGGTAACAATTTAACATTACAGCCGACCGCCATATCCAACTAGACCATCGGGGGTTTTGGAGATGATGACTGCCTGCATATTTGGCCTCATAACTCAAGCTATGCTATATACAATATCACTTCTCTTCACTCGACGTACTATGCGCTACTCTATGTCGCAATCGACCAGCAGCATCATGTTCATCATCCCACTTGGCAATCTGATCATTCGGCACTTTAACCAGACTATGTGCGGTCGCTCCATCGTCCAGATGCAAAATACTCTGTCGGTATTCGTATCCACCGTATCGAGGCAGGATCTTAATCCACACAAAATAATAAATAGCACAAGCGCCGATTCTATCTCGTTAGTATTATAATTTATTATAGTGAGGTAAAAGGAGACTTACATTCCAAGTCCAACAGCGCAGTATGTCGCGTACCAGAAGCTTACATCGCCTCCGTTGGCCCCGGTCGTAGGTGGGTACCACGGTGCGATCAGCATGTAGAGATTGGACAGAATGGAGAAGAGGACGGCGATATCCCAGGCGCGATATTCAGAGCGAGGAATGTTGAGCTTCTGTCGGCGATATCGTGTAATCACGAGTCCGACGGCGAGGAGAAAGTAGAATGCATTCGCGGGATACATGCTTAGGTCGACGACTGATTCTGTTAGATCTCACCCACCGAGATAGAATGATGAGTAGGGTGACTAACCAAAGTTAAAGGCATCACCAGCCGGTGGTGCCACGATCATCACGATGGTTAGTAGCCATTTGATAAAATACGGGCCCAATGGAGTTCCGAATGGTCGGGTTGAAGTCCAGAATTTTGTCCAAGGGAGAACACCTTGCCTGTAGAGAGTTAGATAAAGATGACTGAAAACGAAGGATATACACACCGTCCGCACTCTCGCAACATCCGGGATTGTCCGATCAAAACAGCCAACAGGTTACCAAATGCGCAGAGACAAATGAGAAAGTTCAATGCTCTCGATGCACCATTAGACCCAAACACTTTTTGAAAGAAAATGCTGGCAGCCACTTCGCTAGAGTTGAGGATCTCCTCTTTCGAAGCTGCGGCAAAGTATCCGATCATGGCTAGGATGTATAGAGTGGCTGTGAGTAGGAGAGATAACGGGGCACTCCATCGCAATGTTTTGATGGGGTTCTATCAGGTCAGCTTTTTCTGTGTCTATAAGATAGTGGAGACATACTTTGACTTCATTGACGACGTTGAACGCATTTTCATATCCTGCGTAGGAAAACATGACTTTCATAAAAGCATTCGTGGCTCCGTATGCCGATGCCGATGCGCTGCCTTCGAAAGCATTTCGGAAGTTGAGTTTGGGATCTTTGACGGCGGTATGGCCACCGAGTACGATCAGGCCAGTAATGGCGATACTATACAGGTTAGATTTTATATGCGCTGTGAGGTAGGAGACATACAAAATCAACGTGATGAGTTTGATCACACCAATTGCATTGGCAAATCGCATCGACCATTTCGTATCGAAGACCAAGACTGTCGATATCAGCATTGATTATATATTTCATCAAAAAAGAACAAACCCAATACTGCGACTGTATACGAAGCAACGGCAACTCCTTTGAGCTTCCAGTCTGTATAGTCTGATTCTGCCAGTTCAAATAGATATTGAGCCAGCACTGAAAAGTCAGCATTGATTAAAATTAATGGCCGATGTATACATACCAACTGCATTGCTGCTGCTGAAAGAGAAAATCACCGTCTGGACTGCAAACACCGTCGGAAAGAAATATCTCGGTCGAGGATACGATTGTTCCAGATATACGACCTCAGATCCAGATCGACTGGGAAAATACGAGGCGAATTCCATATAAACGCACAGCGAGCTGAATGCCATCAGGTATCCGATCACCCAGTAGATCAGACTGAGTCCGACTGAACCAGCTCCTCGCAGAACAGATGATGCTGCAAACGTCAGATGTATTCACCCAAGATATGCGAAATACTCACGCGTCGAAAAAACACCAGTTCCGATCATTTTACTCAAATTGAGAAAGACAACTGTGATGGCACCGACTGAATATCCCAACGGCGACTCAACCTCGATCGGAGCACCACTGGCCTCTTGATACGTGAGTTTGGACGAATTCGCTCCTCCCTCTGCCGTGTATTGCAGACTGCCAGCATCGATAACGCTGGCATGGTCGGATCGCTCATCACTCTCGGAGGTTTGTTCTTTGGTCGTGAAGAGAGAAAAGCCCATTGTGGCGATGGACGAGGGAGGTTGAATCGAGTGGGATATTCATCTCGTTGGAGTCCCCGCATTATTTATCTCAGTGTAACATGCCAGATGTCGGATGCTCATCGCGGAATTTAATGACGTGATTGAGTAGGCTGGATGGGAATAAATCCAAGATAGAATCGATGTCTGCGGAAGTAACCTTGAAAAAGTGGATCGCATGTCATGTCGTCAGAACGATCCATTATCAACTATTCAGATGTGCCTTATTACTGTATTTCGGACATATAATATCAGCTAAGTCATGCAAAGATGGGCGATAAGAAGGTTGTTGAGATGCATGTTTGTTATCGACGATGGCACGATTGCAGGGAAGTATCACCACATCCGAGGTCAAACCGCCCGTTGCTGTCGCCATTCGCACCGGTTTTTGGCCTTCAGCCCGGCAATACGTTCAATATCATTTGTCTTTGCCAGATATGCATATTTAATCTTTTGTGGCTGGCGGAAATATGCAAGCCGAAAATACAAGGTTGGTAGGCTATTTCCATCGCGTCCAGTGCAACAACGGCCTCTCCGACCTCGTGCCACATCGTCGATTTTACGTGTTTTGCAAGATAATGAATGGTTCCAGCTCCGACGCGCCTGATACGAACCTGGTTATTGCATCACATATATTCCAAAATCTATTAACATGCTCCCAAGCCTCACTAGTACCTTGTGAGGGGGGAGAAAGAATATGAGGGTATATGCGGGGGTGATCTCCTCATCACTCGCGTTTTCTGGACAGGTAGACGACGGTGAACACTCGATTCATTCTCAGTGCTCATGCTTTGAGGTCGCATGGATATTGCCTTTCTACTGCTGTATGCGGGGAACCGCAACACTGAGACACGATTGTGAGAGGCCTCGGACGGCTTCTCTTCTTCAGGTAGAATAAACATAGATACTCGAGATATTCCCGCGCTTCAGCATTATTCAGTCCGTATGGGAGAGTTCTTAGACTCTGCTCAACAGTACATCTGGGATAATCCGAGTATCTGTACCTAGGGCTTCGTCTAGCACTATTCTGGGAGGTTTCGGTTTCGTAAGTCATGGTGAGACAATTTGGTCTAGAAACTGTTTCACAGTTCAGTGCCGCTTTCCACCCCGTTCCGATTGTGTACTTTTGGCCATTCCTGGACTGCTATAGGCTCCTAGTATACCGATATCTTGCTTTCCAAGGATAGCATTGTTCCTTTGTGACTTTATATCGGCCATTTGCGTAAATCGGTCTCAGCCGGCTGTGCCAAGTCGGGTCTAGTGTAAAGAAAGTCTGTGAGAGCATATCTATCCTGCACCTTGGTACGTCGATGAGCATAAACTCATAACTGCCCATTTCCGTTCTTCACGTAGGCGAAGTGTATACTTGGCACTATACAGCAACATATTTTAGTAACTGTTAATGAAGATATCTCTCACCTCCCGTTTATACTGATTGATACCTGAACAAGGCGTTTGTCTCAAACAATTAGATGGTCTTCGGAGGAGAGCACGCAGTTCAGTGTGAGAAACAAAAGTCTGCTGTTGTAAGTTATTAAATCGATTGTGGATTCATGAACGGACTCAAGCAAACCTACTGTATTTGCCCTGCAAATTCCTGGGATTATATTCATCCTGTCTCGAATCGCGTGTCGCGGGGTTTGCTTCCTGAATTTAATATAAGTGTTCTCCGCTTTTCGGCGATGTCGAAGCAATGGAGGTGAACGATAGGTATCTGGGAATTTAATTGCCAGTAGCATACTCAGACTGCATCTTCGTCCGAGTGACTGGTAACTGGAGTACTCCATCCTTTAAGATATAAACGTCGAGGCTGACAGGTGGGATTTGAAAGCAATCACCAACGGCGAGCTGACAGGCTGGCTAGTGAAGGATGAATTCCATATAGAAGTGTTCTGCTCCTGGCGTTCTCAGTGTGTCTTGAACTTGAAGGCTCTGTTGTGGTGTTGATGTCGGCCTTCACCTGACTGTCCTGTTTTGGCCTAGCGTCTCCCACCGCGAACCCCCTTCTCATGTGAATACCTTCAAAAATCACTCTCTCGCAACCAAAGACTTCTCTTCGCTGGTTCCAGGGTCAAGTTGGGCCATTTGCGTGGTTGCCCGATCAGGGATTGATCCCGACAGGCATGACAGATGATCATCCGAACCGATTGATGTGAGTGGGCTGTTGATCTGCATTTCTCCTCATTTCCAATAGGCAGCATTAGACATCGATTTTGAATACCAGCAGGTAATGTTCTGCTGGTATAGGGTGTGGATGCAGTTGCATCATGCTTCTTGCTGATTCGTGATGCTGTATATATTTCCTCCAACTCCGCTAATTGGGTCTTCATACCTCTTTCGCCAACTTCCACTCCCCAAACACTACACCCCGATATGCCTCTATTTCCCCTCACATTCTTCCTCTCACTCCAAAGTGTAACTTGGTCTGCTTCTCCTTCAATCCTACTGCATTCTCCGCACTCAATCAATCGCAGACAGCCTATCACATCCGGATTTATCTCGACAGATGATGTCTTGACTGCTTTCATCTGGCAACCCGTCACTCGTGCCAAGTTGCCTTGACTAGCACCCGCCGAGGGGTCTTAAATGATGAGTATAATATGATATAAATACATCAAGCAGTCTATGCTAGATATGACGAATAGTAACTTTTACACGCACCATCAATCAAATGATCGTCCATCACAGCAGACACAACCGTCTGATTGACAACATCCTGCCCACCCAGCATGAGGAACCGATCACTTGTTGACTTGGGCCATCCCATCTCCTGCAACCCATTCTGTGGATCCTTTGCAAAAGCAACCCACAAATCCTGCATCTTCTCACTAACGCTCTTCTCAAACGCCGTATCAGGGCCATAAAACTGCCCAGAAGTGCCAAAGATCAACGGCAACTCGGACGAATGGAACGCCCCGAGTCCAGACTTGGGCGAACTATTGGTGAAGTTTCCGCGGTATTGATACCGGTATGTAGTCAGGCCTAGAGCGTCACGATGGGCAGTCGAGTATGGCACTGGACATTGAAATTTGGAGTAGGTGGTTTCTTTTGCTTTGGCGTTGTTGACGCCGCTGGCGAAGATGGTGCCTTCGTCGAGGTTTGAGCCGAAGAGAGCGGGTTTGTTGCTGACTTTGTTGGAGAGATAGCGTTCTGTGTAGTTGTTGAAGACGACCTTGTCGTCGATGAAGGGTTTGAAGGTTAGTTTCTTGCCGGCAGTTGTGCTGAGATAGGCTGTGATGTTGGCAGCAGGGATAGCACGCAGACAAGCCAGTTCATGTTCCGCTGATCCAGAGCAGCCAAAGTGAGTGGCGACAGAGGTGAAGTTGGATACATCATCCGTGCGATCTTCGATGGTCAGGAACACGGACCCCGAATCCTGGGCGAACCCCTGGACGATGGGATCGTCGGGATAGGCAAAGTTGAGGATATCCGAGCTGCCTGCACCGGCACTCTGGCCCCAGAGAATCATCTGGTCCGGATTTCCACCAAAGCGAGCAATGTTCTTGTGCACCCATTCGATACCAGCGCGTTGGTCGAGGATTCCCAGATTCTGATCCTTCAATGCCCCAGACCCGGGAAATCCGAACATATTCACACGATACTGGATGCTGACGACGATGTGTTCCTGCGATCTCTCAATCCAGGGAGCGGGGATCCAGGCGGGGATATCAGTGCCAGAGAGAAGCCATTCGCCACCGTAGAACCAGATAATGACGGGGAGGTCTTTCTTGCCGTTATTCGGGGCCCAGATGCTCAGCTTCAAACAATCCTCGCTCGTTCCACCAGCGATGAGCGTGTCAGGAGAGTAGATTCCAAACGGTGTGTTTGCGCCGGAACTCTGCGGACAAGCGGGGGGCATAACGGTGCCATTGATGAGACTGTCATGATGCTCGACCGGTTGCGGGGGGAGCCAGCGGAGATTATCAACAGGCGGTTTAGCAAAGGGGATTCCTAGAAAGTGGCGGACATTAGGATAGCTGCTATTGACGCCTCCTTGGACGAAACCGGAGGAAGTGTCGATTTGGAGATTGGACGCGGCAGCTCCTGCGGCGAGGAGGGCGAATATAGAGGACTTCATTTTTGTGGATGTTCAAATGCGGGCGCAGAGACTCCTAAATAACATTCCATCTGTCGAGCTATCGGCTTCAACGTTGTATGCGTCACTTCAGGTAGTGATCTCGGAAATCCCAGCTCGGAATTGCCGGACATGACGATGGTAACCTTAACCGAAATGACTCTGGCGAAGTGGAAGTGGCAGAAGAATACTGAGGTTTATTCAGTTGGTTTATTCATTGAAGGTCAGTTGGTTACCAATCACTATTATCTGTTTTTTCATCGCTTGCATCAAATTGAAGTGGATGTTGTCGGTATTTGGGACATTTGCCACGATGTGTTGACAATATATCAGTCGCGACGACAAAATCAATTGAGTGTATTTTGTTTCAAAAGAAGCTCAACTATTATCGATCAGATTCTTTCCCTGGTCGAATATTGCTGGTTGCATCAGTGATGGCTGGAAACCCCCAAACTGCATGCATGCATGTTATATGCACGTGCCGTACGATGCACGGAATATGCATGATGTGACATCTAGAACAAAATTAAGTGCTCAATCCAAATATAAGCAGGTGAGTCATTTTCAATATAATAATCAGACATTTATTATGGAAATGTGAAACGGATTGAATCAGGAGAAAAAAATATGGATGAACAAACGACGAGTTCGCCACACTCAACACCAAACCACACCAAACAGTCAGCCACGTGGTGCCACCTCCATCTGCTCATCTACCGATATTGCCATATCACCATGCCCATGTGTCTGAAATGTCAGATATTTCTGACTTGCAGAGGGAGTAAAAAGCGATGCAAATCCAGCCAAGCACGCGCCCAGCTACCAAGACGGGAAAAGCTGCTGTTCTCAGACTGTTCCACGACAAAAGAATATCTTGACTCGAGGTTCTTCAGCACCAGTAGATGAGAAACGTGCTTCTACTCTCTTTCTGATTGGCTGATAATGCCCGAATTGGATTTGACAAGCCAGGCGCAGTCCTTGGCGGGGATTCCAAGACTCGGCGCCAAGTCCGCTCCTCCATGGTATACGGAGCGGGAGTATACCCAGTGGCCAATGTCGGATGGGCATGAAGACACGATGGTCGTGCTGTCTGTTCTTATTCGAGAAGTGAGCTGAGAGGTGGTGAACTCTATTGATCAACTACCGTGCAGGATGACTTGGCGGGGAGGATGTGCGAGAAATGTCCGTTCGATCTATATAACGTGCTGAGTTCGCTTGTATTTCATCGAGTCATCCATCTTTTCTTCCTCACTATTAGCCATAATGATTCCGGCAATCACGGCCAAATACGACTGGATCCTGGCCTTGACCAGCATTGCCTTTGTGGTCAGTGCCTTTGGCAACGGGGCCAACGATGTCGCCAACTCGTATGCCACGTCGGTGGCTGCCCGCACTCTGAACATGTACCAGGTCGGAGCACTGGCGTCCATCACTGAGTTCGTTGGAGCTGTTGCATTAGGTGCACGAGTCACCGATACCATCAAAGACGGCATCATCAACATCGACAAGTTTCACGGAAACCCTGGGACGCTGATGCTGGCCATGGGGTGTGCTGAAGTGGGGAGTGCCAGCTGGCTGATGCTGGCCACAACGTGGGGATGGCCGGTATCAACGACACAGACTACGATCGGTGCGCTGGTTGGTGTTGGCTTTGCAGTGCAGACGAGTATACACTGGGAATGGACCAAGGGAAGTGTCTCCCAGACGGCAGCATCGTGGGGAATTGCTCCGTTGATTGCGGCTGGTTTCTCCTCCATCATCTTTGCCACAGTCAAGTACTCTGTCTTGGAACGAAAAGACTCGTTCAAATGGGCGATGCGTCTTATCCCCGTCTACCTCGCCACTACCGGTGCCATTCTTGCCCTCTTCATCGTCGTCGAAGCCCCTACTGCTCCATCGTTGGAGGAATTCGGTGCCAGAAAGGCAGTTGGAATCGTCCTGGGTGTATTTGCGGGTTGTCTCGTTGTCGCTATCGTCTTCTTCATGCCATACTTCCATCGCCGTCTCGTCAAACAAGACCCCCGTGTCAAGTTCTACCATGTTCCTCTCGGTCCGCTGTTGCTTAAGGATGACTGCCGCCTCTACTTCCCCGGCAAAGGTGACAACTTCGTCACAAACTACTACGAAGACGCCTATGGCGAAGTACGAGCCGGACAAAAGCAAGCACAAGACAACGCCATCAACGCCCAAACAACCGAGAAAGCACCTACAGACACCGACATCGAGCGAAACCCTGCCTCCGTCGAATCCACACCCCGTATCCAACCGCAGCGCAAACACCTCGAGCCAAACGAGCGCTTCCTCGATCCCGTCCGTGATCTCCCCTGGCACAATCCCCTCAAAGCATGGGGCTATATCAAGTACATTCTGCTACAAGGCGTAGCCCGCGACGTCGTCACCCACGACTCAGCACACCTCCGCGCCATCCACGCCCGCGCAAACCGATACGACGACCGCGTCGAACACCTCTGGACATACTGCCAAGTCGTTTCCGCCATGATGATGTCCATCGCGCACGGGTCCAACGACGTCTCCAACGCCGTCGGTCCCTGGGCAGCCGTGTATAGCACCTTTCGCGCGGGCAAAGTCGACACCGACTCCCCCACCCCCGTCTGGTTCCTCGTCATCGCAGGTCTCCTGCTGGGTACTGGATTCTGGTTCTACGGATACAAGATCATGAGGGCGATGGGCAACAAGATCACACAGATGTCACCCACACGAGGATTTGCGACCGAGTTGGGCGCTGCTATTACCGTCTTGCTGGCGTCGAGATTGGGACTGCCGGTGTCTACGACACAGTGTCTGACGGGTGCTGCGTTGGGAGTTGCGCTGATGAATTATGATCTTGGTGCGGTGAATTGGAGACAGATTGGGTTCATCTTTCTGGGATGGGTGTTGACGTTGCCTTGTGCTGGGTTGATTGCGGGATTGTTGTGTCTGATGGCGTTGAATACGCCGCATTTCTAGCTTATCTGATTTAATGTATTGTAAATACTTCCTTAGACTTGAATGAAGATAGATGGGTATACCTCTATATTAATGGCTGGATAACTAGGTGTGTTGTTGCCTGAAGACCACTGCTGCCTAATAACCGAATCAGGCACACAATCTTGGCATATAAAATCTGAATAACTTCACTTCACTTCATCTTCTCAACCCATCCCAACCCATCTATCATCATGCCCCAAAAAATCGCCCTGGTCAGCTGCAGCACCAGGAACCCCCGCCTCAACCCCTTCATAACCCAATACATCCAAAACACCCTCACTCCCCACTTGCCCCCAACCCACACACTAGAGATAATAGACCTAGCAGACCAACATCTCCCCCTCTACGACGAGCCCGCAATTCCCTCAAAGCTGCCCCCTGATAACCCCACTCCCCACTATGTCCACGACCACACAAAAGCGTGGTCAGCTAGGGTATCCCAGTACGACGCATTCATCTTCGTGACGCCCCAGTATAACTGGAGCATTCCGGCTAGTTTGAAGAATGCGTTGGATTATCTGTACTATGAGTGGAAGGGGAAGGCGGCCGGGATTGTCTCGTTTGGGGGGAGAGGGGGTGGAAAGGCGGCGGATCATCTGAAGGGGGTTTTGTCGGGGTTGAGGATGAGGATTGCGGAGACGAGTCCGGGGTTGGTGATTCACGGGCAGATGATGGATGATTGTTTGAGCAATGGGGAGGTTAAGGCGGAGGATAGAGAAGAGTGGGAAAAGGCTGGTGTTGCGGGGGAGATTCAGAAGATGTTTGCAGAGGTGGTGGCTGAGATGAATTGATATATGTATATACTCGAATACTCGGACAATGCAGTTTACCACTCCATAATGATCTTCCCCGCTCGCTTGTTCATAGCATACTGTATATCGTGCAGCTTCCATCAAACGCAACATGTACTGAGGAGAGCTCAATGTGCCGTCAAAAGTCTGGTAATCCAGTTCCCCCGAACGCTGGACGCAGGTCTCACGCTATTATTCCAGATCTCGGTCAGATTGATAGGAAGGGGTGAAATCGATCTTACTGAAAAACAATAATTGTCCAGATAGACTGCCTTGAGTTCATAGAAAAGGGTGCAGAAATACTCTCGCCAGTTGAAGAGGAAGCAGAATCTTTTGTCGATCCGCTCCCAAACCAGGTCCATTGGGATCATATCTGTTGCACCGTCACCAAAGACCGCCAGGAGCAAGGGGTGATATCCTGGCTTTCCACACATATCTAGTTTCTCCTAAGATCAGCCTGCAAGAGATGTTAAACAACACACGTTTTGCCAATGGAGGGACCTACATCTGCTGTAATCCTCAGGTGCGACAGTGCCACCACCCTCATTGAGTAGGTAGTATGCAATTATACTCCATATTTCAATGGGAGGTAGAGTTGATAGGACTCGCCCATAGGGGTGTGAAGAGATGGATAGAGTTTAAAAATACCTGACGAAGATATCTAGAAATGGTTGCAAGGTGGATGAACACGATTGAGAGAAGAGGATGACTAGGTATATGCAGCTTCATAGAAGCAATGGATGCTTCGAGAAACTGTCTACCCCTTTTTTATGCATGCTGGACCAATAGAAGCTCATTCGGGTTTACTTGTGATATGTCAAATCCGCTTTGATGCATCACAAACAGTGAGCAATCCATTGTACAGCGTTATTTCTAACACACTATAATCAGTATATATATATGTGTGTGTGTGTTTTATTGAAAGACCGTTCAGATTGCACTTTTCGACAACCATATGTATCCACGCAAATGATTGATAAACACTAGATGGTCCATCCAGCCTTCATGTCAACTGATTAATATATTGGCCTCATACTATGTATCTACCACTCAACAACTACCCTCCCACTAGCACTATTCATCTCATATTGCCTCTCATGCAGCTTACGAATAACACGATCTTCATCCAGCCTTTCAAATCGTCGAGAAAAGATGGTCGGACCACCGAAAGGGTGTCGGGGGAATTGACCTGACCTGACTCCTAGTCGATATCGGCGGTCTCTTCTAGCCATTAACAGCCGACCATCATGGCCTATTTCTGTTGTTCGTGCTGCCTCCATCAGGGTGGACATGGCATAGGGTGAAGTCATGCTTTCAGAGTCGATGGAGGGGTGGTTATCGAGTTCCCCTGATAACCGGACACAGCTGCGGATCTATCCTTGGTTAAAATGGATATCTTATAGCTAGGGAAGGCATACTCACCTCTAGCAGGTCACTCCACTCGTCTATATATTCAAGGTCATAAAATAATGTGCAGAAGTACGTTCGCCAGTTGAAACGAAAGCACAGATTGCCTTGGATATAACGCCATCCGATATCCATTGGCATCATATCCGTCAAACCATTGGCAAACCTCATGATCATGAAGGGATGGTAGCCCGCTTCGTGAAACATGGATAACTCGGTTTCTAGGGCTGACTGCCATATAATCAGCAATAATATTATATACAGAAATGGACATACATGCATCTATCATGGGCGTGTGTGGTATATTTAGCGCAATCTCCGAACTGGCCATAACAGCCGTTTGACTCTCATTTCCCTCAAAGCGACTGAAGAAAAAGTCTTTCTTGAACGGAATGTACTGTCGATCAGAGGTTGTATGGAATTTCTCCGTGTCGACCATCAGGCACATATGCTGCAGATATTCTTTGATATAAAAGTCCTCAACCTCTTTCTTAAATATCGAGTTCAATGTTCGATATTTCCGCCATGACAGCCATCTGGGCTGGTCGGGCATGCGAGGGAGGTAGTATGCGATTATAGTCCATATTTCATTTGGAAGGTAAAGCCGATCGGCATTTATGGAGGTGTTTTTATGCATCTTGATAGAAGCTGATAGCGTTGAGACCAACGACAAATATCGTATTTGTTTACGAGAAAAAGTGAGGAAAAGGCATAACCATGGCAACCACTAGTCGTGCATATGTACCAGTAGCAACTTTTATTCTGATATACAAATCCACGTTTATATTTGGTGTGGATATCAAATATACTTATTCAATAGTACTTTGTGCTCTGTGCATTCGACAATAATTTATAGTTCATGTATGCCATCTGTTGCTCTCCTACCATTCAATAACCGCTCTTCCACACAGATCGTGTATCAGCAGTTGTTCTCGGTGAAGCTTTTCAATTACACGCTCTTCATCAAGTCTCTCAAACCGGTGATCAAAGATGTCTCTCGTATAGGGACGTTCCCGGTATCGCAATTGGCCCGATTTAAGTCCCAGTCGGAATCTGCGGCGTCTCCCGGCCATTAACAGTCGACCATCATGGCCGATTTCTGTTGTGCCAGCGGCATTGACCAGGGCTGATGTTGTATATGCAGATGCAAGACATTCAGCGAGCTCTATAGATTCATGGCTGTCCAGTTCTCCTGAAAGCCGAACACAGCTCTTAACCTGCGCAGGCCTTTGTCAATATGGCTACATACGACCGAATAGATAGGACATAAACCAATCTCACCTCCATATAATCACTCCATTCATCTGCATCTTGCTGGTCATAAAACAAGGTGCAGAAATATTTCCGCCAGTCAAATAAAAAAGAGATTTTGCCGTCTATATGCTGCATCATTAGATCCATTGGAAGCAGATCTGTCACCCCGTTTTCAAAGACCATGATCATGAATGGATGATAACCAGGCTCATTGAACATTAATAGCTTCCTTCTATATGCTGACTGCAGTCTATGTTAAGTAACGAATAGTCTCATGTCCAGGGGAGGTGAAAAACCTCTATAGCTGGCGATTCCAACTGATTCTCACCGTGCGTGAGTATGGCAATTCGGCCCTTAGAATCTTGAAAGCGACTGAACAATAATTCTTTGATCCCAGGTGCCATGGTCAGGCCGCCATAGACACCTTCGCATTCTATGTTCAAACATATGGGTTCCAGGTAGTGCTGAAAGTAGTAGTCCTCAATTGCCTTTTAAATATCGAGTTCACCGTCCGATGTTTTTGCCATGTCAGCCAACTGGGTTGATTGGGCATTCGAGGGAGGTAGTATGCGATAATCGCCCAGATCTCATTTGGCAGGTAAAAGTTGCTTTGCTCCATGGCGATAGAATATCGATGGTGGTGAAGTGGTGTTGAAGATATTCAGAGCGAGGACAAAGATGTGGTCGGTAAAGGGAAAAATGGTGTCTATGGCAACCAGACACGAATATTATGCAGCTATTCTGTTACAGAAATCTGTGCTTCTGAACATTTGTTTAAATAGTACTTTGTTTATGCTATTTTTATCACTAACATCATGCTAGACCAATAAGATCTGTATATATAATTCAATGCATAATTCATAAACACTATGTACTTCTACATATTCCATCCCATATTTACTTATATACACCTACCACTCAAGATACCCCCCAGCACTCGTACAATCCATCTGCAACGCATGCAATTTATGCGCAACACGTTCTTCATCCTGTCTTACAAACCGCTCAAACAGCAGCCTGGATGCATTCGACCGAACAGGAGGCAACTGGCCAGACTTAACACCCAGCCGACATCTCCTCTCGCGCCGAATGAGATGAAGTCGACCATCCAGGCCAATCTTGGTCGTCCCTGCAGCACGCATCAAACCCACCATTGCACTGGGAGATGTGGATTCTGCCCGTGTGCATGGGTATTCTTGGTGTAGTTCGCCTGCTAGGCGGACGCAGTTTTGCATCTGGGATGGTGTTAGTATGCGCAGGTGATAGGTAGAAAGGAACGCACTCCTATTTGTCGATTGAGTTCATCGACGGCTCGTAGCTCGTCGAATAATGTGCAGAAATATGTTCGCCAGTCAAAGATGTAGCTGAATTTGTCTTGGATATAATGTTTGTTGAGATCCATAGGGAGCATGTCTGTTGCTCCGTCTTCGACAGTCATGACGAGGTATGGATGATATCCAACTTCATCGAATTCACGCAGTCGCAGCAGAATATCACGCTGGGATGATTAGATCGGACCTATTACAAGTGTAGAAGAACAATACCTCAAATTCAACATCAGCCCAGGTTCTCTCACCCTCAAAATCCTCCTGCAGAACGGCAAATCGCCCCTGAGCATCTCCAAAGCCGGTGAAATGCATATCTTTCATCATGTGACGCTTCTCATCGCCCACGAGGACTGTCTCTTCACAGTCTAAACTGATGCTCGTCCGCTTGAGGAAATGCTCAATATAATACTCCTCAATTGCCTTTTTAAACGTCCAATTTAAATGCCGATGCATCACCCACGGCTGCCATCTCGGCTGATTAGGCATTCTAGGCAGGAAATGAGCAATCATCGCCCATATTTCATTGGGAAAACTGATCTTCTCTTCTATTTCAGCCATTGCCATATCCTGTGTATGTTGAGTCATGTTGAATGGGGGAGTTGGTGAATTGTCGAGTCGGAAATCCGGCCATCCTCTCGCCTCTTGATAATACCCATTGTGTTCGCCACTTTGTCCATCTTTTCTGCATTGGCTTTAAATTCGGTAGTTTAATTCGGTTTGGCCTTCGCTTGGGCTGCTTGATTGAGAATATTTTTCCGGGCGTACCAGATGGTCGTGAGTTTGGGTCGAGGAACCAAATTGTTGGGTCGGGGTAGCCGGTGGCAAATACAGTTATCTTCGCTGCAGGGTACAGAGCAGTATGAAAATCACGTTAAAAAGATCAAACGATCTTCATAAGGCTGATCACAAGATGTGGGGGATAATAGATGCAGGTAAGTAGCAGATATGTTTATTTGCCACCGTCAGATCGAAGATCAAGGCCCGACATGGCAATATGGTATGCACCATGTACCTTGCATGCATACAATGGGTGTTTATCATTTGTAGAATGCCAGAAGGGATGGCTATAAATATCCCTTACCTGAAAGGGCTTCGAAATGAGACATGGTATATTCGTTTACTTATATTGATGCAATGCATCTGCGGATGAAGCCGATAGTCTATTTTATTGTTACACAGCCCACAGAATTAGAAGTTGGGCAACGCATGTCGTTGAGCTGTCTATAAAGACAGGGTTGGGCAGATGCCCTTGGTTCTCTATCGCAGGATTTCAGCTCCCTAGGGATGATGGCCAATGCCGTGTGACGGTCAATATGGCATCAACCGTCACCCTGATACTTTACATCTTCCTATTTATCACCCCATTAATACAAGCAGAGCGCAACCATCCCCTCCTATCCGACTTCGATGCCCTGGGCACATGGTTCGACGGCGTCGCGGCAATCAACCACACAAACAATGAAACACCTGCATCAAAAAACACATCCATCGCCATCGTCGGCGCAGGAATATCCGGCCTAACAACCGCCCTCCTCCTCGACAGCGTAGGCATCCACAACTGGGAAATCATCGAAGCAAGTAATCGCGTTGGCGGACGAATCCGGACAAAGTACCTCGGGGGAACGGAGGAATGGGCGGAGATGGGGCCGATGAGGATTCCGCACCGGGTGAGGTATGAAGATGGCGAGGTGGTCGAGTTTAGCGATCACAAGATGGTGTTTGAGGTGGCGGAGATGTTGAATGAGATGAATGGGGTCGATGGGGAGTGGAGGGTGGACTTTATTCCGTTTGTTGAGCATAGTGAGAATGAGCTTCGGGGTGGTCGAGATACGAAACGGCATACGGATGGGAGAATACCGACACGAAAAGAAGTCAAGACAGATCCATCGTTGCTGGAATCGAGGCCAAAGTCGGAAGAATACGAACGGACTGAAGCAGCGATGGGCGAGATTCAACGAAACAAGACTACCATGAAGCATATCCAGAAAGATGTACACCGTGCGCATCGCGCGGCCATGGATGAGGGCCTCGATGACTGGGACCAGCAAGGAATGATGCATCACGTCTTCAACGCCAGCGCGAACATCACTGACGAGATCCTTACGGCAAACTTTCAATCGTCCATCTGGGACACGATGTACTTGTACGCACAATTCGGTCTGGGCGATACAAAAGACGAGCTGAGCATCGAATGGAAATGTGTGGATGGAGGATTTAATCGTCTGGCAGATGCGTTTCTTCCGCATATACGAGATCGATTGACGCTGAATCGGAAGATACGGAAACTTGAAGCTCTCCAAGAGGGAAACAGGGTGAAGACAAAGCTGTCGTGGTATCCCAGCGTTACAAACAGAACAGCCCAGTCTAAGGAGTACGACTACACTATCATGGCGGTCCCATTCACAATGACTCGATTCATGGATCTCCCCAAATTCTCATCTGCTCTCGATCGAGCAACCAGCGCAGGTGGACTCCGTTTCGGGCCAGCCTGCAAAGTCGCCCTGTTATTCTCAGAACGGTTCTGGGAGAAAGGAGAAAGGCCTATCTTTGGGGGATACTCGGAGACAGTCGATCCAGCCGTGGCAGCATTACACTATCCCGTGTATGGATGGAATCAGTCTCGCCCGGGGATAATCTTCAGCTATCAAGATGAATTGTACGGCGATATTCTCGTGAGCCTGTCAGATGAGGAACATGTGCAGACGGTGCTCGACTCAGCGGTTGATCTCCACGGTGAACAAGCAAGGGATCTGTATACAGGGCACTACGAGCGTCTCTGCTGGTTGCAAGATGAACATACAGCGACGGCATGGTGCCATCCAGACGTTGGCCAGCACAAACTGTACATACCAGCGTTTCATCGAACGGAATATAACACCATCTTCATCGGGGAACATACGGCGGTAACACATGATTGGCTTAGTTCGGGGATACTGTCGGCGGTTCGAGGGTCGATTCAGCTACTCTTGGAGTTGGGGTTGGTGGATGAAGCGAAAGAGTTGAATCGGAGATGGATGGGGCGGTGGATTAAGCATGAAGAAAGGAAATGATTCATTGTCTCGTTAATAGGGCTGTCCGTCTAGTCCAAAGGATGACTGCTATCATCATCAGACTCATCCAACTCAAGTCGCGCAGCTTCTCTCTTCTTCTCATCCTGGACAGTCTGATAATAACCCTGCAGACCCTGTCTCTCACTCTCACCCCCCTCACCTCCTCTCGAAGCCTTGAACACCTTGAACACCCTTACCAGCCCGAAAACCACCATAACAACCAACATCACCTGCAACCCAAATCCCACCTCTCCCCCACAAGGGCTCTCACACGCCTCCTCAATAAGTCCGAGCACAAAATCACAATCTTGACCCGCCATATCGGTGTTGAACTGAAGAAGATTCTCGCTCAGCCCGTGCTCAATCTCATCAAAACGGAGAAACTGATTGGTATCTCTCGAGCAGAGAATGGCCATGTTGTTTGCGGCGACGAAGAGATTCGGTATGGAAGAAGTGTGTCCGATGTTGTTTTTGTTTCTGGATGGATCGGGATGGCGGAACTCGGGAGGGACGGTTAATGGACGACATTGTGACGATGATTCAAGTTTTGCTTCTGAAGATCGTGGGATGATCATCGCGGTTGATTGCAGTATACACAGCGCGAATGTGAGGAAAATCAGGGGAGTCATGATGATGTTTATTGTATGACTTGATATAATCAATATATATAAAGTCGAGTGATGGATTTAGGAAGTGAAATAGCTCTGCCTAAATACCCGAATAGCAGCTAATCAAAACACTCCCACCTTTTAAACCCTCGCATGCATCCTTGCAGGCATCATGATTCGAATATACGAAAATATGCTACACCCCGCCAAGCCTAAACAGTGGGCCTATCGGGCCTTTCCATGGGTCGGCCGTAAGCACCGCGCATTAGCGTGAGGCTAGCGCGGCGCTAGCAACGCACTTTATACACCACAGCCACGCGGCCAAGAAACGTAATGGCGCGAATTGGGCACGAGTGCGGAGGTAAAGATGGAGTTAAGATGGCGGATTGGTAATCGCAGCAGCCAAGAAACAGTCGTTATCTATCAGGATTCTCATTTCTCAGGTATCTTTTCGTGTCTAATGCAACCGCCAAGTCAGAGCTTTCTCCCCACGCTGGGCCCTCCAATAATTACTGCTCCGGAACAAGTCGTCACATCCCACTAGCAAAAACCCCCATTTGTCCAGAAATGCCTCGGTCATCTCCCAGTTGGCTGGGTCCCATGGCTGTCCCCATACTAACATGGTGGCACGGGTATTGTGTGTATCCCAAAACGCCATCAAATCGTGGCACAAATCCTCGTCGTCAATATCGTCCTGCACCGCAATGAGATTATCCCTGAAGGTCGGGAACGGAAAGAAATCCAGCCACGGATGGTGCGGTATTCGTCGCTGCATCTCCGTCGGACGAAGACTGACAGGGATGTTTCCCTCCGAGAAACCGGGAATCAGCAGCTTGAAGATGGAAATGGAATTATCGTCCTTCATCCACTCCATTGTCATCCCGATGGAGCGTGTGTTTTCGATAATCGCCCGTTGAACGCCCACCTTGGATAAAGTGAGAAGGTGGTCCGTCTGGGGCGAGTTGGTGATGTAGCTGGTATACGCCATGGTTTCGAGTTGACGCATCAGCATGTCTGCGTGGGGCGGAGCGGAAGTGCAGACAAAGCCCATGTCGGATTTCGTGACTCGGATAGGCATGGCTGCTGTCAGCTGTTCTTGTTCGCTACGCTCCAGACGCCGTCGTAATCCTACACCATGAGTGACTCTTTAGTATATAGATGTGTATTATAAAAGGTAACATACGATAAGTCCTTTGATTCAGTCGGTTCTGCAATTTTCGCCGCTCGGTCCGGTCAATAACCCCCGTCCAGTCGTCTTCCGGTTGTCGCACACCCGCTTGCTGCGGCATCTGCACCAGTGGGATGTTATTCTCTGACGCCATTGTGGAATGAATATGCAAGATGATTATGGTGATCGTTGGACTCGAAGATGACTTTTAAGTAAGCGAATGGGAGCTGCCTGGGGGCGACTCGACCAAGAGAACAAAGCTAATTGCTACCTGTGATTGATATGATTGGTGGGATATCACGCTAATGCAAGGTACTTACTGTTGCTAACCGGATCCGGTATACGGCCGATCCAGACCCACATGCCTATTGAAGAACTGCGGATGAATTCCATGTCCAAAGACTATATTTATATCAGGATTGAATCTGTTTCAATAGAAGCATCGTTCCTTCAGGCGACAACATAAAATGGCCTTCAACAAAGTCTACCTCATCATCGGCTCAGCCTCAGGGATGGGCCTGGCAACCGCCAAGTCCCTCCTCAGCCAGGGTGCCCGCCTAGCCGTCTGCGATATCAGCGAATCAAACCTCGACGCCCTGGTCACCAGCCTCCCTGCCAGCCAGCAAACAAACATCTTGGCGCGAGCTGTCGACGTGGTTAATGCATCGGTCATCCGAGACTTCCTGCAGTCAGCAAAAGCACACTTTGGCAGATTGGACGGCATTGCCAATTTCGCCGGTACCCCGGGCCATGAACTTGGCACAGAGGGTATCTGGGAGACATCTGTGGCTGAGTACGACTACATCATGAATGTGAATGTTCGGGGGTTGTTCAATGTGCTGAATGTGGCGTGTGCGCCTGGCTTCATGGAGGATGGAGCGAGTATCGTGCATATCGGGAGTATATTCTCCGTCCAAGGCTTCAAGAACGGTGCTGTCTTTGCGGCGTCAAAACACGCAGCAGTTGGGATGATCAAGAGTGTAGCTAAAGAGATGGGAGAGAGGTTGAGGGTTAACTGTATTCTGCCGTGAGTATATCCCATCTATATTGGACGATCTATACTGACCCAACAGTGGTGTGATTGATACACCCATGCACCAGGCAAATCTCGACCGTGTCAAGGACTTTACACCGACTGCTCCCACGCCGATTCCGAGATCTGGCACTGCGCAGGAAATTGCCGAGGTGGCCATGTTTTTGCTCAGTGAGAAGAGCAGCTTTGTCACTGGCGTTGCGTGGAATGTGGATGGAGGTGCAATTGCTTAATCTGTAAAGTACTTTATTGAATGATATGTCTAAAGGATTAATGACGATAATGTTACGTATAAACAAACGAAGACAATTGTAGCAGAACATCAACTTGGTTGTCAGCCCGCAATATGCTTAGAGGTACCAAGCAATGGATAAGCACCTTTTACCATCCACTGCTGTTTACATTAGGCTGTGCCCGTTTCACCCTGCAGATCATTCGCGGCTCCTGTCATTGTCGATCGCACCAATTCCCCGAGTAGCCACTTCAGTCTGCCTTGATTTCCTTTCAACCTAACTATCCAGACGCGATCTGTATTCTTCCTGGCATTACTATGAAATAACTCTACGTGAAACCTGTAAAAAGTCCTATTTAAGGTATATTGCATTTTCAGACCTTTTCTTGATCGTGGCGTTGATCCATCCAGAATAGATGTTACCCTATAGAGGGACCCTATACAGTCATTTACAGATAGCTACTATTGAATTTTGACTCAACAATCACTATTAATTAATATAGTCTAATATAGCAGTATCTGCACTATGAAAATGCCATGAAACATTCCTATTCAACCCCGCAGTGCCATGCATCCAGTTGCCACGGCAATCAGTATACCTGCATGGAGCAAATAAAACACATCACCGCCACTTCAAAATGAACTTCCTCCTTCACGAGCATCAAAATGGCTTCTTTCTTTCTATTAGCGCTATTTACAGTGCTAGCCTCTGGTCTCGCAGGGGCACAATACCCCCTCAAAAGTGATGCAACCCTTTCCGACGCTCATACTCGGTCGTATTTCTACGCCGGCGGACAGTATACCCTCAACGACGATGGAGAATACATCTTCACCAACCAGATATACGTGGAGAAGCTCACACCAGAGAAAGTGACGAAGCCGTATCCGATTGTTTTCATCCATGGACAGGCGCAGACAGCTACAGTACCTAACCCTCCCTCATTCCAAGTGCTGGGAGTCTAACAAAAGCAGAACTGGCTAAACAAACCCGACGGCCAACCAGGCTGGGCTTCATATTTCCTCAAACAAGGCTATGAATGCTATCTCTTTGACCAGACATTCCGGGGCCGCAGTCCCTGGCAGTCGTTTAACGGGGAGTTGCAGACGTACTCGACCAAACATATCCAGCAATTCTTCACAGCGACGGAGAAGTACAATCTCTGGCCTCAGGCGTCGCTGCATACACAGTGGCCGGGGTCGGGCGTGATGAATGATACCATCTTCGATGCGTACTATGCGTCGACAGTCCCGTTTGTGGATTCGGCTACGGCGCAGGAAGCTGGTGTGCAGAAAGCAGGGGCTGCGTTGTTGGATATTATCAAGAAACCGGTGATTATCGTCGGCCACTCGCAGGGAGGTGTCATGACGTGGTTACTGGCGGATCAACGACCGGAATATGTGCATTCGATTGTTGTGATTGAACCTCAGGGACCCCCGTTTCAGAATGTCGGTGCATGGAATGGGACGGCGAGGGTTTATGGGCTGGCAGATATCCCGGTTGCCTATTCACCGCATTTATCAGACCCCAGTGATTTCGTGAAGAAGACCATTTCGTCCAACACGACTGAGATAGCAGAATGTGTTATCCAAGCCGACGATCCTCCTCCCCGGCAGTTGGCGAATATCAGCAAGATCCCGGTGTTGCTAGTGACTACAGAGTCGTCCTATCACGCACAGTATGACTGGTGTACCGTCAAGTTCTTACGGCAAGCCGGAGTGAAGACAGAGCATCTCGAGCTGAAGAATATCGGCATTCATGGAAACGGACACATGGTGTTTCTGGAGAAGAACAGCGATGTCGTGGCGGCTGCTATCCAGAAGAGAATGGAGGCTTTATAATGTATATACTAGTCCTTCAAAATCAGTCCATCCTCATCGACTCTCTGCGCCCATTCGGTCCAGCTCCCATCGTAGATTCTCTTCGACGGCACATTCATCCCAATCTCCGCCATCACCAGATCCAGCACTGCAGCTGTGACGCCAGAATTGCAGCTCGTGATAGTAGGTTTCCTGCCATCCACACCAGCCCTCTCGAAGATCTCCCTCAATCTCTCCGTAGGCAAGATAGCATCCGACTCATCCAACATTGCCGCAAGAGGAATATTAATCGCCCCAGGCATATGTCCCGAGCTCAACCCAGCCTTAGCCTCACTCTCAACCCCCTTAAAGCGACCGGGGATTCGGGCATCGATAATTTGAATCTCCTCAAGCTGATTCTGAATGAGCGATTTCAGCTCGTCAAACGCGATAACGCGACTACTATCACCCACATGAAGTGGATATTCCGTCTTCGGGCGGGGTTGCATATCGCCCGTCTCAATGGGAAAGCCCAGCTGCGCGTACTGCCGGAAGTTATTCAAAACGTGGACTCGCGCGTGCCCGAAGAGCCGGAATGTATACGCCACTCTGGGGGCGCTGTAGATGCCCACGTGGAAGGCGTCGTAGACGACAATAACATCGTCTGGGTGGATGCCTAGGTTGCCTATGCTGGCTGCGAAATGCGATGCGCTGGGTAGCATCTGTGGATATGGGGAGGTGGTGTCTGAGATTACGTCCATGTCGAAGAAACTACATATCTAGTTAGTTATGGATATACGAATAGTTGGATATTAATGAACGCACACTGAACCTGGCAGATGCCGTTCTCGGAAGGCTTCGGTGTGGAGGGCCGCCCGACCGGCAGCGACGGGGATGATGCGGGCAGAGGGGTTCTGGATGGCTTCATGATATTCTGAGGGTGATATTATTGTGTTTTGAAAGGGATCCATATTGTAATCTAGACTGTGAATAGGAACAGGTAGTGTGGTGGTGTGGTGATGTGATGTGGAGAAGTGAAAAGAGTCAAATTGGCCTAATCAGGCATATCCGATATCGGATGTACACAAATCGTTCTTCTGCATATATCTATCCATCATGCTAAGGGCATCCATAATTCGCACGATACATCTGCTGCCACATCGCAAGGCCAGGCGATCCAAACCATTCACCTTCTGCCGGCTTCCGATCGTCTAGTTCAAACCCCTTTTTGATCCTTTCTTCGTCAAACACCGCCGTATGGACGATGGCTTGTGGAACGGCACTAAAGTAGTTTGGATGGGCGTAGTTTTTGTAATTAATGTTATCGAACTGGTCGGTACCATGGATCGATATCAGATTGACGAGTTTGTTATTTGCGTAGATACTGGACACGTAGAGGCGTTTCAGTGCGGGCATATTCTCGCCAAGATAGGCGAAGATAGTCTTCCACGAACCCGAAGTTAGATGAACGCCGCCCAAATGGAGATCGTCAATCTTTGGATGCTTGGAGAGGAACTTGAGCAGCGAGTCTTCAGACACGTAAAGACCGCGTAGGAAGACCTGCTGCAGTGCTGGGAAGTGAAGATCGGCAACATCCTTGAAGATCCGGGCGTACGACGATCGATCACCATGGACAGTCGGGCAGAGATGCAGATCGAGGGCTTCCAGTTTTGGCATCAGTTTGAGCAGCCGTGCAGCTCCTGGGAAGTTGTCTTCGGATACCGCCTGGGGGTCTTCTGCGGCGTTGAGAAACTGTCTTCTTCTTCCGGAGGCGTGGAGGGCGGGTCTATCGTTTTCTGTTTGTGATGCTTCTTGCATGAACCTGTGAAAGTCGGTTTCCACTTTGGTTGAGAGACTGAGGGCGAATTCTCGGATGGACAGGGCTGACGAGGCTTGCATGTCTGGTGTGGCCATGTGCGAGGTGATATCGCAGGATGCAACACTGCATCGGGGTGTGCATCTGAAGATGGTGAGGGTATCGACAGCGATATTGCTTCTGGCTATGGCAGACATGGTGATAGCATATACCTGCGACGCCCTCATCCAGTTTGCATTCCATTCACTCTCCGATGTTGTGACTCTTTCATTTGGTCCCTGCAGGACAGTCGCATCGAGGTCAATGCTGTCGAAACTTTTCCGATGTCTGAATATCGAAGTCAGAGATTGGATCGCCGTCTCTGCAGGAATCGACCGCTGCTTGTCCTCATTCTGCAGCCAGTCCAGATCGGACTGTGCTTGTTCGAGCTCCGCCTGGCTGCATTTGCGAATTGTGCTCATAGAGAATACTCCTTGTTGTTGTGATTGACGTTTCTCTTTACTGCGTACGATTTCCTGCAAAACAGACAGGTCGCAGATGACAGCCGTGATGGTCAAGTCTTTCACAGCAGGACCGAAAGCAGGATGCGATGCGAGGTCGGATAAAGACTGCAGACTTCCTTTTGTCAGATCTGTCGTCTGCTTCTTGAAGAAACTCTTGAAGCGAGGACCGATGCATTGTCGACTGACGGTCTTGTTGGTCAAGCGGAGAGATTTGATGCTATCCAGATCGAGGTGATCGAGGATGATATCCAGTGCGATGGAAGGAAGAAACTCGAATCTGGAATTTGCAGTCATTTTGAATATTTGTGAAGATGGATGATGAGGCGACACAGCCTCGTATAAATAGACTGCTGTTAGTCATTGTCGACGATCAGGCTGTCGGGGCCATTTTGGGAATGGCGTGAGGCTGAGTTCTATATTTATTCTTGAGTATTTATATCATTTGATTGAATATAAATATATAAATAAAAAATTAATGTTAAGAATATCATCTAGTTATCACTTTAATGTTTATAGAACTGACGTTGTTGAGGATCTCTAATAGTATTTGAAATATGTTATTAAATCATAGGATTTCCATAGTTCCCACAGCCAGTCTAGAGTCTAGAATCCTGTTCTCTATAGTTATCATGTTGCGTGTGAATGATATTATGACTGTTTAAAGTTGGATTCTTCATATCTCAGTATTGTCGTGACTTCACCACCTGTACCCCTGATATTTAAACACCGTTCGAATGATTCCACAACCGTCAGAACAACTACAATAATGGATGCAAGATTCGAGGCTCTCGTCTGCCTCGTCTGCGGGGATGGAATTATGCAACGTCAGAGCTGGAGAACGGACTATAAATCCGGACTCTATCGGCTCAGTGAGTGCATCATCCAACAGCCATGAACCCACTGATCAGCAGATTATTACGTCTTCACCGAGTCGTGGCAGATCTCCGGAATTGGCCAACACCTGGTCGAAAAACACTCCTACGTTCCGTTCGACAAGGACCTTGCTGCTATTGGATATTACCATGACGAATTGGCTGATCAAGAAGAAGGAATCCTCGGGTCCCTGTCACTCCAGGTGACTTTGGGATACTAAATAATTCATTGGCAATGCCTCTTCATGCGCATTGTTGGTGTTTTGTAAAAAGGATAGTTGGCCCGGTTGAAGGCTGGGTTCTTGGATGTCTTGCTGAGATGTTCGTTTAAAAATTGCCAGAAGTTGAAGTCAGTGCATTGTTGCATCGGGAGAAGGATCCTGATATTGGTAAGATTTGATCCGAATCGACTGATGCCCTGCTCATGATGCTAGATCCATTGAGTATACCGATGATATCAAGGGCGATTCGCATTAGCCGGCGGCGAAGAAGCCGCAACATCGACAGGCAAAAGCCCAAAGTCGAGTCAGAACCGTCTCACCTTCCCCTCGAGATCCTGTATATGGTTCTGGATACGATGAATGCGTCGGGTGTATCCCCCCTCTTAACTGTGGTCCATCTGCCCATTCCCGATCAATACTAGCAGTCACGAGCACCAAGGGGGTTGATTTTCGAGCTCGATCAAATCGAAGCAGACGGCCGCTACGACTGGGAGTATATATGCTTGCAGCTCGAGCATTTCTTCGAGAACATGAACCGATCCCTCTGGACGATGTGGGCAGCGCGTTGTTGGAGCGGACGAGGATTATGAACACCGTGCTGGAGGCACAGGAGGCGACTTTCAACACGTTGGAGATGCTGCAGGGGATAGGGGCGAGAGTGAACTGTCACAATCCCCTGCTTAGTCTGTTGCATTGTCCAAAGCCAATCAAACAGTGAATAGCATCTTCTCCTACATACGACCATTTAGGCCTTCTGGAACACTATACTTCCCGAGGAAAGGTTATATTATATGAAGGTCATGTCGACTGCCATACCAGTGACTGTTCTTCGTTACACAAGGCAGCAGAAGAGTCCAGAGATTTGCAATAGATTCGTAAGTCTGCTGAATGCTTTCAAATACCAAGAAATCCAAATGACATTGTCAGTCTTAAACTTTCATTTCACACTAAATGAACTGCAGCTGAATAAGTATTCCTCAAATGACAGATGAAGATGACCAATCAGCAATGCCGGGCAACATTCTTGTTGATAAAACATGCCAGATGAAAGCAAGGCAATTAAATGTTCTTCCGCCACAATCGATAGTCTGACTCGATCGCATCCCAAGTGGGACGGTGCGTTGGCGAGCTGAAGATTAGCCTGGAGACTATCGCGATGGGATCCACCCAGCTGAGATCCTGCAGCTGGCAGTGTCCGCAATAGGAAAAAGGATCAACGCAGATTAGGCACTGGTCATGAATTGCAGTATTCCATTGGATCGATATCGATTCATTATCCACCGTTCGTCTGCTTCGTGGCTTCAGCTGAGTTGATCAAACCTTGTTGTAGCGGTGTGACTGTATCTCTATATAACCCATGTACCTGCCTGTTGATGCAGTGTCAATCATCTTTGCATCCTTCTTTGAATCACACAATGCAGTCTGTCGAAAGTAATTCTCCGTTCTCCTTTGAGCCGTATCTGCTCTCTCCTCTTGACCATGCTGTCATTCCTCTGCCCATGTCTGTTCTTATATCTTTTGAACTAAACAGTCCCATCAAAGCAATCCGCATACTGGACAAAGGCATTTCGTCTCTTGTTCACCGACTCCCTTTTCTTACTGGCGATCTTGTCCTCACGCAAGTCGACAAGAAGAATATCCTTAAACTACAGCCTCCTGCTTCTCTGTCTACATGTCCTTTACTCCAAGTCAAACATCATCCATCAGAATATCTATCTCATCCCAAAGGGACTGGCAATAAATTCTCCTTTGATGCTCTCGACGAGCAAAACTATATCCCCATTCCGCTCGACATCCCACCAACACAGCCCCAGCCTATCCTCCGATTCCAGGCAAATGTCCTGCAAGATGGAATTGTTTTGTCTGTCATCTTCCACCATCTCGCCATTGATGCTGCTGGCCTTCAGAGTATTCTGACGTATCTGGCGGCGTGCTGTCGTGCTGCTTCATCAGAGAACCAGTCTATCAAGTTCTTCACAAACCCAGAGAAAGAGCAAAAGGCACGAAATCAACTGTCTAGACTGGCCAACGAGACAGATCCGGTTGGATACAAAGGGCCATATGAAAAGACATCTTCAGAGAGCTTAGATGGCCCAATTGCTGAAAATGCAACACAGCGACTGGTCTTTCCAGCAGAGAGGATAGAACGCATCCGCATGGCCTGCATACTGTTATACTCGGAGCAGACAGCATCGGATCCGTCTTCATCTCCCATCAAACTATCCAGCAACGACATTGTGACCGTCTTAATCTGGCTCTGCGCAGCCCAAGCAGAACATCCTGTCCCTCACCAACCATCCCCATCACTAGTCTTCCTCGTCAACATCCGACCTGTCCTTCAGCCTCCTCTCCCCATGACATACATCGGCAATGGAGTCATCGCCGGCGAAACAACCTCCAAGCGACTCACCACACCCAAACCAAATAAAACCCCATCCCACCACGGCATAACAAAAGACACCATCTCCCTCATCCTCCACCTCGCCCTCAAACTCCGCAAAAGCATCACCTCCATCGACGAAGCATACGTCGGGCGCATCGCCGCATCCGCCCATCAGGGCCTCCCCTCCCCCTTCAACCCCAGCAACATCGTCGTGAGCAGTCTACGCAGTATGCCCTTCTACGGTGTGGATTTTGGGCCTGTGCTGGGTCATGGACGAATGCTGGATGTGGTTAATCTACGATTGAAGAATTTTGGGTGGATTCTGCCGGCGAAGGCAATGGGGGATGGGTCGAGGTCTGCGCCGTGGGAGGTGAGGATGACGATGGAGAGGGGGGCGATGGAGAGATTCAAGGCGCATGAGGTGGTGAGATGGGCGACGGGGGAGGATAATCTAGCCAAGTTATAAATTCATTATATATCTGATCATTTAATAATACACATAAGATAAATGCCTCATCTTCTTTATCTTCATCAGATAGATATCCAGAAAGGCAAAGCTAACCGTATCTGGTAAGTCATTGTCGATCATAATTTCTCTGCCACTTCAACTCGTCATCCCAACGATCGCAAAAATAAATTCCCATCCAGACCAGCCGGGGCGACAGCTTCAATAAAAATAAAAAAATATACAAGATGAAGGCCACTCTGCAGACTACTCTGGCCGCAGTGTCCATCACTCTCTGCAGTGCGACTTCTGCCTCATCTTCCGCCGCTGCCGCCCCGACCGGCGATGTCTTCCCCTCGGGCTTCGACATGACGCGCAGCTGGGCCAATCTGAGTCCCTACAAAGACGCAGACAGCTTCAGCCTTCCTAAAGGCGTGCCCCAGGGATGTGAATTGTCACAGGTCCACGTGCTGCATCGTCACGCGCAGCGCTATCCCACCGACTACCCCCTTGACGGCGAGGGGATGAAGGATTTCGGCAGCAAAGTGGCCAATTACTCCAAAGCGCATGGCGGTGCCCAGATTGGCCGTGGTCCGTTGAGTTTTCTCGATCGATGGACGTATGCGTTGGGGGTGGATGAGTTGATGGAGACCGGGGCGTCGACGGAGGCCACGGCTGGTGCTAACTTTTGGAATAAATACGGCCGATTGTTGTATCGTGCTGGACCGAGTACGCCTGCCTGGGATGAGAAGCTGAACAAGTTCACGAATGGGACTGAACGGCCCAAGCCCGTGTTCCGGACGGCGTCGCAGGCCAGAATTCTCGAGAGTGCGCGCTGGTGGCTCAGTATGTCTTCCCATTGTGGATCTGTATAGATGCTGACTGCGATCAGGTGGTTTCTTTGGCAACACGGGCGCCAACAGCTCGTACGATCAGTACGATCTGGTGATCATCCCAGAGACTTATCCTTTCAACAACACTCTGGCGTCGTATGAGTCTTGCCCAGGCGATATGACCGAAGGCGACGATGCCGCCCAGGAGTTTATTCCCAGATACACCAAAAATGCTGTATCTCGTCTGTCAAAGTATCTTCCTCGCGGCTTCAACTTGACTTCCTCGGATGTGCTGGCGATGCAGAACCTTTGCGTGTACGAATACACCAGCTTCGGCGGCTCGTTCTTCTGCTCGCTCTTCACCGAGCAGGAATGGAAGGACTATGCGTACAACATCGACATCCAGTACTACGGCGACTATGCGTATGGCTCTCCTACAGGCCGTGCCCAGGGTATTGGATACATCGTTGAACTGGCAGCTCGACTGGAACACAAACTGCTGTTCACCAGCGACACGAGCATCAACTACACCTACGACAACAACATCAAGGACTTTCCCCTCCACCAGCCCTTCTACATGGACATGTCGCACGACGACATCATCCTGTCCGTCATCACCGCCCTCGGCCTCGATTACTTCAAATACGGGCCCCACGGGCTCCCCTCCGACATCGACCACGCCCCGAACCGCAACTTCACCCTGTCCGATATGACCCCCTTCGGCGCCCGCTTCTTCTCCGAAATCTGGACCTGCCCGGCCAACGTCTCCTTCACCAACCTCGACCCAGTCGTGTACGAGAACCCCGACTTCTCCTGCTCCAACACGACAACCGACTACATCCGGTTCGTGCTGAACGGGGCGCCCCTTCCGACCGATGGATTGGTGGGCTGTGAGCATGCGAAGAATGGGTTCTGCGCTGTCAAGGACTTTTTGTCTGGGGTGCCGCAGTTGGAGAAGGATGCGCAGTACCAGCATGCGTGCTTTGGGAAGTATAAGACGGGTAGTCAGGTTGGGGATGGTGCGCCTGAGTCTTGATGAACTGTATTGATAGATAGATAATTGCTAGACTAGAATCTGACATGATCTACTTTGAAGCTATCACACACAATCATACTTGACATATAAATCAGAACAATCAATACATTGAACATCCACGCATAGTAAGAAGCCGCAGACGGTTGGATATGGTTTGACAGATAGTCCCGTGATGCTTTGTCGTGGGTTCATGAAAAACGGTATCCCTGGACGGAGGAAGTGTGTACCTGGATGAGTATACTGGTTCAACGCTGCGTAAGTCATCCTTCCATATACATATGAGTAACTATACTAAAAGAAAAAGGGCAGCAAGGAAACGTTTACTACGAAATAACGCATTCATGAATGATCCCGACAGAAAGCTCTCCCGCGCACGAGCGGAGAGTGGATGAACCACGTCAAGATCGGATACAGCCACCAACTAAAAAGCTGCGTAACTTGCCGAGTACATGAATGAGGAAGCTGGGAGATGTAGTGTTTGAGCGAAAGGATGAATCTAAAGGACATTTTTCTGAGTGGGAGAAACCGGAGTTTCTCATTGCGGTTGTGCGGGACATGTTTCAGGTGGGAGAGCCTATAGCATTGTTCAGACATATACTGCGTCTGTATAGATAGTTGAATAGCTTCAGTTGATAATGTGCCATTGGCAATCAAAACAGATTCAGTGACAGCTCAAAACAGTCAAGATAGGCTTCCCCGCATTAGCGGGGCTTTATCGGATCGTCCTTTTGCCTCTTTGCTTCTTCCTTCTCTTCTTCTTCTCTTTTTATTCCCACAACTATTCGTATATCACAAAATGCTTCGCAATCGCACTCTCACCGGCTGTGGAACGTGTCGTTCTCGCCATCTGAAATGCGACGAAACACGCCCCGTCTGTCGAACCTGCCAACGCCTCAACCTGGTGTGTCAAGGCTACGAACCGCGATTTAAATGGATCGACCAGGATCAGAAGAGCCCTCCTGCCGATGAATCGGAGGTGAAGACGTTCAGACGGCCATTATTCCAGTGTATTTCCTACTCTTCTTGTTGATGAGTGATGATGCTGATGATTGCAGCGGAGGAGCAAGAGTTGATGACACGCATCACCGCCGACAGCCTCGGGAAACTGACGGCGAATTCTGCGCTGGCCAGGCTGGAGAACGAGCAGTTCAAGACGGCGGATGGGGTGGACGGGGCGGATTTCGAGGTGTTCAGGGGTCCGTTTGGGGTGTTGAGGATGTCTGAAATGCCAGTTGATGTTCCTGTTCCGGTGCCTGAGGCTGTTCCTGAACCAGAGGTGGACGTTCCAGAGGCCATCGACGTGGAGGAAATTGAGGCTATCCCAGAAGAACCACTTCCAGCCGAGCAATTCAACGACTGGGAGATGATGTGGCCCATCCATGACTCGGCCATCGACTCTCTGCCTCTGCTGGATGACACTCGCACTGATTATCCCGACATCTTCACCCCATTCGACAACCCCGACTCTTTCCCTGCGTATCTATCCCCAATGCCGTTTTTCGATCTCCCTGGCACAGAAATCATCCCGTCGCAAGCACCATTCCTACTACGCCACTTTAAAGAGAATATGATATCCCTGTCGTTTCCGCTGCGGAATTGTCGGAAATGTCCGTGGCAGACGATTCATCTGCCCAGTGCGATGAGCACGTATGCAGAGTTAAGTATCTACAAAACAGCCAGCCATACGAAAATGTCGCTTTTCTACTCGTTACTTGCGGCGAGCTGCTTTCATCTGTCGACGCAGGCGCAGCGATCGTTTGATTGGGATAAATTGGGGAATACATATACGGAACTGGCGAAGCAGAAGCTAAAAAGAGCCTTGAAAGAGGAGGTGATCGGACCAAAGAAGGCGAGATATAAAGAGCTGCTCATGGCTCTGCTGTCTCTCGTGATGCTTGCTGTATGTTTCCCTATCCTTCAAGAGACTGAACTAACAAGATAGATCCTCAATGGCAAAGACATCGACGCGCAGGTCCTCCTCATCGACGCAGAGTGTCTCATTCGCATGCGAGGACTGCCCAAACCACGCAAATCTGTCAAACTACGATCCCTACACCATGTCTACACCTATCTGCGCATCATGGCCGAGAGTACCTGCGGCTGTGCACTGTTGAAGATGCGCCCGGACCGACCGTCCTCAAGTCTCTTCTCACTCGAATCATCGTATCTCACACCGCGCAGCTTCCGAGTCGCAGACTACTCCACCGACGCGGATCTGGATATGCAGTTGGAGAAGAGCATCGACATGGGCTACAACGACATCCACCTCGAGGTGATGGGCACGTGGAAGGAAACGCTGTATCCAGAGATATACGGGATTCCAGAATCGCTGATGGCCCTGCTCTCGCAGACGATCCGACTCGCCAACGAGCAGGATCTCTTGCATGAGAATTCCACCATCAACACCGACATCGCGATGAGTCTCAACCGGCGCGCAAAACTTCTCGAAAAACCCATCCTGGCGTGGGAATTGCCCCATCAATCACAGTCTCTCGATGACGTCCTCGCCGAAGGAGATGTTGGACGTACCAGCGCAACTTACTACATGGTTCTCGCCGTCCACCAAGCCCTCATCCTCTTCTACTACCGCCGCATCCGCAACATCCACGCCTCCATCCTGCAAGAAACCGTCCGAAAAACACTGGGGTATCTGGTGCAAAGCGACCAAGCCGATCGAGGATGTGCGATCCCCTGGCCCGGTTTTCTGGCTGCGTGTGAGGCGTTGGATCCGCAGTTGCAAAGTGAATTAGCCGGGTGGCTGCGGTCGACGGGGCAGAGGACGGGGTTGCGGTCGTTTATTACCGCTGCGGAGACGGCGGAGAGGGTGTGGAGGGCGCGGAGGGACCGGGAGGATTATACGCTGAGTTGGTTGGAGGTGATGAATTCGAGCCAGTCGGCGATCATTGCCAGTTAATTTTCTGTTTTGTTTTCTTTCTGTTTATCATCGTTTGGCGTTGACTATTTCGTATCTTATCGAGTCTGGTGTTTGGTAAGTTTGGGTGGGGCGGAGTCACCTTCCATTTCGGTTCGACATTCTGGATGCGGTTTTGTATAGGATAAGGAGTTTCTTTTTTCTTTTTGATTTCTTTTGATGACTGTAGTCGTTACCAGCTTCCATTCATGTATACTTATATCATCGATGAGGGGTTGAGGGGTAGAGGGTATGGAGGGGTTGAAGATATATAGATCCATCATCACCAGCTTACATCTATTCATCTTAAGATACTAACATCCTTTTATAAAACTACATTTTCAATAATAAATCATACAAAATGTCTGACCTCGGCGGAATCCTCGTCGCCCTCATCACCCCCTTCACTGCCAACGGCACCCAAATCGATGCTCCAGCCCTGGAGACACACATCAACCGCCTCGTCGCCGCTGGCATCCACGGCCTCGTCCCCGGCGGCAGCACCGGCGAGTTCACAGCCCTGTCGATCTCCGAGCGCAAGCAACTCACCGAGCTCTGCGTAAAATACGCCGCTGGCCGTGTCCCCGTTATCGCAGGCATCGGCGCCCTCTCCACAGCGGACACCGTCGATCTGGCCGCCCACGCTGCCTCCGCCGGCGCCGCAGCCCTCATGGTCGTGCCCCCCTTCTACGACGCCGTCTCGGTGACAGAGCTTCACGAACTGCTCAGCGCCATCCACAGCGCCTCCAACCTCCCCCTCGTCTACTATCACATCCCCTCCGCGTCCGGCACAAACCTCACCCCCGACCAGATCGCCGACCTCCGCAGCGTCGGCGTCAAATACCTCAAAGACACATCGGGCAACGCCCCCGCCCTGACTGACCTTCTCTTCTCCAAACACGAGCACATCACCGCCTTCAACGGCTGGGACACGCTCACCTTCTACGGGCTGGCCGCCGGCGCAAAGGGCTCCGTCTGGGGCGCCACCAACATCATCCCCGAGGCGTCGAGTGCGCTGTGGGAGGCGATTGCCGTGCAGGGCGATCTGAAGCGGGGACGGGAGATTTGGAGTAAGATCTTCCCTATCTGCAAGTTCCTGGAGTCGCATAATTATGCGGCGGCTGTGAAGACGGGAATGGAGTTGAGAGGGTGGCCGACTGGGGGGTTGAGGAAGCCGTTTAAGATGCTTGGGGAGAAGGAGAGGAAGGAGCTGGCTGGGTTGTTGAGAGATGCGGGAATTGAGGTTGTTGCATAGATATGTTATATTATCAAGTAAATTGAATTGTTGTTTATATTGATGATCCTTGAATAAAAGTATACATTCTGTAAAGTACTATATACATGGAATCATATAGACTATCTAGTATGCCTACTATATCTAGAAAGCACAAAAGATATAATATAAGAGAACACCGGTAAAGTTAACAGCTTGACTGAATTGACTTGGACATACCTAAGTTGCATACAATTTAATCTGTTGAATGACTTCAATGACAATATCACTTCAGATGGAATACATGAGATATAGATATCTATAAAGTACTACAGTTTGCTCTTCTCCAACTGCACCGTCTTGGGGATGTTCTCCTCCAATGTCTCTCCCTGCGGCTTCCAGTCCAGATACTTTCTCGCTCTCTCTCCCTTCAAGGCTGCATTGGTCCCCCAAAGCACGCCTCCATGGCCCATCAAACCATCCGCCTCGGCATGAGACACAGACTTGACCTGATCATTCTGGATAGATCCGCTCTTGACAGCTGCGTTGGCCACCAACTGCGAAATCTCTCCGAATGGCTGTGCCTGTTAGTATACTCCATCAGAATAAGTAGAATGACTTACTCGGAGCCCATTTTCAGGAAAGTAAATCCCATTTCCATTCCACAACTGCTCATTCTCATCTCCAGCCAGTGCCTTGTCAGTCAACCGGGCAAACAAATCCCCCACATCCCCAATGTGCACATTACTCCACCGACTCGCCCCCTTTCCAACCTGAATAACCTCTCCATTCTGCATCCCCAGGCGAGCCAGTTCCGGAATCTGAATACTCCTCTGATTGACCGGTCCCTGTCCAACGCCGTAGATGATAGGCGGGAAGATCAGCGCCGTCTTGACGTTCTGCTTATTCAAGCTCAAGATGAAGTTATCGACGACTCGAGCAGACGAGTACTTGCTGATTAGCTCCTTGATGTCTTGGATATTGCTAACATCGCCGTAGATCTTGTCGGATGGTTCACCGTAGACTTTAGCTTCGATCTCGGGGAAGGAGAGGACGCTGGCGCCGGAGATTTGGAGCCAGTAGACTGTTTTATTTAGTATTATACTGGTATGATAGATATGATGGACATACCGGGTTTCTGTCTTCTTTCAATTCCCCTCGCGATCGCCTTGACGCTCTGGATATGCTTCGAACTGGCCGCGTCTGCATCTATCAGCATAGTCTACTATCCAAGGCAGGGTGTACACACTGATGATAATATCAGCCTTCGCAGCCTGCTCCTCGATCAACCCGTCATTCTCCAAATCGCCCAACGTGATTTTGACACCAGGAAGTGCATCACTGATTGTCTTTGCTTTACTCTCGCTGCGGACGAGAGCTGTGATTTCGATGTTGGGGTGTGCATGGCGGACAGAGTGTAGCACCTGGCCACCGATGTAGCCTGTAGCGCCGGTTCTTTATTGTTAGATTATTATAACCAGATTAGATGAGATACTTACATGAATAGTCGAGACATTATAGTTAGTTAGATAGTTGTTGGTAAAGTGTAGATGTTGATGTTGATGAGAAATGAGGGGCATTTGAATTGCCTCAAGAAAGATGAATCGGGCAGGTTATGCCGACTACCCCTCATGACGAATGCAACTGTCTATTTTGGAATGAGATTATAAATCTATCCATTTATAATATGATTCATATTTATTTTTATTCTATTATAGTTTTTATTATCTTTTATCAGATTGTTCGACGATGATGTCATTGAAGCTACCCAAGGTCCTCCTGTACTAACCACTAACCATACTAACTGTATGTAGTATACTATCGATATCGAATAAACAATACCTCGTTTCTACTTCGCTATGGACCATCTATATAACAACTTTATGACTTGTATACCTTCACTCATAGCAACATGATAATCGCCGACTAACCCCGCATCGGGGATTACCAATCGCCGTTTTACGGGCGGCACAAAATGAAAATAATTTAAGTCTCTTCATCTTCATCTTAATCTTCACCTTCATCTCTACACTCTCTACATCCTCCATATCTACTCATCATGTGCATGAAAGCCAGCTGCTCAACCTGCAGTAAGTCTTCTATCCCATCTACATCAACAACTCTAACAATCCAGACAAAACCACCTGGTGGGGCTGTGGCAGCCATATCCCCTCCGTCATGGATGCGATTCCCGACAGTGAGCGATGCACCTGTGAGCCTCAGGTCGAGCGGGAGGGCAAGAAATATCCTCCCAAGGCCAGTTCGTGACTAGCTGGGTTGTCTTGTGAGATTATCTAGGATTACTGGATGGACTGAAAGTGAAAGGGGGTATGAATGTATTGTGACTGTTTATATCAATACAGCAGTGTGGAAGCACCCTCCATGCGAATGATTGACTGGAGACTTTATCATCCTCTTCATCGAGCTCATCAGCTTCATCGTAGAATTGTGCTTTGGAATCGAATCGAGACTGTTGGCATACGTCGCCACGGCAAAGGCAGTCGCTTTCGAGTTGATCAGAAATGCTTCGTGGTTGAGATTCGTCATGTTGTCGCCTGCTGCGTGGTAGTTGGCATCGTATGCAAGTCCTTCTTTTCCTTTGAATACTTCAGCATCCTCCTTGGACATGATCTCTTCTGCGCCGGTAAAGAGTCCTCCAGCCGGGATGTCATTCTCGATAAACGCCGCATAATCCGATCGACCGTTGAATTCTGTCGCCAAATAAGGCAGATTGATCGAGTCAAAATAACTCTCAAACAGATGCTCAATCTCTGCAGATCCCTTTGGCCCAGTCTTGTTATAGTCCGACCCGTCTCCGTCGTAGATCATCAGAGCGTAGTTGGGAGAAGCGATCATGTCCATGTTGAGATACAGTCTGATGCTATCCAAGTCGGTCTCGTTCAGATTCGAGACATAATGGTCACTGCCCAGCAGTCCGAATTCCTCTGCCGTCCAGAAGAGAAAGCGAACGGCATTCTTGACCTCAAACTGGGCCAATGCTTTGGCGATGACGAGGTTACTGATAATACCAGATCCATCATCGTTGATTCCTGGGCCGGCTTCGACAGAGTCCGTATGACCTCCCAATGCGACGACGTTCTTTGGATCGCCTCCTTTGGTCTGCGCGATCACATTGTAAGTCGTGCGATTCTCCATCAGACTGTTGATATACAACTCTGCCATCACAGTCCCGCTTTCCAGCCGATTGAAGAGACTCTGTCCATCCGAATGGCTGATCCCAACTATGGGCGCATACGGCCCCAGTGGACTGGAAGACGAGCCCAAAGTCCCACTCATCGATCCATCGGCATCGTTATACACGATGGCAGCAGCAGCACGAACAGATGCAGCCATCACCGACTTTTCGCCAAACGTGCACACTCCCCGTTCAACCAGAGCGATCTTGCCAGCGACATCAGTAGGATAATCCGCCGCATTGCATCCCTCGTTGTCAATCACGACGACTTCCGCAGTAACATTAACACTAGGACTATATGTCATGGCGCCCGCAGCGATACTTCCACCACCAACCGTCAATTTCTGCTCACTCTTTGTCCAGAGATGTGTCTGCGGCTGCTTGACGACATCGTAATAGCCAGTCTTCTGGAGTTCGTCGTAAAGATAATTGATTGTGTCCGTGTGCGCTGCACCTCCGAAAACGCGATTCCGGTCGGGATAGGAATAGGCAAAGTCTTCGAGTATCTGGGCCCCGTGGAGGAGATCGTCGAGGTTGATCAGGGAGGGGAAGGTTTCCTGTCTTTGTTAGCAAAAGTGGGAATGGTAGAGCAGGGAATGTACAGGAGAAACGGGAGGTTTGAGGTCGGAGAGAGCGAGGACGATCGGAACGAAGGATATCAGATAGAGTGGCTTCATTATGGATGATTGTGGTGATTATGATGTGGATGGATAGAATGTTGTTGGTGTTGATGAAGATTCGCGGTATTTATGCCTCATCGTCGCTTCCTTTTCTGTGTTGAAGATAGTGCATATTAAACATCTTGGCTAGACAATCTATAGTCATCTGATAGTCCATTCAGGTGTTTGCTGTTTGCCAATATTGCCAAGTTGTTACATTCGGACTTGGATGTAACGCGGTTATAGTGTTGCCAATGAGTCTAAATAAGTCTAGATTGAGCAATATCTCAGCAATATAGCAATAGCAATACAACCCTAATAATACACAGCAATAACAATCACAGTAACGCCTTATTTCCCCTCCTTCAGCTCACACATCCACCATCCACACACCGGCTGGATCGAATCCAACGCAGCCTTCCCACTCTTCTGAATAACCTCACCACTCGACGACGCCCGTATACCCACCATCCCAGCTACCATCATTGCCTCATGTATCACCCCAAATTCATCCACTTTGACCGGCACGGAAGAGTACCCGACGGGAATCTCGTCAATATTGACTTTGTGATACTTGACCCCGTCCAGCAGACAGCCTGCTTCATCCCAGCCGAACGTGTGGGGATAGAGACACTTGCCGTCTTCGTTCCAGAAGCAAAACGCCGTCACCCAGCCGGAGAGAAAGCTTGGCCCGCTGCCGCCGGGGATCCGATGGGCGCATTTATTCCAAAAGTGGCGCACTTTGTCGGAGGTGGGATTGTCGAAGGTGGCGATGAACATGCGCACGATGGGGTCGAGGAGCTTGGCGAATTGGGCTGGCTCTTTGCCGAGTGTTTCCAGTTTGTCGAGTTTCTTAAGTAGCATCTTCCAGTCTTCGCGGTCGCCGAGTAGTTCCACGCTGGGAATGCCACATCTGAGGACTGCTTTGTACTTGAAGTACTGCTGCACACTGCCCATCATGAGAATGGATGCAACAATCCTATCACACTCCGTCGTCGTGCTAAAATCAGGCATCATCCACGACCGCAGATCAGCGTCGATGGCATTCTCTTCAATCAACCTCCCCATGCGCATCGCTATATCCCCAAAATCCGCAGTCTCCATCGTCGCATTATCAATAGTCACGAGCTCCATCTGACCATCATGCGCGACAAACCGCGATCTGAGCTCCTTTGCATGAGCTTTAATGTAGAACGCCACCTGATTCAGGATAGACAGCCAAACATCCTCCGGGCGAAGGGTGAGGTTGAAGTGGCAGCTGTAGGCAAAGTAGATGGAGCGGACGAGGCCATGCTGGGATGCGCTGATGTGCGTTTTGGATAGGTCATCGGTGGTGAGGCTGCTTTGGATGATCTTCTTGGTGGCACGGCTTTTGTCAGGGCAGGACCTTCGGAGGTGTTCTGCTGGCGTGCCGATTCCATCTTGATTCCATCCGTTGGCGCCGTGAGAGGCGATTTTTGTTTTGACTGGCATGTTGTTTTTGTCAGTTAGATAAGTTGTCTGGAGTGGTTTGAAATACAAGTAGAGATATGAGTAGAGATAGTATTCTAGTCAAGAGGGAAGTATGAATCACAAGTCATGAATCATAAACTATATTTCTATCTGTTGCCTGAGCCAGAGTTAGCATTTCCACATTGGGATAAAAAACAATGTGTTCCATGGTACCCTCAGGCTGTCATGACTACTATCTGATGACTAGACAGCATATATTTAGGTTGGCTCAGAGCTCAAATTGCTAGCGTAATAGTAGGTAACACTCCCTATATCTAAGACCCTTCTGGGCTCTTTGTCCTATTCTCAATGTTATGATGGGCTCCCTTGATAGGAAAGCACATGAATTGGTACAATTCTGATGAGACTATCGCGGATCTGCAAGGTAAGATGCCCAACCCGTGTCCCCGTGCCCATCATCTTAAGCTGCAGGAACTGGACGAGCATGGGGGATTGCTGTTTGTCGATGCGAAGGGTGTCCCCAAGTATCGCCCGAATTGGTATGTGTTACTACTGGAATCAATGGGAGGCTAGGCAGAGAGGAGACGACGCTCTCGATATTTGGCTACTTTTGTGGTTAATCCGCATGCTCTGTTTGAGTATTAGGGCTATCTTCAAGGAGTCTTTCTAGTGGTATACTCCGTGGATAAGATAGCTTCAACACTATGACTTTTGACTCTGATTTTCAAGTAGACTCATATCACATTTCCCCATAATATTGGTCATGTCTCCTTTGTTTGTGGTTTTTTATTTGGGATGATACTTATGTTGAGTCACGTGAGAACGAGGATTTTGTCCCAAAACAGAATCTGACGACCATCACGTGCCACCACCCACCATCCATTTTATCTTCATTTCCACCAGCATCATCAACATAAAATAATAGAAAAATGGGCTCAAAAGAGCAAGGCCAGTTAAAAGAGCTCCCCATCGAGCCCAAAGGACTCCTCTGGCAAGACGACTTCGTCACGCCCGAACACGAGCAACGCCTCATCTCCATCTTCCGCGATGAATTAACATGGCCCGATCGCCCCGGCCGCATATCACTACATTACGGCTACACATTCGACTACAAAACATTCGGCCTCGACCCCGACATTCCCTACAAGGAGTTCCCGGAATGGCTGCAACCACTCATCCCCACCACCGAGTCTCGGCCGCCCGAGCAGGTGTGTTTGCAGTATTATCCGCCGGGGAGCGGGATTCCGCCGCATGTAGATACACACCGGGCGTATGACCAGCTGTACGCGGTGTCGTTTGGGGCGCCGGTGATGATGCAGTTCCGGCGGGGGGAGGAGCGGGTGGAGGTGGATTTGGCGCCGCGGGCGATGATGCAGATGACGGGGGATTCGAGGCTGCATTGGACGCATGGGATTAAGAAGCGCAAGAATGATACGCTTCCGGATGGGACGGTGAGGCCACGCGGGGATCGGTGGAGTATTACTTATCGGTGGATTCGAGATGGGGATTGCGAGTGTGGGAATCTGGACCTGTGTGATACGGCTCAGCAGAGGAATGGGACGGAGAAGGAGAAGAGGTCGGTGATCGAGTTGGCGAAGGCTAAAGAGCAAGCTGCATAGTGATGATTGTCCATTGTATATAGACTTAGAATGCCCAAGACAAAAATTAAAGATCTATGCACTTGTCGCATCGATCACTATAGATGGAAAAAAAACAAAAAGAATGACCAGACTGGGGTTCGATCCCAGGACCTTATCGGATTCAGTTTACACTGTTAACGATACGTGATAACCAACTACACCATCCGGCCGATCTTATTGACGACCTTGGCACTTTAATGCTCCACTAGCCAAGTAGGTTGTCCCACATCACACAGTACTCGATTTGCTGTCTGTGATGCAATCTCGCTGTATTCATTTTTCTCCAACACTTGCCATGATTATTCTATCTATAGTTGAAAATATACGAGCAGAGAGGAATGAGCCAGGTACAACGCAAACGAAAGCATCGACATCCACTACGTCCCGTCGCAGAAGCCGCCGGCTTCGTGGCCAGGCTGCTGCTGATGACAATTCTCCCGAAGCTCACCCAGGTAATCATGGTCTATGTATGGTGAATGGTCTGTCTGTTGTAAATGATCTGTATGTTGTGAATGATCTATCTGCGGTGAATGATCTGCCGACTATTTCTAGTGAACTGGCTGGGGATTCTTGGCCAGGACTAGAGAAACAGGCGAGGGAAAGGGTCAATGGATGCATCCTTGCCAGCAGGTCTAATGAAAAGACTTTGATTCCCTGCTTACTGTCGTGCCTTGAATGGCTTCCGGATGGTGGACGAGAGTCGATGGCTAGTGACGCAATAAACGCTCCATCAGTATATCGTGACCTTGCTAACTATTCTTAGTAATAGCAATGGCCAGGACCCCTAGATTGACGAGCTCACCACATTCGAGATCAGATAATGTGGAAACTGGTGCCATCGACGATGAGTACAGAGCTCAGGAGAAGGATTTTCGAGCAGCTTGTCTTCATGCTGTGATGCCTGCGGATCTTGAGGCAGCCCATATCATTCCCTTCTCGTACGGGTCATGGAAAGATTCTCAGGTATAAACATCTCCACATCTTGCTATTGCATGTCAATATGCTGATTCATATCAGGGACTCCCGACGAAAAGAGGGAAATGTTCGAAATATTATATCGATTCTTCCCTGGGGTACGAAAAGGTGGAATGAGAATTACACACATCAACGATCTATCGAATGGCATAACTCTGCAAGATTCAATCCACACGCAGTTTCGTCGTTTTCAGTTAGCTTTTGTGGCCACGGTAAGTAGAGTTAGTCGACAGTCATGTCCCAGGCGTTCTGACCAGTAGGCTATAATAGGGTGTGGCAAACGAATACAAGATAAAGGTCTACGATGATTTTCCAACGGCATACCGAACGTTCGTCCAAGACTCAGTCACCTTTCGCAATGCCGAGGGCGACGACAACGAAAGCCTCCCCAACCCAAAATTTCTCGAATGCCACTACAGGTTGGTGGAAATACTCCATTTATCCGGAATGGGGGAATACATCGAAAAGAACTTGAGAGACTGGGAGGAACTTAGGGATGCCTCGGTGGGTGAACAGGTGCAAGAAGATGGCAGTACTGATCTTGTCCAGTATGTACGGGCCACCTTCTGGCAGTCTGTCAACGCATAGCACTGTGGTTTTCGTCTCTGTTTGTTTCTCCTTCGCTTTTCTCCAGCTGTTCTTTCTTTCCAGTTTGATTTCACATCATTTTTTATCCAGTGTGGAGGGGTCTCCTTTTCCTGTTCTCCCTTGATTCCCCTTTTTAGTTCTTTGCTTGTCAGATTAGATACCCCATTACGCTAAAAGCTGAAGAGAATCATTCAAAAGCTCTTGAATACCCTAAGCTTGGCAAATAGCAGCCCCAGTCGTAGATAGTCAACTCATTTCGCAACGCAAACCAATATTCAAAATCGGGCCGGGGGGGGGGGGGGTCACTGTCATATACATCGACATGGAAGTACGCAGGGGGTAAGTGAGAGTAATGCATTAAAGGACTCACCCGTAGCTGGATAACTGACAATACATACAAAGACGAAGAAAGCCAAAGCAAAAATCTACGCTTTGGTTTCCCCGAACAGGCCCGCGCGCACAAGACGTGATCGCCTCGCAATCAACTCGGCCAACTGCACCATCGCCAACGGACCCATCAGCTCATACATTTCCAAGCGAGAATCGAGATACGAAGAGACCCAGTTTCGTAGTTCCACCGAGATCAGCGAGTCTACGCCATACGTAGCCACAGGCCTTGAGGCATCGAGACCTTCCTCCGGAATAGCGAGTAGCTCGGAGACCTTACGTTTAAGCGCGGCGTAGGTCATCTCACAGGCGGTCGTGGGGGTCTCTGCAGATCTCAAACCGTGCTGGAAATCGTGTTCGTCTCTTTCGGTTTTGGCCCTCTCGGGCTGTGCTTCTCTGGTGTAGATGTGGGAGAATCTGGCATCGACGCGGAGATCTGTGGTTTCGGGGGCACCTGAATCAGGGTGGGGGTGTGCAATATCAAAGGCAAGATGGGCTTGAGTGGGCGGGCCTTCGTTTGAGGGCTGCACAGCATGGCTGAGTAAGGCGAATAACTCATTTTTCTTGATCGAATCCGTGGTTGTTCCTACGTCGATACATCGGACTGTCGACTTGGTGCCAGCACAGTGTCGAGCATAGGCACACTGGAAGGCACACGAGGCTGCAGAGAGCCCATGGCCGGATGATCCGAGGGTACCAGCGCAGCTTGATAGCATGATAAAAAAGTCCAAGCCAGGGAGGGACTGTTCCATGCTGGTGATGGCAGCAATTCTTTGATCCGTGCCGTCTCGCCAGTTTTCATACGACATCGTACCCAGTGCTTCGTTCTGATCTGGTTAGCTTTGAGCAGCCAGATAGGATGAGGGACTCTTACAGATCCTTGGTCACTCGCACCGATTACACCTCGCACTGAATGAGGATGAGCCGCGCCACGAATGCTCTGCACATTTTCCAGACCAGAAGCGCTCTCTTCCAAAATGGTCAGTTTGACGCCGACAGTCTTCATCTCGTTAGCAAGACTTGCAAAATGAATAGCGCTCCCAGACGGGGAAAGCGTGATTATATGCTTTGCCCCCGACTTTGCTAGGAACTGCACCATCGCTCCACCGAGTCCATTAACTCCACCGAGAACAACATAGGCTGCATTTCCATCCATTGCTGCTGGTTTCGGGTGAGGAGGTTGTACCTATGAGAGTAAGCAGTGCTTCAGACAGGGAATTTGTCATCGCCATACCTTCAAGGGTAGATCGGGGAGAACGTCCATGACGACCTTGCCCTTATTCTCACCCGCATGCATGACCCGCAAGCTCTCCTCAATCTCCGAGATTGGTGCCGCACTGATTGGTTCGATAATCGGGTCTTTGGAGTTCTGTATTAGCGAATAGGCGCATTTCATAACGTCGGCAAACGCCCGAGGCTTGTGCTTTATAAACTCGATCAAATCAACGACGGCAAAGCTTCTGTTACGGGCGAGATACTTGGTCTCCAGTCGAGCATTCTTCAGAATGTCTGTTTTCTCAATCTCGATGAGTCGACCAAACGGCGCGAGGACAGCACAGCTTTGGCGGACTATATCGCCGGTCAATGAGTTGACAACAACGTCGACTCCCTGCTGATTGGTCCTCAACATAATCTGATCGTCAAAATCGCTGTCTCGGTTGGAGAAGACGTCCTCATCAGGAATGTCATATCTCTCCTTGATGAATTCTCTTTCTTCATCGCTTGCAACTGTCACCAAGATGTGCTCGGCTCCGAGGTACCTGGCAACCACCACCATTGCCTGACCGACAGCTTCAGCAGCGGAATGAATCAGAATCGAATCCCCAGATTGGACGTTCGCCACGTTCTTGAGACTGTGTATGGCAGTGGCATAAGGGATAGGAATCGCAGCTGCGGCTTGCAAGTCGACGCCATTTGGGACTGGAAACAAATTCTGATAATTCAGGTTACTTTTTAAAGCCAGTCCATCTGGACCGATGGCACAGACAGAGTCGCCGACTGAAAAATGTTTCTTTGCGGCCTCTCCAACCTTGGAAACTACCCCACTGCCTTCAATCAGGAGGTTTGAAAGCCCCTCTAACTGGCCCGTTGCAGTCATCATATCGTGGTCATTCAGCGATATATGCCGCATCTCCACTTGAACCTGATCGGGAGTCAACGGGGCACTATGAACGGTGCTGTCATCCCAGTACAGCGAGCTGGGCAGTCCAGTGTTGCGGATTTTCAATTCGAGATGACGGCTCTTGTCGAACCCTTCCTGGATTTTGGGATGGTAGTTTGATGTCGAGTCATGAATATAATTGTTCATCGTGTCATCTACAATCAGTCTCGGGACAAGAACCTCATTGTTTCGAATGGCAAACTCATACTCAGTGGCTGACAGAGGGGATTTACAGTTGGCGAATACGTGGCTGTAGATCCGACAGATATCAGCCGCATCCTGGATGCTGGACGTTGCGTTTGGATCAAGGTCCAGGCAAACCAGGTTCAATTCCTTTCTTTCGGACCGTAGCGTTCGTGCCAGTCCCGAGATGAGCGAGCGATGGGGATCTGTGTATTCAACTGCGCCACCTCGAGTGACCCAGAGGACGGAATGAGCCTGGCTCGTGATATCACGGACCTTGTCCCATTGTGCCTTGGACGGCGAAGTCCAAAACGGACTCGCTGTTTCCAGAAGCATGATGAAGGCACGATGACCTGGTTGTGCCTCGAGTAAATGGGACTGCAATGCTGCGCATTCATCGTCTCGGCTGATAAGCGATGCCAGACGATCCGATAACTCAGTGCTCTCGGCCGTATTGACAATGACTACCTCTTCTGCTCGCGGCTTGGTCTCAGGCAAGGCAGTCGAGACAAGAACGCTCATCTCGTGATCTACCTCTGTCTCATAGTCTTTGATCTCCAAAGACACACCAGAGAAACCACTGTCTCTCAACACCGTGCTCCAATCATCGGGCTTGAGCAGCGGTGACGATACCCGGCCTTCATCGACACCAGCCCACCAGCCTGATAAAGCGCCGTAGAATCCCCAGCGCAGCGACGGGTTGGTGATTTCCACAAAGGCCAGCTGCCCACCGGGTTTCAAGAGAGATCTGAGATTGGCCAGGCTCTGGGTCAACCGTTCTGTGGCGTGGATGACATTGCTCCCGATGATCAGGTCAAATGAGCCCAGCGCGAAGCCCTGCGCCTCGGGCGGGTTTTCGATGTCCAGCTTTTGAAAGTCGATAAACCGTTCGTACTTGGCCAGTCGTTCTCTCGCACGCGACATGAAACCCGTCGATATGTCCGTGAACACAAACCGTCCCCAGTTTGCACTGGTTTGAGGATGCGCATTGTCGTTGTAGAGCGCCTCGATGAATGGCAGCGTGAGACTGCCCGTTCCAGCGCCCACCTCCAAGATTCGCATTCCCGGGTTCTTGAAATGGGCTAGTTTGGCCCAGCTGGCGAGCTGCGCGTTGCATCGAGCACTGTTCTCGTCTTCGAAATAAACGCGGTGCAGCAGGTCGTTGTGCATGAAGACTTTGAGTGGCTCCACCTCTCCCAGCACGATCTGGCCAAGATGGCAGCCGACATGGACAACCCATTCGCCCACTGCCCCTGCTGCTCTGGTGTGGTCTTTGGCCTCGTCGGTCACTGGCAAGGCACTATCGGATCTTACCGACCGCATCCAGTTTAGAAGATGCTTCCGGTATCCAGATACCTTGTCCTGGTCCGTCACAGTGAGGCTATTGACGGTTTGGGTGATGATGCTCCTACAGAACGGGTCGCATACGCGTTTTAGATGATGCTGGGGGTGGCTTCCGGAAGTCAGGCTGCCACGATTCAAAACGCTCGCAGTAGGAGAACAAGATGGATCGAGCCCCCATTCGAGGCGATGGCATAGAGGCTGGCTTGGTGCATCCTCATCTGTCTCCCGTGAGCTGTCAAGGACGGTGTAGATCAGTCCCTTGGCTTGAATCAACGGTCTTTCCCGTGCACAGTCACCTTCAAAAGCCACCAGACTGGCAGAGTACTTCTCAATCCCGAACTGTTCGACCTGGTTCTCAACTGCAAGATCTTGACCTGGCTCTGATGCAATTTCAGCCATGATCTTCAGATCGTGGATTGCTGTCACGACTGCAGCGCTGTGAAGTTTCCCGGCAGCTTGAAGACCGGGGAGCGAAGACTGGAAGCAAGAGTCGAGGGTAGCAGGATGAATGCAATGGCTCTCCTGATGCTGTGAAGGCATGGATGACTTGACGTCGGGAATGGTGACGGAGCATCGCGATGCCAGGTCCCCGGCAGATATCTCGGACAGGCTTGCAAAGGGCCCGGAAAGTCCACATCCAAGAGACCACATGCTGTCGTACCACTTCTCTACATCCATACTTTGTAAAGTTGCATTGGTTCCTTTCCTATAAGGCTCCTGGTTGAGCTTATTGTTGACTTTCTTCGCCTCAATCAGTCCCCAGCAGTGCTCCGTCGATTCTCCCTGAGGGGTGCAACTCATGATACGGAATTCTCTCCAGTTTTCTGAAGACCGGTGGGCCGAGTATGATGCCGGTCGAAGTTCAATAAACGTCTCGACCCCAGTCGAGTCGTCCGGAATGAGCAATGGTCTGTTAATGACGACATCCCGGAAGTGAACGCACAAGCCCCTCCAGACATGGTTTCCACTTGGAGCCTGCTGCTTCAGTGCCTCCAGTGTCATGGTGATATATCCGGTTGATGGGAAAACCATCTGGCCCTGAACCAAATGGTCTTTCAGCCAGGGTAACTCAGACACCCGGAGATAGTTCCGCCACATTGGCTGGGCGTCAATATAATCCATCACCGGTGAGCCCAGCAGATCATGACGAGGAAACTTTCTGAAGCGGTATGCCGTGCTTCGGCGAGATTCATTCCAATGACGAGTCTTATGGTTCCAGTTATAGGAGGGGAGATCTGTCATCACCACGTTTGGAAACGTGCCTCGCGGGTTGTTGATCGCCCCAAAGTCCACCGTGACGCCGTGGGAAAACAAATTGCCCGCCAGTGACAGACTAGTTGTGGCAGCACTCTCTCCTCTCCTCAGTATATTTTCATAGGTGGCCAGATGGGTGAGATTCAACGCTCTCACAATCTCGAGTATTGGACCACGCAGAGCGCTATGGGGCCCGATTTCAACGATGCAATTCAGGGCATCGATCATTTGGCCTCCTGGGAATGCGGCTTCAAGTACTCCTATCAGAGCATCTGTGAAGCGAACGGGAGACAGCAGATTTCTAACCCAATAGGATAAGTCCATTTCATCGCCTCGCACCGGCTCTCCGGTTACAGAGGATACAAAATGAACGCCTTCCTTGACTTTCCTCGGGGTAATGCTGTGAAGAGTCGAGGCGTAAAACTGGCTAACACGTTCCATATGGTACGAGTGGTACGCGACGTCTACTGCCAGAAGCCGGTTGAAGATGCCTTTTTCATTCAGCGGCTTCTGCAGTCTCTGCAATGCATCGCGGTCTCCCGACAAGGTCACGCTCGAGGGGCTATTGATGCATGCAATGCCTACCTGCGTGCCCTCAGTCTCAACGAACGGCCTTGCATCTGATTCGGACAGCCCAACAGCGAGCATTCCACCATTAAGCCCTGGGTTCATTGCCTTGAGGAGCTTGGCAGCACTGCCGCGGAAATATGCTACCCGAAGTGCATCCTGACTTGTCAAGACGCCCGCTGCATATGCCGCCACAATCTCGCCACTGGAATGACCACAGACAAGATGTGGGGTGACTCCCCACGACTCCAGAAGGTCGATGAGGGCGATCTGTATGGCGGTGGTGCATGGCTGAGCCAGTTCTGCTTCGTTGATTCGTGATGACTCTTTGGTTTTGGACAACTCAGACAGCAGTCCCCAGCTCGCGCCAAAACCGATCAAGGCCTCTTCGGCAGCATATAGAGACTGTGCAAATACAGGGTACGACTGGAGCAGTCCAAGACCCATGCATGCCCATTGTGCTCCTTGGCCTGCATCATGTCAGTGCCCAGTAGGATAGGACCAAGGAGCGGATGACATACCCGTGAACACAAAACAGATACACGGCTTCGCTACTGCTTTGGTGCTTCTCTCCACTCCCTCTTCGATCCTTCCCAGGCCCTCCAGAAGCTCCTCTCTCGTGGCTGCCGTGATGGATGATCTGAAGTTGAAGTGGGATCGTTTGGAGCAAAGGGTGAATGCAAGGCTGTCGAGGGGTATTACGGGCTCCTTGGACAGATGCTTTTTGAGTCTTTGGGCAAGTACGCCCAATCTTTCATCTTGACGGTGGGTCAAGACAAAAAGACGGGGTCGCTCCTCGGATGCGTGGTGTTCAATGGCCTTTGAAGCATCGGGGAGGTATCCCAAAGGTCCGTCAACGATGAGGTGAGCATTTGTACCCCCGTATCCTGTGCTGTTGAGAGATGCCCGTCGTTTCATCTGTTCGGGCCATGAAATCGCCTCCTCTGCGACCTGCATCGTGAATATTAGTTATTGCAGACGAACTGTTTAATGCAGAGACATACGCAAATCCCACGTCCCTCCAAGTCAAGATCCTCCCGTCGAAACTTGAACGTTGGATTGGGAACAATGACTCCTCTCTCCAGCATCAAAACCAGCTTTATTAATGCGGGTAATCCAGACGTGTTTTCCAAATGGCCCAGGTTGGATTTCACACTACCCACATATAAACCATCGGCCTTCTGTCTACCTTCACAGAATGTCCTTGCAAAGGCTTCTGCTTCCGCTTTATCGCCCACCTTGGTTCCGGTTCCTGGCCCAGTCAGTATATCTTTGTTCCACGGGAATGGACACTTTACCATGTGCCTCAACATAGGCTGTCTCCCTGGGATCAAGACCCGCAGCTTTGTACGCCAAGCGGATTGTATCAATCTGACGATCACTGCAGGGCATCGTGATTCCCGGTGTTCTTCCATCCGACGTGATGGCGCAGCCACGAATCACTGAGCGGATCGTGTCTCCATCACGGAGGGCTGCATTAAGAGGCTTGAGTATGACAGCTGCCACGCCTTCACCTCGCCCATAGCCAGTCCCACGAGAGTCAAATGAATGGCAACGCCCATGAGTGGACAGGAATCTGTAGAAAGCTTCAATATATGTGCTAGCGTGAGTGTGAGAACGCAAATCACACTCACTGCATCGCTGAAATAACCGAACTCTTATCCGGGTCGATGAGAAGGTTTGCACCTCCCACCAATGCCTGGGTGGTATTTCCCAAATGGATATCTTTACACGCCTCATTTAGAGCAACAACCGTGCTGGAGCAAGCCGTGTCGATGCTGACACTGGGGCCACGCAGGTCAAAGGCATATGAGACGCGGTTCGACATCAAACCCGGCCCAGTGCCGGTGAATCGATAACTCCACAAATGTTAGCTTCTGTCACCCGATACATTTGGCAATACTCCATACCCTGGAGAGGTCTCAGGATCCCGACCCTGAATCTGCTCATAGTCTTGGTACGGTACAGCACAGTAGACGCCAGTCCTGGAGCCTTCGAGTTCATCAAAGCCCATTCCAGCATTCTCAAAGGCTTCATATGCCACCTCCAAGAGCAGTCGGTGGTGGGGATCGATCGCCTTTGCCTCAACCCCATTAATGCCAAAAAACTCACTGTCAAAGACAGCCGGATCTTGGTTCATCAAGTGAAGGCCGGTGGGATTAAACTAAACAAGTTGAATCGCCTGGTTAGGGAGGAAATATATTTACAGTCATTCCTGCACTCACCGATCCACTCAACTCTGGCTTTGGATGCCAAAACGCGGCCAAATTAAAGCGATCTTTGGCATTGTTGGTCCATCCAGATTGGCCTCTGGAGAGCATCTCCCAAAGACCGGCTGGGCTGTCTGCGATGCCAGAAAAGCGACATGACAAACCCACAATGGCGATTGGCTCGGTAGGACCAGACTTTGGAGTTGGATCGTGCATTCCGTCAGGCTGTGAGCCAGTCAAATAGCCTAACTCAGATATCAGTAAGCGATGTAAAGTTAGAACCCATGATGGCTATTCACGGTCTCTTATAATACATGCTACTAGCAATTCTATGCACATACCATGGTCATGCTTTGGATTATTCGCTTCTTGCTCAGCTGCTCGATCATTTTGTAACCCTTGGGGCTTGTCTTTGTGGTACAGTGCTTCGTTGAATGTGTCGAGTAACTGGTCAGATACTTATTATCCCTTTCCTCCTTGCACGGTGTTGCATGACAGAGCTGGCCTGCATATCCCGGTTTGAAGTTTGCGGCGGCTGCTCCTAACTTATTGTAGCGTCATGCTTTCCTATGTCACACCTTCTAGTATCTGACTATCCCTTGATTTCTTTCGATCTCAACATTCTTACCAACTCTACCAGTAACTAATCAGTTATCGAGAAGTCACCTGGACTCCATTTTCGCCTCTTATGCAAATAATAATTTATCTCCACGAACTTGATGTTTTTTTTTTTTTTTTTTTTTTTTTTTTTTT